AAAAATGACTACAGTAGTAAGGGTTATAGGAACAAATGGTGACCCAAAGACAATGAACACACCAGCCATAGATCACGACTGTCCCTCCCGCCCCACCCCTTCTCGCAAAAAGTCAGCATACTCGGTCAAAAACTTCACCTGTTCCAGCGTCTCAAAGGCCTTGACGCTTTGTCGTCTCCGCACAACAGTGATCGCGCGCTCGACGAGTTGTAAAGTATCCTTCCTGGTCTTGGATAACTGCGTAGTCTAGTTTGTTTCTAATAACATACAACATTCGACGTAGTGAGATCGCCGTTTGTTTTGTCTTGTGGAAATAGGATGCGCGAGTCGTCTCGTTGACGGATGCGTGAAAGGGCTGTGTAGAGTTGACCATGTGAGAAGGTCAAGAATAGTCTTGTCAAGGGTAAGACCCTGGCAACCATTGAAAGTCGTTGCATATGCGAGACGGAGAGGAAATTAGAGTCGATGAACGGTCCAACTTGCATGTGGGGGGGTGTGAAGCGGATGCGGGGGATGCATTGAGTATCTTTAAGTTGACCTGTCCCGTTGTTAATGACTCGAACCTCGACATAGTGGCGGTGTAATTGTTTGTACAATAAGGCGTGCATTCTTCACCAGTCCCTTCTGAACAGACATGTTGCGCATAAGTGAGCAGATGCAGTCCTGCTTGAGATGAAGCTCGTGCTTTGGAATTCCATTCTGTGAGAGGATTGCAAGAAAGTCGGGTGTGGCGTCAGGGTGATCTGCTATGAGCTGATCGTCTTCTTTTACAGTGTCAGCACTGTAGTACAACACAGCGTGATATGTCAGTAAGCGACGTAGGAGTTTGTTGGGCTGAGAAGCGCACGTCGTAGGCAGATGGGTGGCTCGGCAAGCACGTAATGCGGGAAAAGAAAGGAAATTGCTTCGTCGAGTGTGTGTATGCAAGATAGGATGTCGAGAGAGACATACCCACTTTTCCAGTGGTAGTTAATAAAAACGGCTGCCGTGCATCATGTGTAGTGATAGGCACGCGGAAGGAGCTGCGGAAGAAGTGACGAACGCATGGAAATCGTGAGACCATTATCAAAGTGGGATATCGATGAGAGCAAGATGAAACTAAAATATTGTCGAGCAGGTGGTACATACGCGCGGCCATATGCCGGCATGTTGAATCAACTTTTAAAGGTGTTTAGTTCCTGCCCTGGTATCCCTTTCAAGCTTTTGCGACCTAACCTAGTAGTGTCAGTGCCGGTTCTTCATTTGTGTCTGCATGGTCCCGGGTATCAGCGTGCGTCACTTGACATTGAACTGACCCTGCTTATCAGTGGAGGTCTGTGTTTCTCAAGCAAAGTTACCCTATCTGAGTATCACATATTCTCGTCCTTCGAGAGGCATGTATTTAAGGAATCGACATCGGAAGCTAAACTGCCTATACATCCTCTGCGCGAGTTATGGCTCATTCTCATCTTACGGAGCCATCGAAGGTGTTTGAGCACCAGGAGAAAGACCTGAAGGTCTTCGATGTCCACAGCGCAGAGAGTGTAGAAGAGGCTCCCTCTCAAGAGTCTGAGCAAGTCATCCGCGGGGCAGGAGACATTACCAACTTGGTAGGTTTAACAACAGGAGTGTGCGTTGTCTGCTCAACGTGTTGAATTTACATTAGATCATATCAGATGAGGATAATCCCGAGCTCCCCGCACTGACCTTCCGTTTCTGGGTCCTGGGTCCTGGGCTAGCGACTTTTGGTGAGTTGGAATGAAGTCTACTCTCGATGTCGACGCAAATTAATGTTCAATCAGGATCTGTGCTATCCGAGATTTATTTTTGGAAGCCTCAGGGTGCTATAGTTTCAGCCTTATTTCAATTGATTATATCTTACATGCTGGGTAATGCAGTGAGTTTCTGCAGTTTGCTTCACTGTTTCAATTGATCGAGAGAATACGAAGATGCATTATGCTATGCCTTCGACGGGGATTTGGCGCCGCCTCAATCCTGGGCCGTTTAACATCAAGGAGCACACGTGCATCACCATAATGGCATCCACTGCGTCAGTTACAGCCAATGCTATTGGTATAGTAGCAACACTTGATTTGTTTTACGGCGTGACTTTGAGTCCTGAAGCCGCGATCTTCCAAACGTTCGCATCGCAGGTGCTACCAACCGCTTGCTAACTCTGATATTCGAATTGACTCCATGATTCAGTTGATTGGATATGGTTTTGCGGGGCTTCTAAGAACCCTCCTCGTATGGCCAACTTACGCACTGTTTCCGAACCAGCTCCCGTCAATCTCTCTTCTGCAATCCATGCACTTTAACAACTTACTCAACCGCAAGAAGATGAAGTACTTCTGGTTCGGTAATTATTTTCAACTCGAACTTCCGAGTCATGGACACTGAAGACCTCCTCAGTCTTTGGGGCCATCTTTTGTTGGGTTGGTGAAGCAACATAGCATGAGCTCATCCTCACTGATCTCGTGTTATCACCCACAGGAAATCATTCCGACTTGGATGTTTCCCCTTCTAACGGCGGTCTCTGTCATTTGCCTGGCTGATAATGGACGCTCGCCTGTTATTCGCAATATCTTTGGTGCGGGAGCGTCCAACGAAGGTCTAGGTCTGCTGTCATTTGCCTTTGACTGGACCTTGATCACACAAGCGTATCCTTTATATTGGCCTCTGCAGACTCAAGTCTCTTCCTGGGTGGGGATGGCATTTGGTTATGTCCTGATGGGTGCGTCATGTCATACCATTTCCTTGTTGACGCCATTCATCAATTCACTATCAGGTGGATGCTATTATGCGGACGTGTTCCAGGGGTATTCCAGGGGTTTACCGTTCATGTCAACTGCATTATTCACTGGGAATGGCTCATCGTACAACCAATCCGCGATCCTTGGCTCCAACCATCAACTGGACCCGGAAATGTATGCTGAAGTTGGACCCCCGTGCGTACACAAAAGGCATAACTAATCTTTTTGCACTGAAAATACCTTTTAGATTCATGACAACAACCTACGCAATGTCTCTGCTTTTGACCTATGCTTCCATGGGGGCAGCATTTTCCCACATATTGCTGTGGCACTGGACGGAGTTATGGGAAGCTTTCAGAGGCTTCAACTTCTTAAAGTCAGGGCAAGATTTTGACGAGTGAGCTATGTCTTTTCCCTCACTTTCGGACTTTCTTCAACGTCGCATTCCAGTATTCACTTTCGGCGAATGAAAGTTTACAAAGAGGTTCCACAATTGTGGTACGGTTCTCTTTTCGTCGTGTCACTGGGCCTAGCGATTGGTATGGCATACGTTGGCATGAACACCCTGCCGTGGTGGTCTGTCCTGCTTTTTACCGTCATCGGTGAGTTACCGACTTTGAGGGGTTTTATTTCACCTCACGCTCTCTTGCATAGCATTCATTCTCGCCGTCATCCTTGGTTTCATATATGCTGTAACAGGATTCCAGCTCTCCACCGGAGGTTTTGTGCAAGTCATTGCTGTCGGTGATTTTCTGCATCAATGGTGGCGGTCAATATTGACAAGCTATGTTTAGGCATACGTCCATCCTCAGCAACCGATTCAGAACATGTATGCAAAGTTGTACGGTTACAACACTGGCTATCAGACATTCGCCATGCTGTCCGATTTGAAGCTAGGTGCTGTCCTTCACTTGATGGATTGACTCAAGACTTAACTGTTTGCCTTTGAAGGACAATATGCGAAGGTACCACCGAGGGCTACTTTTGTTGCACAAGTCGGCGGCACGATTGTTGGGGCCAGTAAGTAAGTTAAGTTCTATGAGGATTATGTTGCTGAATGGTTTGATTGAGTTTTCAATTATGTCCTCTATAAGTCTATCGTAGACGCGCACAGAGCCGATTTGATAAACCGTGCGCTATATCATACATATATAGTCTCTACTCGAACTCAAGCGAGATTGATTATAGCGATCGGAACGCGTATATGGTCAGGGTGGAACTCACAAGAAATCAACTCAGCAGCAATTACATGGGGCGCTCTGAGTGCGGAGCTATACAGTCCAGGTAAAACATACTTTCAGGTGAGTTCCCGAGTAGATTGTTGCAAACGCAGATTCACAACCCCTTTCTAGATTCCTCTCGGACTTCTATACGGGTTCGTCACTCCTTTCTTGTTCTATGCCATGCATCGCCTATTCCCAAGGTAATTTCCTCCGCGGTATGACTTATAGCAATCTGATACTCGGAACGAAACAGACAACGGATCTGGTCTTACCTCAACATGCCGATTGTATTCACGTATCTTGGTTTGCTTCCATTCTCGGTTAATGGTACGTTGACAAATCGTACGATGTTTCATAGCTTGTACTGATAATTAATACAGGGATGTGGTGGCCAGGGTTCATCATCGGGTTGTCTACGCAATGGTGGGTCAGGACCAGGAAGCCAAGATGGTACATTAAATACAACTGTGCGTGATCTGGCCGGAGATATCATAACGAACCAACCAGGGATGACTATGCAGATTTGACCTCCGCCGCTTTGGACGGAGGTGCGTCCATCATTTACTTCATCCTTAATTTTGCGGTGTTCGGTGAGTTTTCTGTTCGCAAGTCGGCACCATTGTACTCATTCCACTTAAGGGGCAGGCGGAAATGCCATAAGCTTCCCTACGTGGTGGGGAAATCCAGATCCGAGTGTTATCAGTGTCGGTAAGTTCATGGCTGCGTCATTCTTTGAGTTGATTAATTGTCATTTACCAAAATCAGACCATTGTATGGCCACCACCTTTTCATAACGTAGTTACAAGTGATCAGCCTCCTTGCCCTGACGAAGTATATTCTATAGCTTTGTTAAAATGCAACAGGTTCATGTATTTGAGATTTCTCAACTATCATGCCAATCCGATGCTGGGGAAGAGACATTTTCTGGCCATCACTAGACGCACTTACACCCACGACGACATGTAGGTCACTCTTACCATGAGGCTGTTATGAGATTTGCAACCATCGGTTTCCCGCTGCAGGTGGGAGATGCTTAAACTAATCCGGCCAAGCTTCTTGTGAGACAAATTTAATGACATCAGAAAACAGCATGCGTATGTCGACTACGTGAGAGGTGTGGTGGGTAGGGACGACTAGAGTTCAATCATCCTGATGCAGTTCCCTCCAAGCCTGTTCAGTTTTCAAACGTTTCTCTTTGGCCTGGGCGCGGTTACGAGTCGAGCGCTCGATGCGCTAAGCCAAGGAAATGTCAGCGCTCAGAGGGGCATACTAAAGGTAGGCTACTAACCTCTTTTCGAAGGCACTTGTTAAGGCTGTCCTTTTCTTGATTGCAACCACCGGTCAGTCGCGCCCAGCTATTAACATGACATGCATCTAGTGCCTGGATGAATTCTCTACAGACTTTGATGGTGGGTTAGAACAAGAAAGGATAGTACGAGGGCCGCGCGCCGCACCTATTCTTTTATCGGACAACTGCGGGTGCATCTGAGAAATACTGCATGAAAAATCAAGGGCTATTCAGCATTGACTGACAGTGAGACCCAAGGCAGTTGTCGAAAACCAGTGTTAACGATACACGCACAGACCAAGATGAGAAGAGAGCTCCGGTTCAAGTCCCGGTTGTGTGTTTTCCGTAGACAACCGTCCTGCCCGAGAGAGTTAACGCGAGAAGTTCAGAACTAACGTGTGAAAGGGTTCCATGGTTGTAACGTAACCCTCTTCGTAAGCCGGTCGCGAACTCAAATCAGAATCTGTCTACAGTCATATCTGAGGGCTATATATTAACCCTAACAGTCCTAATCCCTTTTCTTTCAAATCCATCAATCATGTCTCAGTTCACTCCGGAGCCAACAGACAACACTTCCATTGCTACCATCCGCACTCTTGCTGCCGATGTCGTAGGCAAGGCAAACTCTGGTCATCCAGGTGAGCATGACTAGATCAGCTTCATCGTGTGCACCGATAACGACGATGTCCATCTTTAAGGTGCACCCATGGGTATGGCGCCTGTCTCCCATGTTCTCTTCACAAGGCAAGTGATGTTAAATCATGAATGTGCCCACCTCGTACGATTATTTAATATACCCCAGATTCTTCAACGCGAACCCCAAAAACTCCAAGTGGTTTAATCGCGACCGATTCGTTCTATCTAATGGGTGAGTTTGTGTTCCGATTCATATCCGAATACTCGCTGATGAATACTGCAGACACGCGTATGCACCTTACCCCTGACTGATGTATCGCTAACTAATCCCCACTCTAGCTGCGCGCTGCAGTACATCTTGTTGCACCTCTTGGGATACAAGCTTTCCATGGATGACCTTAAGGCATTCAGGCAGCTTGACTCTTTGACCCCTGGTCACCCTGAAGCACACCACACTGATGGTAAGTACTACTTATGATGTGACAGTCCATGTCGACAGACTGCTGACACTACGCCAGGTATCGAGGTCACTACCGGTCCCCTTGGTCAGGGATTCGCCAACGGCGTTGGTCTTGCTATGGCTCAGGCACACATGGGCGCAGTTTACAACCGTCCCAGGTTTAACCTTATCAACAACTACACGTATGGTTAGTATTTTCCCAGTTCTGATAATTCGGAATATGTCATAACTATGTGTCTGCAGTTTTCACTGGAGATGGTTGTTTGATGGAAGGTGTTGCAAGCGAAGCCGCTTCCCTTGCTGGTCACTTGCAGCTGGGCAACTTGATCGTCGTGCGTACCTTTCACGTGTGACTTTTTCACCTCGATTAATAATCGGTCCTTTCCAGATCTATGATGATAACCGTGAGTCGGATCCTCATTGGCCTGCGGCTCCGTTCCGTGACTTATCCCCATTAAGATATTTCCATTGACGGTGACACCGCTGTCGCATTCACTGAGAATGTCGAGCAGCGCTTCTTGTCATACGGCTGGCAAGTTCTCCATGTCGATGACGGTGACCAGTACGAGATGGTTTCTCATCTATATTTTCGATGTCTAACTTGCGCTCAGCGATCTTGCTGCCATTAACGGTGCCATTGCCGCTGCCCGTGCCGAGAAGAACAAGCCTACCATCATCTGCCTCAAGACCACGATTGGTTACGGGTCAAAGCAACAAGGCACCCACGGTGTTCATGGCTCTCGTGCGTGTAATTTCTTGACATATCAAGCGCCCGCGTGCGAACCATCTTTCCCCCAGCTCTCAAGCCCGATGACATTCAATCCCTGAAGAGCAAATTTGGATTCCCTCCTGACCAAAAGTTCTACGTGCCTCAGGAGACTTACGACACTTACCGAGCAGCTGCACTTCGCGGTGCCAAGCTCGAGTCTCAGTGGAACAGCCTTCTCGCCGAGTACGCCAAAGCATACCCCAAGGAGCACGCAGAGCTCACTCGCCGGATTTCTGGGAAACTCCCGGAAGGATGGGAGAAAACCCTCCCTGTGTACACCCCTGCTGATCCTGCTCAAGCATCTCGCAAGCTGTCTGAGCTTGTCCTTACGGCGATTACGCCTACACTGCCCGATCTCATAGGTGGCTCTGCTGATCTGACAGGCAGTAACTTGACCAAGGTCAAGGGGACTGTCGACTTCCAGCCCCCTAGCACCGGACTCGGAAACTACGCTGGCACGTACGTCCGATATGGTGTTCGTGAGCACGGCATGGGCGCCATTGCCAATGGTCTGCATGCTTATGGTGGTATTGTGCCATTCGTTGCTACATTCTTGGTGAATAGCGTGCTTTCTTAGCCAATATTTCTTGCTGATCCCATCCTAGAACTTCGTTTCATACGCGGCTGGTGCCGTCAGGTTGTCCGCGCTCAGCAAGCATCAGGTTATCTGGGTCGGTGAGTAAACCAAATCCTTCAGAAACTAGGAAACAGTGTTCACAATCTGTCAAGCTACACACGATTCCATCGGTCTTGGAGAAGACGGTCCCACTCACCAGCCGATCGAAACTGGCACCCACCTGCGTGCAATCCCCAACCTTGACTTCTGGCGCCCCGCAGATGGTAACGAAACATCCGCAGCCTATCTTGTCGCTCTTAAGAGCACGGAGACGCCATCCGTCTTATCACTTTCCCGGCAGAACCTGCCCAATCTTGAGGGCTCTACCATTGAGCGTGCAGCACGGGGTGGATACGTGCTGTACGAGGTTGCCAACGAGGATATGACCATTGTCAGCAGCGGTAGCGAGGTTCCGATCGCTCTTGAAGCAGCAAGCTTGCTTAAGAAAGAGGGCATCAACGTCAGGCTTGTCAGCTTGCCTTGCTGGTCGGTGTTCGACAAGCAGGATGAGCAATACAGACTCAGTGTCCTCAGGAGCGGTGCTCCCATTCTGTCATTAGAGGCACTCACGGTAAATTTGAATAGCTGAAGAAGTGACACGCTTGGCTGACTTATCTCGAAATAGACCACTGGTTGGCAAAAGTACAGCCACGAGGTGAGATTTCGTGATCGCATCGATTTTGCTAAATAGCTCATATATCTGGCAGCAATATGGTCTACCTGCATGGGGTGCTTCAGGACCGTACCTCAAGGTGTATGAGAAGTTTGGCATCACTGGCCCTAGTAAGTTAGCGTATACACAAGGCTGGGATGTTACTGACTGTGATCCAGACATTGCCGCTGTTAGCAAGAAGGTCATCGCATTCTACAAGCAGAAGGGTGGCCAAGTCGTGTCTCCTCTCATCAAGGCTTTGTAGGTTATTGTATCCAGTATTAAAAAAAATCGCCGGTCGTGGAATTAGGTTAGATTATTTGTAGAAAGCTCAGTGTAAAGATCCCATAATCAAATAGATTGATGATTGACAAGTTGTGGTGCAAGGATAGTCAAACAAACCTGAGGGAAGACAGTCATTCCTTAAATGGTCCTTTATTATGGTTCAAGCGAACAGTATGAAACCTCAGGTGGAGGCATTGCCAATATGTGTGGATAAGGATAGTCGCAACTGCGAGTCTACATGGATGTGAGCGTCTATTTGCGTTGAACGGTCATTGTGTCCCAGGTCAATCTCTCCTCCTCTTCCTTGAGGACGTTCAGGATATGAGGTTGAAGGTATCGCTTGTCCTGAAAAACAACGGTCAATGTCCATCCACTATATAGTACTGCGAGACATCAACATACATCCTCAGGCTTAGACCACTGTTCTTTTGGCAAAGGTTTGTGGTGAAGATCACAGTTACTTGCAATTTTGAAGCGGTAGGAACGGTCATAGGTCTCTCGCGGAGTTAAACGACCGATTGCCTGTAATTCCAGTCAAAATTGAATGTTCACAAAAAGCGGGTGGGACTCACCCTTTGGACTTCTGGGCTCTCTTCAACCTCTACATGAATCCAATCTAAGCACGTTGAACATCCCCGAACTAAACATAAGACACGCACGGAGGTCATCATATTTGAGGCCCATCTTGCGGTAGCCCATGAGGTCGGCATACCAATGAGCGATTGGTGTCACATACTTCTTGAGCGTCCGCGAGGAGCGAATGTATGGTGCGAGGGATGGGCCGAGCACGTTCATCGCGTTGGCTATTGAGTGTGGTGTCTTCTGCACGAAACTGCAGGAACTTCAAGAAGCGGGACCACCCGGAACGTTATTTAGCTCTATTTACGTCTGCTTTATTTAGACTTATTTTTCCGAAAAGATATGATCTGGATAATTTAAAGCAACAGAATCTTGATTGCGATCAGCTAGAACCACTTTCTCATCTTTCCGCTCAGACAAAACAAACATGGCCCCCAACATCCGTGAGCGCACCTACATCATGGTCAAGGTAGCCATACATTGTCTCGAGATGATCATCCGCTGAACAACTACGCGATCTTCCAGCCCGATGGTGTTGACCGTGGTCTTGTTGGCGAGATCACTGCCCGCTTCGAGAAGCGTGGCTTCAAGCTCATCGGCGCCAAGCTCGTCTCTCCCACCAAACAACATCTCGAGAAGCGTGAGTTCGGGCGGGATCCGACCAGATTTCAACGTGTTGATTGATCGCATCCGGTTCTGTAGACTATGAGGACCTCTCCGACAAGCCCTTCTTCCCTGGTATGATCAGATACATGCTCTCTGGCCCTGTCTTTGCTATGGTCTGGGAGGGCTTGGATGCCGTGAAAACTGGCCGTGTCATGTTGGGCGCGACCAACCCCCTTCAGTCAGGCCCTGGTCAGTATATGCGCAGTCATTAAGTTTCACTCAGGTACTAAATTTATCATAGGCACCATCCGTGGCGACTACGCCCTTGCCGTTGGCCGTAATATCTGCCATGGCTCTGATTCCGTCGAGAACGCCGAGAAAGAGATCGCTCTGTAAGATCACGAGAACGTCTCGATTTATTCCGTCTGACTATCTTTGCAGCTGGTTCCCAGAGGGCCTCGTCCAATATTCGCGCTCCAATGAGGCAAAGGTCTACGAGATCTAGACGTGTACAAAAGGGTAGCAACAAGAATTGCCAAATGTTGTAAACTAGATACCATTCCGACTGCACCTGGAAAATGGCCACCACAGTAGCATTACAGAATCAGAATCAGCGTTCGCGCGACTGAGATGCAAACCATCCAAGTACATCACAGTAAATTGCTAGTAAAACAATAATAAAACAGAGTAGTTAATAGATGAAGATAATGAGCGCGAACGAACAAGGTATTGTATGCAATAAAGTGAGGGGTATGTGTGCAAGAAATGATGATAAGATAAATTTGAGAGAACAGCTGCCAGTGTGTGCGAACACCTACTACACACTCCTCGGCGTGCCATAGTATGCAGGATCCAGCTACCCTAGGCAATTGATCCGGGACATGCGACCTACTACGTAAGAGGAACTCTGGCCCAACCACCGCGCTTGCAAGGCGCAGAAAACGTACGACATCGATGTCATGAAGCCAGAAGCCTGCATTACGTTCCAGATGCTAGTATAGCAGCAAGATCTTTCTCAGCAGCTGCTGCAAGTTGGCGTGAACGCGCTTTCAAACGCACTACGTGAAAATGAGCCGTTGTGGGCGACATCAAAATTTTAAGGACTTACGGAGACGATCCAGAGACAGTAACACCACCTTGACGGCAGTAGCATCATCTCGCACAGGTGTGGGACTCTTCAACAACGCAGAGCGGTCCACCCAATGTTCATCTTGCCAGATCGCGGCTTTGAGAATCAGGTCATCCATGCAACGATCCCACGAGTCTTCATTCGTGAGATCAAGCTGCTCGGTCCGTACACTCAGTGACATCAGGTAGTTGCCTTTTGAAGTCTGGACTTTTAGCGAAGCTGAGTGCGAGCGGATGTGTGAGGTGATATATGCGATGGCCTCTTGAGCAGCTTCCCCGAGCTTAGACGGATTCGAGGATAAGCCGTCGAGTTCCATGATAACCGGAACTGGTAGGACAACGGTCCATCGGAGACTCTCGATGATGGATGCGACGGCCGATAAGGAAGATAGGATGATGTTCGTATCCAGTACAAGAATAGTATAGCCTGCCACGATGTTCAGAGATGGCATCGACGCAACTTTCCGGGAACGGGCTGGGCGAGACCGTTGTTTGGGCACATGGGTAGGTGCGCGCTGATCTGAAACAAGAAGTGACCGCAAGTACCTCCGGCGTGCCTGTCAACGTCATCAAATACCATCCGAAATTCAAAAACGAGGCAACCCACCTTGAGATCCTTCACTTCCTCAGAATCATTTTCGTCGTTTTCACTCTGTTCTGACGATTCATCGGCGTCTTCATCCTCGGCATCGACGTCCATAGAATCATCGGTCCAACGACGACCACGCCGCCTCCGCTCCTCTTCCTCGCGCTCATGACGATCTTCTTCAAGCCATCGCGCCACTTTCGCTTCCAATGCACCCTCAACCCTCCATTCACGTGTGCCTTCCACCCAGGTGAACCCATCAACAACACTTGACAGGGAGACCGCACAGCGCACAACTCGGCTCCATCTCTTGCTCGTCTCCCCACGCAAGCTTTCCTTACGGGAGTGACCATCCTCTTCATCGTCTTCATCTTCGATGATCCCATCGGTGAGCTGGCCGCCTTCTTCCACATCCAGAATCTCTACCTCTACCCGCCTCTCCTCTCCGCTCTTCCAGTATCCACGCTCGAAGACCTTGCGACCGATCCACTCCATCCCACGAAGGCACCAATCCTCGGAGAGAGGTGGGGCACAACCACTTGTCAGCATCGCCCATCGCTCACCGCCAGTAGCTGGGATATCCAGTCCCTGCGCGGCGAAGATATCGCGGGGAATGGTGGCAAAAAACCGGGCAAGATCATGCCAAGGTATCGAACGCTCCATTATAGAAAGTGTTTCAGCATGTTTTGTGACAGTGGCCAAGAAGGTGAGCATGACTGAGAGAGTAAGGATTGAGAGTCGAACGAGAGAAATGTGAGGCTTTCCGCGTCGGATTGCGGAGAACGAATGAGAGCATTGAAAACGCAAGTTCCAACGCTAGCTTGAATGACACCGGCAGCTCTGCAGGCATGTTTGCGTCCGATGGAACTGGAGATGTTTGTGGGGCGCCTTCGTCATCCACGTCCATTCGTTTATCTTCACCGTCTTCGTCCCGAAATGCGGGCGCAACTTGACACTTCTTGGCAACTTTTACAGCCGGACCGCCTGGACCGGTGTCACGAGCACCTACGCCACCAATCTTACGCAACACGCCGCTCGGACGACCATATTCAAACACGGCACCAATATTCACGACAGCCATCATGATCCACTCGCGTTCCTCAGCTCCCTCGATTTCGATGCGCTCGAGGAAGCGAGCGAGGGTTGGCGAGAAGTCGTCAAGTTGGATGTTAGTGAACAGCATTCCATGTAAAAGAACGAAGAGTTCAGGTGCGCGGGCATCAGCTTGCGATCGCCGCGATTGCGCAGTTGACGACCAGATGGGAAGAATGGACTCCCGAGAGGTTGAGAATGTGTGGAGGGTGGTCATACTATGGAGAACAACTGATCAGGAAAGACAGAGAAAATTGACGGGAAAACAAACCTCTTGACAAAATGATACACGGCGCGTAGTTCCTCGTTGTCGACCTCACGACTTAACAAACCGAGATGATGGTGCAACTTGCCTGCACCAGGGGTATCCGCAAGGCCTTGAGCATACCATTCTTTTGCGATACTTCGCCAGCGCTCCTTCTCTGGCTCGATATCCATCATTCGCGCGGCGACAATGCCAATGCTCGGGCTCGGCGAATTATCTACCTGTGCAGCGGGAAGATCAGAAGATGATTTGACGCTCATCTGTGATTTGCTCTGGGCTCTCATGGGTTCGCCATCTGCGGATGCCGCGGCCGCTTTAGACACAGCGTCTGTAGTTAGTGCCGGGCCTTTCAATTGGTTATTAGTAACCATTGCAGCCACGGCCATGCGATAGCGCGCAAGATCGCCAAGAGCCTCGAGCCAGCCGGATCGGAACGAACGCAGATTCGGTTCCTCGAGAAGACCGGTGTAGAAGGTGTAGGCATAATATATAAAGTCTTGAAGGTGTTCAAGAGCGAGGGGCGAGGAAAACGAGGCACGCCTCAAGGCCTCCAGGAGTTTGTGGAATGCGTGTGTCCAGAGGCGAATGATGATATTGTATTTGGTTGGGATTACCCGGAGGGAAGCCGGAACGCTCGGTGCGAGGGAGATCTCCATCAGATTATGCATCATCTCAGCGAGTCTGCACACATTCAATCAATGATCTCATGATGAAAACCGGAGAACCACTTACCGTTTATGGTCTGAGATCATTTTCGTCCATTTTTGCTGCTGAAGGTCTTCGTCGCTAACTTCCCTTCCTCGCCCTTGAAGAACAACGCGACCTTCATCTACGAGATCATCGGGGTCTTCATTTGATATCTTTGTTTCTAGGGTAGATATGTTGCGGTACAGCTTTTTAAGCTGAACGGCGAATGCATTATTACTTGCATCCTCGCGAGGCTTGCTATCGAATAATGCGGAAGATGCAGATGAGTTATCCGTGGTTCCAGAAGAAAGGGTGAAGCTTCGATGTCAACGAATGAGCATACGAGGAAGTCGAGGACGCGGAAACATAGTCTCCTGATGATTTAGGTGTAGGTGGAGGCCGGCCACCAGTTGATGATGGACGAGCAAGAACCGAGACCGCAAATCTCACAGGATCATCCTTCCTGTGGTCGAATAATTGACGGTTTGCTGGCGGGTCCCTCTGATGGGAAGTGGGGGGGTTGCGCGGCGGGGATGAACTGCTTGTTGCATCGGAAATTGATTCAGGCTCAGCTGTCCGTCTCATGGGAATGGGATCTGTGTTTGGATTGAATAATTTGCCCTGCTGGGTCTGCTTTGTGTGATGGTGGGGGCGAGGGGACGTAGATATCTTGAGGCGCCGTGAGAAATCATCTGGGTCTGCCTCTGGACGGGAGACGATAACATGAGGTGCGAGGTGAGTCTTACGTGGAGATGTCGCTGCGGCAGAGCTGCGGGAAGGAACGGGCGGCGGATTTGAATTTGGAGGTTGTAAACGAGAAGCAGATGGAGATGACGGCGTTCGCTCAGGGCGTTCGCGGGGACGAGTTGCACTATATGAGTTGAATAAACAATATAAAATTTAGCAGATGAGTTACGTAGGAAAGAAACAAAACATACACGGCGTTTCTTCTCTGGAAGGCAACCATACGCTCTGCAAAATCTGTTGGTTGAGCGGGATCACGGTCCCTTGACCTCCTTGAAGGCTTTGGCTCATGGTTTAATTCCATGACCTGTAGTAGCAGCTCAAAAAGATAGAAGTGCTGCTACTATGAAAACGAAGATATACTTCTAGTACGACTGCGAGATGAGTGGACGAAACACAAGAGTAAACGCTGTGGGCATACCGTTCCTTGTCCACTGCGCATTTCGAGAATCCGCAGTCGTTTGGCTGCGCCGATCAAGATCTGACCAAATTTAGCACTAAGTTGCCAACTTCCGCTTTTGATAAAAACATTTTGTCAAATTTAAGTAGCAATTACAAACCTAGGCCTAACCACTCAAAGAATACTTGGCTACTGATTCTTCGACACTGGATTCTTCAACACTGAATTCATTAGAGCGAGGGACCCTTAGGCGAGGGGCAGCCGCAGCTTAGTCTGAATCAGCCACTGCCGCAGAGTGTGCTTCGGGCGTCTGCCATCTGGCCTGCGGCATGCTCGTGACACGCAGCCCGGTACACAGTCGCAGATACAGTCACCACTCCAACGTTGCAAATCTGCTGCCAATCACGATAATAGTATTTTAAACACTAGTGCGGCAGCGGTGATTGTACTCGCACAGCCGCTGCCATCTCTGGCAAGGAGTTCAAACCGATGACCGGCTGCCGGCAAATTCAATTGCCTTCCGCTCCTCTATCTACTTTGCCACAAGTGGTGATCACCAAATACTGACCACGGTAGGCGGGCAGCTGCGGAAACAACATGCTCCCTGCCGTGTAGAATGGACTCCAACCCGCAACAACGCCGCGGCTCGTAGAGGTTTCCAACTCACCCACGCTCGAGGTTGCTGATTTGCTTGTTGAAAATGAACCTGCGGATTAGTATGCACCCCAGCAATCTCTTTGGTGCACGGATTACAAAGAGTATATTGCTACCATGATCCTGACTCAGTTCTTGCTGGCGATTATGCTGATTGCGGTGGTTGTACATTCCAATGTAACGAAACCCTTTCCTATGTTACGATATCTTCTTCTCACCAGTTCTTTGATCGGGCCGCAGCCGCCGTCGCCCTGCCAAGCCTGGTTTCTTTATAGATACCACAAGCCAAGCAAGTCCTTCTTCCTCAAGTGTCCCGTTACCAGGAGTGGTGACCACCGCTGACGATAATACTGCGAATTTTACAGTTAACGTTAAGTAAGGAAATACAACGAAGACAACATACTCGCTACCCGTGCAGAATGTCGATGCATCAGATGCCAGCCACGTCACTACACCGCGCAACTCGTCGGGACGTCCGAGCCGACCCAAAGGGTTCATACTAGACCACACATCAAAGAGGTGCGGTTGTTTGTCTAGATATGCTGCAGTCATACTATCACAGCCATCATGATTTGGTATTGCAGTGTAATTGATCGCGAGACAAACCTGGTGTAGATGTGTCCTGGAGACAGCGAGTTGACGCGAATCTTCCTTTCGCCAAGCTCGCAAGCCATGCTACGAGCCATCTGCAGGACAGCTGCTTTCGAGCTGTTGTACGATACCCAGGCGTGGCCCTATACAGGGTCAGCATGCAAACATGGCCATAGCAGTTTTTGGGAGATGCGCACTCTGTTAGTGATACTGCCTGACATCGATGCGATAAGAATGATGCTGCCACCGCGTCCGAAGCGCGACATCTGTCTGCCAGCAGCCTGCGCAGTGAAGAGGACGCCATTGGTGTTGACATCCAGGACCTTCAAATCGAGGTTAAGTTCAGAAACTTTCGGTGGCAAGCAACTCATCGACGACCACTCACCTCTCTGTACTCCTGCGCCGGATATTCCAGGCAATCTGTGTGTGACCTAAGAATACCAGCCGCAGCGACGCAAAAGTCCATTCTTCCCTCCTTATCACCAATCTCCTCCGTCTTCTTCCAAAGCGCCTGCTGATCAGTGACGTTCGCACTGAAATACTCCAGCCGCGAGTTATTCCCTAGCTTCGCGACGTAATCTCTGCTTGCGATCCATTCATCTGATGGATTTTCTGGAAGATCGAAGCAGTATACGACACGTGCACCAGCTTCACAACATGCAAGAGCCATCTCCAGGCCAAGGCCCCTATTTCCGCCGGAGACAAGCCCAACGCGATCGGTTAGCGCGAACTCATCGAAGATCTTGGGCTTTGGTGTGATGGATGGGTCTGCAGCAGCCTCAAGGGCAGCCTCGATGCCGAGTTTACCGAGAGGAGATGCAGATTGAGCTGGGAATCTGGAACTATGGGAAAAATCAGCTTCCATTTCATGCTATCAGCCACAGCATTTCTAGATAGATAGATCGAAATAAACACTTGACACAGCTTACCTGGACATGGCTTGGGGAATCGAGGATAGATGATTGCGACAAGATTGTCCCAGCAACGTTAGGGAAACGATCACGTATGAGGAGTTTTTATACTGCACGGATCTCCACCCCCCGTAAGGCACTTCTGTGAGCTCACCTGACCATAGTCAAGGCGAGATGCGGCGTATCAATAACGAAATTAGTACTGCATCCTGAATTCCTTAGTGACACATGAGCATGAGGTGTTAATTTGCGGATGGAAGTGGTTTTCCCAAAGCAGACAAATCTAAGAATCGAAGTACTTGTGTTATCGACTTAATCTGATAGTAAGACTCAGGTTATAGATTGCGAGAGGGGATTAGGGACAGGTCATCGTCGATGACATTGGATCTCACAGGTGTAGTACTTTACAAGCTAGCGTGCTACATAAAAGAGAAATCTCTGTGTGGAATACTATGACAAGAAAGAACGGAGCTTGTCCGTGTATGCGGAGCGACGTAATACTAGTAGAGCACGAATGAAGAACGGTCAGTGCGACTGCAGTGAGTCTAGATTACGAATGATACGTACCTCAGTACATAATACAACAATAAAGGGGCTGCAAACTTGAAAGCATTAATGGATCAACTTGGGTGACAAATAAGATAGAGGCACCTAGACAACAAGGACAAGGACTACAAAAGTATCAATAAATTAACTTGGGTGGCGAAGGTAAAAGAGAGAGGCATCGAGAAACAAGTACTTAGCAAGTTACGGTATAGCATCAAAATTGACGTCCAAATGTCTCCTGTACGTTGGCGTCAAGTTCTGGGTGCGCCAACGAACCATGGCGTGACCAGGGCATTTGCGCGTCTGAGGAGATTGACACCGAACCAGGATGACAAAGCCTCCCCGTTCCACTGGTCTGTCATACGTATTATCTTGTCGTCATCATCTAAATCCACGACAATGATAGATTCAATTCGCTAATAAGAAGTGAGCGAAGAACGTAAGTACTGTTCTTAGAAGTTAGCCAGCACTACATACTTTCACGGTTCCTATGTACCGGAGAGTATACTCTTGCGTTTGCGAGTAGATGAGACGTTTCGGGAAGCGCGTGAACGACATGACCCGACTAGAGACTGTCTCTGATTTTGAAAAGATCCTTGGCTGAAGCCCTATGAGACCTTAACACATCAGTTGAAAGCACGATCACTCGCCATGGCAAACCACTGCATGAACGAGTCAAATGAGCCTGGGCAGTCTATCATGACCTGGAGAGTCGCACCTGGGGAGCATATTGCGCATAACCCTCGCATTTAACCAAAGGATCCTACCAGAATGAGCGAATGGCGGAGCTGAATGATGGTATGAAGCTGACCTCGAAAACTGCATCGGGCCTCCAAGTTCTTTCAAAAATCTCTTTTGACGCCCGACAACAGTAGAGCTCCCTCAGATCAGCCATAATGCGATCCCGAGTCGTGTCATCCATGGGTGGGCTGGGCTCTCCAGGAGACGTAACAACTTGGTCGTCATTCTCAGACACAGGCGCTCCAGAGTAGTGGGCACCCCCAGCAGTGGAGTAGATGATGTCAAGAATTGGAAGAGGTATCTGCAATGTCGGCCTGCGGTGGTATGTTAACGTGGGTGATGCTGAATCACTGCTTTTGACTGAAGCATCGTGTACGGAGGGTGTTTTCTGTGAGGCGGTCATTTCTGGAGGTTCGTACGAGTCTGGAGGTTCAGACGTTCAAGCGCAAGCTCAAGGTTCAAGTGAACGTAGATCAACTCCACACCTGAACCGATATAGAGAAACCTAGAAGATAAGATAATATAACAATGGCAGTGCTTTCCGCTTTCATAGTTTAGGCGACTCCACGCAAACTCCGTCGGTGAACAAATACAGGAGTAGAAATTGATTCAGAACTCAAGTCAGTTCTACCATGCCGTATATCCACCGTCGACGACAATGCTAAGGAAATATATTCACGTCAATGTTCACATCTCGAACCAAAGATTCTACGCACTTGCTTCCCGTACAAAAGCTCGATGCGTCAGATGCCAGCCACGTCATAATTCCACGGAGTTCGTGAGGCTTGCCAAGTCTATTCATGAAGCTTTGCTCTGACCAAATAGCTTGGAATTCCGGTTGCGCAGAAATTGATGCTGCCGTCATGCTGCAAACTTTGTGCGTCAGAGGATTTTGGAACACAACACTACAACACGTACGGTGTCTCAATATAACCTGGTGACAGCGAGTTCACCCTGATGTTCTTTTGAGCAAGTTCACATGCCATGTTGCGGGCCATCTGTATCACGGCACCCTTGCTAGTATTGTACGGAAGTACTGGCGTGTGCTGCGAGTGTAATCAAAAACATGTAAACGAGAAGAGCTGAACTATAGTTACCTTCAGAGCAACACTGCCTGCAATGGAGGCCAGAAGGATGATGCTTCCCGGTATCTGGAACCGATCCATTTGCCTTGCAGCAGCTTGAGCAGTAAAGAACACTCCTTTAATGTTTACAGCGTAAACCTCTCACGGAGTTAGGCTATGTTCTTGCGATAAAATACAGAACGTCGACACACCTCTTCGAGCTCTTCTTCTGTATACTCCAAGCAAGACCGCGCGGCTCCAGCAATGCCTGCTGCTGCGACGCAAACATCCATCCTGCCCTCCTTTGTTGCAATTTCTTCTATCGTTTTCAGCAGCCTCTTCTGATTGCGAACGTCAGCAGTCACATATTCGAGTCTTCCTGCGCCCCCAAGTTTTGCTACGCTCTGGCGAGCAGCGTTCCAATCTTCACCTGGCTTCTCTGGGAGATCTAAACAATATACTGCACGCGAACCAGCCGCAGAGAACGCCAATGCGGCCTCGAGTCCAAGACCACGGTTGCCTCCAGTGACAATCGCAACCCGGTCTGTTAATGCAAAATCTCCCAAACCCTCTCTTTGGATTGCGGGCGTAGAGTGCAATGAAGCTAACCTGACTCCATTCTTGTGGATAGATGATACCTGTGAGCGCCGCAAGATTGCTAGGCTGGTGCGGCTGGCGATTAGTTTCAGCATGTTGGGCGTCAGTTATCAGCACTTATCTAGGATACAGGATTAAATGAGTCATCCCTTGCACGTATTATAGGCGAGTAATGGCGCTAGTCCATATAGTAATACAAGGTGTGGCCTCCGGTTGTCGCACGGATTTTCCAGAGTCGCGGTGTGAAATATTAATAGAGGGAGTTAGACATGGCGAAGGTTGTCCCGATGCATACATACATGAGCGATGACAGGAGCATGAGACGTACTATTTTTGGGAATGTGCGGACTTCAGCGGGCTCGACTAGAACTGTGTATTTACGTACCTTTCTTTTTTACGACGGGCTTATCATTTCACCACGGGTACTCCCGGTATGTACCCCAATGGAAGTATGATTGGGAACAGATTGCAAGACCAATAGCTGTCGAATGCAGATGGTCATGTAGATTGGAAACAGTATAATATGATTGAATTGTAAACTTCCTGACATTACATGGTGTATCCCCTTGCTCGATCAACGAACATTTCCACAAACTAATCGACAATGTATGACCTAAAGATGTTAGATGGTGTACGGTGTCTCCCAACCACTCTCTCCTAACCACCACTAGCATTACCTTGCCACAAGCCGTATGCCTTCCCGGGTGTTGTTTGCCAGAGACGAATTGTACCTGTGACATTATACCCGTCAATATCATCCGGGTCATTTTGTTCACACAAGCCTTACCATCCTCTGAAAAGTAGTGTAATCGACGCCTTATCAGATAAGAATCCCTGCCGTTAGGAGGAGGAAAACGCACCACTGCCGCTTGCATATACTTCACCGTCAGGGCTAAACTCGACGCAGTGGACAGGTCCGTGATGCCCCTTCAAGATCTCCCTCTCCTCCCCATCCATTCCATGGACCCTGACCCACTCATCACCAAGATTGCCTGTGACAAAGCGGTCTTGAAGGATAGGATGAACAGATGCGGATGATGGCGAGTACGCTAGGTTGAGACTATGTGTTGGAGTACCACTAGGTAAAGCAGGTATAAATGCGACAGTTTTTCCTGATGTCACAACCAGACGCTTGGTTTGCGGCGATAGTTCCATCGAAGTTATGGGATTAGGGAATGTCATAGTTGTTGTAAGTTTTTGCGTGCGCAGGTCCCACCATCTGAACAACATTATCGTCAGTGGCGTTCTGCTATGGTGAGATATTACAACAAACTTGATGATACCATCTTCGCCAGCAGATACACCGGTATGTTCTCCAACCCAAACTACGCTCTTTACAGTTCCATCATGCGATGGTAGGCCGACATCGCCAAGGAAGTCTGCCTCTGCGTCTGGCCGTCCAAGGTCAAATATTCTGACCTTCTTCTCTTGACCGCCAGTAAGAAGGTGAGAACACGTCGGAGAGATTGCCACAGTTCGAACAATATGATTGTGAGGGAATGAATGCAACACGTCTCCTGAATATGTGTCCCAGATTTTTCTTGGATTCAATTATGATTAGCAAGGAAGGAACCAAGGTGGCAATTGGGGGGGGCAAACTCACGCAGTGAAGTCAGCGCTTCCTGATGCCGCTCGCGAAGCATCCGGAGAGAGCTTTGTGCTCCATACTGCACCCTTGTGACCCAAAAATGTGCCTATCCAGTCACCGGTCCATTCTCTAAGCATCGGATTGCCATCTTTGCAGCTGGACACAAGAAGATAGGTGCCATCGTCTTGCAGTGGTGAAAAAGAAAGGTGAGTTACTGGGCGAGTGTGTCCAGGTGCCACGAGAGGCACAGGCTTTGGGTGAATAGACATAAATCGATATCGTTACTGACAGGTTCGTGATATCTGTTCGTGATACAGGCGCACTGCGCTCTGGTCTTGACAGCGACACAAGTATGTCACGGTACAACACAAGTGGACAGCGCAAAAGAGCACGTTACACGTGACCATTTACGGCAGACTCGGAGGTACCCTTAACTGCTATGTAGCTTTCTTAGTTGAACTCATACTGTCACGCATAACTTGACAAGGCTTTCGCAAATCACAAAGAACGTTCAGGTTAGCGCACATCTCCCTCGATTTGATCCGAATTAATATCAATGTCAGGGCGTACCGCACCCTGTCAATGAGCCTGTACGTGGTCTCGCATACAGTAATCATTGTGAAGCCTCTGTCAATGACAACTTGTCAAGCATGACCCTGAGAGAAACGTTGTCCTTGTGGATAGCACGGGATGGTATAGCAACAACGTTAACGTTGTCGCCCCTTGCCTTGGACATGCACATTGCACGCGAACTTACTTGGCAAGGTACACTCTGTTATAATGATTTACATAATTACTTTTGTTTTCCAATAGGTCCATGTGACACTAACTTCCAGGAAAGGCTTTCTCCACGAATCGCATGCATGTGTGTGAATGACTGTCGCCTGTCTTGACACTCATTGAAGAGACTCTCACGCTGTTCTCTAACGGAATTGTACCTTGCAAGGTATTTGGACTTCGAACGACAAACCTCGCACCAGGTCCTAAAGGTAGCATGCAGCCGCCATATTGTACGACCTCGATCGTCGTCGTTGATGATTTTGTGAAACCAGTCTGAAAGACACGGTTCGCGCCGACTCCATGCCGTGGCTGCGGAATCAGTGCGCATGCCACGCCAAATCTGAACATGATGAACCGCTTCGGGAGGCACCTGCGTTCCGATATGCAGGGAAGGACCCCTGGATCACGCTATATGCTATATTCGATAGCACCATTTATGATCAAAACACGACAATCCCTGATAATATTGTCATATACAGGATCCATTGCGGAACAGAACGTTTGCTCAGTAAATACCCGAAGCTGTTGGTAATCATGCATTCATGCCCGACTGAGAATAGATGATAAATTTCAACTCAGCGCACCGTAGTACCGAATCCCGCAGATCTGTTTGAAGTAACTATCGTCAATTCAACCATCAATGGCGTGCTCAGTCGACATCGCCGCCCAGGTATCCTTCACAGAAAGAACGTATGCTGAAGCGCCGATGGATTAATTTGGACCACCCCATCTATAAAATGGATATTCCAAAGTTTCTGCCATCAAATTATCCCGGTTTGCTTGCGCAGCAACCATTCTTCGAAACTCTCGTCACAGATCATATAGCTGTGCTACGTGCGAACTCTCATTTGGAGCCAGTGCTGCCTTCAACAAAGCCGCAGAATCTCCTGTACCGAGCGCCGAGCGCCCATCTACGCGAGAGTACCTCTCATTCCCATTTGAGCTACTGTGCTTGAAGCTTGATCCCCGCTTTCCTAATAGTTCGACCATGCTTTCAGCAAAACGTGTTGGCAATAGAATTATCGGAAATCCCGAGCAGACAGTCACCACAATCTCCACCGAGACTTATTTGAAGGGCCTTGTGAGAGATCCAAGGCATGAGGTATGAAATCCATATACTTTTCTTCAGTGCTTGATCTGGATTGTATTGTTCCAGGCGGTGAATTACTTAACCAGTCTTTTCCCAATCCTTGGATGGATCTCGCGATACAGTGAGACATTTCATTATTTCTTGTACACTCTCAGGCTAATTGTACACGTTTTCAGATTGGGGATGGCTTACTGGCGACCTTATTGCTGGCCTTACCGTAGGAATGGTGCTAGTGCCACAGGGAATGTCATATGCAATAGTAATATTTTGTCTTAAATCCCGTTCTCGTTTATTGACAAGCCTTCGTAGCTTGCGACGCTTCCCCCACAGTACGGTCTATATTCATCCTTCGTTGGCGTTCTTATATATTGCGTACGTGAACGCTACTTTGGATAATCGCGGCGCTAAATTTGCTTATAGTTCTTTGCGACTTCGAAAGATGTCTCTATCGGACCAGTGGCAGTCATGTCGCAAACCATAGCTCAAATCATCATTTATGTGGATTCAAGGTACCCTGATAAATGGGAAGCTACACAGATAGCCACCACAGTGGCCTTTGTTTGTGGATTTATCGTACTCGGGATTGGCCTCTTGCGCCTCGGCTGGCTTGTCGAGCTCATACCTGCACCGGCAGTCAGCGGGTATATGACTGGATCTGCGATAAATATAGTTGCAGGTCAGGTTCCTAGCCTTATGGGTATCAGCGGGTTCAAGTAAGTGGTGTCATTTCGAGCCAAACGCATTTTTGTGACATACTTCATAGTACTCGAGCTGCCACGTACGAAGTTATCATCAATACCCTCAAGGGACTTCCTCGTACGGCTCTAGATGCTGCCTGGGGTCTCACAGGCCTTTTTTCGCTCTACGCAATTAGCATCATTTGTAAACAATTATCCAAGCGGTACCCCAGACGAGGTAAGCTGTGATCTGTGTAGTCTTCTTATGAAGAGACTCTTATAGCGTCTTGTCCAGCCCGACTTTTGTTTTTCGTCTCAGTCACAAGAAATGCTTTTGTGGTGATAGTGTTGACCATAGCTGCTTGGCTGTACTGCCGACACCGTAAAACCAGTTCCGGTAAATATCCGATTGCAATCTTGGAAACTGTTCCTCCAGGGTTCCAAGATGTGGGCTCCCCTGTTATCGACAGCGAGCTCGTCAAGGCCCTCGCGCCACAATTTCCTGTTGCTACCATAATTCTCCTCCTTGAGCACATCGCCATTGCCAAATGTAAGCCACTGATTATCTGACCGGCATGCCCTTTTGACACACTACTTGCAGCATTTGGACGGGTCAATGGATATAAAATCAACCCCAACCAAGAGCTCATCGCCATAGGCGTCACGAACACGCTCGGCACTTTATTCCATGCGTATCCCGCTACAGGATCGTTCTCCCGTTCTGCCTTGAAGTCGCAGTCAGGCGTGCGGACTCCTTTGGCTGGTATTTTCACTGCGATGGTTGTCATCGTTGCCCTCTATGGCCTTACCCCAGCCTTTTACTGGATCCCTAACGCCGGGCTTTCAGCAGTCATTATCCACGCGGTCGCTGGTCTTGTCGCGTCACCTTCCCAAGTATACACTTACTGGCGCGTTTCCCCCCTCGAGTTTATCATTTGGTGGGCTGCAGTCCTGGTCACCGTCTTTTCGTCTATCGAGAACGGCATTTACACCTCCATCGCGACATCGTTCGCCTTACTTCTGATTCGCATGGCACACCCCAGAGGATATTTCATTGGGAAAGTTACCCTTACGCGTAACTCAACGGAGTCACGAGAAGTCTTCGTTCCGTTGCGCAAGGATGGCGTAACGAATCAATATGTCAAAGTTGACCCTCCTACTCCGGGTGTGATCGTCTACCGTTTCGAAGAAAGCTACCTATACCCCAACTGCTCTCTCGTCAACTCCGCCATCGTCGATTACGTGAAGGAGAACATGCGACGTGGGATTGACTTCAGCACGATACAGTTGGCCGATCGTCCCTGGAACGACCCCGGACCAACTCGTGGCAACTCCCAGGCTGCGGAGGCAGCCAACAATGAAAGACCTGCTCTTCATGCTATTGTGCTAGACTTCTCTGGAGTGTAAGACATCTAACCTTGGTCTCCTTTCACGAATCAATTCGCTCATTTTTTATTCCTAGATCCCATATCGACACCACGGCTGTCCAAGCTCTCGTAGACACGCGGAACGAAGTCCAGAGATGGGCAAACCGTCCTATAGAGGTCAGTCACAGTGTTTATCCCACCATGCTGCCTAGCTAATGCAATGCAACACTATAGTTTCATTTTGCTACCATCCTGTCACCCTGGATCCGGCGTGCTCTAGTAGCCGCAGGTTTCGGCATCGGTACCCCAGCAGTTCAGCTCTCTGACGAAATCGCACCTGTTGTACCCCACCATGGCGGTCGCCGTGAGAAATGGGATGATGCCTCCAGCTTAGGCATCGAAGATATCGAGGCCCACAGCGGGCCCCTTCCTCCCACTTCGGGAACAGTGCCTATCGTCCCCATTGAAACTCCCTTCTTCCATTTCGATCTCGCTAGCGCTGTCCGCGCCGCGGAGGCTGGTGTGGAGAAACCTGGCGAGAGAGTTGACACACCACCACCAATGAAATATACCTGATTGGTTTAAGTTGAACGGTCTAAGATTGGACAACTGCAGGGTACTACCGTTACTTACAATATGTACAGTCACAAGGATACTTGTGTGTATATTAAGACCTCGTAATCTAGATATTCTGTCATGCCGATAACGGTTCATGACCTTTTAATCTAGAGGAAGGCCGTTGCGACTTGCACTCCGACAAGTTGGCGACACGTGCAAGTTGAAGAATTCCAACATGTCTAATTATGCTCAGGGACAGCGCCGTGGTCACGTCAACGTCACGGTGTTAGGCAATTACTTCAAAGTAGTTCAACTGACCGGCGTATACACTACAATTTGCTGGATGCTCCGTTCAAGGCTAGCGACTGCCTGGCCGCGCGCATCATATGCACGATCATTTTCCAGGAGCTCAACGCCGTTTTCAGGTCATAATAAAGTAAGATCTAGTCTCAACTCCGGGCCTTCAGAAACTCATATCCAACGCGTCAAGTGGTCCAAAATAAAACAACGAAAAGGTGCAGAAGACGCGAAGAAATCTATCTTGTACGGTAAAGCCGCCAACGTAAGCCTCCTCCTTTGCATGTCTTCCTAACGAACGCGCTACACGCGTTTGCTAATAGGACATTCTTGCCGCTGCCAGGAGTATGTATCTTTCGAGCACATCCTTTCCAGTCGCTTACACCCCCCATCTAGATGGCGGGTCACCGATCCTTGAAGAAAACTCTATGCTAGCCACTGCTGTCCGACGCGCAAAAGACGCCGGTGTCCCGAAAGAGAACATCGAGAATGCTTTGCTCAAGGTACGTACACAAGCTTACCGTCTGCTGTTGTGCCTCACTGAGTCTTACAGGCGTCCAAAAGCAAGAACGACAACGGCCAAGCTGTCTCTTATGAAGCCATGATGCACGGCTCTGTGGGCATCATCATGTAAGTCCCTACCAAAACTCTTCAATGGCGCTGTAGCTGAACCAGCGAGAAGAGAATGTAGGACCAATAATATCAACCGCACCATCAGTAATGTGAGGGAAATCCTCAACCGTCATGGGTCCGTCCAGCCTCTCTTCTTTTTCATTATTATCTCTCTTTAATACCGTTACAGTGCTCGACAGGCTCCAGTCAAGTTCATGTTCCGTCAACGAGGATACCTCAAAATTGCTCTCGATCCAAGCGATATAGAAGACCTGTTCAACACAGCAGAGTCGACTCAGTGTGCCTTTGATTTCGATGAATGGGAAGATGACTCCGGTGGTAGTCGCGGAATAGAGGTACGCCTTCAAATTTTGTTTCCAAGAACTGAACCTACCGAGTCCTAGCTGGCATGTTCTCCCGACGAGTTGTTCAAGTTAGAAGACGGACTTCGGCAGTACATCCAGCAAAATGCCAATGCTGAAATACTCGTCAGGGAGGTTAGATGGGCCCCGCTGGAAGAGCAAGAAAGCACCGACGATGAAAAAGACAGTGTCTCGAATGTCGTCGAAGCTTTAGAAGAGGACGAGGATGTCACCCGTGTGTCGACTTCCCTGGAATACAGCTCTCTGCTCGGAAACGCTTGATTTATAATACAGTATAGGACCGGTCCTTTAGCCACCTCAAGCATAACTTCTCTTTTTTTCGTGTCAACACTAAGTAATATATTGAAGGTGAGGTCTCACCCGAGATTGTTACAGTATACGAGGAAGAATCATGTCTGCGATGTTGTGTGTGATATGAGTTGGTTGTTTTGCCTACCTTTGCAAATTCTATTGAGGCCATGTAGTAGACCCGTTGATTGTTTTTTTTAGGCTGGTAGGATACGAAATATACTTCAAACATCATTTCACCCTGCAACAGATATCTGATTGTCTCCTTTGTTCGTGCTACGGAGTACATAGCAGTGAAAACAGATGATTTGTGACAGTCTTATCTTGGCGAGTGTGTCTCGCAAGCATCACGCTATTCAGCACTTCCGTGTACTGCTTCAATATCGTGTTAGATAACATTGTTTTCAATGATCTTGATATAACATACTCACATCGCCGTCGATAGCTCTCAATGTTTGTTTATAGCATTTATATGTATATCGAAGTATTACTGTCTGTTACGATTTTCGAGAAATTGACCTACTGTACAATAGGATACAGTTTAAAATGTGGTGGCAAAAGGACCGCGGTGCTACACTGTACATACTCATACAACAGATGATTACAAAGTGAAGGTAAAGCTCCGTAACGCCCGGAGACAGCACAGACAAAACTAGCAAGAGCGCTTGCCACTCATCACATCGGGATGGAGCCTCACCCATGCATGACCACTATCTCCTCCGCATTGCACCACACCAGCATCCACTGCTTGACTAAAATATTCTGTCAGACTGGACGCCCCAGCTATAGAATATATCTCGGGTCCGATCACTAGGCCCACTGTCGAAGGAAAGGGCTTCGACAGCCCATTCTTGTGAATTTTAGATAGGCGGGTGATGAGTGGCTGGAAGCAAGGTGGGATTGGTACAACTGGTGGAGGGCTGGGGTTCAGTGGAGCTAGCTTGATGGTTTCCTGCGATGCGGTGCATGACAGTGGCGTGGGAGCCATGGATGCACAAGAAATATTATTCTGTGGTGTAGGGGGGTTGTTACTAGGGCCAGTTGAAGGAGTTGATGACCTTGGTGCATCAAATTCCTGTCTGAACCTTGGATGCAGCGTTATCCACGAGTTGCTTCGAGTAAACTCGATTATAGAAGCTTCTTTCGCTAGCAAAGCATAATCCGCGAATTTCGTTACGCGCGCGCGCTTGTATACATCCTTGTCCGACCGAACTAAGTCATTAGCAATGTCGGACCTTGATGGGTTCAGAATTCCTTTTGACCTCGCCAGCAGGAGCTGATTGACTAGCGGAAGGAATTCTGGGGGTGTAAGGCGTCGAATCTTATCCTCGACGGACTCGGGGTCGATAGGTGCTTGACACCCAAAGGATTTGTCTTTGTTATCAGTAATAACAGACGTTGCTTGTTGTGATCTGATCTCAACGTTAGCCATGGTAACGTTGGAATCGGAGGCGATCGAAGACGAAGGTGCCAATGAAGATGGTGTTGATGGTGTTGATGGTGTTGATGAAGACGGCGTCGACGATGACGTCGGAGATATGGGAATTACACAAGGTTCAGGGGTGGTGGGAGAATTACTGACGAGAGTAGAGTTTACAATGTAAGTATCGCCTGCAGTGTGGTACGATTCCGCAGAGTTCGCAGCTTGTGCGTGCGAGGAATCATCGACCTTAGTTGAAAGTGGACTGCTGATCGAGACATTCGCAATCTCGTCAGCACTGCCGTCGTGGTCTCCGTCTTTGTTGCTATATCCAAGGGCATCCTTGACTGCAGCTTCATCCGACATAACGATGCGATTATCTAACATGGCTGAGGTAGGGTCGACGTCTATTGATTGTGACAAGGGCACCGCAGCAGGCACAGAATTCTGGGGTGTGCTACCGTACGAGACGGAGGTGCCTCCTGAGATGATACTGGTCTGGAACGGAGAGCCAAGACTCGGAGGAGCGTTCTGCGGATCCAATTTATACGGAACGGCAGGAAATGGGGATGGTGGAGCGTTTCTCAAGCCCATGGTAGGGGATTAAGTCAGGCTCTGCAATATTATGGTTGCGTTCCAGTCCCGAGCTCGAGCTCGAGCTGGGGGCTGTGACGAAGGGATCGTGGCTCGCATCCTGAATTTCATCAGCTATGCTAACGGAATCGTCTGTGAAGCTTTCATCTGCAACTGAAAGTGCATCGTTCGCTTTGAGAGAGCAGCCTGAGCCTCGGTCTATGTCCGGGACAGTCTGCGTCGACTTTGTCACAAATCTAGCTCGCGACGCTGCAGACCCGAATCTAGGAAGTGCAGGTGTCGCAGGGATTGTGCTAGCAGCCTTTTTCGGCGTGCCAGGCTGAGCAGCATGACCTGAGTCTGCATTCCTTTGTATCACCGGTGGTTGCTGATGCTCTGCTACAGTGTCACGCTGTATATGGGCAGGCGGTGTGCCAGTGGGGAGGGAAGAGGAAATGAGGGTGACAACAGGATCTTCATTCAAATCCTGGACTTCTCGCGACAGTCCGCTCAACGATATCCTCATCAAGGTTACGATAAGGTTGCCGTACAGGTGCTGTGTCGGCTTCTGTGCGTTTTCCAAGAATAGCAAAATTCCAGTCCACCACGACAGAAGCCTGAGATTCCAGGCTCTGTGGAACATTTGGCGCCGGAGGTACGATGAGAACGACATTATACTGTCGAAGGCGGAGGGTTGATACGGCATAGGCGTAATCTCGGTCACCGGCTATCAGTATAATGGTGGCAGGCGATGGATGATCGTTGGAAAATGCAAGCATATCCACTAGTAGCAAACGAAAGTTCATAGTGCATGGTACAGACGCTAATTACGGAATACACACCAAGAATCATCTTGTCTACGACGTCTTTCCTGCCGTTGTGGGGACAGTCGGTCATGGACACCCCAGAGGACTGAAGGTCAGAGCGAAACCCGACAGACTTGGGGGACTGTGAGGATATGTCAAGGTATGCTTTGAACGACGTGACGTATCCGAAGACATGGGCAATTCGTCGTATGCCATTTACAATGGCATGTCCTTGTGAATTCGAGGGAGGGCTACAATTTTCTGACGGAAGATATACCCCATGAACCTGTGATCAATCAGAGGCGAGTAGTATGCGTAGAAACTCACCATAATCCCAGAAAATAGCGACCTTTTTATTGTTTGACATGAAGCTCGCATTGGCGAAGGGAGGTATAAGTAAGTTGTGGACTCAGGCTGGCACTGTACGTAATACCTCAATTCAAACTCGAGGCGTCGAGGACTCGAGGTGCCGTTAATCCGCTTCTCAGGCTATTTTTGGGCGCTCTCGCGAGGCAGTGTTCACTACCTAGCACTCGACGCACAGCGCTTGAAGCTTGAAGGAGCGAAGAAAGCAATTAGTCCGACCAGCACGGAATTATCTGCTCACTAGATATCTTCACGGGCGTCAAGTCATTTATTCAATACAAAATAGTGCAGTGACCCATAGAACACCAGGCGCTACTGGTATTATACTGTAAAGTTGTACAACAATGACAAACGTTATTGGTGTCCGGATGTCGCATCCTTATTTGTATCTGATTTGTCAGCACTTTTTTCTTTGTCGTTCCATTTGACCCGGGTCTCCTGTCTGTGAAGCTCACACATTCCCTTCGTTCTGCCGCTATATTGTCAATAAATACATCATTCAGCTGTTGATCACCATCGCGTTTGACTTGCCATGGCTGCAGCTTCGTCATCTTCTCCTTTGTCCTCGACTTTGTCTTCGCTGTTGCCTCCCGGCGTTTCTCTGGTGGTGTCGGATCAGGAGCTTCTTGATGACGCGTCTGTCGTATCTTCCTGTGTTTTACGCAAGTTTTTCGAGTTTTTCGAGGTCTCGAGTTCGACGAGCGCTTCGTGATCAGTATCTGATTGGCTGGTTGTTGCCTGTCACTGCTCCTGCTTTGTGGCACGTTGTGGAGAACTTTCCTTACATGAGTCGTGATGATTATGCCGCTATCGGCGGAGCGCACTTTGTTCCTGCTATCTTTCGATGACAAAAAAAGCATCATAGCTGGATGGCAACAACGGATGAGCCTGGCACCTCTGAGACGGAGACGGATGCATGTTGTGCTCGTGTAATAATTGAGATCAGTCGAAGACCAGCAGATCAGAGACGCGTACTAATCATTGTTTCAGGCGGTTCATCTGATCAGTATCCGGTGGTTATCAAAACCCCATTGCAATATTTGGCCGTACCAAGGAAGGTATTTGAGCCAGGGGATCGAATCCACCAGGTAAGCACCATGGTGCTGGACTGTAGCATCAACAAATTCACATATTCCTTGACTGCCTATTCGATCAATTGTCCCGAAAATTTTCAAAATGTTGCTGCTTTTGTGAAATTATAATGAATCAGAGAAAAGTTTGTCAAGCTCGACATCCTTAGTCTAGGTTTGTATCGAAGGGTTTTCCTGATGCGTATCTTCCTAATGAACGCGCTACATGTGTTTGCTAATAGGACATTCTTGCCGCTGCCAGGAGTATGTAACTTTCGAGCACATCCTCTCCAGCCGCTTATACCCCCCATTTAGATGGCGGATCACCGATCCTTGAAGAAAACTCTATGCTAGCCACTGCCGTCCCACGCGCAAAAGACGCCGGTGTCCCGAAAGAGAACATCGAGAATGCTTTGCTCAAGGTACGTACACAAGCTCACCGAGTCCTACAGGCATCTAAAACAAGAACGACAATGGCCAAGCTGTCTCTTATGAAGCCATGATGCACGGCTCTGTGGGCATCATCATGTAAGTTCCTACCAAAATTCTTCGATGGCATTGTAGCCGAACTAGCGGGAAGAATGTAGGACCAATAATATCAACCGCACCATCAGTAATGTGAAGGAAATCCTCAACCGTCATGGGTCTGTCCAGCCTCTTCTTTTTCATTATTATCTTTCTTCAATACTATTACAGTACCCCCCATCCCGGAGTATTTCCTCATCACCTGCACTCTAACAGAATTGCATTTGCGCCATCCAACGAAACCTCTCGGTGGAAAAGGGCTTGGTCAGAAACGCGCGCGTGCGGATAGTTGCTCTGCATCGTCGATTTATTGAAGTATAACTCATCAATACTTTCGAAAGCCACTGCATTCCCCGCATTAACTTTGCGTTTCATCCAAACCGTTCGTCGTGGACTGTGAATCGAAGACAGTTTTCTTTATGACTCGCGTATGCAACTACATTTAATGGTTGTCAAGGCTTGACGCTGGCACGAACCGTGCTCGACCTTTGAACGGATCCCTTTGCTCACGGTCAGTTGTACACGGTACTATCGAGGGTCAGAACGCGAAGAGACACGATGTGTCTATTCGCAGAGGCGAACGAAGGACAAGACTGTGCTAATATTGTATTTCCTGAGTTGCTACTGTAAAGTATTGTTGTATACAACCGACCGAAGGAGTCTTGCTACTGTAAACACAATGTATTGTCATGGAGCCGACCGAAGGGGAGTCCTTGTAATCTACATAAATACTGTTCGCGATACTGAAACACAAGCTTTGAGTATCACTGCCTTTCGGCGTAGGTCTTAGCTAAGTTACACATACTTATACAACAGATAATTACAAAGTGAAGATAAAGCTCCGTAACGCCTGGAGACAGCACAGAACAAACTAGCAAGAGCGCTTGCCACTCATCACATCAGGATGGAGGCTCACCCACGCATGACTACTATCTCCTCCGCATTGCACCACACCAACATCCACTGCTTGATTGAAATATTCTGTCAGACTGGACGCCCCAGCTTTAGAATATATCTCGGGTCCAATCGCTAGGCCCACTGTTGAAGGAAAGGGCTTCGACAGCCCATTCTGGTGCATTTTAGATAGGCAGGTGATGAGTGGCTGGAAGCGAGGCGGGATCGGCACAACTGGTGGAGGGCTGGGGCTCAGTGGAGCTGGCTTGGTGGCCTCCTGCGATGCGGTGCATGACGGCGGCGTGGGGGCCGTGGATGAAGTATTGACACAAGAAATATTATTCTGTGGTGCAGGGGGATTGTTACTATGATCAGTTGAAGGAGTTGATGACTTTGGTGCATCAAATTCCTGTCTGAACCTTGAATGCAGCGTTATCCATGAGTTGCTTCGAGTCGTCCCCCCACCAAACTCGATTATAGAAGCTTCTTTCGCTAGTGAAGCATAGTCCGCGAATTTCGTTGCGCGCGCGCGCTTGTACACATCCTTGTCAACCCGAACTAAGTCATTAGCAATGTCGGACCTTGATGGTTTCACAATTCCTTTTGACCTTGCCAGTAGAAGCTGATTGACCAGCGGAAGGAATTTTGGTGGTGTAAGGCGTCGAATCTTATCCTCGACGGACTCGGGGTCGATAGGAGGTGCTTGACGCCCAGAGGATTTGTCTTTGTTATCAGTGATAATAGGCGTTGCTTGTTGTGATCCGATCTCAATGTTAGCCATGGTAACGTTGGAATCGGAGGCGATCGAAGATGACTCGGAAGGTGTCAATAAAGATGGTGTCAATGAAGATGGTGTCGATGGTGTCGATAGTGTCGATGTAGATGGTGCCGACGATGACGTCGGAGATATGGGAATTACAGAAGGTTCAGGGCTGGGGGGAGAATCACTGACGAGAGTAGATTTTACAATGTAAGTATCGCCTGCAGTGTGGTACGATTTGGCAGAGTTCGCGACCTGTGCGTGCGAGGAATTATCGACCTTAGTTAAAAGTGGGCTGCTGATCGAGACATCTGCAACCTCGTCGGCACTGCCGTCGTGGTCTCCGTCTTTGTTGCCATATCCAAGGGCATCTTTGACTGCCGCTGTATCCGACATAACGATGCGATTATCTAACATGGCTGAGGTAGGGTCGACGTCTATTGATTGTGACAAGGGCACCGCAGCAGGCACAGAATTCTGGGGTGTGCTACCGTACGAGACGGAGGTGCCTCCTGAGATGATACTGGTCTGGAACGGAGAGCCAAGAGAAGCGTTCTGCGGATCCAATTTATACGGAACGGCAGGAAGTGGGGATGGTGGAGCGTTTCTCAAGCCCATGGTAGGGGTTAAGTCAGGCTCTGCAATGTTCTGGTTGCGTTCCAGTCCCGAACTCGAGCTCGAGCTGGGGGCTGTGGCGAAGGGATCGTGACTCGCATCCTGAATTTCATCGGCTATGCTAACGGAATCGTCTGTGAAACTTTCATCTGAAACTGAAAGTGCATCGTTCGCTTTGAGAGAGCAGCCTGAGCTTCGGTCTGTGTCCGGGACAGTCTGCGTCGACTTTGTCACGAATCTAGCTCGCGACGCTGCAGACCCGAATCTAGGAAGTGCAGGTGTCGCAGGGATTGTGCTAGCAGCCTTTTTCGGCGTGCCAGGCTGAGCAGCATGCCCTGAGTCCGTATTTCTTTCTATCACTGGTGGCCGCTGCTGCTCTGCTACAGTGTCACGCTGTATATGGGCAGGCGGTGTGCCAGTGGGGAGGGAAGAGGAAATAAGAGTGACAACAGGATCTTCATTCAAATCCTGGACTTCTCGCGACAGTCGCTCAACGATATCCTCATCAAGGTTACGATAAGGTTGCCGTACCGGTGCTGTGCCAGCTTCTGTGCGCTTGCCAAGAATAGCAAAATTCCAGTCCACCACGACAGAAGCCTGAGATTCCAGGCTCTGTGGAATATTTGGCGCCGGAGGTACGATGAGAACGACATTATACTGTCGAAGGCGGAGGGTTGATACGGCGTAGGCATAATCTCGGTCACCGGCTATCAGGATAATGGTGGCAGGCGGAGGATGATCGTTGGAAAATGCAAGCATATCCACTAGTAGCAAACGAAAGTTCATAGTGCATGGTACAGACGCTAGTTACGGAATACACACCAAGGATCATCTTGTCTACGACGTCTTTCCTGCCGTTGTGGGGACAGTCGGTCATGGACACCCCAGAGGACTGAAGGTCAGAGCGAAACCCGACAGACTTGGGGGACTGTGAGGATATGTCAAGGTATGCTTTGAACGACGTGACGTATCCGAAGACATGGGCAATTCGTCGTATGCCATTTACAATGGCATGTCCTTGCGAATTCGAGGGAGGGCTACAATTTTCTGACGGAGGATATACTCCATGAACATATGATCAGAGGCGAGTAGTATGCGTAGAAACTCACCATAATCCCAGAAAATAGCGACCTTTTTATTGTTTGACATGAAGCTCGCATTGGCGAAGGGGAGGTATAAGTCGTGGACTCAGGCTGGCACGGGTACGTAGTCCCTCAATTCGAACTCGAGGCGTCGAGGTGCCGTTAAACCGCTTCTCAGGCTATTTTGGCGCCCTCCCGTGCAGTGTTCACTGGACGCCCAGCGCCTAGTGTTTGCACACATTAGAAAGGATAAATGTAAATTGAACATGCTGTTCTGCAAACAAATCTCTAAGGAATAGCTAGATTCTACGCCCACCATGTCGCTGACTTGAAATTGGACCAAAGCAAAGTCCGACCAGCACGGAGGCCATTATATTATCTGCTCACTAGATATCTTCCACGGGCGTCAAGCCATTTATTCAATACAAAATAGCATGGTGACCCACAGAACATGGAATAAAATGGGTGTACTTATACACAACTGCGGTGTCGCTCGTGGTGACCTTACAAGGGAAACCCGGCGTGTGAGCGCGTGCGGTTCTGTGATACTCGTCGCAATCAGAAGTGTCCTGTGTCTAGTGATTAGTCGTGAAGGATTGGGTGCAACCAATGTACCAGCTGGCAGCGTCTGATTCTAGTCGGCCTCCAGTGTTCTGGCCAAAAATTGATGCTCATATGGGAAATTCAAGACGTTGAATGTCAATGTCATGATGGCAATGCGAGGCCTAGAGGAACAACGAATTAGATTATCATCATTTCTAAGTCTTCGTTTCCTGCATCAAATGACGACTCCAGGCTTCGAGACTTTTCATTCGAAATCAGGATAATTCTGTAACATGCGCCTGAGCTCCATTTCTGGAACCCTCGGTTTGACATCAATAGGGCACGAAACATAGGGCACCCCCCGCATCCAGAAACCCCATGTCATCCAGCGGCCTCGTAGGATCCAAAGCGAGCTGGAAGACTCAAAGAATAAGGAACGAATTTATTGACACCGATCCGCAAAATGAGCTGATAGACCATGTGCATGCAAGGATACCTTTACCTGTTCGCAACATGTAGACCAGGGCATATGGTAGAATGAGGGTCAATAAAGATAGTATAGCCTGAAAGACGCTACTTACCCGCCGACCAAACCCGTAGGTAAAGAACGTGAGACCGTCTCTCAGGTGACCTTGGTCACCAATCCAACGCTGAGCCTTGAACACGTTAGGGTCAGGTAGACTTTGGGGTCTCGCGAGATGGCTCTGACGCAGTCATTGCTAGCACATTTGCGGTTTGAAGGACGATGCTTCAAGTGACTAAGGTTGCCGAGTATCGTAGTCCCAGCTGGAATACAATAGTTTTGCTGTCGATGGATATCAGACTATTCTTCGGACGACAACTTGTTCGAACAGCACTTGCCCAGGTCACGCCCGACGAGGAAAATCCTGAGTGACGCAAACTTCAGGTGCGGGACCGACAATAAAGATAGGAACCTAACCGTCTCCATCTCACAGCCTCAAAGATGAAGGTGCCCAGCAGAGGAAGGGGTTGTTGGTCAGCAAAAGTCGATGCCTGGTGAGGAAATCATTGAATCGATAGAATTACAATGTAGGAAACTGAGTTACCTCAGTACCTTCAGATAATCGCATGAAGCTCGGCGTGGACTTTGACTTGCTCCTCGGAGAAACATGCCGCCGCCATTAGCACGGTGCATATTGCCGCAGCAGTCTAACACCTGGTTTTAGTCGCGTGTCATCGAAAACAACCAACCAAGAGACCCCAGCGAATCAGCCCCAGCATGAAAATCCATCTCCATCTCTGTCAAGCCATAGAGATGTGCGTTTTCTAGCAAATGGTTTCCGAACCAAGGGCTAACGTCCGCATTGCTCTCCTATGGAATAATGGATAGGTCAATCGAAGACTGGCAGATCAGAGACATGTACTAATCATTGTTTCAGGCTTTCCATCTGTTCAGCGAAGTATTCGGTAGTTCTCAAACCCCTGTTTCAATGTTTGACCGTACCAAGGAAAGTATTTGAGCCAGGGGGTCGAATCCACAGGTAGGTGCCAGGGCGCTGGACTATACCAAATATAGTGATGAGCTGGCGAAGAGCTTGAACTTCAGGATCTGTCGCAGACGTGGGTGTAGTTTTGCCAAATGCCACTGTATAATCGTCGTCATAGCATAGCTTCAAAATACCCGTAAGTGACATAGTATCATGCTTGACCCGAATGTAATAAACCGCTTACCTTAGTGCGGTGGTGCCGGAAGTTGGATGGATTATCAAGAGGGTAAGGACGTGTTATTCGCAAATGACATTTGCAAAGCCTGATATGCCTCGACTGCCTTGGGCTGGAGGTGCGTATGTAGTGCTCTAGATCACGTTGCAAATTTAGATGGGTCTGTTTCTTTGACAGACTACAAACCTGCGCATCCGACGGAACCTCTCCCCAGCGGGCGCAAACCCGATAATCACTCCGCCGGTAAGCATTTGTCCAGTATTCGTGTGAGGACGATCAGTTAGTGATCCTCCCTGCTTCTCGATGGACACTGCAGCCTGCAAAAGAATGGTAGGCCGGGGAATGACAGCTTAACGTGAAGTGACTGACTTTGTGACGACCAATAATGACGACTTTCTCAGTTCCTGCGCGGACGGTGATTAGAGGACCGTACTCCTTAATCCATCCCGCTACAGTGAAAAATGCGCTGATTATGATCGAACATGGTCAACATTCGAAAAATAAAAAGTCAAGTTAGATATTTACTTGGGAGGGGGGAAGCGAGTGTCCCAGAAGTCTCCAATTGGGAGGGGAAGGGGAAGAGGAAAGCCACCCTTTGATCTAACAAAAGAAGCCTGAGCAATCACTCCTACCACCCAAGACAAGTCGCAACACTGAGGATAGCTACGCATTGTCAGGAACGGGCAGGCCAGGCAGCTGTAGCATGACATGACTATTGAATTGAAACGAAGGACGATAGGATGAACCTCATCGACAGGGCATTTTAAATCATGAACGAGCTTCTAATACCCCACGCCAATCGGGGGCTACCGCATCGCGACACGCGACACGTATACCTGGGTTGGATAAGTATCCGTGTTTGTCGTGTGGTCATTGGTTCGCTGCGCTGATAATCTAGAAGTTCGTTTAGTCAACAATAAGTCCAACTGCAGGAATAGTGTCAAAATAGTGTGACATGGAACCTCGATCGACTCTTCGGAATCGTTATGCTGATCGTACATCAACAATTTGTACATCCGGATCCTGGGCGCCGATACATGTGATTGGAGCACCCAGCCGCCGACGTCCTGTCCTCTCACCTCAAGAGGCCTCAGATCCCCAGCCTGCCCAATCCAAGTACCTCTTCGTGATTTGACCACCTTTCATCGATATCCAGATCATTCGGTTCCCACTGTAAATTTATCTGTGCCGTCGTCCATACCGACCAAACCAGGTCCGTGGCAGCTCACGTGTCGACTGTCATTGGCGTCCGAATCACCGGAAGGTTGCGAGCCGGGGAAGGTCGGACAATCGTTGGGAGAGTTGGGGAGATCGAGAACGGACATACGAGAATCACCATCCGATGCATTGAAAGAGCCGATATAGTACGAAAGTATGATAGGAACGACTGTTCTTCCTTCCGTATCCAGGTCTGTCAAGTATATGGTTCAGAACACCCCAAGCCGGTGATCCCCAAAGATCCGCGAGCCCATGAACGGCTACTTAACAAGTTCTACTTCTTTCTTGATATCATTACGCGAGCCATATGCGGGTCCTGATACGTGCCCTTGCTCCTTGTTGATCCAGACTTTACCATCTCCTCGCTCAAGAATAACTTTGATGCCCTCCGCTACCTTGGCCTTCTCATCTGGAGGGAGCACTGCAATATAACTCCAACTGAGGACGCGATCCTGTGACAGTTTGCTCGGTAGCAACACCATGATGAGCCCATTGTTTCTCTTCCTGGGGATGAAATAACGACGTGTACTCGGGGGTAGAGAACGCCTGCCTCAAGACATCGAGGCGAAATCGGGGACTGCCGTTCCCACGGGCCTCGATACAATGCTGGACCTGCGCAACCCAACCTGCAGCCCTCCCTGCAGCGCTGTTAGAAAATTTGGTGTAGGAGAGAATTACAGTAGAGAACCTATCTGCGAGGGTACCATACAAATACAGCCGCCCCGTCCTTGTTCAAGATACGAGCGAACTCAGTGAATGCCTTCCCATAGTCGAGACACCAATGAAATGCCTATATGACCGAGGGATGAAAATCTGCACCGAATCCAGTCTAGAGCTACTCGCCTGTGCGAGATGATAATGAGGTCTGCCCACCCATCTTCCACGCCGGTGTTATCAAATGTCCCGTTGACAATAGTACAGCGATGGTCTTGGACGCACTTCGTCCAATAATTACGCATGCCCTCGCTTGGTTCAATGGCTCTCAGAGTGCCAATACTCGTCGCCCATTCGGGGTGAGTCAACAAGGCACGGGTGAAAATGCCCGTTCCTGCCCCAATCCTGAAAGCCAATTGAGGAGAGAAAGTGTAGAAGTAATGATTTGACTCACTCGACGATTTTCCAACGGCGTTGTGCTCTTGGGTACCTGTCTGCGAACATACGAAACACAATCGGCTGGATACGAGGGGCGAACCCTAGATGCATCCAAATCAATAGGATTAACGAATACGGACCGGGAAAATAGTCCACCCACCGATCGTATGATTCACTCGTCCCAGTCGCGAAGCCTGCCTGTGCGTTAGGATGCACACTTGTCATCATGGTGCGGGTGAGCCTTAACCCAGACGTAAAAGACGCAAAAACGAATGGCTGGGCTTGATATACACGAGGGAAGAGTCGGATCCTAAGAGTTATTGCCGTTCGTCTGAACGGCTTGAAGCTATTACATGTTATCAGCACTTTTATGTAAATAACCAGTTGCACGATTTATGGTTATGCATCATGACGGCATCATCAGTACCCGCAACCCTGTCGATTCCATTTTGACAATTCGCTTGCGAGGAGTGCTCGTCGATAAAGAGGACAAGCTCGAAATCAGTCAATTTCTCGAGTGGGTCTTAATATCCATTCAAGAGCAGCAAACGTAAGCCGTCAAGCCGCGGTTGCTCTGAAATTCTGATGAGTCGCCCTGAATGCATGGACGGAGCAGGCCTTTGTGGGGAGAAGCTAGGGTAGATGTTGAAGATGCTTAGCGCTTGGTAGCCACTAATAGTAGTAAGTCAGGTTAGCTTACATATGTAGAGTGCTTAGTCATTGCATATCTCATGCTTGAAAGTTTGAAAGCTTGACCGACGACCACAAGGAGTCGATCGATAAAGTGCTCTAGCCTACTCTTCATTGAAACATTCTACTGCTTTCGTTGTCATTCATCATGATGGTATCAAATAAAAAGGGCTGGTGTGGCAGATTATAACCGAAGGATGACATAAATATTAGGATTCGGAAGCACACAAAGGAGCTGCTGGAAATTTTGGTCATGGGTGCGTCGCAATGAAAGTTTTCTTGACAACTTTCTGAGGATAGTACTTGGCCATGGATAGTAATAGTTATTTCTCATTACCATGCTGTTTGGCAACCAGGTCATATTATATGTGCATTTTTAAACCCATTCCACGACGTACCCGCCTTCGAAGACAATACAGGCCCTTCCATCCTCTCTCAAACTTCCCCATTCAGTATCAAGAATTTCCGCGTTTGTTACGCATCTTGAGCGACTTGCACAACACCTGCGGGACTTTATGGTTTCCGTATGGCATTACTGTGAACTTGTGTGGACTGGGAATACCACGCTTGATCCCGGTCAAGTTCTGAATCAAGTCCCGTAAGCGAGGATACCTCACAATTGCCCTCGACATAGAAGACCTGTTGCCTGTTCAATACAATAGAGTCGACTCAGTGTTCCTTTGATTTCGATGAATGGGTCAATGACTGGAATGGCTGTCGCAGAATAGTGATGAGCATTATTGACCTCTTCCTGATAACTGTGCCCATCAAGTCGTACTAAGCTGACACGCTCTCCTGACAGAATACCAATGTTGAAATACTGGTCGAGTCAGAGATACTGCATGGGCGCCGCTGAAAGAGCAAGGAATCACAACGACGGTGTGACGAAGGTCGAGGACGTCACTTGTGTGTCGACTTCCTGTTTATGAAATACAACCCTGACCCCACCCCATCCTATACTATCTCACCTCCCTCTAATCAACTCGATCCTCAGGATCTCCGCGGCAGGACCGCCCTGGGCACGAACTAACTAACTACCTTACCTCACTTAGATTCCTTTCAAATATTCGAGAACGCGTTATAGTCCATTATTCGTTACTGCACTCTCCCTATCGCACGCACACCCATAGTCACTTTCATTTTCGTAGAGTTGCACGTCTCAAACGGCCGGTGGGAACGGCTATCGGACTGGTGGGGTACGCCTCACAGTTAGGGCAATTCGCGGACAGTGAGGTACAGCAGGGGTACAGGGCCCTTAGACTAGATCGTATTGTCCTACATAGAGTAGTCTACTCTCGAAGAACAGAAATGGAAAAAAATACATTAAAAAATACAACTTGCTGGGGAATGCTTGATTCCCAGTACATACTCATACAACAGATAACAACTCGAACCGTTACACGCAGAGATAGCAAACCAAACTAACAAGAACGCTTTCCGCTTCGCACATCAGGATGAAGCTTCACCCAGTTATGACCACATTCTACAACACGGGCGTCAATGGCTTCAGTGAGATATTCCCTCAGCCTGGTCGTCCCAACTTCAGAAAGTATATCGAACCCAAGCGCTTTGCCAACTGCTGAACGAAGGGGCTCCGCTATCCCGTCATTGTGAACTTTCGTCAAGCAGGCAACGAGCGGCTGGAAGCAAAGCGGGATCGGCACTGTCACAAAAGGTGTAGCGTTCGGGTTCAGTGCGGGTGTTTTGATCGTCGAAGGCAACGCGGTGCTTGATGATGAGGTAGTTCCTGAAGATGGAATTGGAGTCTTGGTATAAGGAGTGTTATCCGGCGGTGTGGGGGAATTGTTATTATGGACAATCGATGGGGGTGGATGATGTCCCAGGATCCAAGTCGATGTTTTGTCTAAACAAATTCGGATGGAGCTCTATCCATGTAGAGCCCTTCTGCGCGGTAAGCTTCACAAGAGAAGCTTGTTCCGCTAGCGCAGTGTATTGCGCGAACCGCGTCACCCCGACGCGCTTGTACAAATTCTTGTCAGACTTAACCAAGTTCATAGCGATTGTAGATCTTGATGATTTCATCTCCCCTTTCGACCTTGCCAGCAAAAGCAGATTGATCAGCGGAAGGAATCGTGGGGTTGCAATGAGTCGAATCTCATCTTCCACGGCCTTGATCAGAGGCGCTTGACACTCTGAAGAAGGGTTATCTGTGTTATCACTGACAACAGACGTTGTTTGTTGTGGATCGATGTCAACGTCACTAGATGTGCTAACATCAGAATCGGACAGAGCCAGTAAGGACGGTGTCGACGGAGACGATGCTGACGATGACGTCGGAGACATGGTGATGACAGAATGTGCAGGAGTGAGAGGAGAATCAGACGGAGAGTTTGTAACGTCGACCTTAGTCCAAAGTGGACTGTCAGTCGAGGCATCAAACTCGTCGGTACTGCTGTTGTCGTCTCCATCTTCGTCATCAATTCCAAAGGCATCCTCGAGCGCCGCTTTGTCTGACGCAACGGTATGATTATCCAACATGGCTGAGGTAGGGTCGATGTTCGTTGAATTCGGTGCAGTAATGACATCATTCTGCCCCCATGAGGATACAGGTGACAAGGGCACTGCAACAGGCACAACGTTCTGGGTTGTGTTGTCATATGAGATGGGGGTGCCGCCCGAGATGGTACGGGTGTGTGATGAAGAGGAGAGGGGGGCGCTCTTCAAATTAACGTTAAACGTGACGGCGGGTGGTGGAGATGGTGGGAAGTTACTTGAGCTTGTGGTTGGTGGTAAACCAGACTCTACATTGTCATGATTGCGTGCCAGACCAGTAACGGTTCTGGCAAAAGGACCTTGAGTCGCATCCTGAATCTCGTTAGCGCAGCTAACGAAATCGTCTACGAGACTTTCATTTGAAAGTGCTTTGTGCTCTTTAAGAGGGGAGCCTGAACCTTGTTCGATGTCTGGGACATTGTGCGTCGACTGCGTCGCGGATCTAGCCCGCGACGCCACAGACTCGAATCTAGGACGTACAGGCGTCTCAGGGATTGTGCTAGCAACCTTCTTCGGCGTCCACGTCGAGGCAGGCTGAGTAGCATCATCCGAAGCTGTGTCTGAATTCTGTTCAAATACTGACGGCTGCAGCAGCTCTGCTGCACTGACACGCCGCGTATGGGCCGGTGTTGTGGGAAGATTCGAGGAAAGGAGGGTGACAGCAGGATCTTCGTTCGAATCGCGAATTTCGCGTGATAGCCGCTCTACGATATCTTCGTCAAGGTTGCGATAAGGTTGCCGCACCGGTGCTGTATCGGCTTCTGTAGGCTTTCCAAGAATAGCAAAATTCCAGTCCACCACGACAGAAGCCTGAGACTCCAGGCTCTGGGGAATATTTGGCGCCGGAGGTACGATGAGAACGACATCATACTGTCGAAGGCGGAGGGTTGATACAGCATAGGCATAATCTCGGTCACCGGCTATCAGAATAATAGTGGCAGGTGAAGGATTATCGACGGCAAATGCAATCATATCCACTAGCAATGAAGTTCATAATGCACACTACGGGCGCCTTGCGGAATACACACCGAGAATCATCTTGTCCACGACGTCTTTCCTGCCGTTGTGGGGACAGTCAATTATGGATACCCCAGAGGACTGAAGGTCAGAGCGAAACCCGACAGACTTGGGGGAGGACTGCAAGGACACGTCAAAGTATGCTTTGAACGACGTTACGTATCCAAAGACATGGGCAATTCGTCGAATGCCATTTACAGTGGCATGTCCTTGCGAATTCAAGGGAGGGCAATTTTCTGACAGAGGATAATTGTACCCCATGAGTTATCAGAGGCGGCTACGTAGAAACTCACCATAGTCCCAGAAAATAGCGACCTTTCTATGGTTGGACATGGAACTCTCATTTGGGAGGGGGAATAAGTGGGGCGTCTCGTGAACTCAGGAGCCCTTAATTTGTACTGGCTCCAGCATGCCGTTAAGAGGACTGCCTTCCATTTTGGGGTGTTACTAACAATGCACAGCCAGTTTTGCACCCACCATTAATGCACACTGCACAGTCATCACAAGGAGTAAACGTTACCTCAATGCTGCAAATTCCAGTTGAAAATCTGTTCTACACGCACTTCGGGAGTGCTGCTGTGCCGCTGGTTTGAAAATGGAGAAAAACAAAGTCCGATCAGTGCGGGGGCAGTGCGCACTGCGCACTTACGAGAAACGGGCCCCTTATTATCTGACCAAACTTGGTCCAGCGTCAAGTGATTCAATACAAAAAATAGAATAGCCCAGTGACCCACAGGCGTGTGAGTGGCGGCCTCCAGTCTTCTCGGCTCTCGCTCGCTACAGTCCCCCCCCTAAAGATCGCAGCAAGCGAAGTTCTCCATTATGTAAAAGCGGAGAAACGCGTGTTAGTCGTGCTGTAGAATCACCACTTGGAGTCATGCATGGCTGGAATTCACGTGGTGGATGCACAAATTGTTAGGCGTGGGGAACTACAGATAGAAGTAAGATGAGCATTTGGAGTACCTGCCCAGTCTAGCGAAGTGGTAATTTATCGACGATCTGACTAGTTTACCGCGGACAGGCTGTACAATAGGGTTGTGAATTGAATACATCGAATACGTCCAACGAGCACTTACTGCGGTTTGTTGCATTGAATCACAAGTCCTGGCAGCCTGGCGTTCGCTAGCTTATCACCTGTTGTTACACCACACCCTAGATTCAGCTCCACGACACCTACATTAGGTACATTTGTGCATAAGAGACGATGGGACGTGTTTGACACCCTGAAAATGATTGTCTTTATTATCAGTGAAAATAGAAGTCGCTTGTTGAGTGCCGGCCTCAACGTTCTACATAGTAACGTTAAAATCGGCTGGAAGGGTCGAAGTTGATGAAGACATCCGAGACGTGGGATTATAGGAAGCTCGGTGGTGGAGGGAAAATTATTGACAAGAGAGAACGGTTTCTAGTAACTTGTGATCATTCGGACCATTCTCGGTTCCTTCGAACGACTTCAAATTCAAACCCTGAGCACACAAAGTCTGGACACCCTCACGTCATTCACAATGAAAAGACCCCAGACTCTGCCCAACATCTGCGCTTCAAGTTAATGTTGCAGCCATCACCGAGCAGTATATAATCCTCAACGTCAACCGTGTATCCCCACTGGCCGCACGCCCACTCCCGTCCACCACCACCCCACACTACCGTCTGTTCTTCGTTAACATATCTCCTTTGTTACTTGACGCGGTGCTTCCTTTTGCTGACGTGGTAGTTAAACTTTGTTAGGATGTTGCGTTGTAGCATATAGCACATCAATGAATACAATTATATGATGGATAATCTTACACAAGGGCGCGTGTCCAACTACCGTAGCATAAAGTGCGTCTTGAGTCCTGGAGCAAGACGAGAGCAGCGAAAGTTACGGAAGAATGAAGTTTAGTACGATGAAGTGCATATGCGATAAAATGGGGGAATCTTACTTGCGAGTTAGAAGGGGAGGGGTACTCTAGACAAGCAAAAAGATGGATAATGAAGAGCACACAGCCGCGTCGCAAGCCTGTTCATGGCCGTAAGATGCATCAGAATGTCTTGAGTAGAATGAGGTTTGGGTGGCGCCTAGGCTATTATCATCCACACAGTGCATCGTCGAGAGTACTGAACCGTGAGACGGGAAAATCGGCGAGGTGGAGTGGAACGAAGTGCAGTGATATGATTGTGTACAGTATGCCGCGGCCATAAACACGGCTCCGGTACTCCTCTAATATCTGGTTGAAGGGCATTAACAAGCGTGTAGGATGGCACTGGCGTGAATGATACGGTTATTCGGGGCGCTGGTTGCTGCAGTGCATCACGATGCGTGGTGTAATGTTGGGAATTGCAGCGCTAGTGTTCGTTTTGTGCCGCTGAATTTTGCGTAACATGGCGGCGCTGCAATAGGGCTAAATCACCGGTAAAATTTGAATGGCGTGAGTGAAGATGCATACCTTGACGAGTGACACCTCTCGATGCACAGTAGGTATGAGTGGAATGACGATCACGAGTGCCAATGCCCAGTGACGCGTAAATATCCGAATGCTCTGCGCTGCTCGGTCGTCAAAAGCCCGTCCTCTCAAGACTTCGAAGGTTATGCGGTACTCCAAGTTCAGCAGTGGTCCGTAATGTTTCCATTCGTCGTCGTCGAGTCACAGGTAATAGTATTCCATGTCAGTATTTGAACTCTGTTAACACAAACGCTACCATAGCTGCGCATGTGCCGGCGCCGCTGGGTGCGTCAACAACTCCGCCGCGCATCTGACTGGCGAGTCTGTCTAGGACAGAGCAGGAGATACTGCACTCACTCGCAGAGGGCAGAGGCATCACCCAGTATGACGGTATTGGGCTGCTGGAGTCATACAGAAGCTGTAGCCTGTCAATGATGTTTACAGCGAGCACATCCCAATCAGGCTGCTCGGAGAGTTGAATGTTTATATATATTAACGAGTCTGCATTTGATACAAAGTGTTAATAAAGGAGAGCTAACACACTAAAAATGCAAAAAGTTAACATGTCAAAGACGTGACAAGGAGAAGATCGAACCGACAAGGCTGAACTTAAAAGTGGGAGAGGGGCGCATGCGGGGAAGTTGAGACCGTTGTATGTTGCTCGCCGGTGACGGCTACGCCATTAAGTTGAAGCGAAGATGTTGAACGGAGTCTGGGGTCTTTTCATTGTGAATGACATGAGGGTGTCCGGACTTACTAGTAGTTTGCTCAGGGTTTGAAGTCGTTCGAAGGAACCGAGAAAGGTCCGAATGATAACAGGTTACCATGAACTCGAGAGAGAATTCGAGACATGCCCGATTGCTACATAGGTCGTGAACTTTGTAACCTCATCGTTGCTGCTGTCATCTCTACCTTCGGCGATTCTTCGCCTCCATCATCAAGTCCAAGGGCAGCACTGAGCACGCAGCAGTGAAAGATGCCAGGCTATTCACTAGTCCAGGCTGGTCCATTGGAATTTGGAAGGATATAATCGTCCAATGACAAAGGCCGAGACACGTTGGTATCTGTGCGGAATTAAGCATGCTGCAAGAACACTTACCACGGCATGTTAAGAGTTCAAGAGAATTTTACTTGGCATGTCCACCTAGTCAGACCAAGACAAGTCGTTTCCTTCTATGTCCACCTCCAGTGCTCCACCTTAAGGGCGGACTTCACGATCACGTGTTCCGACGCGTGCGGGTAGATTCCCACGGTGTTTGTTGACCGACCTTCTCCAACTCTGTTCATTACTACAACCGAGACACTTTCGCCAACGACCCCAACGATCAGCTCGCTACCGAGCTCAACTTTCACGACAGCGACGCCATCAGGTGGTAAACCATATGATAGCGCTCACAATGAGCGCACAAATAAATTCCACAGCGTCCCCACAATCGCTTCTTTCCAACTCGTCTGATCTTGTTCAATCATCCATCCGTCGCAATTCCGCCATGGGCTGGAGCAAGTCTTCCTCACCAATTGCTAGCACGGCCACGACGCCTCTTCGAATTGCAAAGCGTGATAGCTCTAAACCAGCTTTTCCTCTTGTTGCCCGTCGATCCTCATCCAGTTACAGACATCTCAGAAATAACAATCTTGTCTCCAAATCTCCTTTCAAGTCTTCAATTCCAACGCCATCCAGACCTTCTACCTCTGCACATAACAACGTCCCTCTCCCTACACCCCCCTCGCGTAGGGTCAGTGGCGAGAAGCGTCCCCGCCCCGACTCCATGCATGACCAAGCTGAGAACGAGCGTCCATTTACCCTCAAGCGGGAACGCCGTCAGTCAAAAGTCTACCAGGGACTCGTGGAGAAGGAACCTGTGACAAAGAGCCCCTTCAAACGTCCTCCTGGCACCCGGGAAGAAACTCCACCCCCAGTACCTCCCAAGTTCATCCCTGTCCCACCAATTCCGGAGCCTTCCGCTAGTAGGAGTGCAACTCCACCGAAGGCGATTACCCCCACACGCCCATCACTCGTTACCAAACGCCTCCATGGTCCGCGAACTGCTGACCAGCCCTCTCTCGAACGTAGGCGCCAGAGACGAAAAACTGTAACATGGGATGAGCGTTGTGATGTCCTTGAGTTTGACTGCGAGGAAGGGGAAAATGATCCCTTTTATTCTGATGAAGATGACTATGGCACCCCGGATCCTGATCATCCCGAACAGGCAGCCGTAATATGTGGCTCACTTCCTTCTGAGCTCTTAGAGTTAGTAGACCCTCCTCTGACTCTCCCGTCACATATCAGTCCACCAGCCGTCCGCCCGGATGACGATGTCCTGGAATTGGACTGTGAAGAAAGCCGGGATGATACCTTCTATTCTGACGAAGATGACTATGGCAGCCCTGGTCACAGCGAGCAGGCAGCTAAAGTATTCGATTCAATTCCCTCTGCGCTCTTGGAGCTCGTGGGCTCCCCTCATAACCCTCCTTCACCCATCGTTCCTCCAGCCGTCCGTCAGGAGTCACCTGCCCTACGTCAAGGCTCCCCGCTCTGCGAGTCCGCGAGTTCGCCTACCCTTTCCATTGGTGGCAGCGCAGGACGCGCCCCAAGGACACACATCAGCAGAGAGGATATCCATACACGTCTCATGCGGAAACGCAGCTCGGACAGTCCTATGACATCGGGTAGTATGTCTCAGCAAGACGGGGATGCACAACTCCCAAAACAAACCGAGTCCCATGGCAACGACATTGCTGATGTAAAGGTTGAAGAAGATGAAGAGCAGGAGGAACGCGTCGAGTCGATGTCGGTGATGATGGATATTAGTGCCGAGCTTGCAACTCTTCAAGCTGCAGAGCGAGGGTCCCCGAGTCCCAACGTTATGCGGCCGAGGGGCGCCACCCAACTTATTTCTCATCCGCCTGCGAACACTGTTTCATCTCTTGACACGACGTGTGACATTTCCAACAGCTTTGATCTTGGTGACTCCATGGACTCAGTGCAGCTTGGCGAGGTGCGCTCCGCCCTCGACAAGGTTATGCAGATGCGCCTCACGCCCAATCGCAGTGCGGACAGTCCTTCAGTGCTGGGTGGTGCGGCTGAGCAAGCTGCTGACGCAAAGTCTCCCCAACAAATCGCGTCCTTGTGACTTTCTCCAGGAGGATAGCATCATCAGTGATGCAGAGACTGAAGAAGATCAAGAGCAGGAGAAACGCGTCGAGTCGATGTCGGTGATGACGGATATTAGCGCCGAGCTTGCGACTATTCAAACTGCAGAGAAATGCACAATTAACTCTGCGGCTGTTGCAGTAAGTCAGCAGGGGTCTCCGAATCCTGCCGTAACAAGGAGCTCCCTCGACCTTCTTGCTCCACCATCTACGAACATTAGCCTGTCTGTTGATGCGAGTTTCGAGCTTAACAGCAGCCTCGGTCTTGGTCCAGGTCTCAGAGATTCTGTGAACTCTGTCCAGTTCAGCGAGATGCGCTCGGCACTCGACAGACTCATGGATGATGTCAAAGGCACGGCAAGTAGGAGCTCAAGCCCGAGAAGGCCCACGCACATGCGCGTCGAGTCTGTCACTGAAGGCATCAAAGCAGGACAATTCGACAACAGCTTTGGTACGGGTGACGAATCTATGCGCACGGAGACGGACTTTGATGCGTCGATGTCCATGGACAGCCATGTGGTACGGCCGCGGGCGGCACCGTTGCAGCGCGCAGCGACAGACTCGATAGTGTACACTGCCCCAGCGTTTAGCAGCCCCATGCTAGCAGAGGAGCAAGCGTCGCAGGCGAAGCATGCCATACGTCAGAGAGAGGAGCTTATACTCGAGAAGCGTCGGGCGGCGCGAAGACGAGATAATGATGAATCACTGGGATATTATACCCCGCCCCGTGCAGCGCCAGCTGGCAGACCTTCACGCCGGCGGAGTCAGAGTACTGGTGACGCTGGCGCCCCGGCGAAAAACGATATGCTTCTTGACCTCGGTATCTCCGACAGTGAAGGCGACCCTCTAGCTGACAGTATCTCGAAAGAGTTGAAGAAACTTGATCCTGAACATAGGAAAGGGGTGAGCTCATTTGTTTTCTGGTGCACGTTAAGGTGCTCACGTTGATCTTTGCGCAGAAATATCGTGTTCGGGAGCATGAGGCGATTTTTGCGTCTGCCGATACCGAGCAGGTCTCACATATGTCACTTGCTGGTGACGTGAATGGTGGAAAGGCATGGAAGGCCGTCCGACGACCATCGGACATGGTAATTGATTGTTTGCCTTTTCTGCCATTGGTTCTGACATTTTTATTGTTCTAGAATGAATATTCCAAGCAAATTAAGGAATATAGGTCAATGGAAAAGCCTGGGAAGGCGCATGGCAAGGTGTTTGTAAGAGGTTAGTGAAATTATATTACCCTTGAGAGCTACAGCTGATAAAATTATCGATCTTTAGTCGTTGGTGTTCGCGGCTTGAGGGTGCCCATACCACAGCAAGCTACAGCTCTCACGTGTACTTTGAACAATGGAATACATTTTGTCACTACTCCAGAAACCCGTCTATCCAAAGATTCGCGCATCGACCAAGAGTTTGAGCTGTAAGTTTGTCACTATTAATTTTGTAGATAGTGCTAATCCCGCGACAGTATCGAGCACAACAAGCTGGAGTTCACTCTCACCCTCAAAGTCCGCCGTGATGCACATATCACCGCCCAATCACAGGCTCTTGTGCCACCGCCTGCGCCTCGTGTGCAGGCCCCGATACCCGTACCCAAGTCTAGGGGTGGCATGCTTAGCTTCTTCTCATCATCACCTAAAAAGCAACCTCGCGCGACACCAACACCCCCTCCACCTGACCCTCCTTATAGACTCCCAGATAATCTTGCACGGTATCTCAAACAAGATGGAACTCTTGCACGTGCATTGATTTCATTCAAAGATGTGGCTGCGAGATGCGATACTCGACTATTCGAGACTACCTATCCACTAATCGGACAGCGCGTCGAAGCTTCAGGGGGTCCAACAACCATGGAGTTGGGAGAGATCGTATTGCAGATGTTTAGACTTCCACCTCTACCTGGTGTTCTGAGCAATCAGCTTCCACAGAGTCTTGAAGACTGTCACCGGGGTTTAAGACATGTCGCCTGGCATAAAGTTACGTACTTCGAGGGCACGCTGACGCAAGCATGGAGGTGATTGCATGGTGCGGGATTTTTTTACCATCTCATCAACTGTCGCTTAGTTTCACTGCAGACATGGCGGCGGCGACGCCTTCGAGTGATTGGCGCGAATCTTGTTGCATTTAACGATGTCACTAAGAAGGCAACGGCCACCATCAACCTCAAGAAAGCCATCGCAGTTGAGGACAACCAAGATACGCGTACAGGCGCTCTCAGTCGTGCTCGGTCAGCAGATAATTACGATGGGATGTTCGCAGTCGAACGTTCCTTCCGTCTCATATTTCCTGGAAACCAAGAAATATTCTTCTTCGCGGACACGGATGATGAGAAGGCAAAGTGGTATGTCCAACCTCGCTCATGCATGTTCATCTTGTTGACATCTCTTGCCAGGCTTGATGTATTCCGTGCGCTTGTCGGGCACATCCCACCGAATCCATTATGGGCAGAGTTAATATGGCAACGACAGCAAGAGATGGCGAAACAGCCCCCTACGCAGATGTCTTCTTCGAAGATAAGTCCCCGATAGTAATTCCCTTTTATTTTTGCATCTTCCGTCTAGCTTAGTTTTCGTTCGTTCTCTTGTGTTTTTCTCTCTTTTTCTTGCAATTTTGTTTTCTGTATTATGCTACAATAACGTCGTAGTCAGTCGCATTTGCATGCATATGCTCTCTATGTAACAGTAATTTATGCACATAAAGTACAGACATATAGTCTTGCTTCTTGGACTTGAATGGCTCGTGAATACTTTCATATCAAGTGACATCTGGTGCACTGCAGACTAACTCGCTCAGACGCACGCACTTAAGTATCCTGGTTGCCGGCTGTCAGGACGATTCTGATTGTAGCAAGGGACGATCGATGATCGACAGCGAACGTAAACGCACACTAGCACAGTGCGTGATGTTGCGGAAATGCTAAATATGTCGTCCATGACGTGTTTCCTGCTGTCACGTGGGTAGTACTTCATGAGGACTGGAGTTCAGAGCGAAACACGACAGATTTATGCTTTGGACGCTCGTACGTGTCCAAAGATATGGGGAATTCGAATGCCATTTAAAGACACGTCCTTGCAAATTCAAGGGGAAATTAGGGTTTTCTGATGGAGAAATACAACACCCCACCAATCAGTACAACAGGAACACAGGGCGGAAAATGCATGTCATGATACGCTTTAGAATGACATTGAATGAAATCCGAGCGTGACTGAAGCTCACGCGGGTGCGTGTGATGCATGGAAAACTGCAGACCATATAAGACTATTTGGAGTTTCTGCCAAGTCTAGCGAGGTGATAATTTATCGACGATCTAGGTTGTTTGCCGCGGACAGGCTGTAGAGTGGAGCAGTGAATACATTATACATTTAACACGCCTGTTCCAGAGAGAAACTTACTGCGGTGCGCATGCATTGAAACAAAGTCTCGGCAGCCGCCTGACATTGATTACTGGCTAGCATGTCGCCTGTTGCTGCCCAACACCCTAGCATATTCGAGAGCTCCACTGCACAGACATTGGGGGGTAAGTCTACGCGTGGCATTGGTTAAATGACCTGTGCAGAGAAGATAATTTTGGGACTCACTTTTCCGAGGTCTGACTTTGACCTTGGCAATATGAACCGTCATTGTTCTGTAGATCACCAACCTAGTGCTCAACCCACACTACAGCAGAACTGAGGCCGTGTTACAAAGTTTGAGCGAAAGCAGAACAAGTCTCGTCGTGAGCAAGACTTTAAACACCTGAAAATTCAATACACGTGACCTCAGTAGACGTGATGCCGTTACGGGGTTAATAGCCACCTGAATCCTTCCACGTCTGCAATCATCTTGAAGAGGTTTCCACTACTTCCAGCTTCAGCTAGCAGCCCATCTGTTTTTCAGTATATAGTCGTAAACTGCGAGCCCGTATCATATTCCCGCTGCAGCTGAAGCGCTGGGGTGATGCCTGCACTCAACAAGAACAATTCCGGTGCGCCAACATTAGTCTACTTACTTCTGGGTGCAGATTGACCGGCCCCCCACATAGCTGTCAAGCGGATAATGCAAGAGGCGAGGGAACTTGCAAACGATCCCTGCACCGATTATCATGCAGCTCCTCTTGAGGTGCGTGCTCCTCACACGCACGAGTCTCTTATCCCCGCCGACACATATTTGTCTGGATTCTGCAATCATAGGATGATATTTTTGTATGTGACATCTACAGATAATGGGTTGGCATATCGAATGACGGATTGCAGGAATGGCATTGCACACTTCGTGGCCCCGCTGGTACGGAATTTGAAGGTGGCCTGTATCATTTCCGGATAGTGCTTCCAGCAGAATACCCCTTCCGACCGCCTTCTCTGATGATGCTTACGCCCAATGGACGGTTCGAATTAAACACCAAGGTACGCCCCTTGCCAATAAGACATCAGAATTATATTGAGGTTCCGTGGATCAGATATGCATCAGCTTTACAAACTGTTGGTTATCCCATGTGGTGTTGTGGAGTCGATTAACTAACGTCCATCATACTCCAGATCATGAAGAGGAATGGCAGCCCGCATGGGGTGTTCGCACAGGTAATTTTCCGCATTTTAATTCGGCGTTCGTGTATCTTACCTTTTGCATAAGCTATAATCGGACTGCAAGGATTTTTCCCTCTGAAGGGCCAGGCAGCTACTGGTGTTGGTTCTGTCGAATATCCCCCCTCAGAACGTAAGCGTCTGGCCCAATTGTAAGCATCGGTCTAGATTGCACTTAATAAATCTGACGTCACCCATCAAGGTCACGGGAGTGGGTTTGCCCGCAGTGCAATCAGTGTAATCTAACGCATCTCCCTGATCCCCACGAGGGACCACTGACGCATGTAAACGTACCATCACCGTCGTCGGCCCCGCCTGCCGACACCGCGGAAGTCGAAGTTGTTCAAGACAACCCGGCCGCCTCCGTGGTATCCACTCCTGTCCGTCAGTCCGATAGGATCGAAGAAGAGCGACAAATTCACATGCGTGGAACTGCGCAATTTACGCGTCGTAGTTCACACCGGCCTCCCCTAATTCTTGATACTGCCATTTGTGTGCTCCTTGTGTTGGTTCTAGCGTTAGTCTGTCGTCGGGTTTTGTGATGGGTATGACGTATTAGTACTAGTAGAGTATATTTCGTATTCTACTATTCGGAACTTTGTTGTAAGTATAGTTCAACCGCTCCTACGTTCTAGATGGTTTCTCGACACACGTTGGATGAATAACCGTCGACAAATATTTTTCCGAGGACTCGATCATTATGTTAACATAAATTTGTCATTGACCCTAGTTATGCGGGGATTCCCTGGGGAAGTCCAGCCGCCGGCGACTTGTAAGTCGTTACGCCCCCTGGTTTTAGGGTCTTGACCGTTAACTTTATTATTAATACTATATTTGTGCTTTACCTCCGAAGTACGTGATGATATTTATGAGGACCAGTCCCCCCTGCCTTTAAAATCAGAGGAGGCGATTCCAGTCTGCTGCAACTTGTCTCTCGACTTGTTCTCATCGGAGATGTCAAACGGTCGCCCACGAAACACGCGCAAGGCCAGGTCTGCATCGCTCCATCTCCCAAGGCGGTGCGATCCCACGCCAGTACCCCCATCCCTAACAAACTCACCGCACCTCTCGTCGCCGTACAGCGTATTTCGTCGAAAACCAGCCATCCTGAAGACCCCTTCCCAGGAGGATGACGAGTGGTTGAGAGACATGGTGCCCATGGACAAGGAGCAAGGCTCTTTTGATGAAAACCTTTTGAGCGTGTCGTCGTCAGCGACTTCAGTCCAGAAGCAATGGGAGTCACCACAGGAGTCATCACCATCGTCTTCAGGGAGCTCGTTCGAGAGCCGTGCGAGACCTATCATGCATCGCTCATGGTCATCTCCCACAACACAATCGTCAGCACTGTTACCAACCCTCTGACTTGACGGACGGGCAGGGTGAGACACCCGGGGGCGGGTAATATGAGTCCTGCGTCATTGCGGATTACGTATTCATGGCAATATTCTGCCTTTTTCTGGTAATCTCTATTTATTTGGGTCTTAGGCTTCATCGGGTCTTAGGTTTCATTGGGTCTTAGGTTTCATCGGGTTTAACTTGCTTGTTATCGCGTCCATCAGTCGCGCACTATTACTTCTAACTATTTCACGCCTAAGTGATTTACTTTATTTTATACACTCTTACTATGTCTTGTATTATCACTATCCCAGATGAGTCACAAAGTATGCCTTCATAGAATTATGCACCCTATGTTACAAAAATAGATGTACAAGCGATCACTTCTTCTTACCAGCAGTGATACTAAGCACAACAAGATCATCCTCCTCCAAGTTATGGCTAGCGATAGTACTATTATTCGTCAGCATCTTACCCGCATACGATATTCGAACTTTGGAAAGAGGGAGATTGCTGCCAAGAACTTGATTTATCCGATCACGCAGCGTTGAAACCAGCAGAGTGAGAGGAAGATCTGTAACAGTGACTGTCTGGCCGTTAAGCTTCCATTCCGGCTTAGACGGGTCGTTGGGAAGTTGCACAGAGAGTGATATGGTGTAGGGATGCATTGCAACCCAGTCTGCTTCGGGATACAAAGCACCACCAGGCAGTTTCGCAATTTTTTGCCGTTTGATAGCAGGCTGCTCTTCTAGTCCTTCCATCTCGTCTGCGCTGCGCACCATGCCTGCGTGTGGCGGTGTTCCTACACCACCGGCCATCATTCCTGCCATCCGAGAAGGATGCATCCCAGCAACAGGGGGCTGGTAACCGAACGGTTGCGCAGAGTCGAGACCTTGATAGTGAAGGGGTGGGAGCATAACTGGCGGTGCCTGAGGCGGATATGCTGATGCAGGCTGCGGGCCAGATGAAACAGTAGCAGAAGAGTAAGAAGCGGACCCGGATGATTGCACAGGAGGGGCAGGTAATGATGCGTGAGGAGGAGGTAGACCCGTCATTGCAGGCGGAGGTGCCTGACACAGGGCCGATTCCAGGGCCAATCGCATTGGCATCCTGGGGTCCAAGACCTTTTGCACGATGGATGGCAGCAATCTGCTCGTCGAAGTTGACGTTGGTTGAATATTTATCCATCGTAGAAACCTTCGTCGCAGTGTGACCATCCCACACAACCTTCTCCCTCTCTTTCCGGCGTTCCTTCTCTTCTTCTTCCTCTTTCTTCCGCCTCTCCTCATCAGCCTCGGCACCGAAAATGTCCACACGTGTACGAGCCAAGTTTTTGAGTGACGATACTACGTTTGCACCGCGCAGAAGCTCGGACGCTTGAGCTTTACGAGCTTCGATATTGTCACGGTGAGACTTCCACTTGGGATCCAGTAGCTCAATACGCATGTGTTCATCAAGTTCATCAACAGGAATCTGCTGTCCACAGATCGTGCACGTTGTAAGGGCAGCTCCCTTTTTAGCGCCAACTGCAATATTCAAAGGTAAGCTGATTATCAGAAGGAACAATGCTGACAACATACGTTTTGGAACATAGTCTGTCCTGATCTTCATAGGTCCCGAAATGCTGGCACTTGCTTGCATTGCACGGGCGCGCTCAAGTTCCCTCACTCTCTCCTCATCTTCACTCTTCCTCCTCAGCTGCGCTTCGTCGTCCTCGTCATCACTCTGTTCCATTGCAGCGTCCTCGTCTTCAACAGCCCCAATCCCAACACCACTGACAGCTGCAGCCGCTTCGGCCTCTGCTGCAGCCTGTCTGGCCTTGTGAGCTTCTATCTCATCCGCAGTGTTTTCCATGATCATAGCAGCCATTCTCTTTTGAGCAAGCGTCATGCTCTCCACTTCTTGCACGCTCATTGGAGGAGGCAGCTCTGAATTTGCATCAGCGACCGTGAAATCGATCGTTTGAACGATTGCATAGTCATGCCAGTCGATCTCAGCAAATGCACCTAAAGCAAACGATCATAATTGGTTGTCGACACGAGGGAAAGGTAACGTACGTTTCTCTGCTTCCTGGTCATCTTGTCTCTTCTTATCCTTCTCCCTTTTCAAGCGTTCCCAACGGGCGTATTTTCTTGACTGCTCTAACGTTGCCCCCTTCGCGCCTTCCTGCGCCCTAATACTCAACTCCGCCAACATCTCCTTACCTGGATACAAAATTTTGAGGTACTGCTCCACGAGGCGGTTGAAGCAACCAAAGAGAGAATGAGTGGGTCGCAGGAAGTCGAACTGATAGTTCCTTCCCTCGTTTTGTGAAAGTGTCGCCAAGAATGTCCGTCCGCGACGGGCGGTGAAAAGTGCAGTCAGTTTCATGATATCTCTAGCATAAATATCATTAGCCCCATTCTTACGGAATATAACGAGGACGACGCACAAGTCAATAGGGCTAACATTTGGCATGTCCATAGCAAACTGCGGCTGAGGGTGGTTCGAACGCCGAGATCCTCTGGAGTCATTGGCACTTCTTCTACCCCGTCCACCGTTTCCTTTTCTTGTGAAGGTGTCATCCAGCTCCTCTCCAGCCTCTATCTTCTCCATGCGATGCCTATAGTAAGCATGATAAGGATCCGCGGGGTTGAGGAACGAAAACTTGGGATCCTGACGCTGGTTCTCGCGAATTTTATCCTCAAACTGAGGCGGGTTCGCAGAGCGAGCGACGAACAATGCTGTTCTGTCGATGACAGCTGCAAAAAAGCAAATCTCAGAATAACGAACACAATGTAATGAAAGACCTTACATTTGATTTCTGGAGGTGGTAGGATGAGTCCACTGGTAAACCTGAGTGAAGGATCCCGAATGCCATTCTCCATTTCGACATCGCCATTAAAGGCGTGTCCGTTCATGACAGGCATCATTTGTGTTTCTACCGCCATGGTTGTTGTCGACGTGAGCGACGTTAATGAAGCCTTGACTTGAGCCGCCCGTTCACTAAGTCTTATCGGAGTTCTAAATAATGCTGCTCGGCATCTATCGGCAAATACTTCTTAAGCGACGTCGCGGTCAACTAACTAGCTTGCACCCGAAATGTTTGGCTGCTTTCCGACCTACGTCGGTGAATCTAGGTGGTCTACTATGGTGAGCCGTATAGTCCATTCAGCAGCGTTTTCTCATCATATCTGCTGTTTAGGAAGACGCCATGGAAGTTGTCAATCACGCGAAAAGCCAATGCACGTGCTCGTCTGAAGAAAGTCGACGCAGTCATTGAAACGGTCAGAGCAAGTGGCATACAATGCAGCGCATTGGTGAGCTAGTCGACTTGCTCTCCCTGTGTTTCACATGGTTTAATTTTTTGTGCTTTCAGGAAAAGGCACTGCAGCTGCCTAAAGAACACGAGATGGATCCCAAGGATAAATACACGGTGTTCAGTGCGACTTCACGAGGCTATCGAAAAGGCATTCACAAAGTGCCCAAGTGGACTAGAGTGAGTTTACCCTCATCAATCGCACATTTAGTATATTGAAACGTTCACTTATTAGCTCACACTAAGAGTCAACCCGAAGGGATTTTAAGTGATGCCTCTTTACAATTATGCATATAGACTGCGGTATTGTACTTTTAACTTAATCCTATGGGATCAACTAGAAAAGCACCAGTTGGATTTTCCCTTCCTGAATGCCCTTGAGTACCTTTGGTGCCCCTAGAACGGTTCGGAATACTTCGTCCCGAGTCTCCGGGATATCTAATAAGTTTCTGTTCTTTGGGTCTCGATATGAGAGATCCAGGATAATGTGTGTGAGCTGAGACACCACAAGGGCGTCTGAGAAACATTGAGAAAGTGTTTATCACGGTATTCCAAGATAGTATCTAGCTCACCGGTTTCACATAGTAGTTTGCCAATTCTTCCAGGAGTCCCAACAGCAGAACCAATTTTTGACCTCTTGAGATAAGAAACGTGCTCTTCCAGCTTAAAGTGTCTCGCAAACAACTTTGCTACATCTGCACCCTTCTCACGACGCAGTCTCTTATCTTTGAGAACTCTGGTCGCATCCGCGACCCGGAGTGCAGCTCCCGCTATGAATAGCAATGTGGGAGCTCCAGCCACTTTGGACCTTTGCGACAGACGGGTGTGTAGTGTCGGAAGAACTACAATACATCAATATACATTTGCAAGATGTAAGATGAAAAAACATACCTTCAATAATGAATTCAACCAGATTGTCTAACGATCTCGACCCCGTCCATATCGTCGTATCCGCAATCGATGATTCTGTCTAGTTGTTAAATTGAGATCATTCTGTGAGGACTAATATAGTTGAGCTTACCGGGTATCAAGACGTCACCGAGTTCTATCCCAGACATTGCAGGGAAAGCCTTGACTTGCATAGATGAGACATAGTCTGCGAGTTTGTGAGCAGGTTGCGCTGCCACTGAAAGAGGCTCGATAACCTCGACTGTTTCTGCTAACTTCTTCTTCTACGAAGGATAATGATTGTGAGTGAAAGACCAATGATCTGATAGGTGATACGAACCTTGATCTTGCGCTCCTTTTCCTTTTCTCTCCGCTTGCGTTTCTTTTCTGTCGTTGTTTTCTCCTTGGTATGAACCTCCGCTTCCTCGGCATCCTCATCTGCACTTAGAAGACCACCTATATCGTCGCCTAGACCATTGTCTTCCTCGCCAGAGGTAGCGACGAGTTCATCCGGCACGAAGTCATCGTCCAAGTCATCACCTCGTTGACCATTCATGCTGCTGTGAGACAAGTAACGGTGAGAACAATGATGAAAACAAGCTTTAGAAATGGTCTTTTTTTGCTTCCGCGAACCGTGATGCTTGCCGGACGGTGCCGAAGTAGACCCTGTCTAATAGCCTACTCTTGGCCTACCTGTCAAACCGCATACTGAACTTAGTCACTTACAAGTTACCAGTGTCGATTGCCTAGGACGCCCTGCCAACCTGATATCATGCAGCTAGCAAGCCCTGACCCCGACGGGCTATCTTCCTTTGTGACCTTTCTCCTATCCCTCATTCAACTCCTGGCCTCCAATTGGAAAGTCTTTCTACTCTCTTCGTTTCTTATATTGTCTGTCACAGTCTTTACACGCCGCGCAAAACAGTCGAAAGAGTCTTCTTCATTGCTTGTCGAGGGTTCTCCCCCTCACCAAAAGCCTTTAAACGGTTCAGACATCCCTCCAGTATATCATCGTCCATATTCGCAAATATCTGACAGATCAACTTCAAAGTGGTCTTCGCAAGCTCAAAAAGATCTGATCGTGAAAATCGCTCAAAAACAGGATCATCGTGTAAAGCAACCCTACGATGCCTTTCTTGTTTTGGACGTCGAGGCTACTTGCGAAGAGGGGGCCGGCTTTGAGTGGCCTAATGAAATCATAGTTCGTCTCATCTACTATTACATGGTTCTTTTTACACCCAGCTCCTGACCATGTCTTGCTAACATAGGAATGGCCTGTCTGTCTCATGCGCTGGAAAGATAAATCGGACCAAGGAAAAGCTTCCCAGCTGGAAATCGTAGATGAGTTTCGGAGCTTCGTCAAGCCGACATGGAGACCTCAACTATCGCAATTTTGCACGGATCTTACAGGAATCACGCAAGTTCGTCCGATGTTTCTGCTTCGATGCCGTATCATAATCAAGTCATGATTGAATTTTAGGCCCAAGTCGACTCAGCGCCAACCTTTCAGAAGGTCCTGAAGATGTTTGCACGTTTTCTGGCTTCTCATGGATTAATAGATCCAAAGAGCGGGAGACCTATACAACGCTTCTGCTGGTGCAGCGATGGACCTTTTGACATAAGGGATTTCGTCGTGAAGCAATGTTTCATATCAAAAGTCAGTAGTTTAAGCAGGTCTACTTAAAAGTTCGACCAATCTCATCATCTGTTTATCGATTGTCAGGCGCCTATGCCATTGTGGCTCAAAGGGAATGTTCTCGACGTCAGGAGAGTTGTCTCGGTTTGGGCAGTTGCGTCTAGCAATCCGGACACTACGACCAAGGTGCTTATTAATTTCCGTCGATGTGGACTCACTCACGATGCTCTTATCAGCCCTCAGCACGTTCTCATATTCGATCATTGAACATACCGCAGCAGTTGCAAGCCCTCGGGTTGCCAGGGTTTCAAGGCCGTTTGCACAGCGGTATTGACGTCAGTACCCGACTTCCTCACGCAACTCTGCCTTGCTGATATTTTTGTTCGTCTTCACACCGTCATTTCTTCCCATAGGACACACGGAACATTGCACGTGTGATGACTGAGCTTGCTCGTCGTGGTGTCCGTTTGGAACCCAAGACATCCATCAATCCAAATCGTCGTTGGAATTGGATGGGAAAGCCTGGAGAGGTTCTCGAGCACACTCTAATGTTCCAATGATATGAAATGTGATTGCTTTAAATGATTGTTACCAATTAATAATTTATAGCCCAATGAGAGTAAGTAGTGAAGCTAAAAACACATCAATTTCTAAAAGTGTCCATTCCCCTGCGCGAACTCTAATAGTGCTGCTTCTGTTCGACCAAGCCGTCTGTGCCAGTACCACTCGTGGTCACAGTTGGAAAAAACGGAACCTTGATATACCAGCTAACTTGGTTCCCGAAAATACGTAATTGAGAGATTTCCTAGAGGTGCAGAAGAGCAGTGTGTTGGATACACAAGGATGAGAATATTGTAGGTGTGGGCGCTCTGGCGTCCGAAACATCCCACGCCAAATGCGAAATGGAAAATTTACTAACAAAGAGCATTCTCTTCAGTTCCATCAGCAACAAAATTCTGGAGAGCTACTCACAAAGTCCCAAAGAGTTCCGAATGCAGGAATACCAAGTTCCTTGCAACCATGCTGGATCTCAAAGTTGCCCACATAGTTGGATGTGATGAAGACAACTTCAGCCTGCCAGGAGTCGTATACCTCCTTCAAGATCTTCATGGTGGGTGGACGACCACCACGGACCTTGGAGTCCCAAAGGAGGAGACGCTCTGGACCGACATGCCTGTGAATGAGATTACTAATGGTTGGGCCGAATGTTTTCTCTTGATCGGAGCCTAGTGGACATGTCAGTAATATGCATATGCCTTAGGTTCAAATTATCGCACCGATCCAAATTAGGTACCAATATGGAGACTGGATGCAAGTCGAAAGGGCAGCGCCAAGACCAGTTCCAGTGCAGATACGGATTCCACGCTTGTAAAGGGTCGACGTATTGGAGACACCAGCGAACTAGAAAAAAAATTAGCAATCTGATCGGAAAAAATTGCTTTGGTCGGTTTACCTTCAGCTCACGAGTCCAAATCCTTCTCGGCGGGTCGTTGACCAGGCTCTTGGTGAAATCACCTTGCACACCGCAAATAAGGTAGTGGTATTTTGCATGGGTACCCTCGCTGCACAGAGTTAATAGGATCGCATAGCGACGACACAGAAGACTCACGAGATGATACCGAAAGCGTGATATTCCTTGACAGCCGAGCGACTGATACGAGCAAGCAGACCCTGTTGCATACCACGCTCGAAACGGAGAACAGCGACTTTCGGAGAGGGCAGTTCGATGTCAACCTTGGCGTGTCTCGTGCAAATCCAAGGTAAAACAATACTAGAACTGCTGTGAGCAACGCAATCGAGAAGGCACGTAAAGCATTACTTACAAGACGGACATTCCAACCGTGTACCAGAAGGCCTGCTGTTGGACGACGTATCGACCAATGTGGTCGAAGTCGTTATCCGCGGCATTATAGGCATTGGTCACGATAGTGTATACCCCTTCAAACAATTAGCACAGTCGTAAGCTTTCCTACGTTAGAGAACCTACAGGTCATGACCAAGGAAGTCCATCCGAAGAAACGATGATTTCTCTCGAACACACTAGGTGCCAATGTCAAAACGCTGGGATGATTGACCGAAAAGAATACTCACTTGTGATGGGTGTTACGGACCCACGGAAGACCAGCACAGATTGTGACGAACAACACCACCGTGGTGATCACACCGAATGCAAGTATAGAGTCGTTGAACAAATACTTGGTCTTGAATTGGTGGACGACCATGAGGATGATCCAGGCAAAACCGGAGATTGCACATCCACTGTGGATACCACCAAGATGCTGTAAAGAAACGTCAGCTCCTTGAAATCGCTATTTGCAGTTCAAACTGACCTGTAGCGTGGAGGTACATGCAAGACGGAACCACAGAGGGGTCCACTATAGTAGAAAATATATCAACATCAATTGAAAATGTCAAAAATGCATGGTACGAACCTTGGCGAAGAACGTGTTGACGAACAAATACAAGCAACGCCCGAATATTTCGTTTCGCTACAAGAACCGCAACGTTCAAGTTGCCGACGACCGAGTGCACCAGGGTATTTTGCCGCGTATGGCCATTTTCCAGCAATCGCAAAGCCAAGCCCAATGAAATTGAGCGTGAATATCACCGTAAAGAAACGGCTTGATAGATGAGAAGAGTGAGCATTCAACCACATGTATTGTCAGATAATAACCATACCGATATGAGTTATACCAGATGATCCAGAGGACCCACAAGGGTGTACTCTTCTTTGCTGGCTTGGTAGGGGGTGGTGGTGGCTTCGCGACGTTTGAGGGAGTCACTGGTGCATCTTTCTTAAGAGACTGCACGGCGAACACCTCTATGTCTGATTCCTTCTTCTCGTCCCTGGCGAGATCGGCGATCTGAGGAGAGCGGACATCCAGTGTCCCTTTCTCCGCATCATTGTAAGCCAAGGCAGGTCTAGTAGACATTGCTCTCTCCAAAGTCGCGATAAGAAACTACCCGCTGGGCGTAGAGAAAATATGAAGCGCGAAGTTTTAGACATTCAGTATGAACCCTTTTATCGTTTCAAGAGTGCGGGTCCTTTCCAAGGTTTTCCAACATGAGAAAGACGATCGAGCCTGTGGATCTCGGAATTACTAGTCTGTTGCCACAATATTAAAAAATAGGAATAATGCGACACAGGATATTCACAGCAAAGGCTCCGGCTCCTGGGTGACCAGTGACCCGGGGGATTCAGAGACAATAGATATGAAGGGCGTGAACATACTCACAGTATCAAAGCCAGATGGAAACTGGTAATGACGACTCAACTAAATGTCTTCGTCTTTATTGTTTAAAGTGATGTGACTCCCACTGAGTACTGCATCTCAGAGTCGGGTCATTCATTCGATAACTACTATGTGCACGACTCCAAAAGGGTCTGGAACTTTCCTAGCAGTTCGCGTGATAGTGACTGAAATAGTTATTCCAACCAACAGAAAATTATTGACTTACAAATATGTCATTGCTGGAGCGCCGATAGGCCTCCATGCAAAATCACGGACGTGTGTTCAAGATCACGGTCTTCCTGGGAAGATGGAAGCATAATTTGGCCGAAGCCCCGGAGAGATGAGAACGTACCCCTGTACTGCTTGAGAACTGCCTGTTACCCGGAGCAAGATTTCCAGATAGCCGCACAGATCTACCACATAAAGTATACATGGGTTCGCAACCTGTGTGGTGATCATCTTAGTACAAATTTAGAGCTGTGTGCGAACAACAACACGAAATTCTCAGAAGCGCGTGTGACCAAAAAGGAAATTGATGAAAGTGACAATGTCACATTAACAGACGTCATTAATCTTATCTAGTGTGCGAGTTATGCGGGCTTGTTATCAGATATGAAGCAGGTACATTCCGATCACCTACTTCAAGCGCTTCCGCAACACGGCCCTGCGCAGCAATATGGAAAATCAAATCTAAATTTGATGTTCGGAATACTCATAGACGCATAACCAAGGGTGCCGGTGATGTACCTCACCGAACCTCATTGTCCGAGCAGTCGGACCAAGGCATGCGGAAGCACAAGTGCGAATAACATATACACTTGAACCTGGTCCTTCGCCCACGGAGTAACATATAATCAGAATACACATAACAAATACCTCGAAAATACTGCGGCTACCTGACAGGGGTACTGATCAATCAGTTCCCCTCCTCAACAAAATCTCTGAGGCGTCGCAATTGCGCAGAAACTTCTTCTTTAAAGAGACCGATCTCATTGCTGTTCTTGGCAATAGCTCTGATGGTCTCGTCTTTCAATCGTGAGACCTTCGCTATTTGCTCTCGATAGCTAGCAGACGGTAATGAAAATTTTGATTAGTTGGAGCGGGAAAACGGACTTACTCAAATTGTAAGGCCTGGAGTCTTGATTTTACTCCCATACCGCTCGATAAAGCAGCCGTGCGCGCATGGGCAAGTTCTCTCTCCAATCGGGCAGCCTCGGCATTGCTGACCATAGACTCTTGTTGAGCAGCCTATAACGGCAAAGTGTATCAATGAGAACTATAACACAGTAGTGAGAAAATACGACTTACATCTCGAAGGTCATCCGCCTGCTCGTTCAGGCTCATCACCTTCTTCTCAATTTCTCGCACCTCCTCATCGACATTCTCGCATTCCAAAGTCAGCTGATCAAGTTCGTTATCCACCTTGATGCGCTCGCTTTCAATATCTGCCCGATCTGTTCTCTTCATCTCGGCTACACTGCTTAGTGTAGGTTTTATGACCTTGCGAATGTCAGAACCCAGCAGTAGCTGCTGAGGATTCCCAGTGGCCGTGTTTAGCTCCAACCTGAGGTCGATGTTGTCGAACGGTGGCTGGAGTGGGGGAAATAAGCCCACAGCAGATAGGAGATTACCATATAGATCTAGTGCCTCTTCTGCCGCAGCCCCACGGTTGGTTGTTATGACTTCCAGAGACATTACTGTCTTGCGCGCTTCAGAGATTTTGTATTTGAGGTCCTCCAGATTCCGTGATAGCGTTTCATGGTCAGTGTTCATGCGAATGACTTCTTCTGGTGTCAAGTTCTGAACTTTGACCACCTCGCTAAGCTTTTCATGCTCGGCTTTGAGTTGATCGAAGTTCTGAGCTGAAAGTCAGAGTTCATGATGATTCACCCGCCATCAGTTTGCATGACGCACATCGAGCAGCGAGTTCTGCTTTCTCGCGAACTACAGATTCAGTGAGTTGTCTTTTTCGCGACTCCAAGCGGTGCAAAACGTCGTCAAATTTGGCTCGATCATCCAAGATACAAGCCCGGATTTTCTGGAGTTTTTCCAGAGGTGCCTAACGAGTCTATATTTAGCGGACAACATTAGCCGAAATGATCATACCTGTAACCTACCTTTGATCCTCGAAGTTCGTCCAACTCCTTCACTCCTTGTGCTAGTAGTGCTTTCTTATTTTCTAAGTCGCCGACCACCCTCTCGTTCTTTTTCGCTTCAATTCTATCGTGAGAAAGAGCTGTTTTTAAAAATATAGAAGACGTACTGTAAGTAACTTCCAGTGCTTTATCCTGTTCGTGGAATACATCTGCGCCATGAAAAAAGGCGACATAGGCTTCTGAAAAGTATTCGAATGCAAGCGCCTGATGATGAATAGGGTCGCTGAACTCTTCGGGAATTCTATCGACAATTTGTAATGTAGGATCATCTTCGCTCTCCAAGTAGTTCAGCCGAGCCTAGAGCAAGCTATTAATGCAAGGTTGTTTATAGTTTAAGTGTAGATAACCTTTCCCATCTCGACGAGCCAATGCAAAGCTGCCAGCAGAGTAGGCCATGAATGCATACTTCCCGGAGCAGCCAGCCATTTGTTGTCAATTTGGGCCGCAAACGGGTATCGCAGGGCTTTGAGAGCGGGTTGAAATTCATCCTCAAAGCGAAGGCGAGTATCAAACGGGTATCCAGGATCCGCGATAGCCACAAGGTGTTGAAACATGGCTCGAAAATCTTTGCCGGTGATGTTTGATAGCGTTTGCATAGAAATGTCGAATTCTGTCGCTTGCAGCCAAGAGTATATTTCTTGCTTCATTTTCGATTGATATGAGCGCTCGCGAATTGGTCGTGGGTCCTTGAATGTTTGACTACCGGAAGGAGGAGCAAGAGACGCGCCGCCTGTCCATACTGAACCCCTCCTAGAGGAGCTGAGAGTAGGGTACAGTTCGAAAGGAACGTTGGCGAGATTGGAAAAGACACTTACTTGGTTAAAGGGGTACGCCCATAATTCGGTTTGCTCGTACTCTGTAGCAGTGGATTCACATTCTGCGACCGATAACCAGAATGTCCTGTATTTGAGCCAGAGCCCGCTCCCGGGGGCAAATAGGGTGTGCGGGCTGCTGGGCCAGCGAGGGACATGCGCATAGCAGACGATGGTGCTTTCTTTGCTGTTGATGGCATTGGTAGGCCTGACCGAGTGTTGCCATATATATCAGTGGCAGGCTGCATGGTCGAGCGGCGGAGCAGTTCCGACATGTCGCCGACGAGCAGTAGGAAGTTGATGTGTTGGACGCGTCGTGCGTCGCGATCAGCAGTAAAACAAGTTGTCATATGCACGTGACCGTGCCACTAGACCCTTTTGATTAGCATCTGATCTTATCTAATATCTATATACTAGTACTACTTGCAATTGCTATCTACTACGTTCTCGATTCAAGAGCTACGTAAAATGTCCAACCGCCATGCTCCAGTGAATCTCTTTGGAGATAATGGAATGAGGGCCAATCTACCCATAAACTTGATCAATGTCGCGTATGGCTCACTCTTGCCAAATGCTATATCCCACTGACTGACCAAATCAATCTCAGAGACACACAGGAAATCTCAAACTCTCAGGAAATATTCGTGTACCGTGACTCTGGTGCAAGCATTATTATCGACATCCTCCAAAAGGTCGATATCGAAGATCCGGAAGCGGCAGCAAAGTTAGTGTCCCCCTGATGTTGTACATGTGTTCAAGAAGCTCTGATGCAGGATATCACAGATTCCATCTCGATGCAATAGCAGAAGACAACGATTCAATGGAACATACTTCCAGCATTGTTCAAAGACCCGTCACCAATGAACTTTCTCCAATTGTACTCGACGGACGGCAGGTTCTAAAGAAGGCGGGGTCAATTCACCACCTTCGTACCCTATTTGCTCTTTTCCGTGTCAAAGGAAAGAACCACGATGTCGTCGTCTCGTTCAACATTCCGATTGAAACGGGACAAGGACGGGGAAGAAATGGAGCTGTTACTGCGGAACAGGAACAGCTTATCGCATCAGACTTCTACGGAGCAGTGGATTCCCTGAGAATTGTCGATTACAACCTTTTTGCAGTCTAGGCTTCCTACATCATGATAACGGGCTCTACAGTTCAACACAACTTTCTCGGACCCGATCTCCAGATCTTAACATCAATATCTTGCGCTTGATCTCTCATGAGTGTTATGAACGTTGTTTCAGAAACTCGATCTCCGTCTCATACATATCGGTTTGATTGCATCCTATATCATCAGCTTATCGCACTCCTAATGGAGCATCTCGTGGAAAGATGTACATAGTATCAGGTGTGCTTCCTCGTTTCCGCTCCATACTGTGAAATGGGGGCCGCCTTCCGCATGGATGTAACCGCCAAACGTCGATCTCACTTTCAGGGTTTCTAATAGGTCAGACGGGAACTAATGAGAACTGAAACTTCTTCTCATTTCGACAATGTGGCCCCAGTGGGAACGAAAACATGTATTCAGGCATATCACGATGTATCACGCTTCCACCAGAACAATACGTCATGTACAGGGAATAGACTCATCGAGACACAACGAGAATGATTCGGGAAGATCATTACCAAACCAATAGGAAACGGAAATGATTATGATGGTATATCAGACTAACGATAGCATCAGCGATCACATTCGCGAGACACGTGCGAACATCAACTACGTCGGCGGGCGTACTGAGTCCTCATCTAACATTTGCTCAGCCTCAGGGTCCTCCACGATCGGTTCACCCACACTCCTCTTCGCTGCCTCAGCAGCCTTGGCATCTTTTTTGCGCTTTGATGATTCCTTGAGCTTTTCCCATCTCTCACGAAAGCGTGCGATCGTCAGTTTCTGCGAGGGAAGTCAGACAAAGGCATCACACATGTGTTCGCAATGTACCTGTTTATCATTCTCCATGCGAACAGCTCGAACGTCTTCTTCCAACTCCCTTATGCGGCTAAGTAGCTGTGCCTCCCGATCACGGCCAACGTTCAATGCTGTGACTGGTGCTGGAACAGCTGGTAAATTGATATTCAGAGCGCTGAGGTCTACTACTGGTTGTTGCCCGGATGGTCTTGTTATTACCGTCGAGGCACCCATTGCTCGCTGTGCCTAATAGAGAGTATTGGTAATAAGTCAGTCTGATAGAAGGATCGGCGAAGGAGCGCAAGATCACCTGGTGTCGCGCCATCACAATGCTTTCGCGTAATTGTTGGTCCTGTTCCTTGCGCAGCTGCATGATCCGCTCAGCGGCCGCCAAACGTTTTGACATCGCCTCAAGCTCTTGCTTCAGAGATACATTTTCTTTCTTCAATTCCGAGCGGGACGGTTCCGAATCGGAGGGAATCATGTAAAAGGATTCTGATAGCTCGTTACCTTGGAGAGCTCGTTTTGTAACGCCAAGTCCATTGACAATGTACCGACATACCTTCGTCCGCAAATACTTCCTCGTCCGTCTCCTCAAGCAAGGTATCCACTTCTGAACGAGCAAGTCAAAACAGAGCTATTGATAATGCGGTTTCGGCAATCACTTACTCGACTTAAATTTACCATCTAATCCCAGCCGTGTAAAAAACGTAGAAGTGTGGGGCTGTTCGATATCGGTGTCACTACATGAGCTCCCGTCCCGCCGCGAGCTCTTCTTTCCCGACGTGGGTAGTTCGGTACCCAAAGGGGCTGTGGCAAAGGCAACTGGCTGGGATAAATTGTCGAGCATTCCCTCCATGATTCTCCAAAAGTTATTGAAGGCATCGCCCGGATCAGACTATCAGTGCAAGGTTGTAAAAAGTCATTGGGTAGAATATATATAATCATACCTGTTGCCCAAGCACCATGAATGATTCGTCGACGTTATTATGGGAGTCTAATAATCGACTCGAACTACTAGCACTAGCATGCAGCGGGACGGAGGGTGCAGGAGCGGGCGCGTGAGGAGAGACATTTGAGCCGCCCCCGTTCTTGTGCGTATGAACCTGTGCATGCCTCGGCGTAGTCTTTTGCGGTAGGGTAGGGTCCTGGTTTTCCTCACGAAGTTTCGCAATTCTCCTCTGTAGTTCCTTTCCAGCTTTTACATGTTCATTGTACAGCATACGGAGCGTCGATTTTGTCTGAGAGGCATTGCAGGTCACTAGGGGCACTAGATATGATACAAGGACTCATACGCACGTTTGCGTCCTGTGACTTCTCTTCGCAAGCGTGAAATGCTTCTGCAGCTTTTATGTGTTCCTCTGAAGCTGGGATAAGCAACCCTTGGCTTCGGTAATCCTCTGCATTTGCTGCATGTTGGTGCGCCTGTGCTAAGTATCAGCACCAGAATGGTATCACATCCATACAATCATCTACCGTTTGTAATGATTCCATCTTTTTGTTCACTGGTTCACTCGTTGGATTAGGGGAGAAGTGAAGAGGACTAACTACGGAGACCTCGTAGGGTACGGAATTTTTCGTTTATTGACGCGGAACTAGATTGGCTGAAGTGACCTAATGAAGAGGTCTTTTTAGGCGAGGCATGCCTGCTTGATCAGCGTGTGCCACCTTTCACTCGTCTAACTTGCAACCAACTCTTGTACATGTAATATGAAGGCAACGCAACGTCGTAGACTGATGAAGTTCCTCCTTTCGAGGTTCGGGCATCGGCATAATCACACGGTCCTTTGGAGACGGAGCTTCCACTTAATATGGTCACCAATTGCAATCGCCGCCACCGTGATGATTGCAGCGTCTCACCACCACTCTCACAGCTCATCGGGCAATAGCTCACTGCGTGGGATCCCGAGCGACTTAGCAACAGCCAGGGATGAAACTCTTCTGGTGCTATGTAGCACCTGTGAACAGCCCACGCTGTAATATGAAACGTGCTAAAGCTGGCTCATGGCATCCAGTTCGCTGCTTCCTCAACGTATTTTGGATCACGCATCTTGCCAGAACCTACCAAGGAGTCCCTTTCATACTCTGAAACTCTCGAATGAAGGGTTTCAACATGACATTGCCTTGTTGTAAATTCATCCCCTGCATCATGATGGTCCGAGGTACCCGGCATCTGCATCGGTGCTCTACGTTCACATGCGTTTTCGTGCCGACAATACTCTCAGATAGCCCGAACGAATCTTTCACCACCCGAATTTTTGTCACGCGTCCCTGTTGGCAGCGAAATTCAGAGCATTGCAGCAGACTCACGCAGATTGTATTTTCACTGGGAGCATTGTACAATTCTGGCAGTTTATTCCTTCCGATGAGCTGATCGGAAGAAGTAACCTTTTATCAATTAATTTTAGATCGCGCCTCTGTAATGTACGGGTGAGAGTATGTTCACTAAGCATATGGTGCGTTCGACCGCCGATGTTTAGAACTGATAGGAGGCAGTGTCCTGAATATGGTCAACTATCAAGCGGGCATGATGCAGCGGACATGCATGCATAATTATCAGTGATCAAGTTTGAATTGCAATTTGGACTAGCCCCTGAGATCAGCACCGGCCGTCATGTTCGAAATGAGCGACGGCAACGTGCGTATAACACGGCTAGTCTGTAATTCCCCTTAATCCATCACCTCTATCATCTATTATTTACCATGGCTTTGGGTAGCTCTTCTTTTCAGGAGATCAGACCTGCGGTCGTTCCTGATGCTGCGGTGCGCCGTCCCCGATATACTGGTGTATGATTCTGACATGTACTGATTGACTAGCCTCGCTTAAGCGGGATCACAAGGCAAAACTTAAGCGACCAACCCGTGCGCGAATATGACGAACACAAAGTAAGCATTCGACATATTCATGTCATGGATTCCAGATAATCTTTGTGCCTGAATAGGCTCGCCGAGGACGCCGAAGCAGTAAGTTGTTCCCGCTCAGAAGTCGGAATGTGACATTCCATTCTCACTGCTCAGAGCCAAGCACATCTCTGGAGCCGTCTGTTGGTGGTGCGGCACTCTCCAGAACTGTACGTGACAAATACGTATTCTGGGACGTACTATGAGTGCGACCCATCTAATACATTTTAATAGAATGAATATGCATCCCTACCATCACGGAGGCCTGAGAACTCTTTAGCCGACACATTCATGTACATGTTCGATAACCCGTTCGCCGACGCCGCGCCTTCGGGGGACACCCCCAGTTCTGCTACGCGAGAAGATCCGATTCACGATGTCATGAAATACTCGCATGTTGTCACTGCAGAACACAAACCCAGAGTCGCCCGTGTGTCAGGTATCAACGGAGCATGGCCAGAAAGAGCTGAGATAGTAAATCCAAGTCGAGGTTTTCCCGCGCCTACCATTCCTCGTGGTACATTTTCACAGGCAAAAGCTTTCTTTCTGAAGTTAAGCGCCAGCGGGGGTTATTTACAGGTGAGCATCCTGATATGGCTGCAGGATCAGCTGACCTGAAAACAGGGAGCTATCTCACAGCGAACGCGAAGTCAAGATAACCCTATCAAAGACAAGGACTCAATAGGTGACCAGGTTAAAGTTGACGTACCTCGTGCTCGAAGTGCGAACGGAAGGATTATGTGCGACCCAAGCAGTTGGTAACTTCTGTATATATTGCATGGTTTGAACTAGCTTCAGCAGAAGTCAGCAGACTACTGCCATTCTCTCGTGCTTGTTACAGTAATTGAGAATTTCTACTTACTGGAACTGGTGAATGGATGACTGTGGGTAAAACAATGCTGGACTTTGGAAAATATTTGAAAAAGATAAGCCGTGAAAAGTAACACATGGAATAAAATTATGTCGGTAACATTCTACAGTATCGACGGAGGGAATGGCTTTTCTTGATGACGAATAAGACGCGAGAATGTTAGCAGCCACACTGGTTGCTGGAGTCGAGCTTGCCCGATTTGATCGTATCGAGACCCTGGACGATATAGAGAGATTGGGGTTGGCACTGCACAACTCGTACCCTGGCTGGTCGCAGTTATGTGTGACTGCACAGTCCAATGCGCTGATATGAGTAAGGAGAAATTTTCACCAGGTAGCTCAGGGATTGTCCCTGTACATATTGGAATAAATACTTAGTTACTTAGTACTAGGAATGCCAAATTCTAAAATGTCACGGTCGTCGCCGTTTGCAAGTCGAAAGGGAGCCAAACTCACGCTTAGAACTTGAAGCCGTCGCTAAACCTGTCCTAAACGGGACTTGTACCTAAACCTTACGGCGCGCAACGCCAACACTTGCAGTCTTATTCCGCGTCCTAAACCTCAGCAGTGTTCCTAAACCACGTAGTTTATGTTCCTAACCCTTAGAAGACCCAATCCTTAACACTCCTAAACCTTTTCTGACCCTTTCCATAGAGTATATCCAGTACTATGTAGTATGTCTATGAATATAATGCACCTCTCACTCAAAAATGGAATTAACTGATTATACATTGCTAACATAACAAGGTTTAGATAAAGATTAGGCCTGCTGAGGCGGCCAGGAATGAGGAGGTTTAGGAGCACTGCTGACACGTTTTAAGACTGCAAGTGTTGGCACTGCGGCGGCTGCGCGCCGTAAGGTCTAGGTACGAGTCCCGTTTAGGACAGGTTTAGCGACGCTTAGTGTGAGTTTGGCTCCCTTACGAGTCGCAAACGACAACGACATTTTAGAATTGAGTGCGTCCCTACTAAGTACTTACTGTCTTCCTTCTATAATATTGGTCTGACTAGGGGAGACTAAGGAAATTCTACTTCCCAGATACCCCAGTTGTATATTAGTCAGCGAATAGCTCTGGCGTGATTAGTCACTAGCCCAAAACAGATACAAACTGTCAATTATAATCGCCATATAGGGGGTTTTGAGTTTATAAGCCAACATTTGTTTTACGAATTCAGATCAAATGGACAGCGGCATCGCGGCTCCAGTTCCTTAACTGGTCTTTTTTTATTCTATTCTATTTTATTCCGCAGTATTTGAGCCCAATTAATATCGATGGCATGGTGACCTGAAAGCTATTTTGGCTAGTTGAAAGCGTGGTCAAGTTTAGTGCCGAGGGGGGTCGCTGAATGGGCGATGCGGTCGGTATCTGAAAATCGTTGGTCCTCCCCACATCTTTCTGACGTCGTCAACGTCCGACACAGCGAGTTCACTCTTCATATCGTAGACCGCCGAAGAATAAAACCGCCTCAGGCTTTGATCCCTTATTGGGCCCGCCTTCTAGCCTGATGTCGACGCCTGCGCATGCCCTGTGAGTCAGATATTCGAAATACTAGCATCAACTGTCCATTCTCATTCTCATCGTAGCAGGAAGAAAATAAGGGTCACAGGTATGATTCTACAATTATATTTTTCTCAGAGGACACTCATTTTGTATGTTTTGGGCAGTTGTCGCCGCAGATGGGCTGTCTAAGCGTGATGTATTCCGCCTACCGGACCCTTTTGCAGTCATCACCGTCGATGCAGAGCAGACCCACACAACCAGTGTTATAAAGAAGACTCTGAATCCTTACTGGAATGAGAGTTTTGACATGTAAGTTTGGCATCGGTCGAGCGCAGTCAGTAAGTGCGTGATTGATATCCCATGTGCACAGCACCGTCAAAGATTCCTCGGTGGTAGCCGTTCAAATATTTGACCAGAGGAAGTTCAAGAGGCGTGACCAAGGGTTTTTGGGTGTGGTCAACGTGAAAGTTAGCGATGTACTCGATCTTGAACTAGGTGGTCACGGTAAGCGCCCACCGTCAAATCACCCTTATGCGTACTTATGACTCAAATCTTATCCAATTTGATAGAGATGCTGACGTTGGATCTAAAAAAGTCCAACGATAACCTCGTGGTTCATGGCAAGCTCATCATATACTTGTCAACAAATGTAAACCAGCCTATGAGCAACCCTGGACCCTCCCAAGTACAAGGCGTTACCTCTGCATTGGCCGACATGGGAATGAATGAATCAAGTCTCTCTTTGTCACCCATCGCCGCCTCAACAACAGGTAACACTCTGTCTCGCCCACCCAGTTCACACGCCACTGCTTCTGAGCCCGCCGCAGCACCGTTGATGCAGATGCCGACGCCCCACATACCACCTTCGGCGATTAGCACTGAGGTGGAACAATCGTCTTCACAGTCTCCATCGGGTCGTCCTATCAGCTCAAGCGGTGGGCACGCCACACTTGCTGTACCCCCATCTACAGCACCTTCCTTGGCCACTTCTCCAGGACAAGCGGCTACCAATGCACAGCAGAGGAATTTCAATCCCAATGTTGATCAGTATGGATCATTACCTCCTGGATGGGAGCGTCGCATCGATCCACTTGGTCGGACATATTATGTTGATCACAATACCCGGACAACAACTTGGAACCGACCATCGCCTAACCAAACTGTGAATCACAGCAACCAGGATAGTGAAACAAATGCTGCGAGAGATCAGCACTCGCGCCGCATACTCGCCGACGATATGGTCGATGCTGCTAGCACAGGTGCTGCTGGTGCCAACGCGTACCGCAGCCCGTCAACGTCGGCACCATCCCCATCGCCCAGCGTTCCACCAGCAGTCGTAGGTTCGGGTGGAAGTGCTACCACAGCTGGGACTGGAAGTCTCCCAGCCGGCTGGGAGGAGCGCTACACCCCCGAAGGACGACCCTATTATGTGGATCATAACACGCGCACCACCACCTGGGTCGATCCCCGGCGCCAGACCATCATCCGTGTCATGGGCCCTAATGGACAAAACACATCCTTGCAGCCTCAGACCATATCCCAGCTTGGTCCATTGCCCTCTGGTTGGGAGATGCGTCTTACATCCACCGCACGTGTTTATTTCGTGGACCACAACACGAAGACAACCACATGGGACGATCCCCGCATGCCATCCACGCTTGATGCCAACGTTCCACAGTACAAGCGTGACTTTAGAAGGAAACTCATTTACTTCCGAAGCCAGCCTGCTATGCGTGCACAGCCGGGTAACTGCCAGATCAAAGTGCGGCGGAACCATATCTTCGAGGATAGTTATGCAGAGATCATGAGGCAGACGCCGAACGATTTGAAGAAAACGACTCATGATTAAGTTTGATGGAGAGGATGGTCTTGATTACGGTGGTTTATCACGGTAAGCTGGACTGAACTATCAGAGTTTGTGCGTTTACTGAGTTCCTTTGCAGAGAGTTCTTCTTCCTTCTGTCGCACGAGATGTTCAACCCATTCTACTGTCTATTCGAATACTCTGCCCACGATAACTATACCCTTCAAATCAATCCCGCTTCAGCCGTCAACCCAGAGCATTTGAACTACTTCAAGTTCATCGGTCGCTGTCTCGGTCTCGGAATATTCCACCGTCGTTTCCTCGATGCATATTTCATTGTCAGCTTCTACAAGATGATTTTGAAAAAGAAGGTGACGCTGGCAGACCTTGAATCTGTCGATGCTGAGTTGCATCGTGGGTTGACTTGGATGTTGTAAGTGCTTTGTCACTTTTTGTCGTGATTTCTCCCAACCCTTGTTCAGGGAGAACGACATCACGGACGTGATCGATGAGACCTTCACAACGACCGAGGAACGCTTCGGTGAACTAGTCAACATTGAACTTCGTCCAGGGGGAGCAGATGTCAATGTGACTCAGGATAACAAGAAGGAATACGTGGACGCCGTCGTCGAGTATCGGATCTCCAAGCGTGTCAAGGAACAGTTTGACTCGTTCATGTCGGGCTTCAGCGAGTTGATTCCACAAGACCTCATCACTGTCTTCGACGAACGCGAACTGGAGCTCCTGATCGGTGGTATGTCGGAGATTGACGTGTACGTTCCTTAATTGAAGTCGTGAGGCCGTTTGGCTGAATGTTATTTCAGAGATGACTGGACTAAGCACACCGACTACCGCGGATATGAGATGAACGATGAGGTCATTCAGTGGTTCTGGAAGTGCATTCGGAGCTGGCCGCCTGAGCGCAAGTCCCGCTTACTTCAGTTCGCTACGGGGACATCTAGGATTCCTGTCAATGGTTTCAAGGACCTTCAGGGCTCGGATGGACCCCGCCGCTTTACCATAGAAAAATCTGGTGACCCTTCACAACTACCGAAGAGTCACACCTGCTTCAACCGTATCGATCTTCCACCATACAAAGATTATGCTAGCTTGGAGCAGAAGCTCACGCTTGCTGTAGAGTGAGTTCTTTTCGCAATTTGCATCTCAGCTCACACTAAACTCTTTATTAGGGAAACTGTTGGATTTGGTCAAGAGTAATTTTATGTATGTCGACCTTTTTCGCTTCTATCCATACGATCAATGTCACGCTATATTTTTGTAATCTTAGTGGGACACCTTATTTTTCACTGTTCGTTAGAATCGGTTTCTATATGCCACCTTTATGTCGTGTACAGAGCACTGCTTTCAATATCTTTGCGCATGGGATATAGGGCCTTTTGTCCGTATATCGTGGGGCAATTATCACCAGTCATCGTATTAATAAGTAGTGGGTATGAGCTGGCAGACAGCGAAAGGTATATATAAAATATCATAAAAGACAAACAATAGATCGTGAGACCATCACCTCTTCTCAAATGCAAATGCAATATAAATGTCTAAAGGATAAAATGTATTCTATTAGCACCGTTACAGATTACACCGAAAAGTCAGAACTTACTGACTGCCTCCCACTCTTCATCCTCCATCGAGCTGGCGCCGGTCGCATCGCATACATTCATGCGGACCATCAACTGCTTGAATTCCTGGTGCTCCTTGTTTTCTTCAAACACTTCATGGAACTCCTTCTTGAACACAGGGTAAAGTCCGTACTGTGCGGCCATCCTATGCAAAGTCATGTCAGTACCACTCTAGCATGGGGGGCATGTCAAGATGACACAAAAACTCACTCAACAAAATTGTCCCATTCGACAATGTACTCTGGCACATTTTCAACAGCATCACGAAGATAAAAGTAGTATCGGTGGCCAAATAGCGATCGAGAGGTGCGCTGTTCAAACCGGATCTTGTACACCGAATTTCCAAAAGAAAGATCTTCAGAGTCAGGTGGTAGTTGGTCCAGTCGCGCGCTATCGACACGATGAAGTCAGCGACACGGACGTGAGAAGTATGGTGTATTTAAATGGACATACAGGAGCTGATCGGCATTTGGAACCGTCCCGAGAAATATCCCCCCTGGTCTTAACCATTTGCTGACGTTGTTGAGCATGCATCGAGCTTTTTGTGCTGTTTCAAATGCATAGTGCATGCAGAATTGCATGGATACAACGTCGAATGGCTGTGCAAGCTGCTGGGGCGTAAATACCTTCGTAAGTGGTTCTGTATAGCAATCCAACGGAGCGAACGTGGCGTCAAAACGTTGTGGACGCATACTTTCCCACCGCTGTCGAGCTTGCTCGATAGACACGTTTGCGATGTCTATCGAATACGGATCAGATCGGGTTGTGCCAACTAATGCAGAGGATCTTACCGACAGCCAGCATCTCTCGAATTCGAGCCTTCCCCCATTTAATGAGGTCGCCACCTTTGCCGCAGCCCATATCGAGGACTTTTCCATGTTTCCTGGCACCAGCAGCAGCGAGGGCTGGATGGCCGAATTGCGTAATCAGGACCGATTTCACCCAGTTGTTGAAATTCTTGAGTCCGATGATAGGAGACTCCTTGCGCTGCTTTACGCCCACCTCTGGACGCAAATTATCTGGGAAAACGGCGTTAATGGTAGGTTGAGCGGGGGAAAGACGCTTACAGTGATCGATGACCATTTCGACGTCGCCAGCGCGTCTCTTGGCTGGACGTTCTTGATAGTCGTCGGGTTCGCTACTTTGGACTCTTTTGCGTTTGTTTATGAGACGTTGGGTACCGATACCGCGGTAATTTTTGTAGAGCTCTATTTCATCCTGCGTCATGGGAGCGAGGACGGAGCCTGCGGGAGTCAAACGTTGTCGTGGGTTGTAAGGCAGAGTCTGGCGCATCGTCGTCGTCGTTGTCGTCGTCGGGGAGGACGTTGTTTGGGATGATGATGGTGCCATTGGGGAGCGAGTCAAGGGGGACGTTGGAAGGATACGAGAGGATGATGAAGGTACATCAGAAGAAAAAGGGGAAGATGAATTGAGTGAGAGTGAAGAACGTGAAGGATGCTGACGTGAGAATGAGAGATCTTGTTCACGGGGGATGTCGATGGCCGTGGGCAATCTCCGTCCTAATGATGGAGCAGAGTTCAACTTTTCTGATTCAAAGTCATCAGAAAGTAATAGATGAGAGAGACTTGAAGGTCGTGCAGAACTTGGAGTTCGTGGTTCGTGCGGTTCAGAGTTTAACAAGGAAGCTAGATCTGTTGCCCTACGTGTCAAAGACGGGCTAGACGTCGCGTGCGATGATGAAGGACGTGATGATGATGGGGACGGTATTTCGAGTGGACCATATAAATCGTGACCCGGAAGTGATTGTGGCTGAGTGACTGGTGAATTCATAACAGCATCTCGTACTGGATCAAACGCTGGCATGGCTAATTATCACCGAGTACGCCAAAAAGGCCGTTCGTCAACGTTGATGATGGCGAGCACGGCGTCTTTGCTGTACAACTTTTTACGAACAGTCCATCGAGTTACGTAACTATCCTCCCCGCTCCTTGTAGTCTCACGCATCTTCCTCTACCGCGGCGAACTCCTCGACGATCCCATCTTCCATTCGCTGAGCCATTCCGCAATATCACTCGTGGACCGCTATATCACATCCGTCAGTCAGCTTTCTCACATTTCCTCAAGTTCTCTCACCTCGATCCATGCCCTCGAAGCACGCAACGACTCTAGAGTCTGTGATAACCCAAGGTTATATCTGGATGTATCCTTGTCCTGATCACCGCATGCCATCAGTTCGTCCCTTGACGTTTGAAATTACCATTACCTTGAAAAAGTCTACGATCTTCTGATAGTCCTCCTCCTTGGTCAAATTGTCAAAGCTTGACTGATGCTCGCTAAGCCTTGCCTTTCACAACATAACAGTAACCCGAAACATACCGAGACAATATCCTTGAAAGAAAAGTTCCCCTCGAACCGCTTGGCAAGCTATCAAATGATCATGTTCAACGTGGGACTCTTCGGCGTCTCAACTGACAGCCTACCTCCGTGTAGTTGTCTTGGAAGAACTGCGCACAGCTGCGCCTGGTGCGGAAGTTCATCTGGAAGCCGTTGATGAAATATATGATGTCTTGAGACCGCGCTTTTGATAGGATATATGTGAACGTGTCCTTGATGCATGCTTCGTCTTGGCTGGCGCACATCGCCATTCTGACAAATGTATTAAAACAAATGCACTTTACAAACCAGATCTGACTTACACAGCGGAAATACTCTTCGACGGAGGCGTAGTCGGGTTTTCGTACAACGCCTTGGCGAACTCGTACTCTTCACGACCTCCATGCTTCACAGCCTGCACATAACACTCAGCATAAACACAACGTTACTCAACGTCTGACGCACAGTAAGGATAGTCGTCCTAAACAGATCACCAGGTATCCCCGAATCATCCTGCGTTCTCATATAGTCCGCAAACCGGGTCTTGAGCTCTTCCACGACACTACAAATTCGTCAAATTTCACCTAGATCAAATATTCAACAGATACGTACGCAGTGTCCCCAGCAACAGCAGCCTGACCGACAGCGCGGGTGCGCAGTTGCGAGATATCCACAGACTCGGAAGGAGAGTATTCATAGCCAAGGCGTTTGACGATGGGCGCAAACAATGCCTATAAGTACAAATTGCGTCAGCACTCAACAGATATTTGAAATGATCAACCCACCCTGCGGAAAGCATTGAGATCACTGACTGCGGCCTCATGCTCCCACCACGTTGACACCAGAGTAGCGATGTTCCGAGCAATACTGTCCCATACAAGGACTAGAAGATATTGGATTATATAAGTTTATCAAGCTCGTGCCCAATTGAAGTGTAGGACACTGACACTCCCGTTCGTCATGTAAAATATCGACGATAGTCAGCGCACTGCTGACTTTACAAAACCCAGCCTTGGATAATGCCATGATATCGTGCACAAGGCCAATGCGGTCATTCAGCGAGAACACAGCATCGCCCTTGGCAGCTTCATTGGCGATCGCTGCGAACCTCTCATCAGAGTACAACACGCGGTCTGTAATCACCCATGAATACAAACGCCACCAGTAAGAGAACAGACTTACAAACACCATAAGTCCCCGCGTTGAGTTTGAAAGGCTTAGAGGTGTCGATGGCGAGAGTCTTCTCCCTAGTGTCAAGAACGACAGACTTATCGATGTTGACTTTATCGTTAGTAACTGTCAGCAGGGCCAATGGCACGGTCCAGATTGTCTCATTGTCCTTTTCTTCTGCTGATCCAGACTCCAGGAAACGGTCCTGGCGGACATGGATACCATTCTCGTTCTCAATGACAGTGAGGACAGGGAAGCCCATCTGATGTAAGACATGTTAGAGTGAAGCAAGTAGATTGAACCGCTATGCTTGCCTTTGAAATCCAGTTATCCATGATCCTCGGCACATCTACCCCAGTAGATTCTGAGATGCCCTGCCACAGGTCCTTGGTGACAGTGTTTCCATATAGATTCTCCTTGAGGTAGATCGAAACACCCTTCAGGAAGCGCTCCTGGCCAACAAAGTTGGACAGCATGCGCAGAACTTGAAAGCGTCGCTCGTGAGATGAGGTGGTGACAAGATAAATTGAATGCCTTACCAGAGCCTGCTTTAGCATAGGAAAGGGAGTCGAAAATCTGATGATCACTTATATAAGATGTCCATGTGAAATGGTAATCTGGTCATACCTGGTTGATCTGGTTGGCGTCAGGACAATGCACTTCGATCGGATGAGAAGATAATTTAGCATCAAGATCCAGTGCATCGTTCAAATGCTCAGATATAAACGAGCTGTCGACCTTCCATTCCGGGTACACACTGGTAAAAGGTGTTATGGTTATGCTGAGAGTGGAGTGCATCGACTTACCGATCTAAAATATAGTGTCAATGGGTTCAGTGAGTGTGCATAGACACAAGACATACCAACAACGATAACTTCACCCATCTTGGAGCAGGTAATCTCAGTATAGAATCTGCAAGCTCATGTCTGCTAAGCTTACCAGGGTTGCAAAACCTAAGATACATTTCAATACCACTATCAAAAGTCGTAGCATGAGACTGACCTTCATTCAAGTACAGATAGTCCCACCATTCCATGGTTGTGATATCACCAAACCTGAACGGAAGTTTCTACAGCATATCCTTCGAACAATAGAGATGGACTCACCACATGTGAGCGACTTCGTGAGACTGAAAGACAGTGACTCGTTTCTTTGCAGACACGTCTGCCTTCTTAGGGTCAAGTAGGAAGGCGCTAGTACGTCCAGTGATGAGGCCCTGCTAGAGGTGAGTGCTAAAGCGTGCAAGAAGCGACGATTCATACCCAGTTCTCCATAGCACCTGCGTCAAAATCATGGGCCTTCAGACCACGGATCCTCATCAATGACACGAAGGGAATTCTACACAGGACACTTACCACTAGAGTATCTAACTTTGGAAGAGGGTATTCAATGTCAAAAATTTCCTCGTAGATTGGGAGGACTTTTGCTTTGATGTCGAGGGCATACTGAGCCTGATGAATCACATCAGGAGTAGCTGTCCAAATCACATCAGCGTGCACCCGGAATTCTGTGAGGACGGGCGCTTACAGTAGATGCGCAAGGGACGGGTCTTCCCACTAAGAGGACTCTTATAAGAGCTTTCCAGGTACGCGAAACGTCCATTGGCATATGCAACCAGATAAGTGGACATCTGTAGACTAAATTTTAGTTTAAAATCCGCCTAGATGACGCGACATACGGGTGGTGTAGTCTGGAACTTGGAAATCTTCCATTGCGCTTCGGGGCTATCTTGAGTCGTCAACGCCGAAAAGAGCGCCTCTAATGAAGGATCCTCTGGTTTGGTCGTTTGGTGTTGGTAAATTTCCTCCGACGTGATAGGCATGTTGCTCAGATTGACCGTGTCAGCACGCGATATCATAGTGACCGCGAAGGTCGCCTTGAGAAGCGGTTCATCCCAACATGGGAAGGCACGTCTCGCGGCGGTGGGCTAGCGACAATTCATAAGTGCAGGCGCAACTAGTAGGATCGAATACACACTTCGAACTGGGTCAGTGTATAGTATTTCTTGGTTCCGTCATGCTCGAACGAGCTCTTGTAATAGCCCATCATGGCCCCAGTCAGTTCTCCAGAGAAGCCAATGGACAGTGTTGCCTTTGATCCGGCAGGTACAGGTGTCGAAAAGGAAAGCGCACAACGTTCCGCCTTGTCGTCCAGAGACGGAGAAGGATCGACTTGCTTTATCTTGAGTTCATTGGAATATAATGACGCATCGTTCAACTTCAGATCGGCTGAGTTGAAGACGATGGTAGAGGTTTCCTTCTTGACATCCAGGCTGATAGAATTAGATAATGATCTTTGAAGGATAGTGTGCGTGGACATACTCGATCTTTACCACACCCTCGAATATTGAGTTCTCTAGGTCAGTCTTGATAGTCACGTCATAATGTGTTGGCTTGACGTCTAGGGGAAGACGAAAATCACCCGAGTCGGTAGGCTTGTTCGTCAGGTCAGTGGTCATAATCACGCGGGATGTTGTTGAACAATATCTTGTTGATAGAATTCGAGATGATTGCAGAAGCTGATTTATATTGCGAGTGCTGAATAGGATCACATGTCTGTAAGACCGAATCCGGGGTAAGCCTGAGGCTGCGCCGCAGCCTGCGCGTAGGCTTCCCAAAATCGACGCCATCAATCGACCAGGTTCTTCGACGTTCGTGTCACTGCGGGCCTGCAATGCGTGACTTCAAACTTCGTATGTACGTACATAATCTCGGCAAGAGTGAAATTATAAGTCTTTAAGCGTGTTTGGCCGGCGCACTGTTGATACCGGAAGAACAATTTGAACGATTTCCAGTGTCTAGACTCTACTGAGTTTCATAAAATCCAGCAGTAAAGCTGATGGGTGGAATCATGCTATATTCTGAATGAGCACAACTTTATGACTCTATATATCCGTATAATAGTACTGCATGTGTAGTATACAATGTGATTGTCTGGTAGAAGTCAGTTTTCTACCCTGCGTAGATTCGAGCCAGCGGGCCGGGAACAAATTTAAACGGCGAGTCACGAGAAGAATCCGAAAGACAAAGCAAAGACAAAGAAAAGTGCCAGGTGGTACCGGTTCCTTCCGAGCACTTAAATCCAGCACCTTTGAGATTGGCAGCCGCATAGTACGGCCAAGTAGGTGTGTGGATCATGGCGCACGCAAGATCGAAGGTCATGCTCCATGTTACTACTCGTTTGTGTAGTGATCTTATCGCTGAGTTTTTGCAGGACATCCAAGGGAGCCTGAGGTTGTTGGAATTGAACTCACGCCGTTTTGGACCTGGGAGCTTTGTGCTAGTAAGTGTACAAAACAAAATGTTCATAAGCATGCTTTGAATCTTGCTTTTGACACTCACTCGCGGTATCAAAGTAAACAGTACCGATTGTTCTCTCCTTGATCTCCTTCGTGGTAGAGTAACGGTACGCCCATGGCCTATCTCCCCTTTGCAAGCACTCATTATAAAATTGCTCGTTCAATGCTAAAGTTCGTGGTGAACAACCGTGTTTGCTCACATCGAAGACTAACTTACTGCTGAAAGGAATATCCTGATCTCCCTCTTCCGGGTCTTCGTCATCCGACAGTTCCGTTTGTCTTGAGACGTTGCTTTCACTAGAGTTCGCCACTCGCAAAACATCGTCAGCCCGGGGATTATGTATTTCAAATGAACTAGAGGCTGTTGAGCGTCGTCCTGCACTCCACGGACAAACACTGTCTCCACTTGTGGCGGGCTTGTCGAGCTTATCTTTCTGTAAAATTTCGTTGGTTACTCTTTCCATTCTTAGGAGAAATCAGCCCACCTCCATCTTTTGGATTCCTCGACATTTCCTTCTGTGTTTACTCCAAAGTCCAGGATAGTATCTGGAGCGCTTGTCCAAACTGATCTCCTTCTCGCATCCGTGGCACCTGACGGATGTAGGGCGTACACTGTAGGTGTACTCGTCGTCTTCGAGCTCCCGTTTCCTCCGAGCCTCGGTTTTCAGTTTGCGACAGCCCGCGATAACTTGAATATCGTGCTTGCTGTTATCGGCACCCATGTTGTCATCAAAGTTATGACTCGGTGCGTTCTCTGTGCCATATGTTTCGGAAGGGAGGTGAGATGGGGCAGGCTCATGGAAGTCGAGCTTGGCTGGACAGGTGCCCAAGTGCTCGTTGACAAGGAGGCTGATCGTGGGCCAGCCGGCGTGAGTGTCATACTCAATAACAGCCTGACACCTGCCACACTGTATCGTGTAGGCGCGGTTTACGGCCGTTTGGGTCATGTCACTCTGTCGGGTGGCGATACGGTTCATGTCTGTCTAGTCGGCGGGTGAGGGACTGGGTCTTGATTTTTCGCTTTTTTATACTCGGAGACAATGCCCTTTCAGATGTGGATGTTGCCGTTTTTTTTCCGCAGTGGCGCGAAGTTTGGGCCTGCCTCGGAGTTGCATTGTTCACTCCCGAATACACGTGGTTTTTTTATTCCAAAATTTGTCTATTGGAGTAAAGTGTACCTTAGGTCGGACAGTACTAACAAGTTGAAAGGTGCATGCCCCTGCTATACCTCTGGATTCGCGAATTCCCCAGCGTTAGGGTATCCCCCGCTGGTCCGCCGCTCCTGCCGGCCGTTTCATATGCACAGTCCATCGAATATGGGTGACTGATCCCCCCCGTGGCATGAAGTGTAAGTGTCTATGTCGTAAGTTACACATGGTATTCCAAGGCGGGCAATCACGGTCAGGAAAGTTATTAACTTGCCAATGCTGTTGCCACTCTTCTAGATGTTTATGATTTCAACGGTTTCCGAGTTGTAGGGTAAAATTTTCTCGTTGTGAAAGTGAACCTTGCCTGACATGACTGTTCTAACAAAACAAATCAGCATAGAAGTCGAGAAAGTCCATGTAGATCCGCTCTAGCCGCCGTCAGGACACTCCTCAATTTCGCCACATGTCTGTATCTCCTTCGGGCCTGCAATAGGGTGGGGACACTTAGTCGTGATGGTTGCCTTTCTTGCAAGAGTTTAGTTCTGCTGTCATCTTCTTCCCCAGTGTTGTTTGATGCACAATGCCAGATTCCGCACACGGAGTTCCCCCAACTGGCGGGCAGGGCTTGAATTCAGGCATACAAGATGCAATAAGTTCGGTGGCCATGCTTCTGTTCAAATGACTTATTGATTCGCACAATTCAATCTGGGGTGGAAATTCGATGCAAATAGCATCTCGCCCCAGAAGAACGACTTGTAGTCATACGAAAGAAGCTCAATTTGGTGGCCGAGTTGAATAATAAGCCTTTGCGCCTATTGATATTGTTGTCGATCAATTCCTTTGGACAAGCAATGCTATACTCGACAGCTTGCAAGCGACAATGAACTCGAGAATCTTTGCTTACACCGATACTTCTGGCGAGTTTCTGGTTACTGAAGATCGTACCCCAGTCTTGTCACTGTTCTAAGTAACATCATTTTTTGATATTTTTAGTTCCGTTCGACACGCTGTTCACTAGGGCAAGCAATTCGGATAGTGTTTTCAGTATCCATCATTCTGTACGGCACTTCTTTCTTAGACGGCCAGCAGAAGATGCTGATCGTCTGATGCGTTTGATCGTGAAGGTTATGCACATACAGCCGCTCAGCGCACAAAATTCCGAATGATGCAAACCATCCAACAGTTGTTTTCATTTGCTCAGATAGGATTATTGGGGTGATTGGTCATTGTGAAGTGAACGGTGCAGAGACATAGTATCAGTAGCCTCATTTTTACAAGCAGTACACAGTGAGTGTAAGCTAACGTGTGAGCACATTCGGACAGAATGCAAGTATGAGCTCCACACGTTTCAAGCAAGTCGTCCTTGTTCGTATGTAGTCTGCGTCACGTTATCATTTTGACCCTCACAAGCAAAACAAACACTGCATGAACTTCGATTCGCAAACAGCAGTAGTTGAACAAGAAGATTCCTTGCTGGCAAGGTACGGGTGGTTACAAGTACATGTCACAGACCATCAAGATACACAGAATTAATGCTTTGAGAACCTGGAGTTCGGCGGAAGTAGTGATTTCGGAAACGTCTTGGAAGAAACATTGCGGTCGTGTTTCTGGAGAGCCTTCTTTAGATCATCTTGAAGTTGCTCGCTGGACTTGATAAAGTCTTCCCAGTGACTGTGTCATAGTCTTGCGGTGCTTTGAATAACTCTCCTCTAGAACTATGAACGAGTTGTATTGTGTTGCACTGGTTGGTATAGCAGAATGAACTCTCGTCAGCAACCTATCTCTGGAATAATTCACTCACTATGCATCTGCCAACGCGTGTAAGTCTTCAGAAGCGTCATGTAGGAGCTCCTCCCTCCCAGCATGGACTTCTTTTTTGACGCCTTTGAACTTGTTCGCAATGCTCTTCACTATAACCTAAGACAGAAGTCAGACGGTGAGCGCATCCAGTCATAAATCAGGAGCTTCACAGTCTGGATGTCACTCAGTACCTGTCAAATAAATGAATAACATGGCAAAAACTCGAGCAAGGTTTCCTCACATCCACTATGTCCTGGATATCATTACCCTCATCGGACTTGATGTTACGGTGACTGTTCTCCTTGGCGACTGCTTTGCACGTTGTTCCTGGGAACTTTGGACTGGTAAAAAAGTGCGTCAAACGTTCCAAAATACCACATCCCTGTACTAACCAGGCATTTGCTTAACAGGCTGGGCACTCATTTTGAGAGGAGACAGCGAATATGGTAACCCAACGTTTTCAAATCGAACTCGATTGGAGGACGGCTTCCGCGCAGGGATGAGATGATTCAAACTCGTCATCGGAAACGAGTGAGATGTCACGGTCCAAGATTGGTCTCTTGGGCGGGCGGGTATTGGTTTCGGGGATACCGTTTCCAAACGCACCGTGGTTGTTAGGACGAATGTTAGACTTTAAGCACGTCATGGCGGGGATCTGGACAGCACCATCGAAACTGGGACCGGGTCACCAGTGGTGATGCAAACGAAACTACCGATTGCCTCCGACGAGCCGGAACGGAAGGTGAGGGCCTCACACCACGAGGTTCAGCCAAAGAACTGTCGGCATTCTTGGTTCTGACAGGGGTGAGGGGAATATTCGATGTTGTGAGCTGTTCTCGTGGTTCTTCGTTACGAGAGGGAATCTTAGGCAGGGGGGAGGAATCCTGGGACATGATGATATCCATGGCAACATCAGTGGAAGGCTTTGAGACCCCGATACATGTCCTATGCCCATCTTGACGTCCGGTGACGTGTAAGGCAACTGGGACTGCAGCAGACGTCCTAAAGCTCTCTACGGGATGTGGGCCTTTACTCGGGAGCATTCCAGCATCCTCGGCCACGCCACGGTCCTTTGTTGAGTCGTGGTAATTTTTCACTGGAGTCGGGTCTAGTGTGAGGTCGATACAAACAGCGGAGTTACGTGGGGTCGACTGTAACGGAGGGGAATCTGAGGAGGCAGGCTGCAAAACACTTAGCTAACATGATATCACAAAATTCGTCACATACAAGAATAGGATCCTCGTTCCCTTTTAGTGATACTGAATAATCAATAAAATCGCTGAAGACTGCTTCATCCGCATCTCCTGGTGCGATATCTTGAATTAGTTCCAGCGGTTCCTCGTCCGGGGGACTGACCCCCAAGGGTTTCATTTCGTCGGTCGGGACATGTTGCGCAATGAATACCGGGTCCTCCCAAGGCGCCCTCTTCGGTTTAGGGAGTACGAGCAAGCTCTGGAGTTGTCGGTTTCTTTTCGGTGATCTGAAACGATGTCAGTTTTTGACGAGTTAGTGATAGATCGATGTACCACTGTATTGGTATTCCCAGTCTTGGTCTTGGTCAAATTCTTCGGGGCGATGGCAGTGCTCGTGCCCGCCCGGTCCATGTCCGTCTTGTATGCAATAAGAAGAGTGGATGACCAAAGGAAGAAGCGACAAACCTTATTGACTTTCTTTTCTAATGCCGAGTCTGGTTTAAGGGACACAGAGGGACCGTTGGTCGCATCGTTGTGGAGAGGTTCCACTTTCGTAATTTGATCAACTGGGTTTGGTGCAGCGACTATTCCAGTATCAGCTTCTGCGGGCTGGAGTTTCGGGTTGATATCTTTGGGCAACTCGAACTCGAGCGGCTTCTCGTTCCTGCATCGCATAGCGCCCGTGCGGGTCTGTCTGCCAGAAATCGGGGCTGGAACCTTCTTCGGGGCCGGTTTTGAAACCCTGACTGCCTTGGCGCGCGTGTTCGTCTTCCCTTTCGAAGTTGTTCCGGGAACTTCATCAAAGTCTACGTTCCCTGGCAAGGCAGGTGATAGTGCCTTCCCTTTCTTCCCGTACTTCCTGGGAGCCTTCGCGGCAGTTTTCGATGTCGTTGACGGTTCGGAAGGGTCGGGAAATACACTTGCTGCACGCTTGATAGGGATGTCGCCACTAGTAGTGTTACGGGCCTTCTTCTTAGGTGGAGGATCGTCCTCTAGAACCTTGGGTGCTCTCGTGGAGGAATTCGCGTCATCCCATTTGCGTCGAGTGCCTGCCAGCTTCGCTGGTATATTGGCCAAATCTGCGGGTTTTGAAGGGGAAACGCGCCATACAGTTCCATTGCCTGCTGTCAGATTCTTTTTCACAGGCGGAGCGGGTATGATTCCGTGCGCAGTCAGTTGCGCGTCGGGTATAGTCTCGCATGGTGGCACTTGATCATAAGCAGAAGCATCCTTCGAGAAGGCGTCGTCGTCGAGATGTGTTTCGGCGACATTATCGGTTGGTCCTGGATGACTGGCCTCTTTGCTGGATGGCGTACACGGCCTCTTGACTTCCTGGAGATGATCTGTCTCGATAGTGCTAGACAACCGTAGGGTGGGAGAACGCCTGTCATCGGCACGGCGTGTCTTGCCAAGTTCTGTCGTTATTGTCTCTACGTTTATATCTGGCTCGGCTGGTGAAATTGTTGCCCTCTGAGCGGTCTTGGACGTGACTCGTATCTCTTCCTCATCGGAATCCACGATCAACCTCCGCTTGGCGATGCGTTTTGTTGGAGGCGCTGGTTGAAAGCTGTTGCTTCTTGCGCTAAGACTGGGAGCTGGTTCGGTTTTGGCATTTTGTGCCGGATGAACTATGAGATGAGCGTTGACGACAGCTTTGGGAAGTTCGTCATCGGATATTTCAGAGAGCTTGTCGTCGCCTTCGCCAAACACTGAGACGTGTACTGCACTAGGGTGGTCGTCTTTTGCAGAAGGCGGAGTAACCGGAAGAGGTACAACTTTTTTCGCGGACTTGAATACAGGCCGAGGTCGAGGAACAGTCTTTTGGGCGCACTCAGCGCTGGGAACCTCAGGCTTGTCAGCCGGCGTTTGGGGGTGACGCCTGCTCTGCCGGCGGAAATTCTTGCTCATCGTGGGCGGTGGTAGATCGTGCATCGTCCGGGAAGTTTGTTTTGTACACTGTCGGCTCTAAGGTCAATATTGATATGGAACTGAACCTAGGGACTTCACCATTTTCGACATGTTTAACTTTATCCTGGTGTAGAATTATTAATACGAGGGTTGAGAATTAAATTGGCGTAACAACCTCATACTGTGACCCTTGTAGCGGTGATGAGGAGTCGCCTGAGAGTCTAATGCTATGTGCGAGGCCAACACTTCTCCGTTTGTTAGCTTGCTTTTGGGGATTTTCACCTAAGAAACTGAGCTTGACCTGTTTGCAGCTGTTAGTGAAGTTGTTCATCGATAACCTCTTTGCACTCACTACACCACGCCTCCGTAAAGCCTCCATGAGCCTGCTCAAATCCTCCCGTTGAATTTCGAACTTCAAGTAAAGCGTCTGACCTGCCGGGATGTCCAACGACACGTCTCCTATACTTGGTGGAGTTGTTAAATCGACATGAATAATGACTTTGCTGTGCGGTGGCGCCTTTGACACGTCGATCATAACAGAGCGTATATGATCATAGGAAATCTTCAAGCTGTCGCAGACATCGTCCTGACCACAATAGTCAGCGAGGCACATGACAACATGATAGATATATTCACCTGCCCAACAACGTTGGCAAGGAAAAATTCTCTATCTAGGTGCAAGCGGTCAAATGCAGTGGGTTGAGGATAGCATTTCCCGCATACATCAACCTCATCCAAGGCAAATGATTGAGGGCTGCTCCAGGGAGTGGATTAGTCTGGTCTGCAATACTAAATCAAAATACCCACAACGTGATATCGCTCCTGGCCAAAGCGTCCATGATATTCATTACCGTATCCTCCCAGTGCGAGCTGCTAATGTATTGGAGGATATCGACTAGTTCTTGACTGCAGGTGAAATGCTTCTCGGAACCAAAAAGGTTGTTGATGAACTCTGTCCGTCTTCGCCGTCCCTTTCTCCGTTTTGTTCGTTATCGGGATCAGCCATCCCACTATGTCCAGAAGGGCCTCGATTACAAGGTAGTCTAAATAGAGTCAGACAAACCTCCTACGATAGAGCTTCATGCAAACTTACCCTTGGACTGTGAGATTGCGATGCCGATTAGTGACCTAAGAACTAGTTCGAGATCGTAATCGAATAGAAAAAATGAGGCAATTCACCCTCCAAGAACAGCAGGATCCCGCAACCTCCGTTGATTGCCTGGATGCCCGCTAAGCGTTTCGTGTAACACAGAATATGCCTATCAATAAAGTCGTCGTAGATTACATGACAAATGAGCGCATATATGCTGCTATCAAACTGCTATCAAGTGGTAAGTACTCACAGTCCTTTGTGTCCGTGGTAAAAGTGTCAAGGAGGCGTCCTGGTAAAAGAAGAGCGTGCATATAGTCGGATAAAACGCTGATGCAATGGTTTCCTTGGTCATATCTGCCAAGTTCAGGGCTTAGACAGATACTCGGAAGAAAGAACTTCCGAATCTAATCGTACCATCACTGTGCTTGTCAAGAAAATCCTAGATTTGATCCAGATAAGTCTGATCACGATACTGCAAGAAGGGAGACCATACCAGGACACCTGATAAAAGCGCAACCGCAACCTCATTCCACCAGGCGCTTAGTTGGACATTCTGAGCATTCTGAGCATTTCTTAGTTTATCATCGATTACTTTGCGAAGTACAGCAGAGGAAAGCTGGAGCGCAGGTCCAGGAACGGCAGCATACAAGGGAACTAGAGGTCGACGGAGGATGGAACGAAGTTTTGATATTGATTGTGAGGAAGGAGACGACGATTTCTGATATGAATTTAGGCGCCTGTTTTAAATATGAGGTTGATCACTCACCAAAAGAATAAGGTACGAAGTAAACTGGCTGACAACGTCGCCGACGCGCTTGTCGATTCCGCTTTGTTTGACGGCAGCTTTGAGCGCCTCTACAGCCCTTTCAAGCTCCGTCATTTACGCAAGAGTAGTTTGGAGTGATATGAGCACAGGGGAAATCCTTGTTCTGCCGCCCTTGCACGGTTCACGGTGGGAGAGTCAGGGAGACGCAGAGCCGCACTTCAACGCGTCAAGATATTGATTATCACGTGACGATGTTTTTACATCATGTGATTAATGCGGGGTTTCAATTTGATAGTCGCGCAGACATATTTCAAGCCAATTGCCAACGAAATTCTAGGTTGGATCCCTTCTTGTGCGCCTTTTTGTAAGACTTAATATTGTGTGCCCGCTGCCCTCCTGCGCTACCCAAAAACTGGCATTCAACCGCAAAAATCAATGGAATCTATCAAGGAGGAAGTCGCACCACTGTTGCTCCTGCCCGAGTCATGGGAAGTACCTGTTGTCCCCGCCGCTCTCTGTATCAAGACGTCATTGTCGAACGTCAAACTCAAGCAATCCCGGTATGATGATATCTGGAGTGAGGACGTGCACGCTGCATTTATGGAAGGTAGGGAGCGCATCCTACGCCGAAATTGACGTTCTAGTAGAACCGTAGCTGAGAGTATATTCAAGCCATTGCCATCTACCCGCCAATGGGAAAGCGGCGGCTCAGATATGTACGTATATTAAAAGAAGATCAAGATGAAACCGCGGAGTCGTCTCGCCTCGTCAAGTCGTTCGGTCGGTGTCAACTCATTCAGTCGTACATTCTAGAGAAGACCGGCAAGAATCGTACTCGGAAGCAAGTATCAAGTCATCTTCAAAGACTGAAAAAGAAGTATAAGAACGATGCAACCAGTTTGTTATTTTAATGTCGGCATGCTTTCCTACTGATTTACACTTCGCAGAACGTGCATTGTTTTTGGAGATCTCGCAGCTAACTCAAAAGCGTTCTGCCCGCGAAGAACCAGCGCCATCTTCCGAAGGAATCCAGACAGATACATCACCGTCTCTGTCTTCGTCCTCCAATCAGGCTTCACTCTTTGGTGGTATCGTCCGGGATGGGTTCGAAGAACAAAAGCCGGGTGCCACGTCTGCCAGTTCTGCCAACGGATCCGATTACACATACTATCATGCCGACAACAGGCGCCATTCGTCGTTCGGTGAACAAGAGAAGGTATCCAACTCCTCGATGGTTTCTCAGGTCAGACCGTTTTTGCCAATGGAGATTTCAACAGAAGAAGATTCAGTCAGCGCTGGTTCTGAATTCTCCTTGTCTTTGAGACGACTCGGTAACAAGCTGGCCCCACTCACTCTGCAATCGGAAACGCCCGACGCTGTTTACTCTTCCGAAGTCCATTGCTCTCCTGCATGTCAGGTTACGCGCTACGTTGTCACTCACGATGGTTCCAAGCCTCAACATGATGGACTTTCCCTGCAACTATACATTGACTCCAGTAGACCAACTCCTTCACACTCCTTTGCAGCCTCCGCAGATCACGCATTTCGAAAAACGACGGGTCGTTCCAGAGAACGTTGACGGACGCTGGAACTGGCCGGTCAATGCCCATACATCTGGCTCACCTCTGGACTCAGACTCGTATGCACCCCATGCGCACACTGCAAAACCCTTGCCGTCACTCTCAGACAATCGTAACAGGCCTTCTTTCGATATGAACTTCATGGGCGACTTTCACCCGGAGTGCGAGGACCAGCACCACGCTCAAAGACTGTCCTACTCTCATGCCTACAATACTTCCTCCTACTCGTATGCTCAGGACTTGTTTTCACAAGGATTTCTGCACGCTCAACCGATATACCCTCGATTTCTTCATGACCCGTGCGCACATGCGGAGGAAACACTTGCGACACCTCTCATCAAACCGATTCCACTATATCCCGCTGCGTATGCGCATTCAGAAGATCACACACTCGTCCCTGCTTTGTAACGCACCAGCAGTTTTTACTTGTTTTCTGTCACTATTTTTACGGTCGCCCAGGCACATCATGGCATGCACTACATCACGTTATTTATTGATTACAAGGACTCCCCTTCGGTTGGCTCTCGGCTGTATACTGTGTTTACGGTAATGACTCGGATCGAATTACAATTGTGTTTACAGTAGCAAGTCAGGAAATCGATATTAGCACAGTCTTGTGCTTCGTTTGCCTTTGCAAATAGACATAATGTGTCTCTTCGCGTTCTCACTCGACAACGCCGTATACAGTTGACCGTGAGCAAAGGGATCAATTCGTGCTAGCGTTAGTCCTTGACAACCATTAAATGTAATTGCATGTGCGAGTCGTAGAGGAAACTGTCTTCGATTCACTGTCCACGATGAACGATTTGGATGGAATGAAAGTTGATGCTAGGAATGCAGTAGCTTTCGAATGTATTGAGAAGTTCGACTTCGACGAATCGACGATGCAGTGCAATCATACGACACGCGGGACTCGGGAATGTGCTCTGGTGCGATACTTACGAAGTCGCCTGGTAATTTTGTCGTTGAGAGGGGAAAAGAATGCGCGCTGAAGACAGGTCTCAGCATCTTGGAGAATATGTGGCGGAAAGAGAAAATTAATGGCATAGTCGAAGTTTGTGGTCGCTGCTATGAGTGCAAGCTTTGCCGATTTCCGGAGCAGTCCTCTCCAATGCGGTCTACGAAAGCTGTGAACCGCGGATCACCCATGCTTCGAATTGCAGTGTCGAGACTCAAGATGCGCATCTTTGCCATAACGTTGATGACTTTACTGATGCTGCGAGAGTAGCTGTTTCTCCTGCTCCGATGGCCCGATAAAGGAAGCTCGGTGCTGAGTGACACAGACGGCAGGAGATATACTTTACAATCGCTTGTGCAGCGATGTACAATCCGGGAGAAAGACCCGAGAGCATGAAAGATGACAAGGCCTGCGCAGCCTTGACATCCCCCTACACAAACAAGTTAGTAGTACCTATGATAGCCTCTCCTCCAAATACAATCGTCAGCATGGCACATGCGTCTCTTGCAAAGGACCTCTCCTCTGCAAGTGCGAATCTATTCTCTCCAGCGGTTCGCAGATGTTTGGTATGAGAATTTTCCCTCATCTGTCTCAAAGCGATGCAAAGCCTGAACACGGCTACCAAATCGAGGGAGCAGACCTTGGTACCAAACCAGGTAAATGGTGCTATTAAAAGTCTCAAATTGACAAGTCCGCTGGTCGCCAGCGCATGAGAGTTTCGGTGGGGCATTAGACAGTCAGACGAAACAAAAAAGGCAACGATTAACCGAAAACACTGGAAGTGCTGGCGGAGTTGCAGAGGGAAATTAGATATCCACAAAGACTAACGTGGGAGTCGGGGATGGCGACACTTCTTCCTCCTCCGAAAAGACTAAAACTATATCACGGCATCGCAGAGCCTGAGCCTGAGCCTCTGAAAGAATCGCCCAATGTTGTGGTTCAATTTGTGAACGAGCATGATGGCACACCGATAGCACCTGCTGTGAACCTCCCAGCGAACATTGCGCGCGAAGGTCTTGAACTACTCGTCAATCAATTACGCACAAAGGTTAGACACTTGCCCTACATCTTCAGTCTACTAATGTTTTTGGTGATCCAGGACGACGATGAGCACGTGCCATTTGCTTTTCATGTTGCTCTACCTGAGGAGGCGACGAAACCAAATGCTCCAACGCGAATCGTGATATCAAAATCAATTGAATTGGATGTTCTAGCACACGCATCCCATGCATTCTCAGAAGAAGACGTCCTGGTAGTACGCTGCGCTCCACAGTCTGTCTTCAAAGTTCGCCCAGCTACTCGATGTTCTGCCACACTTTCAGGTCTGTTGATTGCCTACTGGCGTATCAATATTTGTTGATGTAATTGTGGAATCAGGACATTCCTCACCGATATTATGTGCTTCATTCTCCCCTACTGGCAATTTACTTGCGACTGGCTCAGGAGACACGCATGTGCGCCTATGGGATCTTTATACCGAAACACCGTCGCACACGTTGGCCGGCCACACTGGGTGGGTACTGTGCGTGGAGTGGGATCCATTAGAACGCAAATTGGCAAGTGGTGGACACGATGGCCATGTAAGGTTATGGGATCCTAAGACTGGAAAACCGCTGGGCGATGCAATGAAGGGCCATTCAAAATGGGTGACGTCCTTGGCATGGGAGCCCGTACACTTGTGCGTCATTGTCTATGGTATCTTTCAAGGCTACTTACTTCTAACCTACCAGAAACCCATCTAACCCACGGTTGGCATCTTCGTCTAAGGACGGAACTGTGCGAGTATGGTCGACGGCCACACGAAAACTAGAATACGCACTTGGGGGTCACACTGCCAGCGTAAACGTCGTCAAATGGGGAGGCGGTGGTTTGAATGGTCATGGAGTACTCTACACGGCTAGTAGTGACCGTACAGTCAGAGTATGGGATGCACGAGGGGTACGCATATCCTTCCATCTTCACCGCGCAATTATTTAATGCTGTTTATCCAGGGAAAACAACTTCATATTCTGAAAGACCATGCACATTGGGTCACCACTCTCGCTCTCAATACGGATTTCGTACTTCGTACTGGACCATTCGATCACACCGGAAAGCGCCCATTATCGGACGAGGGAGGTAAATCCTCAATTGCGCGAGTTATCTTCCGTTATATTCTTAGTTAATACAAAATATCAGCTCAAGCACTTGCTCTCAAAAGATACACCGCGCTGGTATCACGAACGCCAGAACTACTGATATCAGGTTCAGACGACCACACTCTCTTCCTTTGGTCTTTATTCGCATCGTCGAACGCAGAACCGGGAGGGGGTAAGACTAAGCCCTTGACCCGTTTAACCGGCCACCAACGGCAAGTATCTCACGTCGCTTTCTCCCCCGATGGTCGGTGGGCAGCTAGTGCTGGGTGGGATAGTGCAGTGCGACTATGGGATTGCTCAGGTACCTTAGATGGCTGTCGCATTTTTGTTGGCAACTTGATTCAAATTTTTCCGTCACCTTGCAGGTGCTGGGCAGCTGGGCAAGTTTGTAGCTACACTGCGCGGACATGTTGGCCCCGTTTACAGACTTGCATGGAGTGCAGATTCGCGAATGCTGGTAAGCGCCAGCAAGGATGCAACTGTCAAAGTAAGTTTGACGTGCACACGAGCGAGATATTCGTTTGATGGATGTGTTGTTGCATCAGATTTGGGACCTCAAAACGTACAAAATTAAGTCGGACCTTCCTGGTCATACAGACGAGGTCTACTGCGTGGATTTCGTTGCTGATAAAGTTGTCAGCGGGGGCCGCGATCGGACTGTGAAGATGTAAGTTGATGCACCGTCTTAATGCATTTCGGTTGTGACGTTACTTTGCAGATGGAAGAACTAGCGATAAAACTGTGATTTGAGGAGGGTTACCCTGACTTCTCTTTATGATCGCTCGTGGAGAACTGGTAGTTACGAAGGTCCCTTACTGATTCCATGATAGCATAGCGTTATCTAGACAAATATAATAATGCCGTGGGCACTCGCATGGGACGGAACGGGCTATGTGTAAGAAACATGATGCGTAAACACGCATGAAAGGAAAGAGACACAGTCGAGTAACGGAGTTGCTAGGTGATCTCATGACCAACGCGAAGTGGAACGACGACAAAATAAAAATCCGCAGCAGGCAACTTCATAGGAAACTTCTCCTGTCCCACCAGTTGACTTTTGTGTTTCTGTTGGTCGTGCCTGAGATCCTTGTGCACCTGCTGTAGGTTGACCTGGTTGCGTTGAACTGTTGGCCTGGTTGCTGTTCATACGCTAGGGATCCGCACGGGTGAACCCTGGGGTGTCGGAAACCTCACCCCCACCCCCACAAGGGGGTTTTGTGGCGGGTACATTTGTGAGGCACCCCAACCCGCACCCGTCAAGGGTACACCCATGAGTCAGTAGTAAACGTTAGTTATTTGTTAGTAATTACGATGCGGAATAAAGTTTACCAGGGATGTCAAATAGTTGAACGCCATTGGAGACTTGCGGGTAAGATGCACGGTGTGCGGTCGAGGACAGCGGTGTGACAATACGGTGCATTATATCTATTGAAACAAGGCAGGTTGACTCAGTGAAGCACCATAAAACACGCAATACACGCACCTCGAAACGGCAGTCACAGTGTTTCCCGAAAAACGATGGATGGTTACGGACTCGGACGACAAGGCACTTCGTCTGTGGGGCTTGAAGGTAGGTGTTGTGTTGAAGAAGATGGAGGGGCATCGCAATGACGTGTGGGCATTGGCGGTATCACGAGATAGGCAATTGATGGCAAGCAGTGATAAAGGCGGAGAGGTCATCATTTAGCATGGAGAAACTGGAAATGAGGTAGGTTAGTAGCATAAAAACGCACAATACACGCACCTCGGCAGCTTAGAGAAAGACACTCACAATCCCTTCAAAGTCCACCTCGACCATTCTCAATGAGTGATGACTGCACTATCGCCATTAGATGGGAGGGGGTATATTCCAGAAGCTGTGGAGGCATGAGTCGAACACATATACAGGAACTGCCTGGTATCTCGGGCATCTATAGAGGCGGGCATGGTGAAGCAGCATAAAAGCGCACATTGATATACGTACCTCTGTAACTTGTAACTTAGAGAAAGACGCCCACGCCATGGGATCTGCTTTTGGTCTACCTTAGGTCGTCGACTTTGATGCAATCATTTTATGACCTCAGGCCCCGCAAACCTTTTACTTTCTGTTAGTTCCAGATTGAGGAGGGGGTCTCAACTCTGGAGCTCGGTAACAATGAATATTGATATTGATGTATTACGGTAACCACCACGGGCCGTTCAAATAGTATATGTCACACTAGCAACTCCACTACCTTGAACACGTGTACAGAAAGCAAGGCTTGAACTCAACTCTTGCGGTGTCTGCCACAGTTTGCCAGGAGACAGCATGGAGTCCCGCCAGAGTGCGAAGTTCACCTTGGCAACCTTCAAGGTAAGATTCCAAGATGACCATGCGTCTTTGTCTAACCAATCGGATGATAGTCCCCAAGGATCAAAAGGAAGTACCTGCGCAAGGTTATTTGGAATTTCGCTCCTCCGCTTCTCTTTGGCTGACATTGTGCAGTACTCATGGCTCCCTGATGTATTGCGATTAAAAGGCAGCGTACGTGTCGTTGGCAGGAGAAAACTCAGTGACTAACTTAGATGCTCGTGATATAGATCATTAGTCGTATAATTGGTCCAGTCTTGACTGTCACCGTATTCGCTGGGTTGGTCGCCTATGCGTGGTCCAAAGGGAAGAGAGTGGTCTTGACAAATTCGGTCGTGCCACTGTTGTCTGTGGTGGTAAGTAACAGCGAATGTTGCCAACCTATGTATATGCTGACATGTCACAATCTCCAGGTTGGTTTAATTCTCGTATTTAGGTAAGTTATATACGTACCCAGGACGTTGACCAGCTCACAGTTTTCTACAGAAATGGGTGCGTAAAGCATGAAGTTACCAAGAATGTCTTTAATCTTAGCCTAGGACTTCATACGATCGTTTTTGGGAAGGTCGAAAGTGCTTCTCGTCCATCACGTCTAACGTAAGGACTCTAATACTCGCCTGTATTCAGCTTCATCGACCCCTCTCTAGGTCCGCAACCTGTCTCGTATGATATGGATTCATGTCTCGCTACCTCCCGCCGAAGATCACCCCGCCCACGTTCTCGGAAAGACACCGACATCTCCGCTTACTACTGCTCAACTCAGGCGTCAGAAGATAGAAGCTCTGCAATTTTGCGTCGCTTTTGTATTTGCTGTCAAGCACTACCTCCGCAATGAAGACGGGCCTGATTACGATGATTATACCGGCGTTCTTCCTGCATCGTTCACGCGAATCCACGACCTTGGTTACACCACGGCTCAAGGAAGATCCTCTCCTAAATCCTATGATGCTGCCTCGTCAGCTTCGGATAGTACAAACAACAGCCCTGATGCCACCAAGAGAATTCGTCGGAAGCGCAGCAAGAAAACACTCGTTGGCCATGCCGCCGCGTCAACTGCAACCCCGCTGCTTTCGAACTCTCATCAAACTGTTGAGTTCCACTCCTACGCTGATCGAATGACTATGCCATTTCCCCTCGTGTTCGTGATGAAATTTAATACACCACACTGCGACTGACTGACTAGTAACAACAGTATCGCTCATGAGCTGTCTAATGCCATATTCAGGTTTAAGCGAGAAGGTTTGCTTGAAACCGTTGGTCCGGCAGGTAAGATACCCTGACATTCCTAGTCTTGACGCTTAATTTCGTGCCGATACTCAGGTATGAACGCTATGAGTGGGTTGTAAGTCAGATGTGTTAGTTCACTGAAAACCATCTTATCCTTGTCCAGGGTGCAGTCGATGGTCGACCAAATGACTTCGATGGAGAGAGTGGCAAATACCCCTATACCCGCGCCTTGTGACTTCAGTCCTTACTGACATTTTCAACAATTACTGATGGCGTTCTAGATGGAATCCATCTAAAGCAATGTGTAACCTTATACCTGTTTGCCCTGCCTTTGACCCTCGTCAATGACCTCGGTTGGAGCACAATTCCCATCGTTACTGTAGTTGCTTTTACATTGATGGGCATCGAGGGTATCGCAGATGAGATCGAGATGCCTTTTGGTAAGTGTTCTGCGCAGACGAACAATTATGTTGCTGAAAACAACATCAGGATATGACCCACACGACCTGCCTCTTGGTGCGTTTCAGTGCAACGCAGTACTTCTTATTATTCACTCGCATACGCAGACACTTACTGTGACGACTTGAGAGAGGAGATTGAGTAAGTTGCATGTCCTGATCCCATGTTCCGACTACCACTTTTTGGGCAGGTTTATGATCGAAAGGCTTCCGGAGGGTGGACATGGCGTACATGGTTATGACGACGGAGAGGGCGATGATTGAACACTCGAGTAATTTTGGGCAGTAGTGGAACTTCACACTTTTTCTTTTTGTGTTTTAAATCATTACCATCAAAGACAGCTCTAGAAATATCTAGCTAAACTCCGGTGTGCAAAATTCTCCCGGTCCGTAGGGCTAGCAACAACTGTTCAATGACATGATATTGCCCGTACGAAGCGAACTTACTTTCGATGTGAGCGAGGTAAGTCCAGCAGAGTTTTCGCTCGTCTTTCGTCCACTTTGTGGTCCCGGTTTCGGTTTTTGGCCCTTCGCGAAAGCTTCCAGGACTTTCTTTGTGATCGCCGGGGTCAGGTCTTCCTGTGCTCAGTTCAGCTCACGTCTTGCGAGGAGTGGAAAAACGACGAACGTAAAAATCGTCGTTGACGACCATCATAGGTGCATTACTGCAAGCACCCTGGCATTCAACTTCAATGACGGTGAATTTACCGTCCTTTGTCGTGGCTCCTGGTGTTATTCCACCCAGTTGACTACAAACCGTGTTCAAAATCTCCGTGGAGCCCCTCAGCATGCATGGTGTGGTGGTACAGACTTGCACGAAGTTCTCCCCAATTGGTTCACTGTGCCAATACAGTAGTCAGTAGAGCAGACCTCTGATTAGTGCCGCATAGTTAACGCACCGGTTGAACATGGTATAGAAGGTCGCGACCTCGTACACCCGCATTGGGGGCATCTCGAGCAGCTTTGCGACATAGTTCATAACGCTGATGCTCGTCCATCCCTTGTTCTGCCGTTGTCCGATGTCAAGGAGAGGAATGACCGCAGCCTTCTTATATTGCGGAGGATATCTAGAGATGATCTCTTCGGCCCTCTTTATGTTGTCCTCTGTGAACGCGAAGGGTATCTACTCAGATAATGGTCTTGGGTAAGTATAAAGGTCGTCAACTTGTAACACAAACCTTCGGGTTGTTGTACTCCGTGTCGCGGTGCTGTCCACATTTAATAACTTTTCAGTTCAAAATGGAAGATTCGCCTACCATGAATAATGCATCTGAGCGGCGCGCGCACGAGTTCGAGAAGGCCCTCCCGAAAACTGAAGGAGTCGAAGCCGCTGAACGCCTCAATGAAGTGGTTACAAGCATTGTCCACCAGTGAGCGGAAGTGTGCTGAGGTTTGTCGGAACAGTAGGGTGAGAGACCTGAAATTCACACGATCTGGACCGGATACGGCATATTACCTCCTATGTACATAATTATATAACCTGTTGGCAATTGGTCAGAAGGTCACGGTCATCTTGATTCTATAATCTAGAATCTAGACTGGTTATCGGTCAGAAAGTCTGACGAGAAACTATCTTTTGCCGAAGGCTTATGCACGCTATGTATCACCTTTCGGCATGGCACTACATATAAGCAGTTGAAACAAGCCCAACCACTAATACAATTAATCCAACTCACATTCCAACAACCATGTCCGCAACTATCAACCCAAAGAGCGCCTTGAAGGTCGTGATGGTTGGCATTCGGCTACTCGTTCCTGATGACAGTGCTAAGTTATCCTAAGGGTGCTATGACTTTTGGCGTAGAAGGATCCGAGGGCGCTCGAGTTCACGAACTCAAAGACGTGGAAACTATTCTCGACATCTTTCAGAGCCATGGGCACAATGAGGTTGGTCTCATGTCAGTCGGCTATGAATACATTGCAACACGCTGATTTTCTCTAGGTCGACACTGCACGCATTTACTCGTTCGGCACCAGCGAAGAATATCTCGGAAAACTCAACTGGCAGAGCCGGAACTTGATCATGGACACCAAGCATTATCCTCATTCCGTAATGTCCAACCTTCTGATTATTTCAAGTCGGCTTAACAGGTCATTTAGCGGATGGGTCGTGCTACTGCTGAGGAGGGCGAGTTGTGTGATCACTCCCCAGAGGTGAACCCGTTCCCCTTCCTACACTTCATTGCCAAGATTATTTACCCCTGAACATTCAAGGGTTTGCGCCTGAATCTTATGGCATCCTTGAAGGCTCTGAACACCGAGTAAGTGATCCTCCCCATTGCAAGCTCACGTGCTGATAATGTTATTCAGCAAAGTCGACATGTGGTATCTCCACGGTCCCGACCGCACTATACCATACGAGGTCACTCTAAAAACTGTCAATGATCTGTACAAAGAAGGGCATTTCAAAGCTCTTGGCATCAGCAATTATATGTCGTCAGTATTTTGCGATGTGCTTGCCAATCATAGGTCCTGATCTCCTCTTGCACAGTTGGGAAGTAGCGCAAATGGTGGAGATATGCAGGTCAAATGGGTATATCCAACCTACAGTGTACCAAGGCGTCTACAATGCAATACAAAGGTTTGCGGTTGTATTTCTCGCCTACTATCGTGCTTATTCATTTGGTCCGTAGAACCGTAGAACCGGAACTGTTCAGCTGCTTGCGCAAATATGGTATAAGCTTCTACGCCTTCAGTCCTCGTACGCACTTCTCCTTTAGCATCGCTACGCATGATCCTGAGATTCATTTGATTTAGTTGCAGGAGGCTTCTTCACTGGTCGGTACATCAGCCAAGACGATCAGGCTGAGGCAGGTAGCCGATTTGATCCTGGCAGAATCCAGGGCAAGGTATTTTTAGCTTTTCAGTCTTATCTTGTCTCCAGAGCTAATTTGTACTTTGTAGCACCATCGTAACAGGTAAAACTTCATTCGAGGATATGAAGCTTTGTATTTAACACAAAGTGCAGGTATTGGAATGACACCTACTTTGCTGCCGTCAAGTTGGTCCGCGAGGTTGCTGAAGTGTATGAATTGACGGTGCCTGAAGTGGCTTTGCGGTGGATCTCTCACCACAGCTGCCTGTCTCGTGAAATTGGCGACGCAGTGATTATCGGAGCATCTAGTGCGAAGCATACTGAGCAGGTATGATCATATGTACATTATTTCTGACTCAACACATGCGAACTGATCATTTCCAGAACCTTTTGGATCTCGAAAAGGGCCCTTTGCGTGAGTCCAACACAACTCTTACTGCTTTATCATGCGACTGAACTGTTCTTCACAGCCGACGAGGTTGTGAAAGCCCTGGATGATGCTTGGCTTTCAGTCAAGGCCATCTCTGCCAATTACTGGCATTAGATACAAAGTAGCATAAATCGGCAACATTTGTGCCCCGGATGTACTAGTATTACTTGACTCAGTCTGTAGGCGATAATGCACACACAAGAGATTTTCACAGACAAGTGTCTCGCATTCATCGACTATCGGACATCCACCATTGACCTTCGCCATTTTGAGGTTAACTCATCGACCTTCAGCAGTACCCCCGCTGCAGCCCTACGCAGTCGGACCTCATGGACTCCCCCGCCACCTTCTACCAGAGTGCCCTTCTCAAGTAGCTCAAAAATCTTCCCAGCCCACTCTCCAGCACCCAACAATAGTGCAGTGTGCTCAAGACCGAGCGAGCGTCCCCCATCGAGTTCGAGACAACCATCCAGGACAATTAAGGAAAGTTCAAGAGCAGCTGTGAGCACCGAAGCTTCCTTGCCCCGGGCTTCGCCAGTTAGTCCAGTCGAGCCCGTGTCATCGCTGACGGCCCTTGAGATTGGTCGAGTTCCCAAGGCGACCGCGAGCTCCAGAGCGCCTGGTGCAATGATAGACAGCCATTGCGGAGCATTCTGTGCTGCATGCACCAGCAACGCCAGAGAGCCCATGAATTGTGACAGAACAACGGGGTTGAGGACAAGACCTGTGCCAGCACCGTGATACCGATACAGAGCATCACGGTGCGCTGTTCTCTCCTCGCGTGTCTGCTCATCGCGGAGGAATGCCCAAAAACGGTTGATAAACGGCATAATGAAGTATTCGGCTGCGACGTCTATGAATGCAGTTCGATGGGGTTGCGAAGTTTGGCCTGGCAGAGAGCTCGACTTCGCCTTTCTGCAGGCGACACTTCAGCGACTTTAGGAGATATCCGTATGCGCAACTGCCGTTCTCGTACGAACTCCGGCACTTTATCAGCGGTAGCTTCCTTTCCTCTGTCAATTGCTGCGCGTGTGACACCCTCAAGCAAGCCTTGAACAGTTCCGTTGGCTTGACCATCGGCTGTGAGATATTTCTGATGAAGTGCAGGAGGCAAAGTTTTGCTAGGAAATGCGGTGCGTTGATTATTAAGAGGACTGCAAGCTTGCAGAATGAACGGGGAGCGACGCCAGTTCTCGTGCTCCAAACACAAGGGCATTGAGTATAACAAAGCGTTGTTCTGTAGAATACTGATTGCTGAAGAATTCTTCGATGATGCACCTGTGGCGAATTTCATCGTATGTGTTTGTCAACCCTAGCTTGCAATGAAACTTACGCGGCGGAGACTCGAGGGCAGCACGCTACCAGAGCATTGACGGTACGCTGACGGTTGTTCTCGAAGCAGTCAAGCTCAAAGTTATCGTTCAGCGAAGTAAATCCATAGACCAAATTAGCAGCGTTTTCCTCTGCGAAGCCGTCAGTTGTTGAAGTATGTAACAGCATGCTAAACCCACCAAGTTCAGTCCCATAATCGCTCTTTTTCCTGATCAGCTCTTCTGCAACGTTAAGTGCCATTTCGATTTTGTCGGCTTCCTGGCTCTCTTCGCCGGGCTTCACTCTCGCGTTTCGCACCATCTCGCCTAGCTGCGCAAGGTACACAGGTCGTGGAATTTTCTTGACTCCAACACGTAAAGTGGGATCTTTCTCCATCTCGTCGAGCTCAGAGGGCGTGGGTGACGCGGAGCGGGAGGAGGTTGGTGATGCGTAGCCAGTAAGTGAGTCATCTGAGTCGTAGCCGGTCGCGACACTAGCCTCTGTGAGCTTCAACGCCGATATTTTAGCACCGTCCAGAACACCAGCAGTAATAATCTCTTCTGTTGGAGTGCTCTCCTCCGTGGCTGGCTCCAATTCATCGCCTGTGTAAGGGTCAAAATCAACGTCTCGAGCCGAACAAAGTGCTCTTAGATCTCTGGCCCAGGGCTTCCCGTCGGCCTTCTCCATCCCAATCTCCGAAATCCAAGTTCTTGCCTGCACGGGTTGCAACTACTTCAGCTGCCAGCATCCCACATCGGCGGATGTTATTGTCCAGATGACTGATATATTGACCAATTGCAGTGACGAAGCTAGGCGAGAGCGCAGTTGATACCACACATTCTGATTGACCAGGGAAGTACGATACAATGAGAAGTAGCAGTGATGTAACATCTAATCCATGCGGATTGATCAATCATCAAAGTCGACGTTACATCAAGATAAACTCACAATAATGCCGTGACAGCAGTGAGTGCTTGACGTGCTCTGGAGCGCACCACATTTCCAAAGTACGTGACAATAAAGCCTGGAGCGCTGAAAGCATCATGATTGACATGCGTCTAGAAGAATCTAGTTAGAATACCGACCTTCCGAGTTCATCGGACCTGTTTTTGCACCGGCTGCCCAGCTGACAAAAATCCTGGCATGACTCTCTTTCCAATCGCGGGATAACATAACGCCCAATACCTCATTCCACACATCTGATTTTGGCTGGAGAGTTCCGAACATAGCATGAAGCAATAAGGATTCTTGCACGACAACGCCTCTATCTTGCGCCGTAACGCCTAAGTTACTAGGTAACTGCGCCAGAGAAGAACACAACGACGCGAATATGGTCTGCTGGGCAACCGTGGATGGGAGAGAAATGAGTGTATTCGTCCAGAACTTGGAGTAGCTGTGGTCATCGTCCTGTCTAAACTTCACGCGGATTGTGGCTAGCGTGGAACGAAAGAAGGAAGGTTGGGACTGTGGTAAGAACGATGAGGATGGAAACACTCCGACATTCACGAGTTTCATCAGAAGTTGTGTGACAGATGTTATCCTATCTGAACATACGTCATGTATATATCAGATATAAAATGAATAAACACACCTTGCGATGGTGAACGGGAGAGAGTGAATATTAAACGCTCCGTGCCGCTGCTGAAGCCGTTGAAGTAAGTCGCAAGCTCAAGTTCTGGGGGTAAGTCTCGCGTGCCAACTGCGTTGGCAGCTTTCAATGGGACTGCGAAAACGTTTCTGAGACAGTCGTCCCATCTGACTGACTTCCTAGCTGATAAATCGTTGCTAGCGAAAGCAGCGGTATGAAGTCTGTCAATAGGATACTGAGTCGACAACTTGGCTAATAATCTAATAGATTCCTCTGTGAGCACTGAAGAGAGCAGTGTGGAATAAGCGCAGAGTACCACATCCCCTGCAGCAGATAGTGCAAAAGAAAACGTGTCGGGGCAGAAATATTGATCGACGAGGGGCAGATGACCTTCGTCAACAAGGACTGTCGACCACGTTGGTAGAACGTGCTCAATTAACACTCTTTGAAGCGGAGGAAAGGTCTTTGCAATATCAAGGACTCGCGATCCTTGGAGCGGCTCGAGATTGAACTGGCGACATTGTGGTGGAAGAAGGCCTATGTAGTCCAAAGGGCGACAAAGTAAAGATAACAGAATTTGATGATCGGCTATAGGGGACTGCAGGCTATCGATTACAGATTTTATCTGTGCAAGGGTGTCGTCCTCCATATAAATTATCACATAGAAGTAGGTGACTAGTACTGCAAGTCCGACTTCTTCAATCATAATTACTAGCTTAGTCAGCAGCTTCACAAGTCAATACAGGTAAGCAACTTCAAAGTCACGTGCAGCCTTTGAATCGGACATCCGTTCATGACGTCATCTGAGGTTGTAGTCCAGCATAATTGATGTAGACCTTCACTCAATCCATTTTGGTTCAATAGCACCATCATGTCGTATACTGACCTCTCCAATTTCTCGGCACTCTATCGTGCTCTTTGGCAGAAGCAAGATCACTCTGTCATAAGGCAAGGATTAAAGTGTAATGTTATAGATTTGGAAGGTTATGACAAGTCGGCCTATTTCCTATATGTGAGACTTTGGGCGATACTAAGCGGTCTAAAACAGGATGCACCCGTTCACCTTCGACGCTGTTGATCTATCTCAACACCCTGATGCGATGTTATCAAACGGAGCAACCTCCATGCTCATCCGCTCAGAATATGAGTTATTCTTTGATAACGCCTCCAATATTGAGCGTAACTTCATTGTTCATGGATCGGCAGGTATAGGTAAGTCAACTTTCTTCTAAAAATGCTGCTGCTCAATCCAACGCCACATTGAAGGGAAGACAAATTTCCTAGGATACGTTCTCATCAGGCGACTTCTCGCTCGCCAGCCTGTGACCTATCAGGTCGATCGACCGGACTCATGTGTCTTGTGCTTTACTGGTGATGGCTTCTTCACGTTCCCAGAGCAGAACAGCGAGTACTACCCCTTATTCCAACGCGAAGACGTATGGCATCTCATCGACAGCACGCACGGAGACTCCATAGTTCACGCGAACACTGCCCACACCCAGGCGCTGATGTGGGGTACGTGCGGCAAGGCTATTTTCACCACCTTCTGGCCCGACAAGCTGGGATTTAATATTGAATGGTCGCCTGGATATGAAGTTGCACTTCAGCGGTGGATGGCCCCATGTCCTTGGGACGAAATCTTTGCTATGAGGTGAAATTTATGTATATGAAGTTAACGATCACTGACCATCATCGTCAGTGCTCTTACTGCAGACCGACATGACGTCGAGTTCCTACTATGGACGTACACTCATTTCGGGTCCAATGCGCACACCTGCATGCAAGTGTCTCATGATCCTAGTTATGCCGAGCATTATGTGAACGAGCTAGAGGATGCCCACGATAATTTCTGGAGCTTGCCTGCCTTGCTACGCGGAACAGAATCCCAATATAATCGCAGCCTATTTGCAGTTAAAACCGGGCGATACCCGCGCAGAACCGCTTCCCTACCCGGTATCACAGGTCGCCAGCAAGATTTTCGCAGAAGGACTCGTCTCCATCGACCCAACCGCTGCCAAACAGGCCGTCTGCAACCTTCTTCACTCATCGGACGCCAAAGGGGAGGGCGAGATCTTCTATCGTCAGGTTGTGGTGGCCCTCATGTCCAGATTCGGAGGGACCTTCGAGCTCGGGTGTCGGGATTCGCAGGCGCATTATCAACTGGCCAACCAAAGCCTTTTCCTGCGTACTAAATTTGAGGCGCCATACGGGGTCCAGTTGGCTTACCGGACCCAAGGCCAACTTGCGAAGCTAGCAACAAACTATCCGCACATTCTCCACACCCCTGGGCATGCACTTTTGCATCCAGGGATTGATGCGATCATGTTCGATTCCAGCACCCCAACAGTGTGGCTTATGCAGGTGACCTATGGATCCCCACGCCCAATATCTCCGCATGGTCTTGTGTTCTTGTTGGACGCTGTAAGATGCACTGCTTACGAGCCCTCAGCTCTCTGCCCCTGGAAGCTCATCTTCGTTACACCACCCTGGCAAGACATCACAGACTCCTTCCAACTCGGTGAATCCGACAAATCAGAGTACTTCACCTCCATGTTCTGGGACACGCGCATGAAGTCATATGTCATGCAGCTTCGTGACACGGATGATGACGTGCACTCTTCGAACAGCGCATGTAAGCAGTGGGGTTTCCCCCTGTGGAAGAACTCGTTGATCAGCCTCCTACGGTGCATTGCCAACTTAGCGCACCTCGCACAAACACCCTGGCGCGTAATTGGTTCCGAGTGTGTGGACCAGGTGACGATTGGGCTTTGGGGTACGTTTATACGGACGCCGGGAGCTCATTTGTTTGGAGATATGATGGGTGAGCAACCGATTGGGCCGAGTGGGCTCCACCTGAGATTTCCTAAGGGTAATAATTCAGGGATGTACTATTAATACTTTGGATCGCCTGATATACAAGTTGTGATGAAAAAATTGTTGAATCTTCTTTCAACGGACCATGGTTATCGACGAAAAGCCTTAATAATGCAGAATTTAATATGCAGCAATAACCTCCTGAATGAGACATGGGACTGTGAAAAATAAGCAGCCCACTCAAGCCTTTTCATCGTCCTCTGCAGCGTTTTTCATACCTTCCCATACATCATCTCCTTCCTGTTCATCCTCATCCACGGGCACAGTATCTTGCTCTTGGTCCCAGAGAACAACCGTCGGTATCGTTGTCATAAAAACGCGCTCCAAAACCGTGCCCTTCTTGTCAAGGTGCTGCCCAACTTTATCAGGAAGTTGGACGACACTGTGTATGCGTACATATCGATCTATCGATGCTGAAGCTAAGTGGGTTGGGGATGCAGCCAGTGAGATGGCAGTGCCCGATAGGCCTGGATACCAAAAAATCAGTCAACGAGAATTGAGAAAAGTAATCAGGAGAACAGACCTTTGTACCCATATGAGACACTCCCATTCCGTAAGTCAACCGCGTACACATTTGAGCCGTAGTCTGAGATGAAGGCCTCACTGATCATGTAGTGGTCAGTAAAGCAAATCAGAGTGTCGATCAAAGAAACACCGACTGTTCTGAGGATCCCTTCTCTACTGTTTTTACGCCACCAATCTTCCCTATTCCTTTAAACACAGCGACAGGTCTCCGCCCAGCACGAGTGTCGTAACGACGCATATCACCGAGACGTGTGCCTGCAAGAAGATGCTGTTGGCTTGCAGACGTTGAAGGCGAGAGGTACGTTAAACATGTATTGTGAACGGGCTGCCGCAGTCCAAGAAAATCATTTGGGACGTTCTTGGCGCGCCAAACTTCCCCAGGAAAGAGGGTATCGCTTTGTTTCCGCTTTTTGCTGTTAACTATTGCACCTTTTGCTGAACTTTCGGATGGAGGAGCAAATGCACGCTCTGTATCCCAGAGAGATACTTCTACCTCGTCGCCTCCGTACGCAAATGTTTGACGATCATGTGAGAGACGCCAGTCGCATAGTCGAGACGGTAAGGCCGCAAGTTTATGGCTGACTCCACAGTTATCGTTTTTCAAAGTCGACATCAGCAGGGCGCCGTTGGTAGTACAGGAGAATACAGAGCTTCGCCGCTTCAGAACCATCAAGCAAACAACCTGAATGCAAGAGCTCACCTGCCCGAAGCAGCAAGACCGATGAAAGACTGATCACTCTTGATTCGAGTTTCCTTCCACTCTTGAAGTAACTCGATTTGATCATCTTCATTCAAAGAAAATATTGAAACCGCTCCATTAGCATGAGCAGCTGATAGCTTTCTTTCAGCATTAGATGCTTTACTAATGCGAGGGGCTGTCTGAACACACCAATGTCTTCTCTCCCGCGTTCAACGCGAGTTTTTGGATGCCTTTAGTTCTGCCAGGTGGCAGTAACCATCGTGGAGAGTTTTCAAGTCTAGTTTTGATTCTTTTGCGAAGCTGGGTTGTACCCCACCGATTTTATGTTGCCCAGTTCATCACCGACGAGAAATCGAGGCATTATTGGCGTGACAGTACCAGCGCGTGACGAAGTATCATAATCCTGTGATCAATTACCATTTTTGTAGATGAGCGTTTCGATAACTCGCTTAAGCTTCAAGTTACCAGCAGGCGGCCAGCACGTTCATGGACGGGCCACTTAAAGACTTGTCCAAGCTCGAAAGGCTCACAGAGAAAGCCAAAGGGAAACCGTCGTCTATCGAGAACTCTTTGGACTATCTTCTCCAGTCTCTCCGAGAAGTAAAGGATCGCATCAACGCAGGGAGCGTTACAGAGGACACCTATGTCCTTCTAGCACAAACCGTCGAAGCAAAGAAGAAGGAAATAGACGAGAAGCAGAGGGAGATTTACAATGGAATTGCGAGACTTGGGAAGGCCCTGGACAAGGTCTGCACGTTCTGCTAATCCTCCACATCGGCAAACATGAACTCACATGACACAGAAATTCACTCAACCCCTTCCGACATATGAGCCTCTATTTGCATCGAAGGATGCGCAAGCGGCTCTTGAGAGAACTATTGCCCTGCATTTTCTTCGCACCGGGCAGTTTTCAACAGCGGAGACATTCATTCAGGCAAGCAAATGTTGGGGTGTCTAAGACTTGACTGAAATCATTTCCAGGAGTGCAAGATGGTCATCGAACCTGAGCAACGAACCAAATTCCAGGACTTGCACCGCATAGTGTTGGCATTAAAGAGACAGGATATAGGGCCTGCATTAGAGTGCGCTACGTTTCATGACTCCGACATCACCCTTTCTCATGTGAACTGCTTCTAGGTGGTCGCTGAAGAACCGCGAATTTCTCCGGAAACGATCGTCGCCGCTGGTGTTCTATTTGCACCGTTCTCAATTTGTCCGTCTCCTCTTGACAGAACCACCAGATGCTGGCCCTGCCATATCGTACGCAAATGCTACATTGCGCAGCTTCTATCCAGAGCACGCAACAGAGTTTCAGAGACTCATGACTTCTGTTCTGTATCTCCCGAAGGAACGCCTTCAGCGGTCTCCCTTACGCAGACTTGGCCTCAGACTCAGTGCATACAGACCTCGAGCCACTTTTCGCTAAAGAATACTGCACGAATCTTGGCATGAGTCGACAAGTACCACTGAGAGTCATAGGTGATATTGGCGGTGGAGGTGCCCTAGCCAGAATTGAGAAAGCTCGGACGGTGATGAAAGAGCGTAAGAGTGAATGGAGTCAGACCGACGAGCTGCCTGTCCGTACTTTCTCCTTTGTTGAAGCCAATTATGTCTCATTCTATGTCCAGATCGAAATTCAGCTCAGCACCAGAGAACCGTTATCATTCCATTTTTGCTTGCCCAGTATCCAAGGAACAATCCACTGAGCAGAACCCCCCGATGATGATGACATGTGGGACACGTCATAACGAAGGAAAGTTTGCAAAAACTAAGCAAGTCCAATGGGTACGTCTTTGTGTCCCTTGGGATTCTGGTTTGTTTGACCCATAATGGTTCCAGCCGTGTCAAATGTCCATACTGCCCCACCGAGTCGACGCAGGCAAATGCTCTGCGCGTTGTTTTCTAGTATGTAAGGGTATTCATCATTTGTATTGTAATTTTCTCCGTCACTTCCCCATCTCTATTTTAAGTAAGTACTATGGGATTTGTATCATCACAGAAAGTATGGCACGACTAAGAATAATCAAAAGATTATCAACCTCCGTCACGGTTTCAAGTTTTGGGTGACCCAACTAGCCTGGATATCACAATGTCACTCGTACTCCTAGTAGAACACTGACAGACTCACCATCATCGTCAGAGTTTCTTCTCCATCCTGATTCGTGCTCCTTACTATGGTGCTCTCATCAATGGAGGGTGTGTTGATAAACTTTGCGAGCTTGTCCAACTGGGTAACGTCAATATGATACTGCTCTGCTAAGGCCTGAAGTTCGGCTTGCGACTTGACAGTTTTCCGGGCCTCGAGCAATTCGCTCAGTGATGAGGCCAGCAAGCGATTTTGAGTAGAATGTGACGGCAAAGCCTCCACTTCAGACTGGAGGCGAGAACGATGCATCTGCTGAACATAGTCTGCCTGTGAGGAATCCAATACCCTAGTAAGTGTGGCACTCGGTACTGGACAGGTTACGCACTGGTCGGACGGACCGCATGTGGTGGTCAACGCGCACAGGGCCTAGCTGGCTTAGCTTGGACATAAACTGGGGGTCTTTGCCATCAGCCTCAACCGCTAGTACAACGTTTGAACAGGTCGCGAGTGATACGAACAGCTCTGGCATACGCACCATCAGTCTTATTTTCAAATGCCAGTGGTCTTGGACGTCGTATTTCTTGAGCACTATCTTGTTTCAAGGGTGTACGAGCACCTGCCCATGACGATTTTTCCTTGGGTAGCGTACGAGCTGTTTTAGATGCAGAACTGCCCATGGTAAATCTTGAAGCATAACATGACTGTCTGAATTATAATATGTGATTGACAGTTGTTTACGCTCTGCTTCCATGCCACTGCCTAGTGGCCAAGCTCTCCTGTAAAAATTCCCCACTGTGCCCTACAAGCCCAAAAGCTTTTGCATGCGACTCGGTTCACATTAGTCTTGTGGAATTTTTAGAACGCATTGGCTTTCTGTGCGCGTCGTAAGTCGTTTATAGCGGTTTCAGCATTGTTTGCACAGTGAGCACTGAGCGCTATGAAATACACTGAATTATCCATTCTGCCAGCGTGAGCGTCTCGCGTGGTGATCGGGGCCATGGTCAGGGTATTCGCTAACAAGTCACATCGCTTACAGACGTTCTTGCTTAGACCATAGTATTTATCAACTTGCCCACACCTTCAAGTTCATCTTCCTCACACGACTTACTACTCCACTGCGGACGCTCACATTCCATTCTGCTTGTAATTATCTGCCAAGCACCCTGACGAACAACGACCAAGCATTTCTCTCGTCAGCCGTTTCCAAGCGTATGCCATGATGGAAAGGCGAGATCCAGTTATACCTCCGGAATCGCTCTCAATTTGTTCACCCAAGACTTCAAATGCCAGTAAATGATATGTCAACTGCCTAGGAATATAGCCACAGAACTCGTCAACAATCTAAAGTATCATGGAAATTAAGACAGAGGGGTAAAATAATCGCAAGTGTACAGTCTAGGCTCGTAAGCGTGAATGTAAGCCTTTGCAGACTCAAGATAACATGCAACATCCAGCAACCTCCTAATAGCCACCGCCGCGCATTGAACGTCTACCTGAGCGTCGGCCTGTGCGTCGGCCTGAGCGGCGCGAGCCACAGCATCTACAACACAGGATATCGACGATGACGTCAAATATTGTGACAATAATCTACAGAATGGCGATGATTAGTGGTACTAATTACCAAGTAACAGAGTGATAGACATACAGTGGTGATAACGCCAACGATAGTCATTATAACGCCTGCAATGGCACCTATAATGGCTTCGATTCCACCGCCAATAGCTGAGAAAATTGAGCCCTGTACAACAAAAGATTAGACCTCGTCCGATGGAAAAAAGGTTATGATAATATACCATGATGAATAATCAATAATCAGGTATGTATATGTGATCCACAAGTGAGTTGGATTGAAAGATATTGGTTTCTACTTGTCCTTGGCTTCGTGCTTTATATATACTGTGACTGGATGTATGACGTATAAATCGAGGTCACCAGGTCGTGGAGAGGCACCTATAGATGACATCACCGCTGCTGTGGGGAATGTAAACTGTAAATCCCATCAGCCTCGATCGGCTCCCGACATCGACCTTGTCCTGCATCGGGTCAGGGAGAATGGTGTAGACCCACGCTCACGTGGCAAGCGTGGGCTTGTAGCACTTCCTGCGCTGACACGTTGGAGCCGGGTGTGCCAATCATGACATCAATCGCGACGCTGAGTTTGGTAGACCCCAGACCGGGCACAACGGCATCAGGGCAGCCGGCCGCAGTGTTCGTATCATCCTCATCACTGATGACGGCGTGGGTGGAGTATAAAGAAACTTGAGTTATTCTTTGGTGTATGACTGAGGAGTCATCTCGGTATCCTTTTGCCAAAGAAAGACTCTGTTACCTACTAGCAACGGGACTCGGGAGAATTAGGAAGGCGCAGACATCGTCGTGGTGAAGTTCATGCTTTGTTGTCATGATGCTGCGCAGCTCGTGCCTGATTACCTCCAGCCCATGTTACCTACGCAGAGCATGGTCCTGGCGGAATCAGTACTTTAGTGGGAGAGCATGTAAGTAGGGTACATTGGTGTGATTGCACAACAGCACTGTATAGACATCAAAACGAGCAAGCAGCTAATTCTACAACAAGATTTTCACATAGAGCCGAGAACTTTGAACGCACCATTCGTCATCGCGCGCGCCATCTCTCCCGTATGTACCCATGCATTCTTCTCGCCAGCCTCTCCATCAGCCGACAGCATATTACCAACTGACGGTCCTCGAACCAAAATTTCGCCAACGGGGTCTGCACCTTTTTCGACTACGTTGTCGTTGACACCGATGAGTTTTACCTCTACATTGACACTTGGAGCCCCAGCATGTGCAGGGCTCGGCGGCTGGAGATGAGGATGGGAGCATCTGCAAATCAAATGCATGTGTGGCGAAGAGAGGACCAGTAGCAGAACCATGGGTATATGTATTTATCAATGGGATGGAAAGCACCAAGCGAGCAGGCAGAAGCACGTCAGATGGTAAAAGCCCTATGATTGGATAAGCATATACTGTTGTCAGGAATGGAACAAAACACACCACCACTGATCACGACCGCCTTCACTGTGTCAGCCATTTTCCCAAGTACATCTTCTCGTGCGCTACTAAAAACAGTACGGTCCCATAGACTGTCCTTGGTAAGGAATCCTTCTGTGAGACTAGCAAATTTGTGCCGCCACGCCAGGGGGAAGACGAAGGAAGACTTCTTCGCACGGTCCATCACTGAAGATGCAAGCGATTGAACATGTTCGGGCTTGAGGAAGAGAACTGTAGGAGAAGGTATCGGAAACTTAATCGCAGAGAGAATGTCAGCTACATCTAGAGCCGGTGCATCTGTGTGTATATACCCTCAGGTTTTGAGATACATGGACTCGAAATCAAACGTACCGCCATCACGGTAGACGCTTGTCGAAGGCAGAGTCGCAAAACTAGCACCCTCGAAAAGAGCTGCATAGGCGATGGCACGTCCGTACGGAGTGCTCAAAGAATGACTAGAGACGATGGTGTCTAGAGTAGAAATATTAATGGCCGCGGGGAAGAGTGCCTTGATCGCCGTCACGCCGGAGGTGAAGTTCTCGTGTGAGAGCTGCACACACCGCATCTCACCCGATGGAGTCTCGAAGAATGAGACAGTGTATGCACTACCGGGCTCTGAACACTAATCAGAACAATGGGTGCATGGAAATGCAGAGACATACGAGGAGCGTTTTTTGGAGCTTGAGGTACCTTGCCAAGAGATTCAACACTATTCCAGCGGTGCATGATGATATCCGAAACTTGAGGCGGATTAACCACAATGAGCTTGTGATTGTGCTTGCCTGCATCTCGAGCGGCCTTAAAAACATGCGGCAAAAAAGTATGGTCTGTGATGATGGCATCAGGTGGGTGCATCTCAAGGACTTGCGCGAGCAGCTTGGGGGAGCTCAGAGTGATGGAAGCGATGGACTGCTCCGAGAGTGCGAGGTCAGTGATAACGAACTCTAGAATGCACACCGATTTGAACTATACTCAAAATGCGCCAAACGAGACAAAGCGTACCGATGCAATCATTAAGCAATATCAAGACAGTTGAATCCTCTGGGACAAGCTTAGCGATCCCCGAGCCAAACGCCGAGACTCGCGCTTTCAGCTGAGCATTTGTGATCTGAATGTGGAAACAACACGATGAGTGGTTCATTAATTGTTGACGAGAAGGCAATCAGACGCACTTTCGTAGACCAGAGAGTACGTGGTGCATCAAAATCAGGTTTCACGAAGTCAGTCACAATATTCACGTCTTTGTCAGGTCGGACAGGGAACTGAAAGGGATTCAACGAGTGTCTAATGCAAAGTGCCCAAATGCACGAACCCTGCCCATAAGCCCTGTTCCATAGTTGCGGTAAACCGCGCTCTCGCCTGGATGCCTCACACGCCCAGCATCACTTTGCCGACCTAAGAGAATTGGGTGGACGAGAGGCTGTGGTTTGTAGAGGTTCTGGAGGAGAAATACAGACACCCCAATGAAGCCGAGAAGAACGGTGAGGTCGTCTGTGACCAGGTAGTCTGAGATGGTCATAGTGTATTGGTGGCCGAGACTGACAGTACTGGTGACTACCAGTTGACTACCAGAATAAATTGAGATGGAAGAGAAGACAGGCGCTTACAAGTCGACGTGTCAGCTCCTTACGTTTACTTACGCTATGCTGCTGGCATCATCAATCACTTCTCCATTACAAATCTCGGAATCTCACGTTTGCAAACCTATAGCTAAACACATGCTCGGCGATCAATTGATCATGCATGCATGACTAGTTAGTACTTAGTTACCAGCCAGGCAACTAATGCTATGGCTCGTAAGTCATGCCTAGGCCTGCTTGGCCATTGCTTCAAGGGCCGCATTCATGATAAGAATCGCTGATCGAGCTGCAGGTTCAACTCTGCGTATATCTTCAACTTTGCCCCTGCCCATGGCTATAAACTTTCGCCCGACTGCGCGTAATATCTGTCTGTTGATCTCTCACTCGGACCACTTTACCAAGTCCACATAAATTTGGGCTTTCCGTGAGAATGTTCTTGCGACGGGACGAATATATTATCGATTTTCTACAGCTATGTCTGAAGCGGGTCAGTGCACCTCGTCCGTGCACGACATTGATCATCACGTGTCATATATCATAACTTCATTTCCCCTCTTCGACCGTTACTTTCCCCTCACCTGCTGCGTGTATTTTTAAACAGTATACTTCAGTCACAGTCTAATTTCGTATTCTCCACTTGTAGCAATGTGCGCTGCTACGAAGAAGCTCTCGACCAAGGCCGCCGAGCCTGGGCCTGGTGTCAAATCTGTCCCGGAAGCGACAGTTTCAAAGTCGCATCATACAACCCATCCCCCTTGGATTGACATGATTACCGTGGGTCACCATCATTCTAAATACTGCACATATTCTATCTAGACGATTGTGCGCTTATCTGAGTTGTGTGAAAATAACCCCTGTCCACAGGAATGTATCACCACGACACCCGATGGGACCCGCCACGGCGTATCACGCCCAGCGATCAAGAAAGTAAGCACGCGACCGCCGTTATAGCTTCCTGTATAGTTACGTCTGATGTTCTGTAGTTCGTCGACTCAAAGTACCACTTGGAAACGAATCCTTTAGTGTCTAGCCAGCTTAACCGAGCAATCCATCACGGCGCTGATAAGGGGAAATTTGTCTTGCCAAAAGGCGAGTCTCCCTTTATCACGGGGTCTTTTATCTTATTTTTTACGCGATTCCATTTAGGACCTTCTGGAAAGGTCAAACTTGCGCCTCGGGGGCACGAGGCAGCTAAAGAGGTGCGTCATGCTGCCACTAGTTGTCACCTCACCTTAACTAAGCACTCATTTGGCAGAACGCAAAGCCATCTTCAAAACGCTCCGCCGCTGCCAAAGAAAGTCACGTCATCCCAATCAAGGCAGCTACTAAAACCGCAGTGAAGAAGACGTCTCGTGCCGCGAAGCCGGCGGCTACCACTGTACCCGCCACACCGCCGAAGTCAAGAATTGCTGAAAAGAAATATCACTCCACTGCAAAGAAGGCTAGAACGACTGGTTCCTCTACTCGCAGGACGGTCGGAAGAAAGGCCGCTACTGCACAGGGCAAAGCTAAGAAGGTATATATATGATCACTAATATCATAATATGAGCGCTAATCTTTAACACGTGGTCGTGGCTCAGACTGCCACAGGAAGGTCAACTCCATCAAAGACTGGCAGGCGGGGAGCAACTTCCTCGAAGAGGACTACGAGGGCAGCAGCTTCGAAGCAGAGGGCCCAGAAGACTTCCCGCAAGTAACGCATGTTATTCATGGTAGGATCGGATTCTATATTTATGCCAGTGATGCTCACCTGGTATGGTCACATTGACAGATTTCACGCTCTTTCTGGCGAATCATGGCTAACGTCCTGATATCTACTCAGAAACACGGTTTTTCTTCACTGCTTTTCGTCACATGTTCAGGCCTATTTTTCATTCATCTTGCTGTTTTTACGTCTTGGATGTATCTCCGTGATGTCCCACTCATGCTTTCCTACGAGTTTTACTTCTGAAGAACTCATGCCCATCTCATTCTATGCCCTATCTTATCGTACGCTATCTACTGTCAATTGCCCTGGTCTCCCCATATGATTCAGTTGTACGTATCCTCTGTTACAATCTGGAACAACAAATATCAGTTCCTCAGGGACATTGAGTTGTGTGAAAGCCGGCCTGACGTTAAAACTTTATACTCAGAATGTGGAGAGTTTTCGAAAGCCGGTGAAAGTGACAAGTTCACTTGTCTATGACATAAACTGAGAAGCATAACCAGATTCCATGTCAGATTCATTCATGTATGCACCGTTTTTAGAAAGTCATATATTGCATTGGATCAGCTATTATACCGCGGAGACAAGTACTGTACCGTTTATTCGATCTGATATGTTGTAGCCCTGACATTTAAATTTACTTCCGAAGCCAATCATGATAATATATCTACCTGAAGCTGTCTCGTGATCGAAAGTGCTACGTTGGCAGCCTTGTGCAAGGCTGCTAAGGCATTCTCTACATGTTTTTACTGCGTGTGGGACAACTGTGGGACAATGGAGGACGACTGGGCAAGCATAATTGTGGCTGTGATTTAGTCCCGCTAGTTGTAGATGTCTGTGGCGGTGCTGAATTTCCCATCTAAATAAGGTTTCGGCGCGCATTTTGTTTATCAACAAACAACAAACGCGCCCACACGTGATTGAACGCGTTTTGGGTATAAATGTGGATGACTTAATTTGATTGCCTACTCCATCTTTTGTCTCCTCCACGCCCGCGAATTCTGTGAATTCTGTACTTCATCGTTGCACATCTGTTTAACTTGGCCTATTAGATTATACTCAATAGTAACAATGTCTTCCAACACTTCAGTTTCCCCACCCCCTATCGAGACTCTTCCTGCTTCTTCGTCTAAAGCTAAGAAGACAGCAGCAAAGAAACCCGCATCAAAGAAGGCCCCTGCAAAAGCTGCTCCAAAGGTCGTATCCCATCCTTCTTGGAAGGACATCATCAAGGTTAGTCAATGAAATTGGACCAATGCAGTTTTATAATTCTGTCATCAGGCGTGCATCACTGCTCACAAGGAGGACGCTCGCAGTGGCGTGTCAAGAGCAACTATCAAGAAGGTGCGTATACATTCTACGTCTATTTATTAACGACTAATGTTATCTGACCTACAGTTTGCCGAGGAAACATATCGTCTCGAGGTCAATGGTACAAACTTGTACCAGCTCAACCGTGCTATCACATCAGGCGTCACGGCGGGCATCTTTGCTTTGCCCAAAGGTCCTTCTGGCAAGGTCAAACTCGCACCAAAAAAGAAGGCATCTGATGATGAGGTATGTGTCAGTAATGACTATCTTGTTTTATAGCGCTTACGCACGTGTCTCAGAATTCAAAGCCTGTACCTGTAAAGAAGGCACCCGTAAAGCCTGCCGCAAAGAAGGCTCCTGCTCCAGCCAAGAAGGTTGATGCTCCAGCCAAGAAGACTGCCACACAGAAGCCGACCACCGCATCCAGGGCAAAGAAGCCTGCCGCGCAGAAGACCACAGCAGCTGCCACCAAGAAAGCTGCCACCGCAGCAGCACCAAAGAAGGCCGCCCCGAAGAAGACTACCGCCGGTGCTCCTACCAAGAAACCTGTAGCGAAATCAGCAGCACCCGCTAAAAGGGCATCCACCGCGAAGACGACAGAGAAGAAGAAGGTAAGCTAACGAGTTGTTCGCATTCAATCAATCTCACGCTTCACCCCAGGTCGCAGCCAAGGCTGCAGCTACCAAGGCCGCCAAGAAGCCTACCTCGAAAGCAAAGCCAACTTCATCACGAACTAGAAAGGTACGCTCTCGTGATCGTCTGATTGCTTGTCAGAATTCATATCTTGGCTTTTCTAGGTTTCTGCTTGATGATACCTTATCACATCGCCCGGACTCTGTTTCTCTTTCATCTGGTGTGACATTAGTGTGCTCCTTGTATTTTTGATACCTACTTTATTCGTGTACAATTACTAGTACTGCATATCATTTCACTGAGGCCAGTGACAGTTCACTTGCGCTACAATTCCCTTGATAAGCCAGACCGACTCCTGGCAGACTCGTGACCGGTGATAGTCAGATAGCAGTCTGGCTCACAGCATAATGTGATCTATGTCCTTCAAGTTAGCATGGGAATCAATCAAAGCTGTTCGTTGTTCATCAAGTGTTGACCGTTGTGGACTACCTACTATGTCACAAGTTGCCGTTCTTTCTCTCTGACATAGATATGAATGTTATAATTCGTAGCGTCCATCATATGTGGTTTTGCGTTTCTTTGCTATAATTCCGACAGTCGCTCTATGATAACGAGCAACCTCAGTTCGAAACCCTTCGTTCCGCGAGGCCGCCACTCAATCTTTGCCATGACCTCATGTCGTTTTCGAATTGTCGTAGTGCGGCCAAATAAGCCGAATGCAGTTTTTGTCTTGTAAATCATTTGTCCTTGGTGATGAGTCTGATGACAGTCGAGATGCGAGCGTCCGTAGTCGAGAGAGAGAACCTAACATGGGGATGTCTGTAGTTCAGCTGACTGCGCACATGCCTTGACCCATTAAAGGATGGACAGCTATCTGGCTTGGTCAAGACGTCTAAGTAGGCGATGCTCGTATTCAGAAAAATATTATGTACACATGCACACCTTTCTCAAGGGGTCCAAACTTCAAATTTCAAAGGCGAGTTGCTTCGATTATAAGGGCAATGCTAGTCAGGAACTAGCCAAGATTAAGCAAGGCACGCCGCACAGGCGCCAAACCTACATCTAAGTTTCTGAAGTTCTTAAATAGGGTCGCCGCGGCTGCAGTCAATGAGCTATAAACCATTACTGCGGTCAGTGGAGCTCGGCTGTGCGGGCCTACTTTTCCGCCAATGAAACATCCTAACCTTCAGTTACATTTTTGGTAGTTACCAGGTCCGAACATATTGGCTTGGTATGTAACTTACAGGACCCAGTGCGTGCTGGGTGATGTACTAGCCTGCCGGAATGTCCCGGCACCCTACGTCCGGATTTCGCTTCCTGCATTCGGTTTTCTCTCTTCCACGACATCGAATTCGTCGTACCTCGCACTTCCTTACAGTCTTTCTTTATACCCATATACTACTCCCTTTCAATCGGGCATTCTTATGATGCTGTGTCAATGCATATTTCTGTTTGATCCGAAGAGTCATTCAACATGATCGAATTCGCAAGCAGGTATCCTGCCCTCTCGAGCGGCTCCAGCCTGATAGATCAGATCATGTCAGTGGCTCTCGAGCCAGACGAATTCGTCGTGCGTAGTGCCGGAACCGGCCAACGTTCTAGCAAAGAAAGCTGACAAACATTCTAGATTCTGAGAACACACCTCCCTTTTTTCAAATTTCAGACCTAATTCAATTCTGCTCTTCATCACGCATATGATACCAATACTTAGGATCAGAATTATGACTTGAGGTAACTGCTCAAACTTACCATTGCTGGCCGAAGGAAGATTGATTCATATGGCTATATCATATCACCACACCCTCTGGAGTGTGCAGATAAAACAGACCTACCGCCCAGACTTGGCTAACCTTGGCCATCTTACTGCATATATTAAGTATGAGTACTTGTAAGAAAAAGCTAATTATCATACAGGGTATCAATCATAACACACCACTCAAGTTCATTATGTTGGAACTTTTTTAAAAGCATTTTAATCCATTAAAATGGCCTAACGACACGGACCCATTATAATATATTATGATCAAACAGTCAGCATTTTAATGAGTATCACACCATTTTAATGCACATAAAAATGATGATGTAATGCATGTTTTAATGGCGTTGACCTATTCTTAATAGGATATTTTAATGGTACCCACCAAATATCTATATGCAATTTTAATGGTACTCACCAGATTTTCATATGCATTCCAATGGCAGCCAAGGTAGTCTGAATGCACATTTTAATCTTATTCGGCTGAGTCTTAATGTCCATTCTAACAAGGTGATGATGAGCAAATATTCATCGCATATCAATTGCAATTCCCAGAAGTTGATATAAAAACTAATGTACACTATGTTGCGAAAGGAAAAGAGACATAACACCCCGCCCCCACCCCCATCCTTCTAAGGGTGGTTCATGGATCAAAATAAATGTCGAAGTCATGCGAGAGTGTGCGCTATGACCAATGTTGAAGAACGGGATAGACAGGCCATCTACAGACATTCGAATTCAGCCACAACAAGTAAAATGCTACCCGTAACGATACTTACGAACGATGTTAGAACCAAGGACGACGAAGGACACTATAGGCTGAATAGTTGTGGTGAGATACTGTGCTTAGACTTGATCTGCAGGCTTCAGCTGCTGCTACTTTACCTTCTTCTTCTGCGACGCCTGTTGGGGAGGTGGTGAGTCCTGGTGTGAATGCAGCTGCTATTGTGAGTGCGAACAACGTGAATGTGGGCCCGAGTGCAAGTGCAAATGCGAATGGAATCACAAGCGTTGGTGGTGGTGGAATTGGAGGTACAGGTGTCAATTCAAGTTCGGGTGCAGGCATGAGCATGACTGCGACTGCGACTGCAATGGGAGTAGGTACAGGTAGGGGGGATGTCATTGAAATCATCGGTAAGTCCGTTCGGGTGGGGTTTCGGGAGGGGGACATTTTTCTAACCTCGACTTTTGCATCTACAGAGGGTGGGTCCTCCGGAGTGGGCAAACACGTGAGTGCTAGCCTCAGCCTGGCCCGGCTTGGCTCGAAAGCTGCGGCTTTGGCCTGGCTTCAGATGACTCATGATGGATCGGCGGGGGGTGGGCCACATTTGAAACATGGACGCTGATGTCTCAGCATTGACTCGCGCTGCAGACGAGAAGGATGTGTAAACTTGACTGAGGTCCTTGTAGAAATGGAAATAATCGAGGTGAGGATTGGAGGGACCATGCATTTGGTCCCTGATGACCTGGGGAAGGACATTCTGGTAAAATGAATGTCATAGAGCATGATTGGATAATGTGCTGATCAGATTTGAATGTACCGTATGGATGAATACTGAGCAAGTTGTGCTGGTCTGAAACTTACTGTCATACTGACCGGGGCCTTGTGCGTGGCATGCAACATGGACCACAGTTTCTGTCCAGAGGTACAGTTGAGTGCGTAAGTTAAAATGAACAAAGAGGCGAGAGTATTGATGCCAAAGCAAAACTCCCCATCTACCAAGATAAACTCTTCGTCTGGTCATGGAAAGTTTGATTGATCATGTTCCATGAACCGTTTCATGGTTGCTGTAGGTATTACCTATAAGATAAACACTTCGGTTCATGGAAAGTTTGGTTAATCATGTTCCATGAGTCGTTTCATGGTTGCTGTAGGTCCAGGTATTACCCAGGCCATCTAGGATAAACTCTTTGGTTCATGGAAAGTTTGATTAATCATGTTCCATGAACCGTTTCACGGTTGCTGTAGGTTGAGAATCAGATAATGGTATGACCTTCTGGCATCCTGGACTTACTGACGGCTGGCAGATGTTTAACATCAAATGCGCATGATGTGCCCTGCCTCCAGATGCATCATCTTTTTCAAAAGTAAGTTCACCGTCGTCGATAGTACAGAGGGTAGCCCTTAGACTTAGACTAGAGCCGCGGCTCAGGCTAGTGCTAGGGCAGACATGAAGATTGCGCTGACTCCCATCTAGGATGCATGAATGAATGATGGGGAATTTAAATGGTACTTGATAAATTATAATGACCAACTTACTGGTCCAGGACCTGTAAATACACTTGACTCAGATATTTCAGGTGAGAGAGACATGAAGATATCATGGGGAATGGTAGTGAAAAATTGGGCAAGATCATGCCAAGGTGTCACAACCCTTATAACGAATTAACGCAGGGGCAGAGACTAGGACTCAAACAAAGGATATCACAACAGAAAGGATAAAGAACAGCAGGTACGTCTTGGATTGCTAGCAATGAGCTAATACACAAGAGGTTTGAACTAAAGAACTACTGACTACAACGAGCTACCTATATACATATATTGAAACGGAGAATGAATCTGAGTCTGAACTAACTAGCCAATCATTAAATAGAAAAGGGAATCATACAATGATCTAAATATAACTACACCTATGATGTCATGAAGCGTGTAACAGCTGTGCAAGGGTTCTCGAAGGTTCTAGAGTCACGTGACTTAATCACTTGTGAAAGGAAGTCGAAATCAGGAATATCGGAGATAAAGGTAGTGGGCGCTAATGGAATAGAGAAGTTCGGAAATGTAAAGGATGGATTCGGGTTAGGGTTTGTAAAGGTTATAGGTACAGATGCTGATTGAGCGCTAACGACAGGCACTTGTGACGGGCGCTTATTAGATGTTTTACGAGTGTTCAAGTAAGAATAATGGTTTGTATTTGGAACTCGTGACACAAGGTATTGAATGAAGTTCAAACATTCAAAATATTGTTGAGCTGGCTGCGGTGCATTGTCAATGAATGAAGTTCAAATTTCATTCAAGTTTGACTCATTGCAATTGATTAGTAATACCATTAACATCTCATTGTGGGAACTTCTAATAATACTACAACAAGATTGTATTGGCATTTGAAAGTGAACACGTTGATTGTGACGTGCATCGTGTGTCGTGTCGTGTTTCTCACCCTCTGACCACGTTGCGTTGTCCTGCATGATTTGGGAATCATGCATGGACATGACTACTAGGTATCCCCCTAAAAGACAAAGTCTGTTAGCTTAGTCCTCAGACTAGTCAACCCATACCTTGGTATCAAACCTTGGTCCAATAGTTTCAGTTTTCCCTCAGTGATTCATGAATCCACCATGTTTTGAAGAAAAGTCATATGTGAGATGGGAATCACATAATGACCTAGTTGATATGAGAAGCAAATTGAAGGTTAAGGTATTGCCTTTCCTTTGGCTTATTTACTTTGGCTAGAGAAACCCATAGAGAAAAGTTCAAAGCCTAACAAAAATCTATCTAAAAAGCCCGCGTATTGTGTACTATTATTTGTTCCATTATTTCTGAGTAGTTTTCTCTAGTGTTTCTTTACTTAACTTTTCTATTAGGATGCTCTGACTAATCAGATGCTTCATAAAATTGTACCTACAGGGTATGATGTCATAATGATGTCATAGGACTTCACACACACTCCTGCAGGTATTCTGTTGAAAGATATGATATCATAGTGATGTCATAATGATGTCATCAATTCCAGAATGTTCCATGGAATTTGCTAGAACATTCCAATGACTCATAATGACTCTGAATGATGTCATTATCCCACCATGAATATTCTGGAATGTTCTTTTGCACCTACTAGAACATTCTGCTCCAGTTTTTGGGATATTCTTCTCACATTCTGAAGTCATTACATCACCTTTTTTACTTACATAATATTCCCACACAAAATGTATATAAGGAGAGCCCATTCTCCCCCCAAAAAATAGATCTCCCACTTATTGCTTTCAAGAATCTCCCACTTGAACCAATTGAACTCTCACCTAAGAAGCTTCAGACTGAGCAGATTGCTGCTTACAAAGCACATTTCCTTTGTAAGTACTGTCCAGACAAGTGCAGGGAAAGTGTTTCCCTTGAGATTACATAAGTTTCTCGCGATAGAAACCCAGTTTTGTGAGACCAGCATTCTCACCAGGTATTTGTATATTGACCAACACGAGCTTTGGTCATTGTAGTCACATTTGAGACCAGCTTCTCAACAGTTTATCGTATATTCAGGAAACCAATTCAAGTGTCTAGACAGTATATCCTAGACAATCCCATAGTTTCAATCAGAGATAATAGAGCTTCGGCTAAGTTAATCTAATTGATTGGTTTAGTGAGCCTCCCAAGAACTCACACATTATCTACCACGAAAGAAGAAAAGTCGTAGACCGTGTTAATCGAGGACTGGCAAGAAGTCTTATCCAGTGTAATTGTGGTGTCATTACATTCTTATACGTATTTATATAAGACCCTTGGTTATTAAGACAGCGTACACTCTGAATCGATATAGTTCTTACCCTCCCACCACGTCCCTATTTAAGTGTCTTGGTAGTTCTAAGTGTCGTGCCCTTGTGTTTCTTACCCCCTGGACCATCTACGCACGATTCAGAGTGGATTACAAGGAAACGAGAGATGCGGCGGAAATTGTTCAGATGATACCATTCTCTAGCGATCGCAAAGCTATGGGTGTCGTCATCAAGCTCAAGCAGGGCTATCAGTTCTACGTCAAGGGTGCTAGCGAGATACTCACAAAGCTGTGCAGCAGACATGTTGTTGTGCACCAGCATGGGGGCACCTCCACCAATGTTCAGATGGCAGAGATTGATGGCTTCTCTGAGGAGAACATCACGAGGACTATCATTTTCTACATGAATCAGACTCTGCAGACTATTGGCTTGTGCTACAGGGACTTTCCGTCTTGGCCACCACCTGGGATTCAAGTCTCAGTCAACAGGTCCTCACATGCCCACAAAACAATGCTGGTATCAACGGCTTGTCGACTGGCTTTGTTTTGTGGGCCTAGATCACACATAAGCTTCTAAATTCAAAGGACACCGGACTGAAACAAGCATGGGTAACTAATATAAGGTAAGAGATATCATACCACAGGATGACGCAAGGAGCGGCGCATAGCTGTGGAATTGATGTTGGCCAACTTTTTCTTCCTGCCCCTGGGTGCCTTTGTCAGAGATTTGGTACTAACTAGTAATATATCCTCGCTCCCTTCAACATGATCCTGGGCATCTACCAAAGTCTCTGCGGGTGGTGCTATGGGAGTCATGAGACATGAAGTCAAAGTAGAAGGCTGTGGGATAGGGTCATCTTGAATGATAGGCCTGTCAATGGGGGCTGCGACTTTGACTTGAAGAACATTGACGGTGGGCATGGCTTCCACAATTATGGGTCCCAAGGTTGTGGTGGTTGCAGCTAGAGTGGAATAGTGTAGATCTTTGTTAGCCGGCACTTGCAAGTCAACATATTCCAACAACTCGTTGTCCGAGTCTGGATCACTAGCATCCAGCGCAGCCATTATATGATCAAGTGATTCAGTGACGTGCTCCACAGTGCACGGAGTGTCGTCGGATGGCTGTGTCTTAACAACACCATCAAATACATATCCGTTGATTTGCTCGACAACAGATTTGATGCGCTGGTGGGTCCACTTAACAACAAAGAATTTCTTGACCGTCCGAAAGATGGAGTGATAAGCAATTGAGGAAATAGCACCGACTCCATCACCTGAAAATTCCTGGTCTGGTGATAGGACGAATATGGTCTACAGGACATGATGAGTATCAGCTCAGTTTATATTTAGAGCAGTGAAAACTTACTGATGTGACACCAAACGCAATCAGGCCAGGAGTGCAGTTTGTAAGCTGCCATATCTTGGTGTAGGGAGGTGGTCTGCCACGTGCTTTGGGATACAATGACATCTTTCCGCATATCACAACCTTGATAACCTTCAAAACCAAATATGAGTGCCGATGTCTGTTGTTGATGAGTAGACCTTACCTTTGCAATGACTATCCAGTTTTTAAAACATTTCTTCCCATTCACGACATGGTCAGGGTAAAGTATTGGCGCCTTGAAGATATTGAACACTTTCCCCTTGCCCGCTTCCCATCTGATCAAGTCCATGACCTGAGGGAGGGAAGTACGATCGTATTTTGAAACAAAGTACTCATTGGGCATGTTGAATATACCACCTGCAACGGTACGAAGGCCATTTAGAAATGATGAGTGAGCTTGCTGCATTCTACTCCCAAACTAATTGAAGCTTTAACATTCATTACAATGACTTGAGGTAAGGAAATTTACACACCTGGTTGAAGAACACGTTTGTTCGCATCCGAGCGTGCAACACATGATTGATGGATGCATAGAGTTCTGCAACAAGCGCGTCCTTTTCCACAGATTTCTTTGCATAACAATTTGGGTCCGAGAAATCGACTGGAGGATGAGGACAGTCCATTTTGAAAATGACTGTGTCGGGGAGAAACATCTTGGTAGTTATTGCATACTTCTTCACCAAGCCGAAAATAAGCTTGTTGACATCACTGGTCTTCAATGAATCAGAAGCTGCGACAGAGACAGTTACTGCGGATTCCAATGCGGTCCCAAATGGTGTTGTAGATGCCGATTGCGACACTGATGATACCTTAGATGACAATGCGTGGGCGCGTTTGTGAGAACGTTTTGGCTGCTGTGCAACAAGAACATTGTTGCTCTCATTCAGAGAGTTGATGCTGTTTTATGTGGTCATGTGGTCAGGTATCATTACAAAGCGGCTTTTCCATCTGAAAAATGTCATTAGTAACTGAGGCAGAAGCGACTCGGAGTGACCTCAATATTACCCTACACATGGTTTGACACCCAGTGCTTATTAGCTCATTCAGAGTTGTTGAGGTCATGAGGCTGTGACCAAAAAAAGTAAGTTCAATGGCACAGTAATTTAAATGCAGTGAAGACGTACAACATCATTGCAGCATGATGCAGTCCATGTGTGATAGTACACGTTGGAAATCTACACATCAACATGCGGACGGATCAAGTCTCGTAATTTAATGACAAAATATGATCACTTACGTCTGTGAAATGGTGAACATTTGATGATCTTGGCCTTCGTGATCTTGGCCATGGCCTGCTGGATCAGATTCTTCATACCAGGGAACTAGTTGCCACATGCAGACCATAGGTTACATACTAGATCCATGCCAGAGTGTACAGATAGTCGGTAAGATCACGACCAGCAAGATCAAGATGGAGGATGGCATGTGGAAGGGTGAAACCTTCATAGATAGGCACAGTGTGGGTGAAACTGTCACCAGAGTCCATGACAATACCGGTGTGAAAAACACAACCTGACTAGGCACTTGTTAAGGTACTCAGCCAGTATATGTCTAATGCTCTGCCTATGCTGCTATACTTGCAACAAAGAAGCAAGAATGTTTGACCCAAGGGAAAAGCTACTAAGGACAACTCAAGATCAAAAGACCTGAAAGAGCGCTAAAGCACGGGAAAGAGCGGAAGTCAATAAAGTGGACACTGAGTCAAAGGAGGGTAATGGATAGTGAGTGAGATCAAAGGTATTGATTGCAAGGGTAAGGAAAGTCAAATAGGGGCCATAGAGCGCAAGTAAAGGGGTGACTACTTCTAAGTAAAACCTAAGGAGAAGGAAATACAAGTCGAAGGGAAGTGATGTCGAAGTAGTCACCATAGGCTTCTTATACTAGTAAAACTATACCATCTCGGACTTGGAAGGGATAGGATATACATGTAATAAGGCTGTAGCACTTTTTACAAACTTGAGGCAAGGCAAATTACATACCAATGAGGTAGGATGGACCATGGATGGATTCCGACGTTTCGGGTGATTCCTAGGGCGCGAGAACAGCGCGCTGGATAAGTGCTAAGCGCTGGGAACAAGCGCTAGATAGAGCGGACATGCACTAATGCTCCTATAGACACATTGCTGATAGTTCCGACAGCTGCTAATAGCGCGGGAATAGCGTCGGATAAGTCGCGGGAGCATGAATAGCGCTGCGGGAATGTGCACACATAGTGTGGGAAAGTGCAGAATAGTGTCGGACAAGGGTTATGGCTGAGACAAGTGAAGACTGCTGATAGGGGAGTAGTGAATAATGTGAGGGATAACTTTGGTCCACCTATTGAAGGCTTATGCAGGTATACATGCCTAGCGCCAATATGATTGTCACAGCGCACGAAGCTTGTCGTAGAAAGTGTGATGCCAGATCTTCTCCATGTCATCCCAGTTCGTGATTATACCCCACTGTAGAATGAATCATTCTCCATTTTCAACACGTGCTGGACAGGAGGGAGATGTTTTAGTGATGACAGTGTGTGGAGAGAAGAATTGGGTGGCGAGACACTGCAGTTCGTGGTGGCGTTACTCAGTAACCAAAGGTTGCATTGAGCGCTGGCAGTCAGAGGCAGGGATGTAGGGGGTATCCAGGGATGCGCATAGGCATTCGGAAGGTGGAGAGATATGGGTAGACCTACGTGGAGGGGCAGGAGGTACTGGCATGGATTCGTGTTTTGGAATACCGGGCAATGATGATGTTGGTACTATACGGGTAGTATAATCCTCCACCAGCTGCCACCACCATCATCCATGACAGCAGTGTTGGGCGCACTCTCAACCGGAAAGAATGTGATTGACAGTGGGGGGAGATGAGGACGAGACTGTCCAGCAGCCAAGACAAGTGAGAGCAAATGGGGTGTCGGTCCCTGACCGCGGGCGGGCGTCAGCAGCATCGGTTTGTTAATCATATAAGGAGAATGGTCCTGCGAACATTATCCAGAGTGATAAGCCTGAGCACGTTTATCCTCAAGATAATCACGCTGACAGTTGTGTTCTTGATGGTGCTCATCATCGCGGATGTCCTGTGCCTCCCAAACCATGTGAACAGTCTTCTCTCACTCCTGCTATTGGTATAGATCCAGCCAATCTCTCCCAGGGTGTGGAGACACATGTGAACACTGTCTTCGGCGTCAACTGCTTAATGGGGTATTTGAGCATCAAGATACCATGCTTGGATTGAGCCTCATTGCTGGGTAGATGTAAGCTGATTGCAACTACGATCACAGTGAAACATACCCCGACGTAAGAATCCTTCTGTCCCAAGTTGCGCATGTTATTCAAACAGTTCTTTTCAGACATGTGCAGTCGCTCAATATCACGAGTGTTGAAGTTGCCCCAATGAAGCTGAATGTCAATCCAGACATGAGCTGAATCCAAGAACTCTGCCTCTCATGGCTGAAGATATCTGTACAAGTTTGGAATCAATTGGTCCTCCAAGTAACTGTATGGATTAAACAACGTGAGCAAGAGAATGGTCATCAAATAAGAGAATGGACAAACCTCTGACATCAGTTTGCTTGGACCATCACAAGTCACTCTGCGGGATGAGATCATGAACCATCGAAAGCATTCCAAGGCCACCAAGCTCCTTTGGCATGTAGAAGATGACAGGACGGAAATGGGATGGCATCTGAATCTTATTGTTCAAGCCGATCTTGACACAAGTTTGAATCTTGTTCTCTGCCTTGACAAGAGAGTCAGTTCTCTCCTTTGTCTTGTACACACTGTTGATGAGTCCCCCATCTCGACATCACAAGAACGAGTGGAGAAGTTCACCTGCACTGGGATAATTGGGTACTTGGACGGAGTTTGTGACTTGAGCTTCTTGGCATGCTCAATTGCATGCCTGGGGTGGTGTGCTCCACCTGTAATGAGAGCTCGGCAGCGGGGAGAGGCACCCTGGATACTGGTGGGAACTTTGAATGGCTTTGCAGAGAGGCACGCAGGAGGAGGAGTGTTCTCAGAGTCAATGCAGCGAATGTGTTTAGCAATTTGCAAGACCATTGTGGTGTGATGAAGGGGAGAACTGCAGATATGGGGATTGAGGTGATGGTAAGAAAGCTTTAAGTACCTCAAGGTTTTATACCAAGTTCTTCACAAGAGATATGTCCTGTGCACGACACATACGACCAGAGCGTCGAGTACATCGTCAGCCAACTCAAAATCATTGTTATTGGCGCCGTTCATACTGAAGATAGAGTCCTCGTGAGAGACAAGCAGTGTGTTCTGCGGAGTAGCACCCCACAGGGAGATAAGGTTGATGAGTGGGCCAAAATAGAACATCAGTAAACTGCTTTGTTCTGTACAGAGCTGTACAGAGCTGTACAACTCACAAGAGCCACAGCTTGGTCCCCACTGGACAGACAGGCTCATCTCTGTAAATCTCTGTACAGCTCTGTACAGAGCTTCCCAGAGCTCCACAGTAGCCCTCTAGTTACACAGAATATATTAGAAATCGCTTTTTTTTTGCAACTCAAGTTACACATAAAAGTAAATGAAAACAAATGCATTGCAAATGAACAGGTACTACTAGACATTAAGTAATCTACGACGGACGTCGTGCAAATGCAGCGCTTCGTTGTGCCATATTGTCGTCATCATCGTTGTGTTGTTGTTGTTGTCATCATCATCATCATTATTGGGTTGTCGTCGTTGTCATTGTTGTTGTTGCTGTCATTGAGGAGGAGGAGTTGAGTCGTCATTGTCGTTGTCATTGAGTCGTTGTCATTGAGTCGTTGGAGTCGAGTCGTTGGAGTCGAGTCATTGGAGGAGTCAAGTCATGGGAGTCGAGTCGTCGTTGAGTCGATGTTGTCGTTGTCGTTGTCATCATCATCGTCGAGTTGTCGTCATTATCGTTGAGTTATCATCATCATCGTCGAGTCGTCGTCGTCATCGTTGTTGTCGTATCATAGTTGAGGGGTTTACCCGTGGGTACTACCTACAAGTGAGAACGAGCGCAGACAAGCGAGGACCAGTTAGAACGGGCCAGAACAAGCATGGACAAGCAAGGACAAGTCAGAATGAGTGAGGACGAGTTAGAACGGGCTAGAACGAGCTGAGGATGAGTCAGAATGGGCAAGGACGAGCGAGGACGAGTAAGAACAGGCAAGAACAAGTCAGAACAAACAAGGACAAGTCAGAATGGGCCAGAATGAGCGAGGGCGAGTCAAAACGGGCCAGAACGAGCGAGGACGAGTAAGAATGGGCCAGAACGAGTAAGAACGAACAAGGATGAATCAGAACAGGCCAGAACGAGTGAGGGCGAGTCCAAATGGGCCAGAACGAGCAAGGATGAATCAGAACGAGCAAGGACAAGTCAGAACAAGTCAGAACAGGCGAGAACAAGTCAGAATGAGTGAGGGCGAGTGAGAACAAGTGAAAACGACATTCTGAGAGCAGAACATGGCCATGGCACCATCAGCATCGAGTAAGTAGGTCGAAAAAGATATCACGCACATCCTGACAGTGTGCGGGAAGGTTGTAATTACTACTAATTAGTGAAAATGAATGAAAAATAAAGAAAAAAATCTGCGAGAGGGTGTGAGAGGGTGCAGGCAGAGGATATTGACGGTGAGCGGCAGCTGGCGAGTCGTTGCATGTTGATGCCGTCATCTATAATAGTTGCATGATGAGGGTCGAGTTTGAGAGTATAGAGTACTAGCAAAAGTTTGATTAAAGTAGTACATGTAATGCGGGACTTAACAAATTTGAAAGTAAAATACCAAGCAGTGTGTGAAATTGCTCTGCCTGGGAGAGGTTTGCTGTGAGCGCTGTCCCTCTGTGGGTTACTGTGGGAACTGTCGAAAATGTTGATGTCTGTGATGAAATTTGTAGTTTACTGATGAAGGTGGGTAGGTCAGGATTATCAGTGCAAATATAGACATTCTTGGGCAAATGATACAGAGAGAAGTGAACAGAGCATGTGAAGGAGTTATAGGATGCAGGAAGGCAATCTTTAGTATGTAGAAGAGGACGAGATGGGAAATAGGACGCCAGGTATATTGAGAATGGCTTGCCTCAAAATTATTGCACCTGAAGAGCCTTAACTCTAAGGAATATGTCGGTGTCCACAGTGTGCATGACAAAATAATCCCCAGCCATGTTGGGATTCCTGGTGAGTGCAGTGCCTTGAACAATCGACTGAACAGAAACAAGAGGTGGGGGAAATTCAAATATCTGACATCAACCTGGACAAACTTCCCATACCACTACCACCACTGTTACAGCGTTACGGTCACGCTAATTAGACCATATATAGTAATGCTCTCGGCCAAAATAGCACGGAGAACATTGTAGTTCAAATGCAAGTGATTGAAGCGAGAGCACGACGAAAAATGGTATTGTAGTCGCGAGTACAATGCGTAGGCTACAAATATGTGAATTCAAAGCATAGAAAGCATAATGAAGGCACTACGAAGGACACTAATGGATCAAAAGCAGATCAGCGGATCAAAACATGATAGCGAATGCAAAACAATTGTCAGAATAACTACACGAGTAAAGTACGCGCAGTCTGAAGAGGTTGGATAGTGGTGCGAGCACGTTTGGATGTCATGGGTCCCGCAGACGCTGTTGCTGAGCATTTGAGGGAGCGAGAACCTGAAGCCGGCATATTCTCCTTCCCCTGCCTGACTAGAGCAATGTGTGGAGGCTGCCTGTGCTCTTTCGGGATGCCAGCCGAGGCCTGTTCGAGCTCACTCAACTCCATAGACTTCCAAACACCCTCAGGCAAAGGAACACCGGCCTCTCTGCGTCCAGGAATGGCGTACTCTTCATGCTTACTGAGAATTTGTATGGCCATATTGTAGCGCCAGACACTTTGAACGAAAGCCGCTGGCACCTTTCGCGAATTTTTTCCAGGTTCAGGAGGGAGGGTTGGATGGCATAGACCGCACTTCAAGGGTACGTTCCGGCAGGGATTGTTCTTCGACCCGTGATCTGCTGAATCCATACTTGAATGTGTGTCGGTAGGCGCACTTTGTTTCCCAGTCTGGAGTGCCGTTGATAGGAACCTTGATGGTAATAACACATTCGGGAAGTCCAGAACAGGCCGCAGAATCCACACGGTAAAACATCGCCAACCTTATTGAAATCAATTAATCATGTGGAGTAGCATATGATACAAAAACAAACCGGTTCTTTAAGACTGATCTTCTCAGGTGTATTCATGGATGCACGCAAGATATGCTGACCAACATGGGCACGCATATTGGTGACTTTTGCATGGCAGAGGGGGCAAGTAGTAACACGTTCTCCATTGGACGCAGACAGAAGATTGCCTGCCTCGATGGAGACGATAGCTGGTGTACCTAATAAGAACCATTAGCGACACATATATTGACTGATGCTGATCAAAGACATACCATCAATCGATCAATATGGGAACATGACAACGTCTGAAGGTGAAACTTGCGCAATGGATTTGAGAGGGACTTTGGTTTCGACAGCCCTCGCCCATAAGATGTCACAAGCAGCTTGAAGTGCATCTTGACGTACTTGCCAAGTGCTTTGCCCGCCTTTGATCTCCTGGAACTGGTCAGCGTTGATGTCATCCTGAAACCGGATGAACATCGGCTTGGGATTAACAGGTTTGACAAGTGAACCAGGCACGCTGACCACCACGACACGTTCTGTCGACTCCTCGGTTCCTTGGATGATAGAGCGAGCCTTCACGTAGCCTCCATTCCACAGGAAAGATGTCGGGGACTCGGGTGAGGGATGTGTTGGGATGATGGTTAAAAGCTGTCCTGTAACTTTAGCCGTTGACTGTGAGGCCTTCATGACCGCAATATTCATTGATGCGCAAGAAATATTGAGCGACGTAATGAGTGTGGACCGCAGGATGCCGATAGAAAGTGTTACACCTGAATGAAGAATTGTAAGGAAGATATCACCAATGAGGAATGAGTGTTTATCAGTTATGCGGCCAGCAGACATGTCAATTCGCTTGTTGACCTTGGTGTAACCCGCACGGACCCGCTCCAGTCGATTGTGAGACTTCGAAATGAAATCCTTATTGATGACGAGACAGCACACCGTCTGCTTGTGAATCCACCGACCTTTGAACAATAGGTAGTCATCAGGACGTATTCCTGGACCTTCAGGCAATGGAGGAGCAGACAGATCAACGAGAAGCGAAAGGTGATCAGTAGGTGGAGCGTCAGAGATGGACTCCGCAGTCAATGCTTCCTCGAAGGTCAGCATGACTTCTTCAGACTCAGCCTCGGCAGATGGGATTGGGTGTACTAAGTTAACATGGGAAGCGATTATGGGCGCAAGTGGGCTATGGTGCGAGGAGTGAGCTACATCCGATTCGAAACTATACAACTTACCTCTGAGGGAGTTCCTCATCTGCCTCTGAAATCCCAAAGTACTTGTTTTCTCCAAAGGGGCGCAGCATGTCGATACCCGGATCACGAAAGAGCTCAATGAAGGAGAAGTTGATAGGATTGATTTGTGAAGTACTGAGAATAGAAATGGCCATTTCCCGGCCATTGTGCCAGGCAATTGGGAGATCACAACGCCCAGATATGATGTCACCTTTCCACATATCACGGTTGATGTGGTCTATGTCCTCGACTCGGGTGCCCAGGCTCAGACGACGATGGCCTGGATCCAACTCAGGATGGCGCTTGAACACACCATTAATATCTTTGGCGGCACCCAAGCGGTCAATCACCTGTGAAAATGAGCATTCAGAGTTATGGCCACCTATCATCCGAGTACAACCAAAGTGAAGTTCCAGACGGTCATCTCCAGAGTCACCAAGAAAAAAGGGAGCATGCGGATCAAGAACCTGTTGCTTCGCTATGCAAAACATGATATTCTTAACCGTGGTGTGCATGTCGTAGTACAGTTGATAAGACATAAAGGAGCGTCTGTGAGAGCGGAAGAGGGGAATGAAAGATGAGCGAATCGGCTGAGGTACTGGACCTGTTCCGTGAGCGAAAGATTGACATTGATGAAGGGGATGAGGAAAGACTCGATCACATCACTGAGGAGCGCGATAGACATCAAGTCAGCACGTCTATCGACATCGGGAGAAAATGAGTCGTTCAGGAAGTCGCGCTGTGACTGAGTGAGCTCGATAATCGCTTTAATAAGCTCTACTGCTCGGGGGACGTCTTGTGGATCATCAGGATGCAGTAGTTTTGTGACACTGGCTTCGTCATAAGCGGGCAGCCATACAAGATAGCGAGAGAGCATCATAGCATTAATGACCCGTCCATTGTTGAGTGTCATGCCTGAGGGAGAGCGTATCAGCGTGCATATACCTAAATCAAAGGAATTATCAGACTCGAAGACTCAATTAAGATTTTAAAAAGACTTACGTTTGAAAATATGCTTTGGATCAAAGTCTAGCGTTACGTGGCCATCCCCTGTCCACATATTCAAGCCAGGCATGTTGATCAGAATACCATATAGTGGCGACTCTGAGGATAAGGGCTTCTTCACAAAAAGTCTATGGCCTGCTGCATGACGAGTGGCGTCACCGTCAGTTGCAAGTGACCAGATAGGCCTGACAGTTTGTTCTGCACCAGTTGCCTTCCAGTGCTGCAAGGCACACTTGAGGACACCCTCCATGTCCGTTGCATCTTCCGTCTTGCATGTGGGTGCAACTAGGACAGGGTATAGCTCATCCTCGCCGAAACAAGCAACAGCCAATCACGGTGACTTCCTTCCCGAGGTGCACTTCGTCATCATGGATTTTCTGTGCTATAGCGACAGCAGAGTCGTAAGTCCGAAGAACTGGATCTATCAGATTAGAGTGTTTCCAGCAGAGTCCGCCTATCTTGTTATATTTGCTATAATGTACCGCCATTTCTTCAATAGCCATCTCGTCGATCATGATACTGACTCCATGAAGTGGCGTGATATCACCACGGGTACTAAGAATACCAGACTGGATATTCGCATCGAAGTGTTCGTCGCGAATAGTGCCGATGGTGGGGGAGATGGTAGTGAAGGCTGCTCGAGCGCGAGGGGTGCGTAGAGACGGAATACTAAGCTTCTTATTTAATGTGAAGAGGAGTTGACAGCCCCCAAGTCGGTAGACTAGTGTAGCGATGTCCAGATCATCAGCACCGTAGCCCCGTGGACGGTAGGCACCTTCCAGAGCGTCCTCCAATTTGTTGATAATTTCTCGGACACTGGCACCATTGCCCAAGGCGACATGGATGATTTGTTGGAGGCGGGGAATGTCATGTTCAGAAATTGCCATGAGAAGGCGGTGGTAGTCGTCGAGCCTAGTGAGAGCACTAATATACTCACGTGAAGCGTTGAGGCCCTGAGTTGGAGTTGAATTAGTGAGAACGCATATACAGAATGAGAATAAACATACCTGCAGTTTCAATTGCCGAGCTTGATCGGCATAGCTTTGTGCAATGTCTTGCATATTAGCAAGGCCTAGATACTTGTAGTTAGTATGAGGCTTTGGATCCCGTGCGGTTTGGGAGAGGTGGTCGACATATGCAGAGAGTTCAGCGCATTCGCCACAAGGTGAACCCTCAACCAAGGTAGACATGAAGCAACACTTTGACCGAATATAAGGTGTGCTAGGCAGGGTAAGATTGATGACGAAGGGGAGTCCATCTAGGCCGTCATAATACCGTTCCCAAGGGAGAAACATGACGAAGGGAGGAAGATATTGTGGCCAGACAACCAGGAGTCCAGGACAATTGTCAGGACAAGCAGCAGAAAATAATCTGTGAGGTTTGGCCAATCAGTTGATATCAAAGATAATGAAATGGGACCAAAATGTAACGTACATGCTTTGATCTGAGGTAAACGATAGGGAACGTGTGATTGGTTCATCAGACACGTTCCTGGCTGTCTTGCTCCTTCGAGCGATTGTTCGGAGGCATTTCTTGCTGCCTCGATGAGCACTCAGGGCGTTGAAATACCCAGTGTCCCAGAGAGGAATTACGGATGGGAGACTCGTCTGACACCACTCCTCACAGTCAGGGCAGCGCATACTCCATCGCTGCTGAGTGCTGACACGTGTGAGTAATCCACATGGCGCGGAACGCCTGGTAAAGTCCCTCGGTTGTATGTAATGCCAGCTGTTCAGCAATGTTAATTTCTGAGATTGGGGGATTTATGTACACTTCTGGTGAGGCAGAACGACTCGGAGATGAATCTGGGAGCCAGTAGGATGAAGGCCCTTCGCTATCTGGGAGTACAGCAAAGTCTGAGATTGGGCTTGAAGGATAGCCGGATGACTGATCTGAATCTAATCCGTCGTCCGTTGTGTGATTTAATCCGAATGTATGCGTTCTGATATTAGTATGAGCCGGATTGTTACTGTAGTTCTGTGCTGTAGAATACATAATGCAATGGTATAATGGAATTCTAATGGTTTGGTGAAAGCTGATGGTGCTAGGACGACGGAGAGAGATCAAACATCGAGGACAGCGTCACATTGATATCGACGCGTCGTACTATTAATATACTTATTTCGTCACATGTTCTGAAAATTACACTTAGAAATGAACATTTCCTGACCAGCGTCCCTCGACGCACACTTCTTATTAAAATAACCACCTAGATGTGTTGTATTGTAGCGGTTATACCACAGTTTCAGTACTCAACTAATGATTTGACGAAGAACTTAGGCCGCTAGCGAGAAATTCAGAACCTATGTTTTGAAACTTCAGGTGGCTATATATTAAGGTTTACCAGCTTAGTAATGTCAAGCCTCATATCCGGGATTTGCCACTTGCCCACCTCTTGAACAGAAATGATTTCAGATGATGAGCTGAGGTTTGGCTCGTACATGCCACAATCCCAAATCAACATCCTGCCTTCGACGAACACCAATACCAGCATCATAAGGATGGATAAGGGCCAGAGAAAAATCAGTATCGCCAATCGAGCAGCCGAACAAGTACATGAGGCGAGCAAAGAACAGATTGTCTGTAGTTTTCACAATGACACAATCGAACCTCGGTGATCCATAGAATTTTGGGTTGCACCGAAGTAAGTCTTCGTGCATGCGCCAATCAACCAAGGACTCATAATTCACCCGCAGGAATCGAAACTCTGTAATCTGCCAGAAATATCATTGAGGATGGTCAATTGCAACACTGAGAAGAGTATTAATAGTATACCTCATTCTCGGCTCGGAGATGAAGCGCCCTTCCTGGACCATCTGGCAAGGGAATGCCATTCTGCAGGTAGGAACACATTGAGGAAGCAATTAAGCTTTGTCCAAAAGTTCGGTAAAGGTGCTGTTGGTTCTGTGTGTGTGCATGATATCTGAAAATGAATGTTTGCCTTGCTTTGAACCTAAGCGCACATGGGCGACAGGATCTGAACCCGCTACTGGTTCAATATCAGGTTCATTTGTCTCTGGGTCAGTAGCCTTTCAGCTGTAGTTGTCAAGCTTGTTAAGCTTGATGCGCATAGATGTCGACATTAGTAACCAATGGTCATAGTGCAAGATCTGTAGCTTGTCAGTAAAACATTAGACTTGCGCACTGCACTGCAACAAACCTGAGGAGCAACATCCTTGAAGTTTGTCCGTTGAAGGTAAATTTTCTGTAACGCACCATCATGATGCATCTTCTCATTTGGCTTGGCATTGTAGTTGCATGTTGCACCTTTAGCCAAAATATCATCAAATATGTGCGTGATCATATGCTTCTTTGGGAAGTTCCAGTTCTTGCTTGTTTCAGGCTGCGACTTGGTGATATATTCCTAAAAAAAAACCCAGATCAGACGAGTCAGATTCTGGCATCCAAATGACTCACCTCCATCAATTCCGAAAATGTATCCAGGGTTGCCCTTCCAGCCGCAATAGTCTCCTCGGTGTGAACTTCAAACAAAGCATAGATATCTAGCTCGATGTAGTAGCGAATGCACCGAAGAAGTAAGTATCCTAGCTTAGACTGCAATTGATGGAGGATATCTTATGCTGTAAAGAGAACCATCTTTAATTTAAAGTTTGCGTCAGTACCAAAATATTGTGTTTGAAGTTGATGCATGGCATACCTTTGAGATGTCCTCATGAAGTGAACCATCGTTAAAATTGATTGACATGACAGCCTTAAAGTGTGTCAAGTTGGGCCATCGTGGAAGAGCGTCAAAGCTAATAAGGTAGTAAGTCAGCAACATGAATAGTGTTTAATTTATGCAAGATTACATACTTTGCATCAAGTTCCATGGCGGCTTCCCATCCAAGATCAGAAATCCAGAATAGAAAGTCCTTCCAGAGATGGTCCTCCCATAAACCTTCATGATACATATGGAGGTGGTCAACGGAAAGCGCCTGATGAACATCCACAAGAAAAAATTTCCAAAATACATTCTATTAATTTAACGAAGTCAGTGAATTTGTCGGCGGAGCACAGCAACACATACCTCTACATTTCATAGGGAATAAGCCATTAGGACTTCCTCCTTTTCCTTTTCTGTGTGCTTTCCACTCGCAGTGCAAAGGACCTCTTGGGAATTGCGGCTTGTGCGCAATATGAAGATGCGATTGACCGACTGCTCGCCTTGAGGGACTAGACAGATTGGACACGGGAATTTGCCTTTCATGCTGCAAATTAACAACATGACACATCTCCGGTAGGTAAGCAAGCCTCGAAGTAGATTAGTAAACTAATGGTAGTGCTCACTGTTCTTCATGATCTCCACTTAAGATCAGTATTAAGGGCCAGAGACGGCGTCGAATGTGATCCCCACATTCAAACCAGTAGCCAGTTTTTGAATGCAGCTTGATTGACTGGAGAAGCCGGTAGAAGGAACTGTGCCACACCGCATTTTTGAAGTCTACAAAGCTTTTCTTTTTGGTGTGTTTTTGATCCTCGGCAACCTGACAATATAGTCAGTAAGATCACTAGCAGCAGCGCACATGCTAAGATTCTAACAATTGTCAACCAACCAATAACATGACCTCCTCCTAGGGTTGTGTTGCCATTGCGAATGTGAATGGGCAAGTTTGCAATGCGCATGATGATCAGATAACCTTTTTCAGACCCAAAAGAAGATAATTTATTTTTGTCAGCATACAGGATGAACGCGAGTGGCTTGGCATCCCGCGGGAGTTGAGACTACAACAGTAATGTTGGTGGTGTTTCAGTCAGATAGATGATTAAGAAGCTGTGAGACATCAGGCCATACTGTAAGAATGATACATCAAATAGTTACAATCAGAGGGCAAAACTGATACATGTATTCCTATAGTCCACAGTTGTCTAACATCTATAGGGTTGATGTATCAGTGGAGGATCCTGGTCTGGTGCTTGACCCGCGGTTCTCTGGACCTGGTACCTAGGCTTCTTTTGATAGCATCACGGTTCTTTAGTCTATATATAGGTGACATTACTTTTGTCCGATGACCAGGGCCTGGATCATGAGATGCATCTAATTGACAAGCCCAATCAGACTGTAGGCTGATCATGTTGATAAAATTCCTCTAAGTTCTGTCCTGTTCTGTCTGGCTAGAAACACATTTGAAAATTCATTGGTGCCTATCTGATCTGCATTGAATCGCTGAGTTTGGCTAAAATCATTGAAATTCCTCTAAGTCCCACAAACATGTCTGCATAGAAACATGCTGAAAATTGTTCGAAAGTCACTAGTACCTATCTGCATCACCCAATCCCACAAGTTCCAAGGTATCAAGAAACTAACAAGAAGTCAAACATCGAAATTCCTCTAAGTCCCGGCAAATGTGTCCACATAGACTCTGAAACACGCTGAAATTTGCTTGAAGGTCACTGGCATCTATCTGTGTCACCTAATCCCACAAGTTCTAAGATGCCAAGAACTAACAAGTCAAATTATTGCACGACAAGACAAACGACACATGCAAGTACTAACTATGATATATACATGCAACAATGGTATATAGTACTTGGAGATGCGTACATGCACTCATTTGTGCCCAGTCTTCCGAGTTGTGGATAAGCCACCAATATTGTTAGCTTCTGCGGCACGCTTAGATTGGAACCATTGATGTTTGCCTCAACCATTCTGATGATCTGTCGCTGTTCATCAATCAGGGTGGGGGGGCTAGACCTAGTGCTGCACACATTAATCTTCTGACGTTTCACAGGGACATTCAACCATTCTTCAGATTCACATCTGTGCTTCTTGCCTGTGTCAGAAGGGTGTCCTATGGGGGCAGCATCAGATGGAGATGTTGGAGTTTGAGTGGGGGGTGTGCTGGCAGGTGCAGCAGGTGGTGTTGTAGCTGAGAGAATATGGGTTGAATGCGCCTGGGAGGGTGGTGGAGTGGAGTTAGGGAAAACGAAGGTGGGATCTGTAGTGTAATAGGGCGGTGGCTGCGCTCCAGCTTCGTTTGAGTTAGTAGCAGATTCATCGCCTGTTAGAATCAGTGTGTTTTGTATTTCATACCAAATTCGTAGTGGTGACGTGCTAATTGGTGACAGATATCGTTGAGCAAAGTCTTCTGGAGATGGGTCCCACAGAAACTGATTGAGACTGTGTGACGTCTCATGAGGAAGTTGTGAAAGAAGTTGTGGAGGCATGGGAAGAATGGGAAGAGATAGCTGCAATGTGTCATTATCCGTGTCCATCAGTGGCAGGGATGCATAAGGCTCAGAGGAGAATCGAAAGGTGTCGACACCCTCCATGAGATTAAGAAGCTCTGAGGAAAACAATGTATCGGAAGTTGCCGTTGTGCCAGTATTCAATGGGGTAGATGGTAATATATCAGAGGCTAAGTGGGCAGAGGAAGGTCCAGGAGTGATGACCAGAGTGGATGATGTATCAAATGCAGGCAGCAAGCTTTTTGCTCTCAACAGAGCAGCTGCATCAGCTGTTTGAAAGGACATTAGTACTGAGTATCTTTTACTGAGTAAGGCAAGGAACTTACAAAAAACGTGTTCTATGAATTGTGTGTAAGGAACCATAATATTCTGTGAGAATTGGGGGTAGGCCTGACTGAACCAATTGCCTAGTTTTGTTGTACCAATATGGAAACTACTGATGTCAAGTGTTCCACCTGCGGCAGGATGTGGCCCACCCATGAGTACTGTGAATACCCAATTCGTCATCTCATGCAATTCCTCGAAGAACTGGGACAAAATCACAGCGATTTTGGATATGTAGCTGTGTATGCTGTAAGTAAGCATTGTTTGTATTCGAAGATGGTAACCGTGACTTACACTTCCTTATCATGATTCTGTTTCTTGGCTTCCTCTATCTCTGTGCATCTCTTTTCTTTCATTGCCTCAACAGCTGCAAAGACCTCTTCCTTCACTTCCTCGGACTCATTGTCGAAAGCACATTAGAGATGCCACCTAATGACACACAGGGCAGTCTTCTTGGCTGGCTCAGCAAAAGGTGCGTTTTTGTAGCTCTTCCTGCTCAGTCTTTACAGCATCTTTGACTTTTGTATAGTGCGTTTTCAAGTACATCTCCCATGGTTTCAAGACTCAAGTAGGTTTGTGCATCGAGTCTTTCGTCAGGATGTTCTTCATCATCTTGTTAACTGTGGCGGTGTTCTTTCCATTCGCCTGCCGACCCACTTTTGACCCACCCAAATCATTACGGAATTTCTCCATCAAGCGCTGTTAACATGGTGAGGAACATGTTATTAAAATTAATATTCGCAAAGATATACGTACCTGTTGACGCAATGCCCAGGCTTTTGATAGCACTGCCAACTGTTCTTCAGTCAAGTTGACATCAAGTGGAATGTCTGGGAAGACTACGGCGCGCTCAGGAAACTTCCCCCCCCATGCTTCAAAAAAGGGATTCCACAGAGGTTCGTAATTTTTTTGCCTTACATTCGAGAAATTGATCATGGAATGTCTGCATAAGCTCGATCTGCTTGGCAGAATATTTGGTGGGTGGTGCCATTGGTGAGTTTAGATGTTTGTAGCAGGTAATAGCTATTAGCTAGTGTAGTAACGAGAGGAAATTTTCAATTCAAGTGTATGCTTGTGAACTGGCACATGTGTTTTCGTCTGACTGTTAGAGAGGGACCAATTCAGTGCAATAGCTGTTAGTAGTTTTCATCCAACCAAGACTCAGTATTGCCACACTCAAGGAGAATCCTTGGTTCAAGTTCTTTTTCTTTAATACTACTGCTACTTCTAATGAAATCTCTCTCTAAGTCAAGATGGTCCGTCCAGTCATTCATAAAACGCTGGAAGCAAAGCTAGAAGCTGTGCGCGAAAGGCACCTGCCATCATTATGCAAAGTATGTCATACGCCGATTGTTTATTTCCATTAGTTCCTGACCAATCACACTGAAGGAATAGAGATGATATTTTGAAGAGGCGAAGAGTACTTTGTAGCTCTAAAACCAAGGAATCAAAGGCAGCAAAGAAATTCACAAAGGAGCTCTTGAACACTGTCACGAAAGCTTTGCATTGCGGAGATGAAGATGAGTCCAAGTCCAAGTCTGACTTGGATGATGACTCAGAGTCAGACAATGATGAAAGTAACAAGCCATATGTCATTTTTATAAATAGATATGAAATGAAATATTAAACTCAATTTTAACACAGACATGATCTTCCAGAATGCCTACACATCCTCAAAGCAATCAAGGATGAAATGTTGGAAACAATCAGCGATGACCCCTGCAAATTTGTTGAGGGAGTCTTATGCAACTATGTGAAGAGTTTCCCTGAAGACTCCTCCCCTGGTGATATTTCCATCATCAAAACCTCAATCGCTAAGGTTCAGGAGATACTCAACCGGACCATTCCCACGCAAGATCAAATCCTGAATTTTTGTGGAGTCTCGCCTGAGTGGCATGCTGCTGTGACAATCATACCAGCGCTAGGCATGTATGAGTGTCATAGGCATATTTTGCCTTGCCTAGAGGAAAAGAGTAAGGTGCTAGTCACCAGCGCTACTCAGCTCCCAAGCTATCCGCTTTGGAACCACTTTTCTCCCATAGCGTGCTACCCGGTCTGACGCCTAGGTATTCCGTCCTCCCATGTCCTGCCTATGTCCACCTACCTCCGCTGGTGCGTTATTTTTCCTTAAATGTCGCTACTCATCAGTCACAGGTCTTATTACATGTGTCCTCGTGTTCTGCAGCATTGCATGTTTTATTACCTGTCACTACATCATGCCCTTGCCAGTGTCGCTACTATACTCGCCTACGCAATTCCGAACCCTTATGCAGTATGATAAAATGACCTGTCCTACATACAGTACAGTACTTCCCTTCCCCAGACCTTTGCTGGTGTCTGAGTCACTTTAGTCGCTATATCCTAGTCTTGGTGCAATCGATTCCACTCTTGCCAATCTCTTTGATCATGTGTCGCTTGACTTGCTTTAAGTGCACATCACTAAAGTTCCCTCTTAAGTTTGACTTTCGCAACGTCAGGATCACTATTGGTAGTCGAGCTATAATCTAGTTGCTATTGGGCATTTCACTTGCACTGTCTTACCTTACTCCTCGCTTTCGCTCCCTTTGATTTCTTCTTACTGTTGCTAGTCGGACGTTGCATAGCGCTATCGCATAAAATAACTTGCATAGCGCCTCTCACTTATACGCACGTTTCTCTGTCGGAACTCACTTGTCGCTAGTCGCTGATCGCTATAGGTTATTAGTCCTTCGTGCTATCACTACCCTTGCATATTAGAAGGGAGTTGCTTCAATAGCAGTCCTCTTGGGTCAAATACTACACTCGCGCCTATTTGGATAAGTAGCGCTAGTTTCTAACTGCCTAGTCACTATTTCTCTTTCACACCGCTGACTCAGTCACCCGTTTCTTAAGGACTGTGCTTGCGTATCTAGAGGATATACAGTGTCTGTTGTTTTCTGGAGGATTTTGTGAGCTCACAGTTGCTCACTCGATGGGGGAGATGATGTATCAGAAAAGCATCAAAATTTGATTTGCAACTACCACAACTTCAACATATGCATGTAACATAGATTTTTTTTGGCAATCTTGTAATCAATACGAGCTTTTCTTGCACCATGTTCTTTTGTACTCATTAGAGGTTATAACATAAGGGTCTGGAATGCCGTCAATCACAATAAACAAAGTCACGTGCTTGAATCCAGCACATCGATGATTTGCATGCTCGACACCACTGTTCTAGTATCCTGCCATGACATGGGCTACAAAGAAACCAAAGTTGCAATTCAAGTGTTTCATCCAACCACTCTCCACACCAACACCAGCAGTTAAGTTGATATGGGAATATGCATATACTAGTGGGCGCACTACTCTACAAACAGGGCATGTTTCAGTTAGCGACGCCACACTCGAAAGCGAGCCATCTGGCTCACTATATGAACCTCACATGGATTGCCTGGGCTACAATGATTGGGATGAAGTGTCTCCATCTTGTGATTCTCCCGTGAGTGATGTTCTGCAAGATAAGCGCAAAAGATATGCTGCGGTAAGTGAGGATGTAAATGATATCTCCTAGGCTAATGAAAATTTTAGGATAACCCACTTCTCGTTTGGCTCCCAGAACGCCAATCTTTCCTTGATGAGACCATTTTTTTGGAGGGTCGTGGTCCCGAGGGCCAGCGCACACTCTGCCACTGTGGCAGTGAATTTAACGAACCTAGGTACCGATGCAGGGACTGTTTTGGCATGGAAATGTCCTGCCATTATTGCGTTGTTGAGCGCCATAAAAACAATCCATTGCATATCATCAAGGTACGCACTTTCTACTAGATACACGGTCTACAATACTAACCTACAAATGCAGGAGTGGAACGGCTCTTTTTTCCAGCGCACGCACCTCAAGTCCCTTGGTCTACGTGTTCAATTGGGTCACACTCCTGGTGACCACTGTTACAATCCGCGTCCCTCAGCAGGCAACGACTTCGTTGTTGTTGATGTCAATGGGATCCATGAAGTTGTGTTAGATTTTTGTGGCTGCAACACTGCCCAACTGCGCTACAAGCAACTACTATGAATGCGATGGTATCCAGCAACAACAACGGATCCACAAACGGCTGCAACATTCAACATACTCAAACACTATCACCTGCTGTCATATGAGTCCAAGGTTTCGGCCTACAAATTTTACCATAGCTTATCCAGGCGTTCTGACAATACCGGATTGTCACCAGTCAGAGTGAGTCCTGAATTTTCAATGTTATGTGTAATATTGATCCGACTCAAACTTACAGGATCACTATTCTGCATTCATGAGGACAGTCCATGAATGGCGCCACCTTCGGCAACTCAGATGTGGTGGCCGAGGTCATGACCCTGGTGGCATTGCCGAAACAAAAGCTGGGGAACTTGCAGTGTTGTGTCCAGCATGCCCGCATCCTGACAAAAATTTGCCCCATGGTTGGGAGAATTCACCTCCAGCAACAAGGTGTGTTTACAGTTAATTTTTTGACGAGAATATTTTGCTAACCTCGGTTGACAGATGGTTGTATGCACTTTTTGTCGCTATAGATGCAAATTTCCGCCTGAAGCGGAAGACTGTCTCCTCCGACCAAGTAGATCCTGGCTTAAATGCAGGATGGGCCTATTTTGTGGAGGAGTGCGCTGTGACAATCATATTGGCGCTAGGCATGTATACCTGCATAAGCCTTCAATAGGTGGACCAAAGTTATCCCTCACATTATTCACTACTCCCCTATCAGCAGTCTTCACTTGTCTCAGCCATAACCCTTGTCCGACACTATTCTGCACTTTCCCACACTATGTGTGCACATTCCCGCAGCGCTATTCATGCTCCCGCGACTTATCCGACGCTATTCCCGCGCTATTAGCACTGTCGGAACTACCAGCAATGTGTCTATAGGAGCATTAGTGCATGTCCGCTCTATCTAGCGCTTGTTCCCGCGCTTAGCACTTATCCAGCGCGCTGTTCTCGCGCCCTAGGAATCACCCGAAACGTCGGAATCCATCCATGGTCCATCCTACCTCATTGGTATGTAATTTGCCTTGCCTCAAGTTTGTAAAAAGTGCTACAGCCTTATTACATGTATATCCTATCCCTTCCAAGTCCGAGATGGTATAGTTTTCTAGTATAAGAAGCCTATGGTGACTACTTCGACATTACTTCCCTTCGACTGTATTTCCTTCCCTTAGGTTTTACTTAGAAGTAGTCACCCCTTTACTTGCGCTCTATGACCCCTATTTGACTTTCCTTACTCTTGCAATCAATACCCTTGATCTCACTCGCTATCCAGCACCCTCCTTTGACTCAGTGTCCGCTTTCTTGACTTCTGCTCTTTCCCGTGCATTGGCGCTCTTTCGGGTCTTTTGATCTTGAGTTGTTCTTAGTAGCTTTTCCCTCGGGTCAAACGTTCTTGCATCTTTGTTGCAAGTATAGCAGCATAGGCAGAGCATTAGACATATACTGGCTGAGTACCTTAACAAGTGCCTAGTCTTGTTGTGTTTTTCACAGCGCATACAAAAGCTACCTATCCGAGCAAGCTAATGAACGACAAGAGGTGTGTATGTAGTCTGGACTGTTGGGGTCAACATACTCAACATTTTCATCCTAGCGCAGTACCTGTGTCAGCCATAATGCAGTAAATATGGCTGACACAAAATCCTCACAAGGCCTGGCAGCAACTGGCATAGGGACCATCAACTGCGCTCGACACAAATTCAAATTGCCGAACGGGGTAGGTGATTTACAAAAGGGCGAAAGGTATATTTCTGCAATGTTTCACATTCAGTCAGCTGACAGTGTCACAAGGTATCTTAACATGGACTACCTTGTTTTTTCAGCACTCGTCGGATTCACTGTAACAATGCTAAACATCTCCTACGATATCGCTTGTCAATGGTCGAAAAAGCTATGGAGCAGGATGGAACACATGCTGGCTCGGCTCCATATACCACATGATGACATACTAGTTCGATACTTCATACCAAAGTTTCATATTGCTGCCCACATTGCAGCCTGTCAGCTCATGTTCTCGTGGAACCTTACTAAATGAGTAGGTCAGACTGATGGAGAGGCACCGCAACAGTGTTGGGCAAATGCCAATCGTGTCGCATCACGCATGAAGGAGATGGGACCAGGAACATGATGTGATACATTAGATGATCATTTTGGTGATTGGAATTGGAAAAAGACTGCAGCGCTTGGTGAGCTTTTATCGTCGAGCATTGTGCTTCACTTACTGATACTTTGCACTCTCGAGGCCATACATTGAAGCGCAAGATGGAGGAAGCTGTAAAGTGGGAACGGGAACATCATATTGCCTTGTACGACCTGGAAGGAACTATTCAGCCTGCGCTGCTGGGCGAGTGGGGAATCGAAGTCGAGATGTGGGAGGAGGACAGCACGCACCCAAATCCTTTTGAAAGTAAGCTTGCTCATATGTCACTGCCACTATATTCTACAAACCTGTGCTGATCATCTACTATATGGTTAGCTATTACGCAGGCTGCGGTAAGGTCACAGCTTGCAGAATTAGAAGCACAAGAGCTACAGGCAGGGATCGACCACTCACTCAATGATGATGTCTCGCCCAGTGTCCTTATTAGTGGCAGGATTGAATTAGAAGATATGCAGTATGTAACGCCTCTCTTTCAATTTGTGTTCATTGTTCAAATGTTATAACAGACAACAGCTCAAACATGACATTTCCAATCTCTCGTTTCATCCCACGGACAAGCAAAGAGAGGCCATCATTCACAGAACTAATGTGCTACAGAGACGTGTCAGTGATTCTTGGTCCCGCTACCAACAACTCTACATGCCCATTGTCTCCATGCTGCGCTCATCAACAAACAGTGCCCCCCAAGCACTACTTAAGCCGCAAGATCTTCCACTTTATCTACCATCAGCTCTTGAGCATTTCGACTGTGATCACTGTTTGATGCAGTATGAATGGGAACTCTGGCAGGCACAGGCTTGTGATGCCCTAAACGAACTCCATTCACACCTTCATTTACATTCACACATGTACAAATTCAAAGACAAGAACTTACGAGGCCAAGTGTCTTCCACCCATGCGCAGAACTTGATTGGGTGTGTCGAGGCAAAGAAAGATGCAGTGGTAAAGAAATACAAGCGTGCACGTCAAGCAATGGCATCACTAAGCTGTCGGTTGGGTAAGATGGGCTGGGAGGAAAGGTTTTGACCTCTCAGACACGAGGACATTTGACCCATGGGCGATTTCACAGGTGATCACACTCAAGGCACTGGGACTATCTCATGGATCTGGCTGGTGACGGATGGTGACTCCAGTCTATCCAAGAACGAGCATGTTCAAGACTGTGAGTGTTTATAGTCAATGTGATCAATGGCTGACTCAGATAGGTGTCCGTATTGAGTGGTGCAAGGCACGTGCACGCACAGCTCAATGGTCTGAGGAGGTAGAGCTACTGGCTGAAGAAATGAGACAAGTACTGGCCTTTCTGGAATGGCAAAGCGGCTGGTGGCATCAGCGCACAACTCTGCGCTCATTTGAGAAGACCACTGAGCAAGAAGGCTTGCAGGCATATGTGTACCATCAGGCTGCACCCCACGAGCCAGAATTGTTGTTCCACAGAGATTGCACTCAGTGGTCTCTGACAATCACTGCCTCTTCGTGGGCAGCATCTTGGGCATTGGTGTGTATGGTGGGTGATGGAATCAGATAATAGTCTAAGAGGTGCGCTGCACATATGCCTTACTATGTAATAAGAGCTTATTGTGACAACATTGAAACTCAACTTAGACATAACGATCTCAATGTAATGATGCTTAAAATTATTTCAAGGCACCACACCCTGGCAGGGGTATTAATACAACCCTGGCTATCGTAGAACGGTAGGTATGCATACTTGCCAGCTATCTATAAGGCTTCTTTGTATGCATACAAAGCTTGGGAGCATGCCCAGGGCTTCCCTGTATGCATACAGCCCTTGGGATGGCTTTGGAGACTTCTTTAGGTATGTCCGATTGCCCGAATATAACATACCGTTGATTAATATATTAGATTGATCTTAGATTGATCTGTTCCACGCTGACAGATGCGTACCTGCCCCTTTGTGCCCCCCCTCCCCCACACTTCTATGATTTTGAACTACTGACTCAGGCACCCTAAGCGCAACATATCCCATAATAGTATTTGCGCTCTAATAATACAAAATGTACGGATTGATCTATTCCACTGCTGACAGATGCATACCTGCCCCTTCGTGCCTCCCTTCCCCCACACTTTGAACCGCTGACTCAGCCAACCCTAAGTGCAACATATCTCATAAATACAAAATGTACGAAAAATGTAAAAGAAATTACAATGATATATTCACTACATAGTGTTAGCGGGTGAGGATGTTAGCTCTGCAGTGGTCTGAACGGTAAGAAGGCTTGGAACTACATCCCACAGTAAAAGACAGTCGTTCCACATGGATCGGCGGATTGCAGCCTGTCGCAGGGCATATGCGACCGCTGCTTCGTGCTCCATCGTTCCGTCATCAACCCTGGAGGTCGCAAGTCCTTCCCACCAACCTTTATTCCATTCAAAGAATGCTAATACGCGTCGCATCTCCTCCTGGACCAGTTCGACCTCCTCAGCCCACCTGTTTGCACTGAGCTCATGCCTTGCACCATTCAACATGCATTGCTGTTCCCAGGTCAGAAAGTATTATACTAAACAGCTAGCGACTCACCTTCAGAAAGTTCTTCTTTGCCGGCGCCATGGCGCTGCTTCCAAATCCACAACACAGCTACAAGTCGTCGACCCTCTGATTCCAATTCCCCCCCTGCCTGCGCCTCTGTCATCCCACGGATATCTTGCTCCTCAAGCTTTGGGAATTCGATCTGCCAATCCAGGCGCAAGAGTGAATCGGCCAGGGCATCAAGTGCCTTCCATGCCATTTGATACTTTGTTGCGGCAGGCAGCTATCTTTGCCTGCACAGTATCAATAACAGCACAGTGATCTTGTGTGCACTCTTTGACCAGTCAACCAGTTCTTCTTGAAACCGGTGAGATGGCGCTTGAGTCGTAGGTGCTGCCGGAGCTCATGGAGAGCATCGTGTGCCTGAGCACAGCGTAACTTCCACTTGATGTTGCACAGATTCACGTCACAAGACATACCCACCTTCACCACTGCAGACGGCATCCACAGATTTATGGCATGAGCAGGCTCCTCAGCCATGACAGTATTTGCAGCACCAGCGGATTCAGCTCGAAAGTCTGGCAACACTGGGGATATAAAGAGTTTGTATTTGGATCCACTGCTCGATTTGACGGCGTGATGCATTGATGCATTGTTGCATGGCGGACAGTTGGTTATCGGTGGCGTGGATTCCAATACTTGCAGTATCTGTAGCCAGTTTACGTCTGATAAGTAAACCGACTCATTAGGCCTGCCAGGTTGTCAGTGGGAAAGTTGAACATACTGTAGGGCCTCAATGTCAATCCCGACAGCAATTAGCACACTAGGGGAGATATCTGGGTGGAGGGAGTCATCGATTCCTTGTCTTAGCTGATGGGCTTCAAGCTGGGAGAGCTCGAGTCTGACAGATGCTTGGGTAACAGCTGTAGCGTAGAAAGTTAGAGATTGCATACTGTATCATATACAAGCAAAACTTACCTGAAGCTTGGACCTCAAAAGGGTTTGGCCTCGAACGGTCATCCTCCCATTCTTCTACCATCTTCCACCAGGAACTCAAACTCGAAGATGGGATAGCTTCCTCAAAGTCTCGAAGATCTACAGCATGCTGATTGCTGTTCCGGGATTGCCTCCTTCAATTTTTTGAGAAGCAAAGGACCTATTAAACCGTCAGAAATAAAACATGGCCTAAGTAAGAGTCCATACCCAAGTTAGATACTTTACACCGATTCCAGTCACCGAAATGATCATCCAGGATGTCGTGCCTTGAACCTGGACCCATTTCACGTGTGCTGGTAGCAACAGGATTCATATTGGACCATCCACATTCAATGGCTTCACCATCAGTCCATGCCATCCCTTTGATAAGATTAAGAGAATACGAAGTCTGACATGCCGAAATGTGCGCTGGTAGATGGAATTTGGGAACAACGAATGTTAAGGTCTTTGCATTATCCGAAAAGTGTATCTGGGAGGGATAACGCGACATCCACTCCAAAAGATGCTTACTCCATTGACATGCGATGTCGTATGCAGATGTTGAGAACAAGAACATCACTGGAATGTCACAACGTTGAGAAGAACAGGTAATCCATGTTCACATATCTAAGTCATATGTCAATAAGAGTTGTTGAAGATGTCAAATATGCGTACCTTTCTCCTCTTTGAAGGTCTCCAACCGATGATGGACGTGTAAGGTTATGGCGAGCACAGACAATAGCACCGATACCTGTTGCAGCCAGTCCCCGTGAATTCTTGGTGTCAGTGAGGTTGACAGCATTATGACTGGCACAGGAACTTTTCTGAACACGAGGGTCAGTGGAAACACTAGAACAAACTAATTCAATCTCACATCTTGCACCTGGCCAGCGTGAGCATCAAGCACATATTTGAATCCGGTTTCCTCAACAAAATAACCCCAACCTTTACTCAGGCTAGGGTTCACCTCCTCGGAAGACTTGTTGCAGCAGCATAGACGAAAGTTAGCATCAATTGCGAGAAATAAGCCATAAAGCCATCTAAAAGCCTTGAGCGACACTAACATTTGAATGGAGAATCGGCTTACTTATGTTTGACCTCGCTGGTCTCCCAACCTAATGGTAAGTTTTTGTCCGGTTGAGGACAAGCTGGGCACAGTACAGCGAGTTCCCCCTCCATTGTGCCGAGAACGCCGCCAGGGTAATGGCCACGTCCAGCTCGTTTAAGAGAGAGTATATGTCGAAAACTGCCAACTCATCCGTAAAAAAGCTTCATAACGGTCCTTCAAAGTCACATCAGCATGAACAATGATTGAATAGTGAATATACCTACCTTGGTCTGATGCCTCCTGATATTATCCATCAGATGTGCTAATGATTGGTAATACTCGAACACAGATCCTTTTGACTCGAATGTGTACATCTGGAAATGATTGAGGACACGGAAAGTGGCAGCAGTGCGAGGATTTGTTACAGTTGCTGGGTACCAATGAGCGCGTAAGAGTTGAGTGGCGTGTGTTTGCGCTGTCTCGCAGTTGCAAAAATCAAGCATGATACTATGAATGCCAGTAGTGTCAAGGACAGTGAAGTCGTCCTGGAATGCAGCGGAGGGATTGCAGCAACGGACACCAGTTGGGTGTCCAAGTTGTACACGTAGCCCTAGGTCCCTCAAGCCACCGTGCTGGAAGTAATTTCCGGTCCAAATCTGATAGTATAGTTGATTTCAAAAGAAACATTGATATAATCTGAATATATGTACCTCAACCCGATGTAAAGGCATTGTGTGGTGCAGCAAGACGACACACGACTGACAGTAAAGCTGCAAGCCCTCACAATCAATGCACCGGACAGACGGCTCATTCATGTGTGCCTGCTCCCCATGACAATGCTTACTCCACGCATCGTCCCCGCGCCCTTCAAGCCAAATGAACTCCTTGAGAAAGTTATCGCGTTCTGGCAGCCATTGCTTTTGAGGCTCATCTTTAATATCAGGAATATAAAAAAAGAACATTAGGATCCAGAAAATAGTACACACCCCCCGCTGTGCGTTGCCGTTTGGTTTTTGCTGGAATGGTATCTGTGCTGGTGTCCACAAGAAAGTCCAGGTATGCTTCATCAACATTGAAATCAGGAGTGAACATTTCAGGCTGGATGGACATTTCTTGTACTGATGAAGGTCGGTCTGGTGTCAACAATGTGCAGAAATATGATGTTCTAGTGACAGGACGCTGCTTGGTCACATCAACCGAAGTGTGTGTATGGTATACATTATCTGGGTAAGCATTGGAAGGTGTGTCATCGTTTTGCCTTCGTTTGATAGGTGCATTATTTTCTTCAATGAATTGATGTTGGTAGCCAGTAAGCTTACGAGTCGATGAGCCTTTAACCATGTTGTGTTGTGCAAGACGGTAAAACAAGGGTGCTATGTAATGATATTGATTGTGCTATGTTTGGAGAAGGTGTCCTAAATTATACTAATAAGCATTGCAAGCATCTGCACGTCATGGCTTGCACAGTACTCCAAAACATACCAGTCCACCTGATCTGACTTTTAACATACGCTGAAAATGACCTAGAAAAGTACTGACCAAGTGATTCTGCATGCACGGACCATCGAAGCCTAGGTAGTAGACTTTGAGATTCGAGTCAAGCAATAGTAGCTACTATGAAGGCATGAGTTATCGTCCAACCACACTCAAGAAGCCTTGTACTTCTTTTCAACCTACAACCCTCCCCATCCACACCATCATGCCGCGTCCTCCCATTCATAAGACAGAGGAAGAAAAACAAGCCACTGGTCGTGAGAGACGCCGACATCATTATGCCAAGTATGTTTTGTTTTTATTAATTGTTTCTGGTGTTGGTTCCTGACCAACTTGAGTGAAGAAACAGAGACAATATATTGAAAAGGCGATGAGAGCTTCGACTCACCAAACCATCACAGGAAGTACAGGAGATTCAAAAGTCACTTGCCATAGCCCTGGGCCATGATGAAGATGAAACCGGCACATCTGAGCTCGAGATAGACGATGACGAGAATGACACATTGTATGTCATGTCTATTATATATATATATATATAGATGAAACATTATTTAAATATCTACAGATCAGATCTCCCATTGTCCCTACTTGCTTTGAAAAGCATCAAGGACGAGATGCTGGCGTTAATCGAAGAACCCTGCGCATTTATGGAGGGTCTCCTCCTTCGGTATGTCAAAAGCTTACCCGATGATGTGCATGGCCAGGGCGACACCTCAATCATCCAAAATGCAAAAACTGAGGTTGAATGCTTACTCCACCATGCAACTTTCACCCAGGATCAAATAACATTTTTTGGTGGACTCTCTGCCGACTCTTATGCTGGATCAGTCTCCCATTTCTTAAGCACTACACTTGCTTACATAGACGATGTCCAGTATCTTTTGGAGATTGAAGGACTTACTGAGTTGACGGTTGCTCACTCGATGGGAGAGTTGATGTACCAGAAGGGTATCCGTCTCTAAGGCTCATATTTGACTACCTACTATTAGTTCTTGACTTTGATATATGTCAGACTCGCACATTTAGTATCACAGAATACAACGTCTCAGAGCCAATCCAGCGTACTTCATATTCAATGTTGCATTTGAGTTGGCCGATTGCACTTTATTTAAGGTGCAGGGGAGTTCTGGAAAATTACTTCAGTATGTGGCTCAGATGTTGAACTAAGGTTCAAGTTCCATTGTAAGAGTGACTGCAGGTCAGTGCCGTGGGGCTCAAAATCAAAAAAAAAACATAAGGTTTAACATAAGGTATGTCATCAAATACATGCATAACGTCCAATTTTAGCTCAATGATGTTAGTAATAGATGCCAGGGATTAGCTGGCAGACACGTGAACAGTCTACTTGGCTGAAAAGCAAGGTGGATGGATTCCGGCAGAGTCGGGTGCAGGACCGTGTTGGTGCATACCTTGCGCAAATATATTTGGAATGGTTTCAGCAATGGCCTGAGATTCCAATTCATTTCAAAGACCCGGATACTGGTGTCCTGCTGCTTAAAGAGGAGCAGTTAACGAAAGCCCAAATGGAGTTGTTGGGAAGACTAATCAAGCAGCGCCAAGGTGCACGTACCATTACATTTTTATTTCATCTAGCTTATTCCTTTATGTAATATAATAGCAATTGTGTTCTTATCTTTACCGTGCGGCCTCGCATGTTGGGACCAAGCGGGTGACTGAGTTCACCAAAAGCCTCACGAAGATGATGGCGCCATCAACCAGCCGCACTCATGGGCCAACCGCAGTCAAACATTTTCTCAATACAGAATACAAGGACGACCCGACAATCAAGCAAAAAGTCGATGCTGAATTGAAGGAAAGCAATTACCCTGGGAAGACACGTATCGCCGGGCTTCGTACGGTTGCAACCAAACTTATGGCTGAACGGGGAGATGAGTATATGAAGAGAATGGAAATTGAGGCCAAAACAGAGTGTGAGCTTCGTGCAGAGAAAGCTAAGGCAGAGGCAGAGGCTTTTTGCAATCCTACCGAGTCCATGAGGACACAGTATGAACTGTCTCATCAAAGAGCTGTCTGAATAGGTAGCTGACATTCACGCAGGTTTATTGAAGGGTTACCAGGAGTTGTTGGCCAACTTTTGAACACTATTCACAAGACGACCAGTTGGCACGCAAGCATTTATCTTGGTGGACCGGATCCCTGCACTGCTGGGGAAGTACGTGTTTTCAGGTGTGTTTTTGCTAGCCAGTGTTTTTCAACTGCATTACTCAAATAATGTATCATAGTTTTCACCATGGAAAGAACACAACAGGATTCAACTTTCGTGATGCAATCCTTGATCATCATACGCGCATCGTTGAACCTTACACTGCTTTTCTGAAGGGTGCCTTTAGTAAGTGATTTTTAATGTCTTCATTGCATCACATTGATTTATGGGTGTAGCGGGCAAACGATCTGACTCAGTTTTCACACCTGACCGCTCTGGGCCTCCATCCATGGCATCCAACTCCACCACTAGTGTTGATCCTTACTGGACTTCAGCAGGTTCTAGTCAGATTCTCCCTGCCCCAGGCGCATCTCTACCAGCGCTACAGAGCTCTGTCTCCTCAATGGCTGATATGATGCCTGTACCAAAGGACGACATGCATCTTGGTGAGATCCGCCCACTTTCACAAGGGCTCTTGTTGAACCCGTCACTCATAGCGCCTTGGGATGTCAACACTTTCAACGACATGTTTTCCTTATCACAAGATTATGGACTCAACTTTGGGGGCACCTCGATGTCATCTGACAACATGCAACTCCCAAGACTTCCTTCCGCCATGTCACAGGAGGAGCCTGATTCGCCCGTCTCATCGTGGAATAGGGAACATCAAGCTGGGTGGATGCAGTCTCCTCCACGACTTCGTGGTGCCTTGTCTCAAGTTGCGTCTGCTTCTGCTGACTTTCAGATACCTTGTCCATCCGATGGTGGGGTTGAGCAGGGATCCTGGTATGACTTTTGCAGTAATTCACCTCAAGAACAACCTGGCGCGCCACCATCCATAGTACCTACGCCCACTGAACACGAATCGGTCCCTACAGACCCTGAAGCACCTTCAACAGCTCTCACCGCTCATGTGGTTGCAGGTCTCACGACCACTCTTGCGACTAATCCTGCATGCGTGGTGACTCCCAAATCTACTGCCCCACACTTGGATGATTCTCTGGAAGATATCGTCAATCCTGCATGCGTGGCGACTCCCGCATCTACTGCCCCGCACTCGGATGATCCTCTAGAAGATATCGTCAATCCTGAAGTGCGTCGGAGTCGTCATGCGCACGTACCATCAACTCACCTTGAGGAAGCAAACAACATTGGGTCCGACATTGGGAAAAGATCACGCAAGTAAGTAGTACAAACACCATACTATGACAAACTCAAATTTGTCTCCTTTAGGCCACGAAAGCCAGCTCCTAATTGAAATCTTCTTGTCACACGTTGCTTTTTCGAGTCTTGCTGCTGTTGCACTGTGCTATCATATAATACCCTCATTGTCACGCATGTTGGTGTATCGACTGCAAATATATGATGTTTTCTTGGAAATATATTGAAGGACTCCGTAAATCTGAGTGAATTGACAAAAATGTTGAAAGTGAAAGTGACCCTAGTGAAATCCCAGCACTAGTACACTGCATATCAGTGGGGACTTAGTGAAATTTCAGCGATATTGCCTTGTTGGGATCACGCAGATCATAGGCTGGACCAGGAAGCACAAAGAAGCATGCGGGTCGGTCTGATTTCATTACCTTGCTTGACAAGGTTTCTGGGACCCCCATAATTCATTTTCCCACCTTCCCGGAAATTGCCTTAACTTCACGTGACCTCCAGCAACGACCTACTATGCTCTTTGGCTTTGAGCTCGCCGTCATGCACTGCCGTGAGCTTCAGTCCACACCCTCTACCGTCGATCACTACATTCGACATCGTTACACACTACTGATTATTGCCATTCCCCATCTTCTTCCACCAATCTGTAGTTCTCTCATCCAGTCCTTTTGACCTGTCGTCCTCCAGCAACTCTAAACAATGACATTTCTTGAAAAGTTCTTCGTCGAAGTCAACAACCGAATTGTTGACCGCCCAGAACTGCGGGAAAGTGCAACATAGAGATTGAACAGGTTCAGTCCTCCTGAAATTTTTTGTTATTTTGATTGTTTTCACTCGTCCGTTTCATCCAATATTCCCTTTGATACACGCTAGGTCATTGAATTTCTCAAGTTGACACTTCATCTACAATCTGTGCTAATCTCAGTCAATCCTTTAGTATGGTCTAGTTATAGCCTCTTCTCCCAAAATTGTATCTGCTCGTTAATTCAATCCAAGCAGCAAATGAACTTTTTTCTTTCCTGTTACCAGTTATGTTAGTTCAACTTAGTTGGTCAAGCAAGGTTTCTGCCGATGCAGGCGGCACTTCCCGAGTGTGCCAGGTACATCCAGAAGTAGCGGGCCTAGACTGCATTCCCTCTTGGGAGCACGCTGATCGAGGGCTAGTCCACTGCGAAGCGATCTGTACAAGATCTGAATGTAATTTTTTTCGCTTCACTGTTATCATCCCGATATGGATAAAAAGAAGTCCCGAAGCTTGTATGCATACATCAAAGGAAGCCCCGAAATTCTGGTCCTGCTTGTATGCATACACCTATGGGGAACGCGGATCCTCACTGAGTATGCATACATGGCTTTCTACAATCCCTGGCATTGTATTAATAAATATGACAGTATAGCCTGCGTCTCGAGGCCTGTTCTTTGTCCATTCTGAGTTTCTCGACGTAGATGAACGTCATGATGACGGTATCCATCATATGAGTCACTTCAGGTGATACTTCTAGCATGGCTTTACGTTTCCTTCCTATGATTCCAAGAGTCGCTCTATGAAAGCGAGCGACCTCCGCTCGAGACGCGTCGTCCCGTGAGAGCTAAAATCCGATCCCTCATGTGAGAAACAGAGCCTATCAGCATCAATGAAATGGAAGCGTACTCACAACTACCACTCTGGACTTGAGCTTCCAGCGATAGGGACGGCTATCTGGTCCCATGAAGACGCGCTCCCTGCCAGAATTTAATTATGATGGCCCAGATTTCCTAGAAGGACGCTATGTACTCACCGACCCCATAGGCCTCTCTTCGGAATGAACTCCTTCGTCTCTACTTCAGTTCCACCATAACGAAACTTTGAGGAAGCAAATTTGTGCCACTCGATCTCTCCCAAGACATCGAACTGGGTTTGCATATGATACTGGCCGTCATTCGACTTGATTTTTTGAATGGTCGTAGTACGGACGCCAAGTTTGAACGGAGTCTCTGTCTTGTAAACAATTTGACCTTGCTCGTTGGTGATAACGGTATTGCGAATGTGTTCAGTGGAGAGAGTGAGCAACATCATTGTGGGTATCTACTGCGCACTATCGAATGCTTCACATGCTGTATTTAAAGTGGCTGTGGCTGTGGCTGTTGAATTTAGATATTTAGTGACTGGCTTGGAAAAGCGAAGCCCAAGCCAGAGCCTCCAGCAGAGCGTCGTGAGGCAGACCATGTCCTTAGCACCTGCTGCAGTCACCCGCCTCCTAGGATAGAGGTCTGGTAGCTAGGGCAAGAGGGACACTAGGATGGCGGGGATGACAGCGGTTTCGGACCTGCGAAAGTTCTCGTCAGGGGACTACCGCTATTCCAACTGCACCGACCTTCTCGTTCTGTGTAGGAATAATACTACTGAGCCTATCTACCCAGTGAGAGTACAGGTTCTGAGGCACGACTGCAACCGCGAAACGACGAACCGGCCAGCTGCTCAACAGTAACCGTGACCCACCGGGAGCGTAGTTTACGGTTGGGGGAGGGCTAGTGGGAGGATAGGAAGCTTCAGATCCCTGGTTGGTGGCCTTTAGCACACTCGAACCCTATACCCACTTACCAAGGTGCCCGAAACGGCCGTTTCTGAACCGAACAGGAATTGGCGTCTCCGTGCAGAGACGATGCTGGATCCATTAGCTTGCTTGTCAAGGTTTCTATGTCAGAAATTTACGAAAGCGGTTGCATTTTAAATATTATCATGCTTGACAAGGTCTCTGCCAGTGCATCTGCGAGTGGCTGACTCCGCTTGAATTTGCCGAGCCTACCGAGGGGTACCCAGACTTTGCAACCAGTGGGTATTCTACCCCGAAGCGAGGTGAGCGTAGGGTTAGAATTATGACTTTGTGGCAGCGGCAGTACAGCACGTGGCCTCTCTTGTCTCCGCACCATAGTGCTCGCGCCACGCTCCAGCAGATTCAAACCTGCCTTCTACTTTTCTTTTTCTCTCCGAAATTTCCGGGAACCTAGGTAACTCCCAGAATTTTTTGTTTGCCTGAGTCTCTATTTTCTAGGCTATCTTTGGCCGCCCGACAGCTCGGTGGGCTTTGAGGGCCTAGATCCTTGCATGCATCCGCATGCAATGAAGATAAGTCCGGCGGGGAAGCTGGTCATGGGTAGAGGGCATCCGAAACGCATTTGCGCCGCCCTCTCAAGTTTACTCATGCAGGAAGTTTGCCGTTGCAAACTCTCGTCGGGTTTCTCGCCATCTGCCAGGCAGGGAACCTGATAAGGGGAGGGAACCTTGTGCCCACTCACCTTGATGTGGAGTAGCGGGCCGCCCTGCACGTTGGTTTTCCACCTTAATTCCTCCCATTGATCTTGCCCGCACCTTTGCTCACGCGGATGTTTGCTCACGTGGATGCCCGCACTTTTGCTCATGCGGATGCCCATACCTTTGCTTACATGGATGCCCGCACCTCAGATCACGCGGATGCCTGCATTTTTGCTCACGTGGATGCCTTCAAGTTGCTATCACTTCTTTCCAACACTGCTTTCCTCACCTCGAGACGTCGCACTGCGGCGGCTCCTAAAAATTTGGGATCCGAGGTTCACTTTGCTGCGTCGCTCTCACTACTAGTATCATGGGAATCGCAGCTCACCTCGGCTCTCTCTTGCACAGGTTGGGGCCGCTATCGGGGCTTCCACCCGAAAAACCATCTGCTTCAATAAAGCATACATTCCCTTTATTTCTTGCTACCACTACTAAGACTACTGCACGACAGCAAACACAAAGTACGCAGACCTGGAGTCCCCAGACCGGTCAGAACTCTGACATTCACTCCCCATCTTGGTCCTTTCTGAGTGTCTCGACGTAGATGAATGTCATGATGATGGTATCCATCATATGGGCCACTTCGGGTGATACTTCCAGCTTGGCTTTACGTTTCCTTCCTACAATTCCGGAAGTCGCTCTATGAAAGCGAGCGACTTCCGTCCGAGACGCATCGTCCCGTGAGAGCTAAAATCCGATTCCTCATGTGAGCAACAGAGCATCAGCAATGTTAATGAAGTGGAAGCGTACTCACAACTACCACTCTGGACTTCAGGTCCCAGCGATAGGGACGGCTATCTGGTCCTATGAAGACGCGCTCCCTGCCAGAATTTGATTATGACGGCCCTGATTTCCTAGAAGGATGCTATGTACTCACTGACCCCATAGGCCTCTCTTCGGAATGAACTCCTTCGTCTCTACTTCAGTTCCGCCATAACGAAACTTTGAGGAAGAAAATTTGTGCCACTCGATCTCTCCCAAGACATCGAACTGGTCTTGCATATCATACTGATCGTCATTTGGCTTGATTTTATGAATGGTCGTGGTACTACCGACACCAGCTAGTCCAAACGGAGTCTCTGTCTTGTAAATAATTTGACTTTGCTCGTTGGTGATAACGGTATTGCGAACGTGTTCATTGGAGAGAGAGAGCAAAATCATTGTGGGTATCTAGTACCGTCCACTGCTGAGCGCTTCACGCGCTGCATTTAAAGTCACTGGATGTGGCTGTTGTGTGGCTGTTGAATCCCAGTAAGAACTTGCTGTATGGTATATTGTTGAATGTTAAGCGCTGAGCGCTTACCTGTCAGTGCTTTCCTCGGTTGACTCCGTCTGTCGCTGAGGTTACTATCATTCTCGTATATACCATCTATGTAACTGACAGTCTGACAACCACTGTAGCTGTGTCTGCTACAGGTATACCTAATACATATAGTTAACTCCGTCTGTCGCTGAGCTGTGTCTGCTACGTATATACTGCATGTGACGGCAGTACTTACTGTGCTGAAATCTGCTTCTTTCAGTTAAAATCGACAATCTTCAAGTGTAACATGTGTGTATGCATCACAACATTTTTGATGGCTAGGAAAGTTTCCCTCATCCGGGATTGTTTTCCGGCTTCGGAAGCCGGACTCCTGAACCCCTTGGAATCTCGAGCCTCCCCTCTTGCCATGACCAATTTTTGTCTATCAACGGTCTGCCTCAGGCGGACTGGTCACGAGTTTAAGTTCGAAACCCTTCGTTCCGCGAGAGCTAAAATCGAAATGTGAGAATCAAAGTATCACGACAATGGAAAAAGTGAAAGTGCGCCAACAACTACTACTGTGCACTGGGGGTCCCAGCAATAGGAACGACGTATTTCCTGCCAAAGATGCGAAATTCGCTAAGACAGTCCGGAACTCGTGGTAGCAAGATACCTCCTGCCTCAAGCAGCCTCTAACTGGAATGAAATTCTGTCTTTGCTTCAGTTCCACGAAAACGAAGTTTTGACGATGACCGCGACTACCACTCAATCTCTGCCGTGACCTGATTCGTTTTCGAATTGTCGTGGTGCGGCCACATAAGCCGAATGGGGTTTTAGTCATGTAGATCATTTGTCCTTGGTTGGTGATGACAGTCTTGCGAACGTCTTCAGTCTAACCAACCACGGGGGTGTGTCTGGACTCTGTAGTTTAGCTGACTGCGCACATGCCTTGACCTATTAAAGAATGGGGTCTAGCAGATAGCTATGAGCTCTGTCACCGTCGTGACTGTGGATATCGCACTACATCTGACTCGGTCAAGACGTCTAAGTAGGCGATGCTCGTATTCAGAAAATATATGCGTACAGCACCTTTCGCAAGGAGTCCGAACGTCAACGTCAACGGCGAGTTGCTTGTGATGGTAGGCGCTAGCCAAGAACTAGCTACGATTAAGGCACCGTGACAGGCCGCCAAACCTACATCTAAGCTCCGAAGTTCTTAATTAGGGTCGCTGCGGTCGACGAGCTGCCTATAATTATAAACCATTACTGCGATCAGTGGAGCTCGGCTGTGAGACAAGCGTAAGAGAGTATGGTCCAGGACCTACTTTTCCGCGAATGAAACATCCTAACCTTCAGTTATATTGCTGGTAGCAGGCCCGAATATAGAATCGGTATGTAATATTGTCCGGGTGCTGGACCCGGGTGATGTACTAGCCTGCCGGACTGTCCCGGCACCGGATTTTGCTTCCAACATTTGCTTTTCTGTCTTCCACGACGTCGGGTTCGCCGTACCTGGCACTTCGTTACCCGTACCGGTACCTACAATCTTTCTTTATAAGTACCCACATCCCACTCTGTTTTAATCGAGCATTCTTATGGTATGCTGTGTCAATGCATATTTGTGTTTGACTTGAAGAGTCATTTGACATGATCGAATTCGTAAGCAGGTATCCCGCCTTCCCGAGCGGCTCCACCTGCTTTCGTCCCACCCCGAGCTAACACTCTATCTAGCCCAACCTGATAGATCAGATCATATCAGCGACTCTCGAGCCAGACGAAGTCGGAATGCACTTCTTCGTGCGTAATATCGGATCCGGCCGCTCTAGCAAGAAAGCTGACAAACTTTCTAGATTCTGAGAACGTTCCCTTTTTCAAATTTCAGGGGCTAGAAAACTAATTTACTTCAACTCTCCAGCGCGTATATGGTACCAATGCTTAGGATCAAAGGTACGACTTGAGGTAAACGCTCAAACTTACCATCTGGCCGAAGGAAGATTGATTCATATATATATATTATATTACAGTACACTCTCCGGAGTATGCGGATAAAAACAGACCTACAGTATGCCCTGACTTAGCCAGAATGTCGTCATCTTACTGGAGACCGTAAGTATCAGTACTTGTAAAAAAAACAGCTAATTATCATAAAGGGTATCAATCACAACACAGCACCCAAGCTCCTCGACTCTACTTCATGGGCCACCCGAGGCTGCAGCACTTCTCGAGGCCTCTTCTTTGTCCTTTCTGAGTTTCTCGACGTAGATGAACGTCATGATGACGGTATCCATCATATGAGCCACTTCAGGTGATACTTCCAGCATGGCTTTACGTTTCCTTCCTACAATTCCGAAAGTCGCTCTATGAAAGCGAGCGACCTCCGCTCGAGACGCGTCGTCTCGTGAGAGCTAAAATCCGATCCCTCATGTGAGAAACAGAGCCTATCAGCATCAATGAAGTGGAAGCGTACTCACAACTACCACTCTGGACTTCAGGTTCCAGCGATAAGGACGGTTATCTGGTCCTATGAAGACGCGCTCCCTGCCAGAATTTAATTATGATAGCCCTGATTTCCTAGAAGGACGCTATGTACTCACCGACCCCAAAGGCCTCTCTTCGGAATGAACTCCTTCGTCTCTACTTCAGTTCCACCAGAACGAAACTTTGAGGAAGAAAATTTGTGCCACTCGATCTCTCCCAAGACATCGAACTGGTTTCGCATATGATACCGGTCGTCATTTGGCTTGATTTTTTGAATGGTCGTAGTACGGACGCCAACTAGTTTGGACGGAGTCTGTGTCTTGTAAATAATCTGTCCTTGCTCGTTGGTGATAATGGTATTGCGAACGTGTTCAGTGGAGAGAGAGAACAAGATCATTGTGGGTATCTACCAAGTACTGTTGAGTGCTTCGCGGGCTGCATTTAAAGCCACTGGATGTGGCTGTTGTGTGGCTGTTGATTTTAATTAGACATTCCATTAGCTTGCTTGTCAAGGTTTCTAGCACCCCTAAAATCCGTCACATGTTTGCATTGTATTTGCATGTTTCTAACTTAGCGGCAACTTCCGTGGTACCCTCCGAGTTAGTGTCTAAGCTGAAAGCGGACTCGGAGGTCTGGCTCGAACTCAGCCCTGAGCCACTGAGCGCTGATGGCCCAGACTGGCCCTAGACTTTGGCCCTGGAGTTTACGTTGAATAGCCCCAGAAGAATGGCCAGATCCCTGACTTTCACCTAGTCTGGTAGTTGACTACAGTAGACACTTCTTCCTGTAGATACTCAACAAATGCATTACGTCACCTCTTTGGACTGCAAATCCAAACCTCACCTAAACTAGACCTATTAGAAGGACCTTCAAATTTTCACACAAAGAATTCGAAGGCAGAGTCGGGAACTGGCGCATCAGCGGCGCTACGATTATAAATATCGTCCCGTCAAAGGTAAGTAAGTAAATCGCCTGACGCGGCTTCCAAAAGAACATTCAAGTATACGTACTGGTGACGCCAATCATCACTATTGGACTCTGCTTATGGCATCAATAGATGTACAGCCGCTACTACATAAGCAATTTCTTGCAGAATGTTCCAAATTCACAACGTGAAACACGTCCACCCAATCAACCATGACCAGCTCAGAAACTTCACCGTTACTCGAAAATGGCAGCCATTCAGGCCAGAGGAATCTTTCTCTTACTCGTCGTGTTGTCAACTTCATGAAAGGCGAGGATGAGCCATCATGGGCAGAATCTTTCAACTTCTTTATTTTCGGCACATGGTTCAATATTCTACTCGTATTTATACCTTTGAGCTTCATCTCTCACAGTATGGACTGGGACGCTGGCCTAATATTTTTGTTCAGCTTTTTGGCCATCGTCCCTTTGGCTAAGGTGGACACTACTCCTATCATCAGATTCTTGGAAGACTGACATCGTCGTTTTTAGTTGTTGGGCGAGGCTACAGATCAACTGTCTGTTAAATTAGGGGAAACCATATCAGGTCTCCTTAATGCATCATTTGGGAATGCTGTAGAAATCATCGTCGGTGTTGCTGCTTTACTCAATGGTTTGTCCACCGCTCTATAATTGTTCGCAGCTCACGATGACCCTAGGCCAATTGCGAATTGTTCAGACGTCCGTGAGTGTCTTCATATGGGCTCTAATTATGATAGATTGACCTTGGTTTAGATGCTTGGATCGATCTTGTCAAACATACTGCTCGTCCTTGGTTGTTCGTTTCTCGCCGGTAAGGGGCCTCTGCTTTTGGAGGAGAGTGTGCTCACTTGACATAGGTGGATTATATCACAAAGAAGGTGTTTTCAATGGTACTGGAGCTCAGGCGTGCGTCCTCTGTTTTTCTGCCCTTTAAACCCTTTGTTGAATTCCAATGATATTTAGATCTGCCTCCGTAAGTCATTTGCCCCATTCATCGCCATGATAACCAACCAAGTTTAGCTTATGGCTTTATCGTGCATCAGTACGATTATTTTCTCCAACTTGATAGTTTTGCTAACACTTTATAGCGCTCGTTATTCCTGCGGCCTATGCAAGTACCACAACCGCTGGAATGGAGAATTATTGCAGTGATCCCTCTGAATGTCCCACTGCAGGTCTACTCTTTATTTCCAGGGGAACTGCCATGTTGCTCCTGGGAGTTTACTGTGCCTACCTTTGGTTTCAGGCATGTTCTAATATCTTTTCTTTATTCTCTAATAATGTACTCATCCAAGCGTTTAGTTAAAATCTCATTCCAAACTCTTCATTTCGCCTGCTTCACCTACGGGTGAACCAAACAGTGAGGACACGGTGGCAACGACGGAAACGGAGGAAACAGTGCCTCGCATGGGAACAGCCGCTGCCAGTGTTGCGTAAGTTTGGGTTCGTCATCTAATACGTTCGGGGCTTATCCTCTCTCCTCAAGACTTTTATCGGTAACTGTGGTCATCGCATTTTGTGCTGAGTATCGTAAGTCTCCCACTTTTTTTTCATTTGGCCTTATGTTCGATTGTTCAATTGTGCTAGTGGTTTCCTCCATCGAAGAAACTGCAGTCCGCTATTCCATCCCGAAGGCCTTCATCGGTGTTGTCTTGTTGCCGATCGTGGTATGTTTCAAGCTTCATCCGGTCAACTGTCTACCAACATCGTCTGTAGGGCAATGCTGCAGAACATGTCACTTCAGTCTGGATGGCAATGAAGAATAAATACGAGCTTACCATCACCATTTGCGTTGGGAGTTCGATTGTAAGTGTAGACGGTTTGTGGTAAGTTTGTGATTGTGCTGACTATCGAACAGCAAATTGCCTGCTTCGTAGTGCCACTTCTTGTGATCGTCGGTTGGATGTACGATCATGTATTGTATCTCGCGAGGTGTCGTTCTCACTTTTTTTGTTTAGAGCCGATCAACCCCTGACGTTGCACTTCCACAACTTCGAGGTCTGCTTGTTCAGAGCATATTCCGCATGATAATAGTTTCTGACGAATCTTCAGACAATCGTCCTTTTTGTATCTGTCTTCCTTGTCAACCTGTTGATCATGTAAGTTTCCCATTCACTGCATATCAGTCCTATTGAGATTTAACTCACTTGTTTCAGGGACGGAAAATCGAATTATATGGAAGGTCTCATGCTCCTTACCCTATACGTGGTCATCGCCCTTGCTTGTGAGTTGCCCCTTGAACCCTTTCATCGCATTCTGATCGCATTTTAGTTTGGGTGACCTGAGGTACCACCATTATTGTAATTATTGGCGCCCAATATTTCCCGACGCGTCCCTCCCTGATACACCTCAGTTCCTTTGACGGTGGGGGCCAAAGCAGCTAGTAATTAATTTCCGTGCAACCTATTTCTTTAGGCGTCACTCCGATATGTACTTAGTAAATTCTCGAAGGGAAGCATTACACATTCATTCATAATAACCCGCAAATGTGAACGTTCACTTCTCTAAGATATAAGGCTGTCTCCTTGCAGCTCTTCGAACTTCTTGCGCGCCATGCATAATGGCGGCCGTATCTGTGTGTGAATGTGTGTGAGCTCGAACCGACCATTTAGTTGCAACCAACTGACCGATAACCGGGCCATGGACTATAACCAACATGTAATTATTTTAGCAAGCACGGCGGTGAACTCTGCTAGCTCCATTTCAAGAGAGCGGAATTAACTCCTCCCTAAGCTGCGAGCATGACTAACAGTTAAACAGTCCGAAGGCTTTGACGAGTTTTGAAGTCCTTTCATATCGTTTTGGATCAAGTGCGCGAAGAACAACAAGGCCAGAGGGGAAAGCATCGGAAGAGTTGGTTCGCGAAGACGTTGCGAAGACGAGGAAGCTGGTGCGTTCAAATACGTCCTCTACAAGGTCAACCAGAATAATGCTGATGAGTGTGCGTTTGTGTACCATATGTCATTCTACTAGGTAAAGGCCGAACTTCGCTGGCAGCAACCTTGTCCCACAAGTGCTAATGTCATCTACTATCATTTGGAGAATACATCGAAGGTATACTAATTGTATATCATCAACGGTATACTTTGGAAGGTAGCAAGCCAGGGCAATAATCGAGAAAAACTGCAGAAAATTCGCTGTCACACAATATGCTACATGTGTGACGAGAATGAGCGCATTTCAGTAGACAGGTTCTGACAAATGATTGAGATGGATATAACTTTCAGGAAGTACAACTCGGAGGGTTGGGTTTACCAGTAGTCGGAAGATGCTTGAGCACCGTGACATTCCTTTCCTTTGAAAGATTCGTCCAATGATGGGCCACCGCCAACTTGACATCATTGAACCGGGAAGCTTAGGCAATGTTTGACAGTGGTCGTGACACGATCAACTCGCGAAGGTTGGTTTCACTTGGTCAGATGAGGTTATGAGTGCATTAAGAAATTGAGAGTGATGAACGAGAATAACTTACAGTAAATAAACAGTGAACAAGCTTGATGGAATCAACACCTACAGCGTATGAATAGTGTTTAAGTTCTCGGCATCGCATTCTCATTGAATTATCTTCTCGAACGCCCATAAGTTATGGATGATAGCTGAAAAATTTTCCGAGGAAAAGCTGAAGCCATTGCAGGGCTATGAGGGGCACCACTGGACAAAATTAAACAAATAGTTGCACGGTGAAATTCAAAATTTTCGGCTGAAAACCAATCGTTTCTAGCTTACAGTGTGTTGCATATGAGATTGCAGTGCGTGTTTTTCAAAACTCGGCCTCGCCACCTTTACCGGCACTTGTATACCTTAACTAGGTCAAGGGATGTGACATGTCACTCTAGCCACTGCCGCTTGATGAAACGAAACCTCAGTCAGTTCGTTATGCCAGGGTCATTCACTAGCCAGGAAATGCGCCAGAATATCGTATTCTGGCGGTTTGAACAGCACAGGACAGCTCTTGAAATATCTCAGCTTGCTCAATGTCCAGAGAAGACAGTATACAATATTCTTCGCTTGCACCGAGACTATGGTCAAGTCACCAACCCCTTTGCACGCCGCAGGGGTCGTCCCCGCGTTCTTGACACCGTCGACACTGAATACATCCATGCACTACTCCAGGCAAACTCTGCCATGTACTTGGATGAACTACAAGAACAACTTCTCACTGCTCGGAACAAAGACATTTCTCTCGCTACCCTTTCACGCGCCACTCGAAGGCTGGGAATGACCTACAAAGACATTTCCAAAACGGCTGCGGAGAGGAATGAGCTCTTGCGGGTAACTTGGCAAGCCGCATATGGGGATATACCGGCTGAATACTTTGTCTGGCTGGATGAGTCCAGTGTTGATGACAAGACCAATCAGAGGATGCAGGGATAGGCAGATATCGGGCGCGCGTGTGTTCGCAGATCAACTTTCATTCGAGGGCAGTCCTTCAATGTGTAGTACCAGTATATAGTGTAGTATGAATCCAACCACATCACGAACTAAATTGAGTGATAATGTAGGAACGACTCGGAGCATAGTCAATATCAATGAAAAACAATCTATAGTTAAGTCAATTAATGCGCTGCCTCTTCTCAGCTTTCTTCAAATCGAGACGAGCATTCCGTGTCTTGCAGTACGTGAGCCGAGAATGCGGCAGATAGGTTAGAACGACTAACAGTATTCATCTAGTCAAAAAACAACAGGTCAAAGTCGTTCGTAAGTAGCGAAAGTGCAAAGACTCACATGTGGTGTGTTGGACCGCAGGTCAATGCTGATGGTGGTCAAAGCACTGAGTCACTCACACAGACGCACGACGTATTACAAGATGTGACATCTAATTAAGGTATACAAGTGCCGGTAAAGGTAGCGAGGCCGAGTTTTGAAAAACACGCACTGCACTCTCATATGCAACACACTGTAATTCTCTCACTTCATCACAATTGCAATGTCCAAGTGCAGCCTGCCGGATTATCCCGGTTAGATTCATTCGTTTTTATCTCCGCCACGACGTCGAGGTCGTAATACATGAGCAGGTGTCGTTCTACCTGCTTGCGTCCCAACCCAGGCTAACGCTCGGTTCAGCCCAACCTAGTAGATCGTGTCAGCGACTCTCGAGTCAGACGAAGCTGGAAACGCTACCCAGCACCGACCACCACTTCTGCCTCGGCCGCAGGCGGTGCTGGTTTAGTACTTGTGCCTACTTTACAGTAGTGCGAACTTCATGTTTTAGCCAACATTAATGTCATTTCCTGCTCTCAGATCTCAGGGTTGTTTTGAGTTTTTTTCAGTCGCATTGTTCCAGAGAATGTACTTGCCTCCATCAAGTATATAATGCCCTAGTAGTGCATACTCTCATTCCTCGTATCAGCAGAGGCTAGTCCCAACTACTTCATCATGAACAACCCCAGGACTGCTCGCAGCCGCCTGCTACAATGTGGCAAGGACCTTCAGACACCTCTTCCATGCAGTCTACCAATGATCGTCGCTTATCTCATGCGGCCATGCACCGTGGTCAACGAAGTGTCACTTCCGGACCATTTGGTCATTCTTTGGTTGGCCCCGTAGGTCAAAGGGGAGTTCAAGCAAGCGCTCTGTCAGATCTAGTACACCAGCACCTGATGCGCTGCCAGTGATCTTTAGACTCTACCCGTACCATACCGTATGTCGTGCAATGTATTCGAAATGTTCAACGGTACGGTACGGGTCACTGTACGGTCATACGACCGGCTATACGGTCAAACGGGAGATGAAACAACGTCAAATTGTAATCAGAACTAACGTGCAATATGAAACATGCCAATGGCTCGTTCGCACCAGCTCCTCCGACTGCATCGTTCATCGCTCGTGTTCATAGGCTCCTTCTGCCAACAGAAGCCCCTTCCCTCCTTCGCATACGCTTCCAAATCATAAACATATGGCGTCCTATATCACTATGCAGCTGTAAATTGGCCGATTGCACTATGCAACTCCCGCAGTGTCGATTTCGAGAAAGACTCGGTGCCTGTCGCTCTTATATACGCTGACTGTGAGAGTGAAATATTTGGAGTCAAATACACACCAAACCACCAGTGAAAATACATGAAAGCAATGAGCCCGGAAGAGTTTGTTCTTATCAAATGGTGAGCGAGATAACTTGGGGGAGCTTTCCGTCGTGCTAAAAGGGTGTCAGCTTTGATTCGATACAGGATGGCAATGTTGTGAAGTTGACCCCTCATACTGGGTTCCAAGACCCGAACACTCTAGAGGGAACACCGCTTCGGAAATCCATTAAGCTGAGAGCTCTGGTATTCTAAGATTAGAACACGTATTGTCAAGTGCTGTTGCCAGCGACTATCTTGCATATGGGACGGTGGGGTGGGGGAAACCCGGTGAAGATGTCGACTCAGTATGCTGGAGTGATGGTGTGCAGCACTGCAGATTACAAAGATTTCAGCAGGAGGACGCAATCTTGAGGAAATTAAAATCTGGAATGCGTTCGCACAAAATTACCTTTTCTGATTTGACGATTGGTTTTCAGTCGAAATTTTGAATTTCACCGCGCAACTATTTGTTTAATTTTGTCCAGCGGTGCCCCTCATACAGGGCATGGAAATGAATTCCTTTTCATGGATTAAAAAAGAGGTTTCGGCGCAATAACCGGGTCTAGTTAAGATCGAGGATCTATACGCCGCAAAAATGTTGTCAGTAGGTTTCAAACGAACTCCAAGAGAAACAGATTTTGACTCTGTTGTGATAACCACTTGACTAAGACTAGTTAGATGGACCGCTGAGGAAACCATTCATGAGTCAATGTTAAGATGTGTTCCAATAGAAAAAGACTTGTCATTCGGCAGGTTTCGAACCTGCGGAGTCGAAGAGAAACAGATTTTGATTCTGTTGTGGTGACCACCTCGTCATAAGACCAGTTAAGATGGACCTCCAAGGAAACCATCTATGAGTGAATATTCATATTTTTTTTCGTGGTTTTATGTTGGAAAAACAAACCAAGAAAAAACCCAAGGCATGTTCCACTAGCATAAAAAACCTGCAAACCAATAGCGAATCTTCAAGGCGTGTTCCGATAGAAAAATCAACCTGTGGATCGGCAAGTTTCGAACCTGCATAGTCCAAGAGAAACAGATTTCGATTCTGTTGTGGTAACCACTTAGCTAAGACCAGTTAGATGAACCTTTGACGAAACCATCCATGAGTGAACGTCAAGGTGTGTTCCGAGAGAGAAAAACAACTTGTTGTCGGCAGGTTTCAAACCTGCGCAGTCCAAGAGAAACGGATTTCGATTCTGTTGTGGTAATCACTTTGACCAGTATGCTTCGCAAGTTGAGATGAACCTGCAAAGAACTGTCCATGAGTGAACGTCAAGATGCAACGCAAAATGAACTAAAAAGACTAGCTCGATGGACACAAAACTGTATGCAGGAATCGAGTCCACTGGTAGGGCTGGTGCCGGTGCCGTCATTTGCTAGCAAACTTCGGTGACACTATCAATGACAATGACTTCCTCTTCCGAAAAGAAGTCAGTACCGTTGATAGTGTCGCACCACATATTTTCAAAGACGCTTGAAACCTGTCTTGATCGTGCATTCTTTTCCCCTCTCAACGTCTAGTGTCGATGAATTCAACGACCAAATTCTAGACAAATTGCCGGGCGATTTTCGTAAGTATCTCAATTGATATTAATCACACATTCCACTCACGAAGTAATGTAGAATCTTATTGTAGTTCAGACAGCCTGGAAGAAGCTGACAGACTCCATTGATCACACCACAATCACACCCCGACTACCTTGGACTATCCTTGCAATGTTAACCATCCTGGAGTATGTGACCTCTCGGTAGAAATAGGACTGGTCGGAAACGCGCGCGTGCGCGTTGTCGCGCTGCATCAGTCGCTTCCTTAAAGTTCAACTGGACAGTGAATCGAAGACAGTTTCCTCTGCGACCCGCATATGCAACTACATTTAATTGATGACAAGGTTTGACGCTGGCGTGAACCGTGCTCAACCTCCGGACTGATCCCTACGCTCACGGTCAATCATTGTACGATGTAGACAACGTTGTCGAGAGTGAGAATCGAAGAGACGCGCTGTGTCAGATGTCTATGCAGCTCTGTCACTAGGCCGTGACAGGATATCGCACGGCACCGCTTCCAGCTTGGTCAAGCGATAGTGCTTCGCGCATTCAAGGAGGCGGTGCTCGACTTCAGAAAAACATTATGCGTAGTACATGCACACCTTTCTCAAGGAATCCAAACTTCAAAGGCGAGATAGTATCTCAGGGCAATGCTGGCCAGGGACTATCATGATGTAGCCAAGAAGGATTAAGCGAGGCACGGGTTGCCCAAATTAGACTCGTGAATCGTCTTGTCTGGGCCCTCCATGGGGGGCTCGGTTAAACCGGTTAAGTACTAATGGCGACATTGGTCTATGTTTAGCAGAGAGAAATGATCAGATGGGCGTCACAAAAGGCCCGCGGCCGGGGTCTCTAATCCACAGAATTCTACGTAAATTGGTTCATTTAATATGCCTGCTTGAAATTGACTTAAAATACTTTTGACTCTTAACTTGTCTTGCTGTCTCAAGTTGTTGGCCAATTGCCATGGTACTGCATGCATCAGTTACTGAGTTACCAGAGATTCGCGCATATTTGCGAACGATATGATATATGAAAGCCTATGAAAGTAAATAATATTGATGTCGATGAACGTTTGAACGTTCCATTCAAGGCCCTTAATTAATCGGCAAATTGATAGTCTTGAGCCGCATCCTATCATATTCGTAATCTTTTTTCATACTCCACGATGATAAGGCATTATGTAATTGTCCTGCTAGTCAGCGTCCGAGCTCCGTGCTCTCCGATGAGTGCGCCGCTGGTGAGTCGGAAGCGTCTCGTCAGCGGTCATGCTATCATATGTTCCGTAGTCATGCCACTGATCTACGTTGGTATGCCGTTATTTCGCCCCGCAAGTCGGATATCTTACACAAATCCGCGACCACTTCACGACGTTGCGTATAAAATTGCAGTGCAAGTTTTTGAAAAATTCCTCGCTGCCTTTGCTGTGACTTTTGCATCTAAATAAATCTAAATGCGGTCGACCGAACCGGCCAAGCATAACCGGTTAACCCCGGAGGTTGATTACGCACCTTCTTGTCTACTCGAAGGGTTTTTGCTTCCGTTGTCCTTGACCCCTTTCGTCATTAAAGATGTGGAACATCAAAGTGGTCTTCTCTATGAGTCTTATTTGTTGGTCTCCAGTACAGTTTGGGTGCTTCTCATGCTCTTCTCATTTAAATGTTCCTGGCTGTTCCTGGCTTCTGGTCCCATAGATTGTGCCCTCTCATTCGTATACCCACCATAGACATGATGCTCACAACCTTATCCGAGTTTACGGCGTGTGCAATATATTGGACAGACAGATTACTCCTGGCCACTGTCAAGCAAGGATAAAACTGTTGTCTTCCGTAATCATGACCCCAGACTCGAGATGTAGTTGAATGTATTACTCACATAATGTACTTCATCGGTCTTTCTCACACCTCGTTATCTCTTCGCGTCCGCCATCACTGATTTATCTTTCTTCCCTGTCGTTCTTTTGTTAGCACTGTATCTTGCCTTTGTTGGTACTTACACCCGTTTGCACCAATCGTCGAAAATAAAACAAGACGTCGTTATCTGAATTATGATGTCTGATCAGATATCACGAATATGTAATGTCCTATAGTAGTAAGAACAACGCGGTCAGGCCTTCAGGAGTTGATGTCGACTTATGTTTTCTTTTTAGGGACTAGCAGCTGTAGTACTTTTTCGTTGTGTCGCGTAGTCGTCGGATAATTTGGTCACGTTGAATGGTGAATTAATCACGAGAGAAATAACATCAAGACTTGCCGAAGTCAAAGTGTACTGGATAGGCGAGGTAGTATGCTCATCTACTAGATGTACACGGTGGGACAACCATGGAAGGGTATGAGTGCAGGGCGGGACGAGCGGACACCGAAAGGGCAGGTGTCTGGTGACATCGGCTATGAAAGCGCCGCGCTGCCGCGCAATGGTTGGAAATTATAGTTGTGTATTATTATTCGCCATGAAAAGTTATAAAAGCGAGGGAAGTGCGCCAGAGGCGAACGAGGCTTGCGACTCAGGTGACAAAAGAGTGAAACATCATCTGGTGAAGGGTGTTAAACTGTTACTTGTGATTTGAATGACGATGGAGGGCATTCTGCACACAAGCAGACAATAAACCGGGCGCATCTGAGGCCTGCTCGTGGGCGTAGAAAGGAATGTCGATCGGAGATTGGGTTTCTTATGTGCACATTAGGGCATGACATGGGTAAGGTTTGCCCGGCGGGTACCCGCCCGGGCAACACCTGCGGGTGAATCGTGGGTCGGGTGGTACGAGTCACAGGTACCTGTTGTTGGTTCTCCCGCGCAGGTACGGGTAGTGGGTACCCACGGGTAGGAGACTTCAATCTGTGACAATGTTACATGGACCATGATTCGTCGTTATTGATGGATCATCGATTGTTGAGTGCTTACTAGTACTGTTTCATGGATGACGCAAATTATATGTCGAGACTTGCATTGCAAGTTGAAACCTACTGGCATTCCCCATTCAGGCGCTGTACACCGACGATTTCGAACTTGATGCATCACTGGCCAAGAACACATCCTGTCAACCGCTGGAAAACTTCCGCCAGTTATTAGGGAAGATCACAGGTGAGCGCAACTTGTGTGGTGAGAAGATAACGATAAAGCGACAACTCACCCAAATTTTTGTTGCAAAAAGCCGAGGAGAATCTTAGTTTTTGCGGTTTTCGGGGTCTGTTGCAATATCGAATCTGGTGTCACGGAATGGAACCGAGTAAGAAACTGGCGGCCTGCAGCTGGTGGCTTATACTTATCGTAACTTGACCGCGCTGGTCCCCAACACGCACTTGATTTATTAGTTTGATCAAAGTTTATGCATCATGAGTTATACCTCTACATCATGATACAGTCTCCGTACAAGGACATACAATCATGTTCAGCATCGGACACAACCATGTCCACACATGAAATGACGGACAGCAGAACCGAGGTCGGCACCGTGTTAGGAACGGGCATATTAATTAGTAGTCCCCTATCTTGGCCGGGAAGCACTGCGGAGTTCGAAAAATTCGGTTGATTACCTTCCATGCTTTGCCTCCAAGACTGTCTGCTCTACTAAAGGATCACAATGCTGACACGGTTGACGTGCCACGCTAACCTGGCCTGTCTGATCCATTTAGATCTTCAGCGTTAGATATCTAGATCACCAACAACGCCCGAGTGATGGGTTTTGCCCGGTGCATGGCCCAATTGAACTGTGTCTGGCAAGGCACAGTTGATGGATTGCCTTGATGTTGCCGTGAGGATAGTATATCATAAATAAGAAGAAGAAGCAAATGTCTTCAAGCAGGTCGCTTCAATGTTGGACCCAACGCCCTCTCCTGAGCCCGGCCGCGGCTCCGAGAAAGGCTATGGCATTCAAATCGCGTTTGTATTCTATCCGCATCTCTACCTACCGCGCGGTATATCGCTGACCTGGCGGCGAACAGATACCGGACATTATCAGGTCGCGTCGAAGAGAAAGAGACGACCTCCAAATCTTCGCCAGATCCAGCGGACGCAATTGGAAGCATAGATGCCCACCTACTGAGTGTCGACGAAATGTATACCCGGTATTTAAGTCATCCTACAGTCGGTTTGGAGCTTGCCGCTGTTTGTCGCAGGGAGCGTGATGGCAAGAATATCATTAGTCCTCCACCTACCGTCTACTGGAAGAAAACGCTTGATTATATCTTTTGGTGGCTTCAATTTTCTCATGTGGATCTCGTTCATCTTGACTATTGTAAGTGTCGTTGTTCACCTGCCACTGACTTTTCCTAATATACATGTTAGCTCTCCTATAAACCACTCGGGCCTCCTGTACCTCTAACTCTTGGTATTGCCGTGCTATTGGTTTGTGACTTTCAACTCTAGCGCTCAATTTCCCCCCTTCTCATCAACTACAGATCTTCGTCATCGTCATTTCTGCTACATTCTATGCTTTGATCGATTGGAACGCGAACAGAATCATGAAGTCAATAAAATCTCTAATTGCCCACGAGGCTGCGGTCATTAGGGACTGGAAACCAGCAAATAATCAAAGCTGCTGACATTGTAGTTGGTGATGTTGCTGTGCTCAACGCTGGTGACCGTGTCCCGGCCGACATGCGTGTCGTGCAGGCATCATCCGACCTTCGCTTTGATCGCTCTCTCCTGACGGGTGAAAGGTCTATTTCTTGTCCTACGTGCTTGAATTTCGCTCAAGTCTAATTGCAGCGAAATGGTATCAGGAGCTCTTCATGCAACATCCGACAATGCTCTGGAGACTCGCAACCTCGCACTGACTTCCACTTTTGTCGTACAAGGGACTTGCCATGGAGTCGTGTTCGCCACGGGAGATAGGACTGTCATGGGACGCCTTGTCAAGATGTCGGGAGAAACAAAGTTCAAGCTCACCACTATCCAAAGAGAAGTGTGGTTTTTCACCAAAATCATTTCATATGTCGCACTCTTTTTCTTCGGCTTATCGATTCTTCTATACGGCGTTTGGTTACGGACATCGTATCCTGGTTATGACACCGCGTCTTCTGCCATCGTAAATTCCATTGGCTGCTTGACTGCTTTCGTTCCCCAAGTAGGTGGCCAGCAGTGAAAGTTCATATTCCCTTCTTAGTTGACATCTTGCAGGGTCTCCCGGTTTGCGTGGCACTCTCATTGACTGTTGTTGCCTGTCGCATGGCTAAACGCCATGTGTTGGTCAAGAATCTGGCAACCATCGAGACGTTAGGATGCATGTCTGTGCTATGTTCCGACAAGACAGGTACATTGACTGCGGGAAAGATGGTATGATGAACGATGCATCTGCTCTTGTTACCAGCTTGCTGATGGACTCACAGATGGTAGGGTATATTGCGTTCCTCGATGGCGTATTTAGTGTCGAGGAAGTTAACGAGAGGGTTACGAAGGCATCAGACCCTACCGTATTTTCTGCGTTCAAGGCGCTCCATCAGATCGCGAGGCTTTGCAACGGCGCGAAATTCGACGCGACGACCAACCACCTTCCTGTGCAGGATCGTACGACCAAGGGCGATCCGACTGATACTGCTCTTTTGCGTTTCTCCGAGGCCCTTTCGATACCGGAGCTTGGTGTGGATGCCAGTACTCTTCAGCAAGACTATCAGAAGAAGTTTGAGATCCCTTTCAATTCCAACAACAAATGGATGCTTTCCGTGGTCTCCAAGGTCAATACTGCTGAAAAGAACGCAGAGTCGACATGGATGTTCGTCAAGGGAGCTCCTGATGTCTTGTTCCCTTCCTGCGGTAGTGTGCTACAGAGTGATGGGACGGTCGTCAAGTTAACAAGTGAGGCAAGGCAGACGTTCGCCACGCTTCAAGAGGATTGGTCAAGTCGGGGCCAACGAGTACTCGTGCTGTCAGTATGAGCACTTTTGACCCAGCACTCTGACATCTGATATCATTGTCGAGGTAATAGATGTAGGAAACTCATAGAAGAAATCAAGACTGGACTTTCGCCCGAACGACGTGGAAGATCTCATGTACATGGAGATGTGTGATTTAACCTTGGTTGGTCTAATTGGAATTTACGATCCTCCTCGCTCGGATGTGTCGTCATCGATCTCTATCATTCGGCGAGCTGGAGTTCGAGTCTTTATGGTCACCGGTGATTTTAAGCTCACTGCTCTAGCTATTGCACGCCAGGTAGTTTTTCTTCATTTTCTGTCGCCATAAAACCCTATTAAGCCCTTTTTTCAGGTCGGTATCATTACCCAGCGTGCCGTTGACACCATCCAGGATGTTCGAGCTGCTGCATCTGAGAAGGTCCCGCCGAAATATTATTATCTTGCCAAGCCATCGGACGACGATCCCATCCGCTCTCTGGTACTTACAGGGGAAGATGTCGCATCTCTCACCTCGTTTGATTGGAATGTCATCGTTGGGGCCTACACAGAGATCGTATTTGCGCGCACTACCCCTGACCAGAAAATGCGAATTGTAGAGGAGATCAAAGCTCGTGGAGACAATACAGTCGCAGTCACTGGAGATGGTGTCAATGATGCGCCAGCACTCAAAGCCGCTGATATTGGTGTTGCGATGGGTAGTGGCAGTGATGTGGCCAAGGAAGCTGGTATAGATTTTCCTGACGGTCTTTTCGATGACACTAACACAATCACTCACAAGCCGCCTTGATCTTGTTGAATAATGACTTTGCTTCCATCCCTGTCGCGATAGAGTTGGGCCGACTAGTCTTTGATAACCTGAAGAAAGTCACATTGTATCTCATGCCTGTGAGTCGCATTTGCAGAATCAGTGTAATCTCGGCGGGTTTGATACTCATAGTGTTGCAGGGTGGAAGTTATGCGCAATTCATGGCGATCGTCGCAAACGTATTACTAGGCATGCAGTTACCTTTGAACTCGTATCAACAAACCTGCTATTCCATCACCAACGATGTCGTCATGTCCATCTCGTTAATGTTTGAGAAGCCGGAGTGGGGTGGGTGCTCACGCATTCATGAGCTTTCCAGTGCTCACTTCCTGTTGTAGACTTGATGCAGCGCAAACCACGCAATGCCAGGACCGATAGGCTTACGGGTTGGCGCTTTTTTTTCCATATCTACTTGGTACGTTTTATAACCTGGGTGATGCAAAGGTGCTCATGTATATTTGCCCAGTTCTATGGACTGATGCTATGGCCCTGCGCGATGGCGATGTGGTTCTTGTACATGAATCAGCAGGGCCTCAGTTTCTATAAAATTATCTTGACTTTCAACCAATGGGAAGATGGCTGGCAGGGTTATACCATCGCTCAACTAAACCAGTTCGTCAATGTTGGTCAAGGCATTTAGTGCGTCGTCGTTCTTTCCTCTCGCAATACTCATTCTAAGAGCCACTAGCTATGTGACGGTGGCCATCGGACAGTGCGGGACTCTTCTAGCAGTTTCCAACCGCCGAGTATCGATACTGCAGTCGAATCCTCTATGGGGCCCGCGTCGCAACCTACTGGTACTTGCTGGCATGACGGGCACGATATTGATCTGCATCGTGAACCTCTATGGACCTGGCTTTCAGCGGGTGTTTGGCACGACGCCTATCCCCGGGATGTTCTGGGGTCTTCCATTTACCTTCGCTTTGGGGATCTTGCTCATGGACGAAACTCGCAAAGCCATTGTGAGGAGATACCCGAAGGTATGTTTTGAGTTACACAACTGTACTGGAACTTGAATTCACACTTTTATACAGTCTTTCATTGCGTGGCTAGCATGGTGAACTTGAAAACATGAAATTGTAATTTTTTTGGTTGGTACTGCGCGGTATAAATTATTCAACGCGTTCAGTGGGAGGGTTATGCAGATTGTATAGCTATCGGTTACGCTATATTCGTGACTGTTCATGTCAGAATTTGTATTTCAACTAGGTGTCGGCGCTGCCGACCTGCAATGCGGAGTTTATTAAATTTCATTTCGGTTTTCGGTTGCTAAATAGTGTTGCCGTCGAAGCGAAGCGACTTCGGGGTAAATTCGCTTCGCTTCGAAAACGTGAGACTTCGGCTGACTCTGTTCCGAAGTAAGTCGAAGTGGCACTTCGTCCACTTCGACAGGTGAATCGAAGTTCCCACACATTACCACTGCACGTCTGAAGCCCTTTATTTGCCTCCTGTCTCTATCATATCATAAAACACTGCTGTACATATGCAGTACATTCAATGTAAGTGTAAGCTTCTCCCACATGATCTTGAACATTCCCCAAGTTGGTTTCATGATTGAATTGAAATTTGTGAGAAATGCTACCCTGAAAGTTTCACCCGCGCAGATGTGCACAATGCACACAACCTTGCTGTCCGTGTCTCCGAGTCGAAACAAATTTTCACTACTCCCCATGTACCATCCGACAGTGAGTTTTCTTCCTAGTAGTTGGTCGCGGTTTCCTTCGTACTCGCCTGCAACTAGCATGGGAATGGATATTAGAAGTGGTATGTCCAGTCTTTTTTCAGTAGCGCTTATACTGTTTGGTTTTACAGATCACATCATACCGCACAACGATGCACTTGGAATGAGAATAAGTACCTACACCACGAATGTTCGACGTTCAACAACCTCATCATTGACCACCACCTTAACTGCACCACTCCCTACAAGTCCTTCCTTGTCATTTGACCAGTCAACTCCGACTTTCATGCTAGAAGAGAAAGTGCAACATGATTTAAAAGGGACAGTACATCATCTCTAAGTAGCCTACATGCACCTGAAATTTTTCGAGGTGATTCAAGCAGCGCATTGAGGTGTTTTGAACTTTTTGCATATGTATTACATGCCAGTTGCAGATTCCCAAGAGTGATAGTATTATACCATCAAGGCCCTCTAGTACAAACGAGGCAACCGGGTAGTAAAGAGTCCTACACACGCCGCAGGCCGCGGGAGTGCGTCCGGTGTTCCTAGAAACTCCGCTCTAGTGCGTATACGTAGAGCTAGACTTAGTCAGTTGCCAAAAAACAAAGAAAACCAGAGGTTTTTCCGCAGGACCGTGGAAAATCACAGTATTGATAACTCAAATTTAACTCAAATTTCTCTCAGTATATATATAGCCGCATCAGGACGACTGTCCCCGTCTAGAAAGGGCTGTCTATGGGAGACTACCACGTCAAGGACTCGTACTCATGAGTTGTTATATAATTGCAGAATGTTCCATTCACAACGTTCAAACATGCCCACCCGATCATCCATGACCATCTCCGAGTCAGAAACCTCACCATTGCTTAAAAATGGCGGCTATTCAGGTCATAGGAGTTCTTCTCTTACTCGTCGCGTTGTCAACTTCATGAGAGGCGAGGATGAGCCATCATGGGCAGAATCTTTCAACTTCTTTATTTTTGGCACATGGTTCAATATCCTACTCGTATTCATACCTTTGAGCTTCATCTCTCACATCATGGACTGGGACGCTGGCCTAATATTTTTCTTTAGCTTGATGGCCATCGTCCCCTTGGCTAAGGTGGACACCACTCCCTATCATCAGATTCCTGGAAGACTGACATTGTCGTTTCTAGTTGTTGGGCGAGGCTACAGAACAACTGACTGTCAAATTAGGCGAAAATATGTCAGGTCTCATTAATGCATCATTTGGGAACGCCGTAGAAGTTATCATCGGCATTGCTGCTTTACTCAATGGTTTGTCCAGCGCTCTATAATTGTTCGCAACTCACGATGATCCTAGGCCAATTGCTAATTGTTCAGACATCCGTGAGTGTCTTCATACGGCTCTAATTGCGATAGATTGACCTTAGTTTAGATGCTCGGATCAATCTTGTCAAATTTACTGCTCGTCCTTGGTTGTTCGTTTCTCGCCGGTAAGGGGCCTCCGCTTTGGGAGGAGAGTGTGCTCACTCGACATAGGCGGATTATGTCACAAAGAAGGAGTTTTCAATAGTGCTGGAGCTCAGGCGTGCGTCCTCTGTTTTTCTACCCTTTAAAACTTTTGTTGAATTGCAATAATTTTTAGAGCTGCCTCCGTAAGTTACCTGCCCTATTCATCGCCATGATAACCAACCAAGTCTAGGTTATGACTCTGTCATGCATCGGTACGATTATTTGCTCCAACTGGAGAGTTTTGCCAATATTTTACAGCGCTTGTTATTCCTGCGGCCTATGCAAGTACCACAACCGCTGGAATGGAGAATTATTGCAGTGATCCCTCTGAATGTCCCACTGCGGGTCTACTCTTGATTTCCAGGGGAACTGCCATATTGCTCCTGGGAGTCTACTGTGCCTACCTTTGGTTTCAGGCATGTTCTAATGTCTTTTCTTTCTTCTCTAATGTATTCATCCAAGCGTTTAGTTAAAAACCCATCCTAAACTCTTCATTTCGCCTGCTTCACATACGGATGAACCAAACAGTGAGGAAACAGTGCCTCGCATGGGAACAGCCGCTGCCGTTGTTGCGTAAGTTTGGTTTCGTCATTTGCTACATTCGGGGCTTATCCTTATTCCTCAAGACTTTTATCAGTAACTGTGGTCACCGCATTTTGTGCTGAGTATCGTAAGTATCTCGCTCTGTTCCCTTACTCTGATGTTCAATTGTGCTAGTGGTTTCCTCCACTGAGGAAACTGCAGTGCGCTATTCCATCCCGAAGCCCTTCATTGGTGTTATCTTGTTGCCAATCGCGGTATGTTTCAAATTGTATTCGGCCAACTGTCTACCAACATTGCCTGTAGGGCAATGCTGCAGACCATGTCACTGCAATCTGGATGGCAATGAAGAATAAATACGAGCTTACCATCTCCATTTGCGTTGGGAGCTCGATTGTAAGTGTATACCGTTCGGCGTAAGCTTGTGATTGTGCTGACTATCGAACAGCAAATTGCCTGCTTCGTAGTGCCACTTCTTGTGATCGTCGGTTGGATGTATGATCATGTATTGCATCTCACGAGGTGTCGTTCTCACTTTTTTGTTTAGAGTCGATCAACCCCTGACGTTGCACTTTCACAACTTCGAGGTCTGTTTGTTCAGAGCATATTCCGCATGATGATCTAAGTTTCTGACGAATCTTCAGACAATCGTCCTTTTTGTATCTGTCTTCCTTGTCAACATATTAATCATGTCAGTTTCCCTTTCACTGCATGTCAGTCCCATTGAGATTTAACTCACTTGTTTCAGGGACGGAAAATCGAATTATATGGAAGGTCTCTTGTTCCTTACTCTCTACTTGATCATCGCCCTCGCATGTGAGTTGCCCCTTGAACCCTTTAATCATATTCTGATCGAATTTTAGTTTGGGCGACCTGAGATACCTGAGATACCATCAATTATTGTAATTATTGGCGACCAATATTTCACGGCGCGTCCCTCCCTGATCTCTCCTTCCAAGTTCCTTTGATGATAGAGGCCAAAGCAGCTAGTAATAAACTAATTTCTGCCCAACCTACTTCTTTATGCGTCACCCTATTTCTTTGGGCGTCACTCAGACATGTACATAGTAAATTATCGAAGGGAAGCATCATACATTAATTCATAATAACCCGCAAATGTGAACGTTCACTTTTCTAAGATAAGGCTGTCTCCCTGAAGCTCTTCGAACTTCTTGCGCGCCATGCATATATTCATCTTAATGGCCGCTGTCTCTGTATGTGTGAATGGGGGTGAGCTTGAACCGACCATTTATTTGCAACCAACTGACCGATAACTGGGTCATGAACCACGACCAACACGTAAGTATTTTTGGTCATTTCATCAAGCACAGCAGTGAACTCTGCCAGTTCCATTTCAAGAGAGCGGAATTCCTCCCTGAGCCGTGAGCATGACTGTTTGAAGGCTTTGATGAGTTCTGAAGTCCTTTCATATCGCTTTGGATCCAGTGCGTGAAGAACAACAGGGCCGGAGGGGAAGGCATCGGAGGAGTCGGTTCGCGAAGACGTTGCGATGACAAGGAAGGTGGTGCGTTCGAATAGAATCACCTCAGTCGCACTGCAAGCTTCAGCGAAGATACGGAGGTGTTTCGAGAGGTTACGAGCGTTAGGGATCAGCGTGTTCACAATATTTGACCATGCCTTGCGCAAAACTTAGTGATAAATCAGTCACATAAGAAGAGGAATTCACGGTACCTTGTAAAGACTCTCATCATAGATACTCGTCCCAAACACCTTCACTGGTGTCTCGCCGCTGGCTTTCTCGAGTTCTGCCGTCTTGCGTTGCACGACCGCATTCCGTTCGGTATCCCTCACCAGGTCTATTTTGTGCACCAAGAGAAACACATTCGCATCCTTGCTGAACTGCGATAATCCCTCCAGGCAATCCCGATAGTATTCTAGATCCTTCTCCATCTCACGAGACTCGACGTCAAAGACATAGATCATGACGCCGACGTGCGAGAAGATGATTGAGCGTTGCGTACTCAAATATGAATCCATGAATGCATCTTGTCCACCGCAGTCCCAAAGGTTGAGGATAAGATCGCCTAGGAAGCGGACATGATTCTGCTCGACGTCAATTGTTGCGCCAAGACGGGATGTGAGGGACGCTGGGTTGTTGGAGCTGAGGAGCGTTCAGCTTGTCCAGGTGAAGCTGACGGTGGTGTCTTACAATATCATGGACCGCATAGAAGTCTTTCCGCTACCAGACGCTCCCATCAATAGTACCTAATAAAGTCGCCAGATGACTATCCTGTGCGGCAGACGTGAGAGCTTTGCGCACTTTTTTCTTCATCTTGAAGCGATATGACTTGGTGAGCTGATGGTATGTGGAAGCTCCGTATAAGCCGTGGAAGTTCAAGAGGGAAGACCGTAGTTGTTGTTCTTGCTATCTTAGAATAGATTTGATTCAATCAGCGATCGTGGCACACATCATCTGTCTGAGTTGGCCTTTGTGGTTATACTTCGGCGCTTCAGCAATTGCAACTCAAGCAAAGCTGGGACAAACGCCAAGATCGTGAAAATGGTACAGTCCCATATTTATTATCAGACTGGCGCAAGTGAGTCTCGTAGACATTAGTAGATTTCGTCCTCAATTAGCCACGCGCTGCCAGGGCAATTGCACACCGTCATTCACAGTTTCTGAATCCTGTGATGATAGAACTTCCCACGCCTATTACCTTTGTTATTCACCATTTGAGGGGGTCGTCTCCTCCTTGAGCGCGATGTGACACATGTGAGTATGCCTGGTTGAGGTCTGCCATGCGTTACGTCCATTGCATCCATCAGGACGTGCCCACAGTGCGTTGGGTGTTCTCGGCAAAGCATCAGCTCCTCAGGTTTCGTAGTACTAGGTCAGCCCCATCACTGGCTAGGTAAGGTATCCCTCCACAGCGAATACAGTTTCAATATCCTACCAGCTATGCAAATTTTGCCCGGTCTGCCAACCCAAATTCAGATATAACTAGCATCCGCGGACCCCTGAGTTACTACCATTGTATGAGAACAGAATTCCTCAAACACACATACTCAAGTGTTACTGATTAGATTACTCACCAGAAAACCTCCTTTAGGGTGCGTTACATAGATTGCGGGGCCTTTACGTCTTTATATATGACTTTATATTGCTTTGAGCGACGAAAATAAAGAAGTGCTCCTGCAGTAGATAGTTTAAGGGCCTGCCAAAAAGACGTCAGAAAGGCCTTGAAGGAGATGCTCAGACGTACTGCATCGCTCGCGAAAGCTCCAAAGCGCCTGTGCATCTCGCTGAACTAGGTTCTTCAGACAATACCAGGAAGAAGCTCACTGTGGTGGAATAAGAACTGAGGTGAAAAACCGTCAGTCACGCAGAGAAATAGACTCTCCAACCGACTAACACAAACAAAGCACTGTCATAAACAGCTATAAAATAACAGTCGAGATGTAGTGGACAATGAATCTCATCATAAGACGAAACTGCAAGCAAGATCTGTTGCTCGCCGACGTTGGTTCATCGATCTTGTCCATGCAATGGAACACGGTCATAACAGCGACGGTGTAGTACCTTTGCATGTTAGATACGGTAGACGTGATAGAATGTCAAATGAATCATCAAGAGACCCTTTCTGGACTCACGGCTAGCAAGAGAAGGATCATTGCCTGCCACAGACGGAGTTGTGTATGATCAATATGATAGTAAAGGCGTCGTGCTCAGAAATCGTCATAATTATGTGTGTGAGGCAGCTCACCGTGCCTGACACATTGAAGAATCACTTCGTAAACAAGCGGAAAGAACGACCAGTACGTAAAACTGGTCAATACCGTCGCGAACATATTCTGGATGATGGATGCGACAAGTATGGCAGGGGACGAACAAGAATAGCAACCTAAATTTACTCAGTTGGAAGATAGAAGTTATACTGCCATATATCACTCAGGTGATACTTGAGCAGCCATTTGCCACGAGGGAAGGCTCGATGATACAAGAACCCCCTGGTCGACAGCAATACCTCGTTGCTTAGTACTATTAGAGCCACTGGTGTCGAATGCGTTCGGTACTGACTGGCACAAAAGGGATGGTCAACCCTGAATATTAACATGTACTCAGGAAACGGAAAAATCGATATTGACACTCTGTCACTCTCACCTATGAACTGACTTGCTAGTGCAGACATGACGGGCGTCGCTGAGAGCTGAGAGGAAGGGCTTAAATGTTCATACACAGACCAGTCACACGTATATAGAGGGCATAACATGACCCTGATACGGGACAGTCAATTACCCAGCCTGCCCACTTGAAGGTTGATTGTCCTCACATGGAACGTTAATACGAACTTTGACGCAAATTGAATATAGAAGATCAAATACGTACCAGTGCACTGCATGTAATCTTATTGAACCGAGTGTGTAAGACGCACTGGGGACACGAATTTGTTGTGGACGGTAGTGTCACACTCTGAATTGACGAGCCTGTGTATGGTGGACAAGGCCTGGATGGAATGAGAGCTGCTAGTAGGTTCCTACACCAATAGCCTGATAGAAGAATGCTTTCCCAGCTATCTGAACTCAGACACACGTCTGAGTTACTGTTACTTGTGAAATTTTGGGGTATAGTCGCTATCGATTACAACCGAGACGTTTCCACCAATCAGAGCGCTCCCCTCGGTGTTCAAGAAAGATTCAGAAGTTGACGCACAAGTGAACTTGGATAACCGCGGCCCATTAATATCAGAGGAATTTCCCTTCAGCCCATCGTTTGCTCTGTATTCCCATCTCCACTGCTGCAAGTCCCCAATCCTCGCCGTGATTGTGACCCTTCTCTGCCCCTCTGCCGAGACCAGCTCGTTCCAATGCTTGATCCTCTGTGAGTGCTGTTAGGACGCCGAAGATCACAGGGACACCTGTGTCAATCTGGATCTTCATGAGGGCGTGAGAAACGCTGTCGCAGATATACTCAAAGTGCATCGTAGAGCCCTTGATCAAGACGCCGATAGCTACTACTGCATCAAATGGAGCGTTTGGCATGTTGGCAAGTGTTGAAGTGGGAGCAGAAGATTCCTTGTTGGATGGAAGTGACGTCGAAGAATCACCAAAGTTCAACCCAAGTAGATCACTGGAAGATGTGGCCGCTTGAACATGAGATCCCGCAATCACTCTATAGGATAGCTGAGTTGATGTTTAAGACGGAAAAGCTGGTACGTACTTCGAACATGCGAAAGGAAGTTCAAAACTACCAGGGACAGTCTGGACAACGATGTTGGAGTCCTTAACCCCGCATGCTTTTAGCTTGTCGATTGTGCCCGCCACTAGTGATTCAATGACAGTCTTGTTCCATCGCGCATGCACGATAGCGATGCGTAAACTAGAGCCATCGAATTGAGCGCTGGATGGACCTTTGATTGAACTCATGGTTGACGACATCAATATATAAGGGGGTACAAATGAGGTAACATGATATTGTATTTGACATTGTTTATGCATCTCTCTAAATTTTGTATGTAGTATAGTACACTTTCGTGACAGCGGGAGTCTCACTCTTGTCTCAACTCATCATAAGTCGCTGGTCATCCTCGTAGTGATGTCGGACGCGAACCTTGCAGGTAGGCGCATAACCGCATTAGCACATTTGATGATCTGAAAATGGTCGCCCACAGTGACATATTCTTTAATCTATGTGTTTCTGAAACAGCAGTCCCAGACAAAAGCGGCTGATGCTGTGAAGAAAGCTGCAAGGAACATAATCGTCTTAAAGGATGATCTGCAACTCGAGGGTTTACCCTTGGATGAGATAGTTAAGCAGTGGAAAGAGTCTCGTGCTAATGACAGTTCGTGAGTGTTCACTTTCCCCGTGTACTATTTGTTTTACTCAAAGCACGAGAATGTAGTTCTGACTCTGACTGTGCGTATTTATTGTCGCTAGTCGTACTAGCTTTATTGCTAAGGGTGATATAGCTTCAGATGATTCCTCCGATGGTGCGTTATCCTAATCATGCACAAACGGTCCCCGATATGTAATTCTGGACAGACTCTTCCACAAGTTCTAGCTCTGATTCCAGTTCTAGTTCATCCGATTCAACGTATGTTTCCGAGACGTATAATTTATCTTGCTCACAAGTCAGCCTCAAGTTCAGGGGATGAAGCAGGTATGTATATTTTGTTGTCACCATGTGTTGCCGCCTCACGACCACAGATTCGTCATCAAGTGAAAGCGAAAGCGACAGTCAAAAAGGAACCCAGGCCTGTAAAAAGGTCCCTGAGACTCTCTTGAGTGGAGACCGCGAAACGAGTGCCACCCTGTCCTCTGGTATACTCCCCATCATCAGTGTCAGCTTTATCTGTACTGACTTGTGAAAGATGCCAAGGTTCCTGAAGTCAAGTCTAAAGTCATCAAAAAGAAACCCTCCGTCAAGGGAAGCTCAAGCTCAAGCTCAGAATCTGATTCTGATTCCACGTCCGACAAAAAGCTAGCTCGCAAAAGCGCCCCAAAAAAGGATGGTAATTCATCAGATTCCGACTCCAGCTCCTCTAGCGAGTCCAGTTCCTCTAGCCCTGAGTCCAGCTCGTCTGACTCCGAGTCTACATCGTCTGACTCTGAGTCCACCACTTCGAGTTCTGAGTCCGAGTCTGAAGCCGAGATCACTGCCATCTCTAGCAAGATTCCCGTCAAACGCGACGTCGCGTCCAAATCTAGCGCCAAAACGGGCGTTGCATCAACCTCGAAAGAGGAAATCCAGATCACGAAAAAGCGAAAGACATCTGAGTCTGGAGCTGCTGTAGTTACCGCTGTGGTGTCAACACTCCCTACCGATGATGTGCAAGTTTCAGTGAAGTACAGAAATATCCAGAAAAATGGCAATAACAAGCCCCCACGAAACGTGAATGAGCGATTCTCGAGGATAAAACCCCAAAGTATACCTCCGGAACAACTTATGGACAACGGGTATGAAGCCAAGGTGAGGTCTATCTTTAGTCCACCTCCGAGATCTAACCCACTTTCTTCGTACAGGGCGGTATCACTAATGACTACGGTAATCGTGCACACCAGGACTTGATTGTCACACGGGGCGCAGGGTTCCGGAAGGAGAAGAACAAGAAGAAAAGAGGTTCATACCGTGGCGGAGAAATCACTGTGAGCATGCTCTTTCTTTGGTGTCGATATGGCCGTCCCTGATGGATGTGGCAGATGCAAAGTCACAGTATCAAATTCACAGATTAGACACGTTGATATACATCGCACAAGCTACATTTGCCACTCCCGCGTTCTTCTTACTAAATACAATATGTTGATCGCTTCGCATTCACTGTACACCGTAAAAATGTACTTAGAAATCTCGTTGGGCGAGTCGATATAGCACGCAACTCGGATTTAATCGTTCTATGTATCGACTTTGATTGTGCGCATTTCGCGCAAAGCTCGTCGCAACCGTAACCTTGAATATGAGATGGCTCGTTGGATTGGTTAGCTAAATGATTTATCGAGGATTGTCACTGACTTGAGAGTCTAACGACTAGTTGTTGCACAGCCACAGACCGAAGACTCAAGCGCTTAGCGCCCGTATCCCGTAGTTCATCACGGTCGACCTTTATAGAAGAAGGAAAACAATAGTTCCTTCTCAAAGAAGTATTCCTTAGCTCGCAAAAGTTGGCGACTGGTCAAACCTGAGCGTTGAGCGCTGTCCACTATGACAGGCATTGGTCCTGCACCTATCCTCTTCAATGAATTTTTTCAGATGTTCATGAGGTGCATGCCTCCAAATGGGTGGCCAGTGAACTCCAAGATCGGTGTGTTCCTCTTCATTGTACCTCGTGCCTGAAATTTAGCACATTTATCTTAGCTGTTGGCAACTCGGGAGGACCAGATTCCACCTGCTTGTTGTTCCTCCTCAAAAAGTTGCTGGCTGACCTGCGCTCAAAAGCCATGGCGGGACAATCCATCCCGACCTCAGTTGTTTCCCTCTCTGTCAACCATAACCTCCAAGACACTTCACGATCGATGGCAGCTCGTTCTGCAGCGAACGCAGCAGCCATGGGGGTTGAACATCTGACACTTGACATACCTTGGGGAACACCACCGTTTTCTGCGAAACCTGTCGCTGGTCAGCCGATGGAGCAAGTCGCGCGAGAAGCACGGTATCATGTTATATTCGATGGGATGGTGCGCACTGGTGCACACTCGGTCGCGTTTGGACATCATGCCGACGACCAAGTAGAGACTTCATTAATGCGTCTTGCAAGGGGAACGACCGAACTTGGTGCAGGAGGCATGCGACGATGCCGCAGATGGGGTATGGGTACTGGTGATGTGGAAGGTGGACTTGGGTGGGTTGGTCACCATGGATTGAACCGTTGGATTATGAGACCTCTTCTCGAGGTCAGGAAGGTCAGGGCTTCCCGCCATGGATTTGAGTTTGATTTGTTGATAACTGACTTGTAGGATAGGATCCTTGCTACATGTGAAGAACACAGGCTCGATTACGTGAATGACCCGACAAACTTCCAGCCCGAGATCACTTTAAGAAATGCGATCAGGCAAATGCTAACTCTGCAGGAAGAGGGCAAAGATATGGTGATATCTTGTTTCGAATATATATCCAGCACCACTTATCATCACGCAGTCTGCACTTTCTGGGCTACCACAACATATTTCTGGTTCCCTTGAAAAGATAAAGATAGCTGCAGCTGACCTCCAGGAAACCACAATGGATCTCGAAGGTGGATTGCATCAGCTTCATGGGTCAGTAAAGGTTCTTTCGTCGCGACTCGAGGACGTTGATAATGAGGGTGAGTGATCGCTGCATCAAATACCGTTCAGAACAGAATTCATGGCGTTGTTAGTCACGTTCCACCTTAAAAACCTGACTCTCCCTTCTCCTCCGAGCACTCTCATCCTCTCCTCGCACGCGCTGCCTGCTATCGTGGATCCAATCGTTCGTCTTGCTTTCGTCCTTCGGGTCATGCGTTATGTATCATTCCATCCATGGGGATCTCTCCGTGCGGACGGCAACCGACGCAGAACTAGCATACAACGCATCATCGATACTCTCTGGCAGTCTGATGGTGCCCCATCATTCACTGCAGGTGGTGGAGTACTTTGGCAGCCTGCAATATTCAGCGCTAAGAGGCGACTCCGAGTGGGCACCCAGTGTCTTGGTCGCCAATTACAACCAGGCGAGAGATTTGCCTGGATGGCATCTAGACTGCCTGCCGTTCCCTACCACATATTGGACACTGCAACATTATCTTCAAAGTTGGATGTCGATATCACGGAACGCCTCGCAATCGCCATGAGTCGCGGCGACGACTCTTTGGAGGTCCTCTTTGACTGCCGTTTCCTTGTACGCTTTGATCTGTCACAGATTCCAGAAAAACTGGTCGGAGCTCTACGAAAATACGGGGAAACAGGGGTGAACGTGCGAATTAAGCCTCACACAAAGTATTATTGGCCCAAGGTTGTGTTGCGAAAGCCTTCTTATCCAGATACCACATATGCTACACTGATGGACAACGGACAGATAGACACATTCGGGCACGCGCCTTGGGTAACCATGAAATACATAAGGCTGCTGGACGCGACTTAACATGTAATTTATATCTTTACGCATACATTACGATACACCGCAACGGTGCCGAATCGTCATCACAGCCGAGCCTTCTCCCTGCATCTAGCCTGCAAAAACACTTCGAAAACGCCATACCAAACCTGGGGATCAAAGTACTCGATCCAATCGTGACCGAAACGAAAAGTCGGTACCGAGCCTGGCGCATCTCCTACCGGCACCACACGCGCCCATGGAATAAGCCTCAAAAAGCCTTGAACATTGGAGAAAGGCAGGATCTGATCAAGTTCACCGTGGATGATCATGAATTGAGTGTCCGGCGACAGACGAGAATGAAACCCAGTAAAATCATATTGAGAGGCTGCTCGTTTTTGCTGTACTGTGACTGGATAAACTTTGCGCTAAGGCGACTCGGAGAAGGATACCTACATATGGTCCTGAATGGCCTGACTCGTATTGGTCAGCACTGAGCATCTCAAATAAAGGCAAGAGCACGACCTGCCAATCAACCCGCGATCTATGATCTCTTCAATTCTCTCCTGATTGGCTTCACTAGCGAACCACTCGGGGTCATAGTTGGGGGGCATACTGAGGCGCACAGTCTCCCTGATTAGTTCAAGTGTCAAGGGACCTGTCGGTCTCCTTGCGAACTTCAGTCCGTATCTTGGGTCCAGGTTGGGTGTGAATGCAGTACAAGCAAGTACAACGTGTGTTACACGAAAACGTAGGGGAGTCGGGTTCGTACGGTGAAAGGGTAAGAATAAAAGACTTTGAACAATAATGCCTTTTAGTAACACACGTGAGGTGCGAGCTGTGGTGAGTTGCCTTCCTTGGACCTACCTCCCATGGAATGTCCGCAAAGAGCAACCTCGCTCCACTGAAGATGCTGAATTAGAGAGAGAAGGTCTCTTGCCAGTGTTTCGATAGTAAAAGGGTCATCTTTGCGAGCCTTGGAATCCCCCATGCCCCTGTTCATGGTTAAACAAGGGGTCAGAAAGCCGTCTTTGACACTTACCTGTGGTCATAGACCAACACTGTATCGAGTCAATTTATACATATCACTTGTTCAGAGTGTACTAGCCACGCACCTTGTCGATGTTTAGCTAGTAGCGATGATACTTTGTCCGTGTCCCTCCGACAAGATGTGGTTCCACTGACGAACACGAGCGGCACTGATGCTCCCTCAGGCTTGTGGTCGGAGCCAAGCACCTCGTATGCTAACTGGGTTCCATCTGGAAGTTGCAAGATGGAGTAATCGTCCATCTTCAAGTTGGCCTTGCAACAGACTCGTGACAGGCCGCCTCGCACGATTGCGACGGTGAGAGGAAGGTGCAGGTGCTCGGCGCTCCTAAACGCTCAGGCCTCAGGCCTCAGGCGTTCAATTGCAACTGGCAGCACCCTGCAGCACCCTTGTGCTTTTATAGCCTTGTACCGTGAGTCCGTGACTTCTCATTGAATTTGAAAGTCCGGTAACCCCGGCAGATGGCAGAATCCGGCAGAATTCAAGCGAAAGATGCTCTTCCTCAAGTTCATCTAAATGGCATTGGAGTCTTCCACCGAAATCTCTTGACGACAAGATCACGGTAGTTGATCACGCCTTACACGACGACGGACAGTGGGATGTGGACGCGCTGATGAGTCTTCTATTAATGGTGTTTCTCAGTGACAGTAACCATACATTGTCATTCATACTCATTCATAAGTGACTATGATGGCCTTGAAAATTTTGCGAAGCAGTAGAAGTGGTGATTCTGGAATTCTGCCGGTTATGCAGGCACAACTTGTAAATAATTCTGCCCCCAGCACTAACGCCTTAGCTTGTCTTCCGAAAATTGTCCTAGTGGCAAGTATTTGCAGGATTCGCAGTACACATCCCGCACACGCACAAGCTTTGCAGGGCCCCTCCCAAAAATCTGGAGTGCTCAACTCTGCATTCAGCTAGAACTTATGCAGCGAAATTGACAGTCACTGTTCCCGAACTTGGGGATGCCGGAATCATGCAAGTCATTATATCCTACGATCACCAGCGTGAAACACCAATTGCGCACTCCGGTTCAGGAATCGCCCCAATACTATTCTGAATGGCCCAAAGTTTGCATTAACTCTCAGTGTCACCCTATCTGATCGTCGCGTTCGAGGTTCAACTCTAACCACATATTCAGGTAGAGTGCCACCAATAACTGGCGCTTCCCGGCCACGCGGGTTGTTCCCTACCGTTCGCTCCGAAAGGGTTTTGCTGGTGGGTGGTCGTTCTTACTTTATCATGATCGTCTAAAAGTTTTCGATATGATCTCGTTCCAAATGGATACTGCTGGAGCACCAACAAACCTTGAGCAGCGGTACGTTCAGCCACAGTAGTCCGGTGATACTGAATCTTGATAGACATGCAACCGTCACTGCGTCGAGGAATACGCGAATTTGCTGTAGAGTTTAGCTGCGCAGAGATCAAGAGAGGTGTACTTCTGCCAATTTGGTTCAGCGATCACCGTCGAAAAATTCTGAGTGATTATCTCGATGCACTGTCCCACAAGAAGACCTCGGGATTTGTTCTTCCCTCGTGTTAACGTTGCAGTAGAACTGCATCACAAAGCCACGTGGACGTGAAGAGCTTTCACTGCCGTTTACTCATTCCCTCACTCACGGAGTACTCATGAGTGGTGCACCACCGGAAGTGCATATGAAACTCATTCGCCTGTAGCAGCAATTGTATTGGTTGCTACTACACATATGCTCAACTGCTAGTCTTCTTCGTTGTGAAAGTCCTTCAAGACCATTTCCTGCGAATATAGTGTCTTCTGCGTGAGTTTGAGGTATCTACTGTCATAGGTGACTAAATTTATCCCTTTGGCAGGATTCGCTCTCCGTGCGTTACTCTGGTGATGCGGCAGATGGGAAAATTCGGGACATGTTGACCGCATTCGAAGTTCTGTACAACACGGGCCTCTTTAGTCGGCTAACACCTTGGCAGGAGATCAGTGTGTAGTGTTTTGTTGTCGCTGCGAGGCGGTTCTGATGAGCTTCATTATTGCGAAACTCTTCCAGGGATCCTATTTTCCTGCTGCTTTCGGTATCGCATTCCTTCTCGACTGATTCTTATGGTGGCCTAGTTCCTGTAAGACCTCGACAATCGTTTCTTCCTCATAATGGGGGCCGTCGCAGTAGCAATTACTGGCGCTGTGCAGTCCAGCATGACGTATACTACATCTACATGCAGTACCGTCAGATTCGACAATCCTAAATACTTATTACTCTACCTTGCCGCATGCCCAAGTACCTTTTGCGCATCTCACGATCCCTTTAATAATTCTACGTACTTCATATCACGGCACAGCTGTGTGCTGTGTTAATGCAATGCAATACAACGATTTTTGCAATGAGTTGAGTCAGACAGCATTCATAGAGCGTATGAGAAGTTCGGACCACTCGGTAACTCACCCACGTTTTCCGTTTTCCTTCTTTCTCTTCTGATTTTTGCTAGATCGCTCTGATCAGTAGCTACTTTCTCTGGTTGGTCTCTTTAGTGAAGACGTAAAAATTATCCCCGATGTCATCGCAGGGGACGCATCAGATTTCCCCTCCTCTTGTACCAGCCTCTCCTCCTTTAACTGGTGGTGTCCGGCGTCATCACACGATCTCAGCGTCATCTCGCACAGCGAGGGCTGGCGCTCGTGCCCCCATTTGTGAAGAAACACAGGAGCAACAATTATGGAATGATGATGAGCCCGTTGACGAGGATTGGGTTGGTGGAGTTGGCGCAGTGGGAGAAAAGACAGTCTCATTGCACCGACAAAGCTCTCTCCCCACCAAGTATAAGAGTATGTGAAAGTTACATCAGATCCTTGCTCATAGCTTACCGTTATATTCCTATTCCCTTCAGCCTTCCATGGGCAGAAAAGTTCACGACAGGCAGGGAATCTCACCCCAAGGACTATGAATAGTTTGTCCGCCATCGCTGGCCACGAAGGCGATGAAGAGGACTGGGAAAGCGACATGAGAGGGTTTCAGAATGACGATGAAGTGAGTCGACTGCTTAATTTACATCTACATCCTCCACGCTGCTGGTGAACGTTCGAACTCCACCCCACGGATATTCTAATATTGGACTTGTTACACCTCTCCTTTCCATTGGCAACTTTTTTACTCACCCGTCTTTCCACAGCACGACATGTCCAACTCTGAGTCTGCCCAGCATCAACATGTCGTTGACACCCAATCGCAGTCGTCTACGGGCAATCCATCCCCTCTGTCACCTCAATATCCAACTTCGCACGTCCCTTCCCCGCCTCCCGCCGGGTCGGGCGTGCGGCGTCACCAGAGCCTGACTTATGGGGCTCAGAGTGGTGTCAGGCAAATGACTTCTTCGGGGCTCAAGCGTGCTGGGACTGTTCAAGGAAGTGGTCGTCATCCCTCAGTCGGACATAGCCCCAGCCCCCCGCATGGAGAGGAGGAGTATATTGAGGAACAAGAGCTTATTAACCCTTACGAAGACGAGTCCTACTTTTCGGCCTCCCGGTCCCCTGCGCCCGCCCAACAGCAGCAGCAATATGCTGGCCAAGGACAGTATCCAACAAGCCCTATGGGGCGGTCCTCTCCATGGAACGCACCTGGCACTGGGGAGTGGCGGACCCCTGGTGGATCATTTTCCGTGGCGGGAACTGGAAATCCTGACGAACTCGCGCGTGCTCTGTCCGGCCTCGAAATTAACAACAATATCTATGTCAGTAATATGGGATATCAAGCAGGACAATCTGCCCATCCTCCCCGGTTCCAACCTACTCATCCACCTCCCGCCCTTTCCCCTGGTGCGCGCTCGGGCAACCTGCAGGGCGCCGGTAACGGCTCTCGTAAATTGCAGTTGAACACTGAACTTGATGGGCGTAAGACCCCAACTGCACAGCCCGGACCGGTGCCTGGCAGCGTCCCTGCGTACGCCCAGTCTATTGGTGCTCAACAGCAGATGCATCAATCGCGCGCTGGTTCCATGAACGACGCTGAACGTGCAATGGCCACCGGTGCTACGTCTTGGGAGCAAAAAGAGAGACTTGGCCAACGCACTTCTAACCCCAACCTGAACTACCGATACAATCAAGGTCAAAAAGGCAACATCCCTAATGTACCATCCATTCCATCGCAGTATCTTAATCAACAAAGCGGTCAAGCTCCGCGAATGGGGAATTCCTTTGGCCAGGGACAGACACAAGGTGACAACAACGCCCAACCCGTTCCCGGGTTCGTCAACACTCCGGTTGACGTTCCAACCCTGATTGCTGGAAAAGGTTATAATCCGGCCAATTTCGATGTTCGTCCTGGTTTTGTAAGCTTTCGTTGCCTTGGGATGTTACTACCTTAATTAAACATTGCCTAGGCCCGCTATTTTGTCATCAAGTCATACACAGAAGATGATGTTCACAAATCTTTGAAGTACGAGATATGGAGTTCTACTGATCCCGGAAACAAGAGACTTGACAAGGCCTTCAAAGAATGTGGTGGGAGGGGTCCCATCTACCTTTTCTTCAGCGTAAATGCTAGGCAAGTCAATGGGTGATTCAATGCTAACGTATGCTCACCTTCACCCCCAGCGGACATTTTTGCGGAATGGCGGAAATGTTAACTCCAGTGCGTGTCCTTTGCTCTCGGACCTCCAAAGGTTCATATCATTCCTCCCTGTAGGTGGACTACACAAGAAGCAGTACGGTATGGGCGTCCGATAAATGGAAAGGTGTATTCAAAGTGCGATGGATCTTCGTTCGTGATATTCCGAATGCCAATTTGAGGCACATCCGCTTGAAGTAAGCTGTCACGCAAACAGAAAAGCTTGTCTGCTTACCGTTCGGTTAGCAACACTCAAGAACGCAAGCCAGTGACAAACTCCCGAGACACCCAGGAGCTGTTACCTGAAGCTGGTCAAGAAATGCTCCGTATCTTCCACACTCACCCTGCGAGAACTTCTCTGCTGCAAGACTTTGCCTTTTACGAGGTGCGTAATGGAGAGTTTACATCTGGGTTGGTGTTCATATCGCTAGCAGCTTCAAGCAATGCAAAAGATGCAGGTGAATCAGCAGCAACATCAACAAGGGGGAACATCCGATGGTCCCACACCACCATCGCACTCTCCTCCTCCACAGCAGGCTATGTTCTCGATGAACATGGCGAACATGGCGAACACCCCTGCTATGTACGGCGCAATGCCGCCGGCCATGGGTGGCGCTCTGTCTCCACATTTGCTCTCCATGCAAATGGGGATGGGCATGATGAGCCCACCCTTCGGTATGCAGCAGACTCAGGCCATGCACCAGAGTGTCATGCGTCACCCCAGCCCTGGGCCCCCCGGGCAGAACTTCATGGGTATGGGCAGCGTGCCCTACTAAAGCTAGCTAGCGTTTTCACGATTTTATGACCTTTCCCTTTACAGAGGAATGCGAAAAGTTCTTCGATCACTAACATTGGATATAGATTTATATGTTTTGCGCCGAATGTACTCCCTAGTCTGTATATCCGTCACCCATGTTGAGTCTCCATCTTCCTATCTTTCCATCTTGTCTGTCTCGTTCAATAGTGTAACCATAGCCTCTCTTGTCTCCCTTGTCGCACATTCACCAAGACCGAATATGCTGTCATCATCGCTACTTACACTGCAGCTGTACAACGGCCATGGACATGGGACTTTGAATGGACGTGGATATCTGCTTGTTCGCTACATTGTAACTGTTTTGCCTGCTATTCCCTATCTATAGTACTACAGAAGTCGAGAATTTCATTGCTATTTCCACCACATTACAATCTACTGTACGTCCGCCTGCAATAGCTCGTGCAACGCCTGGGCTACCCTCAATGCGAAAGATGGGTCATTGATATCCACATCAAGCTCTTCCACTGGGAACGGCAAACCACTCTTCAGTGCGTCCAACAGAGCACCGTCCGCTTCAGCATCGCGAAATGGCCCTTTGTCTTTGTCGATACCCGAGAAACCTCGCAAAGGGAGGATAACGCGTGTTTTATTGGTGGGCGCTCCCTTCAGCTTTTCTACCATGATCTGACCGAGCTTCAAGCATTCCTCGCGGGAGGTGCGCATCAGAGTGACTGAAGAGTTGTGATGATGGAACAGTCGCCCCTGAAACTGTTTCGGAATGGTGTCCGCTGGTCCGAAGTTTACCATATCCAAGGCTCCCACAGACACCACCTGTGGAATACCACATGTTGCTGCTGCCTCAAGGCGATGAGGACCAGCGGTGAGTTCGCCACCCACTAGCTCATCCGCAAGCTCAGTAGTGGTGATGTCAAGGACCCCAACAAAATGGCCCTCCCGGACGAGTCTCTCCATTGCTAAACCCCCAGCACCTGTGGCATGGAACGTCATTACGGAGTATCCCAGCTCCTCCAGCTTCTGGGTAGCAACCTGCACACAGGGAGTGGTCAAGCCAAACATGCTGACTGCAATAGTCGGGCGTGATGACTTCAAATCCGCACGAATAAGAGAATGTTTCGCCATCCCTGAGATGGCATGTGCTGCATTTCCTAAGATGACTTCCAGTATTGGATTCATACCGGCGACATCGACGACAGAATGCATCATTGTAATGTCTGTTTCACCCACATAGTGGGCGACGTTCCCCGATGCCATGGTGGATACCATCAGTTTAGGAAAGCCGATGGGTAGGGCATCTCGGAACGCTTTCGTGCAGACGCTCGTATTACCCGAACCTCCCGCGCCGATGACCCCTGCGATACTCTGAGTTGAATGTAGACGTGCCAGAAGCTGCGTTAAGGCGATGGTCATTGTCTCCAGAGCTTCACTGCGGGAAGATGTATTATGGACAATGGTTGTACATTCCCTCAGCACATCTGAGCGGGGAATGTCGATGTCCCGCAAGCCAGATGGATGATAGGACCCGATATCGATCAGGATAGCATTGCAGGGGGCAGTTGACTGAACAGTACGTTTAAGGAAGAGAAGAGCCTCTAACTTGGTGTCGCAAGTACCTATAACTGCGACAGTGGGTGGCATCGTTGACGCAGATCAAGGTGTGGAAGACCTTGGCGCAACACGTTTGACGATATGGAGCCTGGGCGCCGCCCCGGATTATGTCATAATTGTGGATGCGAAGCTCGTTTTGCTCGTGGAAAAATGCAAGGCACTATTCTCGTCAGAAGTCCATGATGACGGGGGAAAGCGACATCGAAGCGACAGCAGGTGCTAAAGCGGCTGAGAGATAACATCAGCCGAGGGATGGCGATTGTGGGCGGAGGTGCAGGTATTGGGCTGAGTGCAAAGACACAAGAGGCAGGAGGAATTGACCTCATTATCCTATACAACTCGGGTCGCTATCGGATGGCTGGTAGAGGGTCCTTGGCAGTGCGTGATATTGCTATCTCCGCAGAAAACCAGCTGATTAATCGTTTAGGGTCTGATGCCTTACGGCGACGCGAATGCTATCATGTTAGAAATGGCCCGGGAAACTCTGACCATTGTGAAAGATACGGCGGTCTTAGCAGGCATATGCGGAACGGACCCATTTCGGGATATGTCACAGCTGCTGAAGGAGGTCAAAGACTTGGGTTTTACTGGAGTCCAGAACTTCCCTACAGTTGGCCTCATTGACGGTGTATTTCGACAGAACCTGGAGGAAACAGGAATGAGCTATGAGAAGGAGGTGGAAATGATCCGAATGGCACACGAATTCGATCTGCTGACGACACCGTACGTCTTCAACGTCGACGAGGCCGAACGAATGGCGAGGGCGGGAGCTGATGTCCTCGTAGCTCATATGGGCCTCACGACGAGCGGTACTATTGGTGCCAAAACTGCGTTGACCCTCGATGATTGCGTGGTCCGGATCAAGAAGATTCTGGATGCAGCTGTGAAGATCAAACCAGAAATCATAGTTCTTTGCCACGGCGGTCCCATTGCCACTCCATCAGATGCAAAATATATCATTGAAAGGGTTCCGGGTATTCATGGGTTCTTTGGTGCTAGTTCACTCGAGCGGCTGCCAGTCGAGTCCGCCATGAAGGAGGTTGCTCAGGAATTTAAATCAATCCGTTTACCTGCCCGCCTGGTAAGAATAACAAAACCATATTCGAGTTTCAGGACTGACCGCGATCCGACACAGTGACTGTATTATTACTAAATACGCCAGACCGTTTTCAATCTATCGAGGTGGGGACAGGAGACATCGATGCCTACCAGTGACACTGCATACTGATAGCGCTAGATATTAAATTTATTCAGACAGCTGAGAAATGAATGATCCAGTAAACCATAGTTAGAATGCAAGCTGAAATCAAATCTGCCAAAGTTCGGTGGTACTCAAGTTGGTTATATCGGAGACGGCGCGACTTGTGGAATCAACAAGGCAAAACAAGATCTTGACCTGTGTCGAGTTGGACCACACAGTACTAGTGATAACATCTGTTGACGCGTTGTCTCCCATAGCTTTAGCTCAACTGCGTTCAAGCGGCCCACAATTTTTCGAAGCCAGAATGGCGCTCCTTTCAGACCGTCAAAAAGAAGAACTGTGCGTGAACCAGGCTCCGGAACATTTGTCTACTACTGACCGTGACCGTGTATCGATGTAGACATAAATCCATGCTAGAGTACCTGCATACGAGCAATTTCACGGCAGCTTATAACGCACTAAAGGAGGACACTGGAGTGGAGTACACACCAGACCCCAAGGCCAAGTATGCGGGCCTGTTGGAGAAGAAATGGACCAGCGTTATACGGCTACAGAAGAAGGTGCGTTCCGAGACGTGCATCTAGCATCGTGTTGATGATCGAACTCATGTGTCATTGCAGATCATGGATCTCGAGACCCGAAACGCATCTCTTCAAGAAGAATTATCCATTGCCCCATCAAAACGTGCCGCAATGCAGGCAGATTGGGTACCTCGCGCCCCCGCAGCACACGTATTGACTGGCCACAGAGGTCATATTACACGCGTCGCTTTCCATCCACAATACTCGATATTAGCCTCTGCAAGCGAGGATGCAACAGTGAAGATATGGGACTGGGAGACAGGCGAGTTCGAACGGACATTAAAGGGACACCACCGTGCCGTCCATGATGTCGATTTTGACCACAAGGGACACTTACTCGGTGAGTGACATGCACATGTGTGCCAGCACCGCTGACAAATCCGCATCGGTGATGACATTCACAGTGACATGTTCGTCTGACTTATTTATCAAGATATGGGACTCTGAAAATGAGTGGAAGAACACAAAGACACTATCAGGGCATGATCACTCGGTATCCTCAGTGCGATTTATGCCAGGAGATCAATATATCGTCAGTGCAAGTCGAGACAGCACAATTCGCGTTTTCGATGTTGCATCAACGTAGGAATGCCCTCCCGCATTTATTCGAGAAAGCTGACTTCACATGTGATAAAGACATCTAGTACGAACGATCTCCGGTCATTCAGAATGGGTGCGTTGCGCGGTGCCCTCAGATGATGGTCGGCTACTTGCAAGCGCGTCAAAAGACAAGGTAAGCCTTCATCTTTCGTTCAACAAACGTCTTTTCATATTCAAGAATTCAGACTGCAAAACTATGGGATCCCCTGACGGGAGAATGCAAAGGAGAACTAAGAGGGCATGATAACGAGCTGGAAGCAGTTTGCTTTGCACCCGTGGCTGCATACGCCGCCATTCGCGAGCTTGCCGGCCTGCCAGTAAGACCGGATAACTATCAGCAGTAATCACGCATCTCAAACCATCCCTATCTAGAACGTGGGTCCCAAGGGTCCCGGGGCTTATGTCGCTACTGGATCCCGAGACAAGACCGTCAAACTTTGGGACGTCCAGAGCGGACAGATGATTAAGAACCTTGTGTGTATACCCTCCTTCGCCGCAGACGCCTACTGATTTCCCCTAGGCCGGACACGACAACTGGGTGCGCGCACTTGTCTTCCACCCCTCCGGCAAGCTCCTTCTGTCGGCAGCGGACGACAAGACAATACGTGTGTGGGAGCTGTCCACAGGACGATGCATGAAGACCGTGGAGGCACATTCTCACTTTGTAGCAACTCTTGCATGGGGTCGGCAGAAGGTTTCCACGGCGAAATCAAATGGCGCGGACGCGAAGGCTGGCGAAGCAGAAAAGCTCGTGAATGTTGTCGCATCGGCTGGCGTTGACCAGATAATCAAGATATGGCTTCCATGATGCATTCACTCAGAGAGCTTAAGCTACACTTTGAATTTTGGCAGTATATGCGCTTTCGTACTTCGTTCCCATCCTCTGCGAGGCCTTGGTGAGTTCTTGTGTCTTTCTCATGGGTCTGGTAGCGGAAGCTGATGTGCGCTACTAGTTTGGCTACTAGGCACGGCGCATCGTATGACTCTCCTTACGACAAATCCATCACGATCATTCATTCACGAACTTTCTTCTTTCGCCCTCAAGATTCGGTTCCTTCAACATACCCATATTACTCCTATATATTCAGGTTGTAACAACTATACAAGATAAATTCGGGATCTTCGCAAACGGGACAGAATGATACAGCAGTTAAAACTATGTGCCACAATACTCGGCATGATATGACTGTCCTCGGGGCTCGCCAATGAGTTTGAACGTGGATCCGAACATCGTGTCGTTTTTTTGTCAGAGCAAATCGCCGACGAGTTTGATACCAGCCATTACCCTGGAAGAGTTCAGTGTTTGTACCAAACCTGTCTTCAGTGGCTACGCCAGATATTTGGATTTCTACCGGCGATACGGTGGCTATCTGGTCAAATGCCATTTCAAATATACGCGCTTTTCAACCTTCAGGAGCTGTTTCTTGCTGTTTGTATACTAAACGATGGTATGCTTTCAGACTCCCTTCCTGCTGACAGTTCAGAGTGTATGACAGTGAAAACAAAGCTGCGCGCTCGAAGTGGTCAATTGCACCATTCCGTCCCACGACCTTCAAATGTCTATCTGTCTGTGTGCAAATACAGCAATATTCACCTATCTTGAACGATATTGGAATGCTCTTCTTTGTTGTCACTTCCCGGACCGGGAAAGTTCCTTCCATCGCCCGCTAGCGAACCAGTGTCTCGACATATTCTCATCTAACTGGGCACCCTCACACCTTGCTGTCCAATGGTCAAAAGCCACAGACAAAGACTTTTGTCCTTGGAGTCCTTGTACTTTTTGCAAACAGCTGTAAGTGACGTCCCATTAGCTACTCCTTCCACTCGACTCTAAGGCGTATCATTATTCAGCTTGTCGTCACATCCTGATACACATAATTGAGGCGCATGCCCTTTCATGCACAAAAGGAATGCATGCATGAATTTTAATGCACCTTCACAGATGAAAACGGACATAGACGAACAGGGATATCCGTTTTACCAGCCTGGCGTCCCTATGGGGGAACCATAATTAATGTATTGCGACAGGAACCTTGAAAGAAACCTGGGCAATTAAAAAAAATTAACACCTTAATGTCGACGACCACGTATACAGGGTCAATTGACATACAGAATCCATGTTTTTTTCCTTTTGGAATGATAGCAACTTGTGCATCTGTATCGGGTGGAACTTATCTTTAGGGAGTGGCTTCCGCTTTCACACATGGGCTGAGTGCGCCGATATACGAACCGGATTTGTGTTGAGGCGTCTTTCCTGTTCATCAGAACGGGGTCCCTGAAATGGAGTTCAACAGCTTCCCAGGACTCGTCACAACGTACGTTGCTTGATTTCATCGAACCCTTGCCAAGGACCTTACATAAGTCCCTTTTTTCCATGTTTGTGCTGAAAAAAAATACAGCATATCGAGTTTGAAGAGGTGTGATGCGGCGGCAATCATCAAACAAGTATGGTGGGAAAGGTATTATAAAAAAAACAAGTCTAAAGGTTCGTTCGACAATCAAAACACGCAGTTGACAGACATACTGTGAGTGCGAAAATGTTCTCGCTCCAGTGAGGTTACCACACCAAACGTTGATGCGACCGTTGGCCGAAGTTCTAGCTGCAACGCCACGCCGGCTTGACGTAAAATTGATATCCTGTATGGTGGTCCTGCCAGTGGAACACACCCGTTGAAGACCTGAAATGAAACGTGGTGTTGTGTACTGAATTGATCTCGCAGATCGCAGATATTTACTTAGGATGAAACAGCGAATATCATTTTTCTGTTGCAAGCCCATCACATAAAGTATTGCAACCTTAATCAGCTTTAATCTCTGCACCCAAATTAGTCTTCGGGAGCGATTCGGCAACGTCCGTTATACTTGGTGTTATACAGGAATTCTTGTGAGATTTGTGTGAAGTGAACTAATCAACAACCGCGATGGCGCCCTCGTCGTCCTCCTCGTCGTCGGGCGCGTCGACGTCCGTGCAAGTCGGTGAGCTTTACACCAGGCTTCTTATCATTTCTGTTGCTAATTTTCTGAATAAAGCTCTACGCATACGGCCAACGACTACACAGGACACTGTATCCATTCCCGCTCGTTTTCAACGGACTGTCATTCATGGAACTTCTTCTACTAGTGTGACTGTAGATGCTTCTGCCGCCGCTCCTACTGCATCTGGTTCTGCTACTGCCGTCGCAACTCCATCCACTGCCGCCGGGAAAAAGCAAGTGTTCACCTTCGATCAAGTCCATCCTCCCACCGTTACCCAGCATTCACTCTTCACAAGCACTGCCCAGCCCCTCATCTCGCGTTTCATGGAAGGATTTAATTGCACAATTCTCGCCTATGGACAAACAAGCAGCGGAAAGACATTCACCATGACTGGTGTGGACCTCGATGCCGACCCCTCAGATCCTAATAATGGCATGGGCATCATACCGAGAGCTGTGTCTACTATATTCTCGCAGGCGAGAAAACTTAAAGAGCAACGTGGCGGGACCTGGAATTACAGCATAAAAGGGTCATTTATAGAAGTGTATAACGAGGATTTGATCGACTTGCTCAGTTCTGACGAGGCAACTGGGCTGCGACGTGAGGTACAGATTAGGGAAGGGAAAGATGGGTCCATAATTTGGGGCGGCCTACGTGAAGTGACGGTGCAAAGTAGCACTGAAGTCATGCAGTAAGTCTTCTTCCTGAAGCAGTGACTTAGCTGAGAAGACGATTTTTATAGCCTGATCCGACAGGGAACCGCGATAAGAAGAACGAACGAAACGGATATGAACGCCCAATCGTCTCGTTCGCATGCGATCTTTTCTCTGACACTGACCCAAAAGAAATACACTGGCTCAGGCGTACCACCTCGTTCATCTTCACCATTACCACCTGGTGGTCGTTCTCCGTCACGTCTTGCTCGTCCTGGATCATTATACACAGGTGGTAGCTCTCCTAATGCAAGAGTATCGTCGCCTACTATGGGTAGGCCATCGACTCCGAGTTTTCAGGCAGCTATGGGACGAGGCGGAGGACTGCGTCCTGCAAGCTCTCTTGGTCTTCGTCCCCCTGATAACCGGCAAGATGATGATGAAGGCGGCGAGTGGACCACTATAGTGTCCAAATTTCACTTCGTCGACTTGGCCGGTTCGGAGCGTGTATGTTATGCGTGCATTTTCGGTCTTGAAATTTTGATATGCTAACTTCCGTTACAGTTAAAACGCACCGCCGCTGCGGGGGAGCGAATCAAAGAGGGAATCTCCATCAACAGCGGTCTTCTCGCTCTCGGTAACGTCATATCGGCGCTAGGTGACCCTTCACGTGCGAAGTCGCATACTAACTCTCACGTCCCCTATCGCGACTCCAAGCTCACCCGCCTCCTTCAAGACTCGCTTGGGGGAAATGCACACACTCTCATGATCGCTTGTGTCAGTCCCACGGAGTGGAATATCGGCGAAAACTGTTAACACTTTGAAATATGCCAACCGCGCCCGAAATATCAAGAACCGTGCAGTTCTCAATGAACGGGAAGATGGTTGGGATGATATTGAATGGCTACAAGGAACGGTCACGCGTCTTCGCAAGGATCTCAAACAACTCAAAGAAGGTGGCACCATCATTTCTACCTCTCCAGCCGTTGGCGAGGTGACGGAAGGAAACTCCAAAAAGATCCTTGCACAAATGACAGAGCTTCAAAATAATTACGAGAGTCTGCGCGAGAAATACGTGGAGCGGACGGAAGACCTGACTCGCTTACGTCGTGAGGTTGGCGAGCGTCACCGCACCTCATCTGGCGGCACTGTTGGCGGCACGGCTAAATACGAAGAGATTGTTGGACCGGTCATCGAGGAATACGAGAAGACCATCAGCGCCATGGAGGCCGAGCTAGGTCTCAATCGCGCTGCGCTCAGACTCACCAATGACATGATGGAGGAAAAAGAAGAGGAGCTTGCTCAGATCACCGAGAGACATTCTGTGACTGAATTATATGTTGAGGAGCTCCGTACGCGGCTGGCGAAGCTTACGGAACGGGAAGCATCAACTGAGGTTCGCAATGACTTTATTAAATCAAAACACATTTCTAATTCAATTCGTTCAACACAGGCTTACGTCCGTGACCTAGAGGAGAAGATGAAGTGTTGTGACGAAACATCTATGTCATCGAGCGAGTCACTGACTGACCTGAAGCGCGAGGTCTCCCGTTATAAAGAGGCTGAATCGCACTCAGCCTCGTATATAGCTGACCTCGAAGCTCGCCTTGCCCGCTCCGATGAATCGGTGCTAACCTTGCAGCAGACGATCGAGCGACTCGAGAGTGACTGTGAACGTCGAAGAGAGGAGGTAGAGGCTCTGACGACACGCTTGGAGAATCTTAGCCAGGACGGTGCTAGTTGGCGGACAGATCTCGAAGAAAGGGAGAGGAAGGTTAAAGAATTAGAGCAGAAGATGGAAGCCTGGGAGCGAAAGAGGAAGGAAGCTAACGAAGATCGCATCCGGCTTGGTGACGTGGTTGGTGAGGTTGAGCTGGCGAAACGTAGTCTCGAGTCCTTGAACGGGGGGAGCACCAAGGTCAACTTCCCTAGTACTTCCGGTGCCAGCACGCCTGCTGCTGTGGATCTTTCCGTCGAGAATCAGTTGGTCGCCCTGCGGCAAACTCACGCTGCGACACTCACAGATCTTTCGTCTGTTTCCAAGAAGTACCAGGACGCCCTTCAGGAGATTGCTGATCTTGCTGCTCAAATTCAGGAAGCTAAACTCAGCAATCCGACGATCCCGGAGACTTCGGCCGTTGATAAAGTGGACACCCCGCCATTCCGTCGTCGAATGACGTCCACCAAGAGTCGAGACGGTCTTGCTGACCCTGTATATGATGCAGCTGGTCGACGTCTGTTTTTCAGGCAAGCAGCCTCAGTAGACTCTCTTCATGGAAGGTATGTTTCGAATGATATCTGTATTTCATCGAGTTTGATTTTTTTTTTTGCAGGGCATTACTTCAGTCGTTGCCGCAATCGCTTTCGCTTTCACAGGAGCTCTCATCAGTGAGGTCTCGAGAGACTTCGATATCGAGCCACGGAAGCAGTGGTTCCGTCTCGCATTCTCCATCTCATCGTCCGAACCTCTCCATCTCTCCTTCCAGTGTTACTGGCGCCAGCACTCCCAGTGATCAGCGCTCTGCAGTGAGCATGGAGAAGGAGATTATGCGCTTGCAAGAGGTTCTTAGGGAGCGTGAAGCTGAAATTAGCACCCTTGAGTCTTCGCTGAAGGGAAAGGAACAGGTAGTGCCAACTCCAGTTGAACCGCATACTCCCCAATCTACAGAGGCCGACGATTTGACACACCTTTCGCCCAAGACGATTCAGAAGTTCGACGCTGTTCGAAAGAGCATGAGGCTACATCATGATCTCATTCCTGATGTCGATGACGATGCACCTGATAACGATGTCGATGAATCGCTTGACAGGTTAAATGAACTTATGCTGTATGTTCATAACCTATGTCCTATTCTGTTTTCTGATTCTTCATCCATTGTCCAGGTCTATGGCTCAGAAGGAGTCTCAGCACAAAGAACTCGTTGATTCCCTTCATGGCCAACTTGCTCTGGTGCAACGTGCGCATGATGAGTTGACCACTCTTTCTAGGGATCAGGTAGGCAGAAAACTCTCGACTATGATGCCTATCAGAGACTGATAGTATGCAGGCGCTGAACATGTCGACCGAACTTGAAGGTCTTCGTGCCACACACCACGAAGATCTTTTGGAGTTGGAGGCAGTCAAGCAGCGTGAGGCGGAGCTTCTCGCATCCATCAAGATAGCCCAGGAGAGTCACGCTGCCGAGCTTGCGGAGTTAAGGTCCGAGCACGAGGATGCTCTTCGTGCGAAAGGAATCGAGATCGAGGAATTGATCTCTCGCCTAAAGGATGAGCATGAAACATCTCTTGGTACTTTACGTGATCAGCTGTCAGAGGCATCCGCAGCTCTGGAGAAGGCTCTCGAAGAGCATGAGAGTGCGTTTGGCAAGCTCCAGACTGAGCACGAAGAGGTCCTCCAGCGACATTCTCAAGAGGCTAAGGAGATTCTCGAGCGTACCATCGAAGAGCATCAGCATGCTATGGCCAAATCCAAGGCCGACCATGCAGAAGTCTTGAAGTCCAAAGACGAGCAGGTAGCCATCGACCTCCACCGCACCGAAGAGGAGTACTACAATGCGCTCACTAAACTTCGCAAGGACCACGCAGATGCTTTACAAAGGCAAGCTACCGAAGCCGCTGCAATGCTTGAGCGTTTGCGTGAGGATCACGCTAGCGAGCTTCGCATGACTGAGAAAGCTCGCGAATGCTCCTTGTCAGAGTCGGAATCATCTCGTGATTCGGCGCTCCGTGACCTTCAGGACGAGCATGCTGCCGCCGTTGCAAGAAAGGAGGCTGCGTATGCGGAGGATGTGGAGAAACTCAAAACTGAACATGCGCGTCTCCTTTCGAATAAAGAGGAGGACTACAGAGCAAGGCGTGAGCATTTGAAATCCGAGCATGCCACCGCCATGGCTGTCCTCAGGGAGGAGTCGGAAGCTCAAGTAGAGCAGCTCACGAAGGCCCTGGCACGTCTGGAAGAAGAAACAGCTGCTACAATTGTGAAGTTGCGCGAGGAGCATGCATCCACTACTCGGACTCTGACAGAACAGCATGCAGTGTCACTGCTACAGATCACTCATGACCACGGAGAAGAGATTGCTCGGCTCAAGTTGTCGCATACCTCTGAACTCAACGACGCTGTTGCAAAGGCTCAGCAAGAACACGCATCCCTCCTCACCTCCCACGCAACGGCAATCGCAAATCTCAAATCTGAACACCAGATGTCACTCGCCGAAGTTCAAGCGTCTCTTGTTGCTACTCAAGAAAAGCACGCTTCCGACCTCCAAGAGTCTCGAACAGCGAGTGAGCGTATGCTTGCTGAGGAACGGAAACGCCTTGATGCTACCGTTGCCGACCTTGAGCAGGAACACTCTGATGAGCGTGATGCTTTCCGTAAGGAGCAAGACCGTCTCCGTCAAGAATTAGAGTCCCACAAAGTGGCAATCTTGGACGTTCATGAACAAAGTGAACGAGGGGTGCTTGCAGAGAGGGAGCGTTCACAGTCAGCAGTAACTGAACTCCAGGAGAAGCACTCTGCTGAACGCACCACGATGCGCGAAAACTACGAAACGCTTGTTCAGGAACTCGAGGCTCACAAAGCTGCCGCAAGCGACTTTGTGGCAGTGCGTGCACAGTACGAACTGGCCGTGTCCGAACAGACGACCGCAGTGTCATCCTTGGAGAACCGTTTGGCTGGTGCACAATCAGAGAAAGTAGACCTTCAGGCGCAGGTCACCGAATTGATGGCTGAACTGGAGAAGACGCGGTCAGAACGGGCCACGTTTATCCAGGAAGCATCCAAGCGCGAGTCATTGGTTGACGAGCTTGACAGACATCGCTCCGTTATCGCTGAGATGCAAGAAAACCTTCAGCGGGTGAAGGACGAGAAAGATAACTTGCAAGTGGAGAAGAATAAGCAGGAGACTGCTTTGCGCGACATGCAAGTGCAGATTGCACGCACACCGATAGCCCAGGAGACCTCGACACCACGAGCAACACCTGATCGCAATATCTCTTTTACTCGCATCAACGGTATAGCCTCCAAGCTTCCTCCCCCCACACCCCCGCCATCCATGCCACCACCACCAGCGCCGAAAACTCAGGAATCCCAGTTCAGTTTATCTACTCAATCTTCTACTATGTCTTCGAAAGACTCTTCCGACTCTTCTTCTACGTCAGTTACCTCCGTACTTGCACCAAACGGCCCTCAAGTGGACTCCAAGGCCATCGCTGCCAAGCTCGAGGACCAAGCGAAGTATATCGATGAACAGGAGGTGATGATCAAAACACTCAACAAACAGCTATCTCACTGTGAGAGTGATTTAGCTACTCACATGGATCTCGTGAGTACGCTAGAGACATCCTTGAGTGACTCTGAGAAAAATCGTATGTATCCTTCCCTGCTTACCGTAGTGTTTGAATTAACCATTTATATTTGTCTCGTAGTCCGAAAAGCGCGCATGCAAGCAACGGAGCTTGCGAGGGAACGAGACTCGCTCAATTCCCAAATTGAGGGTCTTCGCAACGAGTTACAGGAAGCGCGCCGTGAGGTTGTTACCGTTCGGAAATCGATTGTGGAAGAGAAACAGTCCCTCGAATCGCGTCTTGACGAGGAACGACGTGCGAAGGAACGTGCTCGTGCGCAGCTCGACTCTCGGATGGAGGAGCTACAGAAACGGAAATCGAAGTTTGCCTGTCTATAGCGTGCCTGTCAAGTCTGCATCTATAACTTTTTGGCCTGTGAGTTGTTGCGGCCCATGTCGGACCTCTATGCCTATCCTCTTTGCACCTTGCTTATTATACCAGTTTTCGCGAGCTGCGAGATCAGTTAGCGTTTGTCTCTTGTGTTCTGATACCCCTTGGCTGTGGAGCTAGTTTATCGCGTCTACTATGGGTATCCCTGGTATGTTTGTCCGTACTGGCTACTTCCTCATATAATACAGTACAGTTCGGATCTTTGCTCGTGTTTCGGTTATGATCCGCTTGAAAGGTGTCGTTACCGTGGCGTTTACGTCGGTCGCTGTTCGCGAGTGATATATACAACGTGCCCTCACATCCAGCATGGGAAGTAAAAGAAAATACTCCACGCTGTCTATACGATACCAGCATTTATGAATCGGTAGAAGAATTAATGTGTTTGAAGTTGATGGTTGATGATTTTTGTTGACCATTTAGTTTGAGGAATAATCTGAGTCTTCCCCGCGGCCGTATTCCCCGCAAATTTTGAGTGGAGAAATGTCGTAAGTGGTGTCTTAGTCGGACCGGCTTATTATGTAGCATACCAAGCCTAGGCTAAGGCGGCGACTTTAAATTCCATTTCTCAACCAAACTTTGCCTCCTCCCACCCTCCGTCTCCCACATCGTTATGTTCTTCAGCTTTTTTGCTCGTGCTGTCCCCGCCGTCCAGCGGTCAACTGTCCTCACCCGCACTGTTCAATCATGTGTGAGATTCCAGAGTACAGCGTCAACAAAACCGAAACGTGTTCCCCGTGTTCTTCCCTCATTTTCTCTTGAGGGAAAGGTAAGCCTTTCTGTTCGTCTTCTAGCGATTGAGTTGTCTAACTATTTTTCAGGTCTGTTTAGTCACTGGTGCTGCCAGAGGTCTAGGTAATGAATTCTGTCGTGCATTTATACAATCGTTCGTCTCTTTGAGCTCCTTAATTTTACCGTGATGAAGGACTGATTCATTTTGGATTGTAGGGGATGCACGGAACTGGCTATTGTGGATCTGAAGGAGAATGAGGCGCAAGCTGCTGCTGCTGAACTAGTCTCAAACGCATGCGGTGCGTAGCCTGCTGTGTGCTGACGACACTACTGAAGAGCATCAAGTTAACAGCGACATGACCCCGGAAGACTTCAACGTGATTGGCGTAGGATGCGACGTGTCATCAGAGTTATCTGTTCAGCGTGCGTTTGAGCAAGTCATGGACACGTACGGGCGATTGGATTCGGTGGTTGCATCTGCAGGTAAATCCCTCCGTTTTCCGCAGCACTTATCAAGAACGTGAAATAACGTCATGCGATGCACAGGAATTGTGGAGAACTATTCTGCCTTTGAGTGAGTTGTATCCGACGTGCGTTGGAGCGCTTCTTGGAGCTGACGACCGCATCATAGTTACCCATTTGACCGAATAAAGCGCTTGTATGACATCAATGTTCATGGAGCCTTCTTTACTGCGCGAGAAGCCGCTCGGAACATGATTCCTCAGGGTGGAGGCTCCATCGTCCTTGTTGCTAGTATGAGTGCATCGGTATGTTAATCTGTGGAGACGCTCCTCTTTGTGAAAGGCCTCTGACGATGTGTCTGTAGATTATCAACATTCCACAGGTGAGTCATTGATGCCGGGATAAATCCATTAAGAAGACCTGACCCTGCATCGCCTCGGGGATAGCCGCAAACACCTTACAACGCTTCGAAAGCAGGTGTGTCCGCAATCTACCCTCCCTGGAAATCACAAGGGTCACTGATACGATATCGTCCTGATAGCGGTCCGTCACATGGCGTCAAGTTTGGGAGTTGAGTGGGCAAAGAAGGGTGTGCGAGTTAATACACTGAGGTTCGTCTTATGTTTCCTGTGGCTAACTGCGGGCTGATACACGTCATGAAGTCCTGGCTATATGTTGACGAAGCTTACCAAAACGATCCTCGCTCATGACCAAGATCTGAAGGTAGGTACACGTTAGTGAACTTGCTCGATTGAAAGCTAATGGTGGTGCAGAAAACCTGGGAGAGTCTGACACCTATGGGCAAGGTAAGATGAGCCTAGTTGATTTAGACGCCCTATTGACTGAGAGAACAACTAGATGGGTGAACCAGAGGACTTGGCTGGTGCCATTGTCTTCTTGGCAAGTGACGCATCTAAATTCATGACTGGAGCTGAAGTTCGCGTGGATGGAGGTTACTGCGTTATTTAAGACACTGGTTCTTATTCTTGGATTGTGTCTGCCATGTCAAATGTTGGGAGTAGCATCACATAGAGTTTTTTCATTAGAGTAATTTCAGCTATTTATAATACCAGGTGTCCCGCTTCCGATAGATAACTTGGTGCAGCACGCAACACGGTCACGCTCAGTGTCTTGTTTCCTCACGGGCAGAATCTGTTTTTACACGAAGTTGGTGTCGAATCTCACAGTATCACGATTGTCTTCTAGATTTTTCTAGATCAGTGTCTTATTACACTCCAGACCCTTGATTTGAACCTGCGAGAACCATGAAGAAAGTTAAAGAACGAGTACGATAACCTAAAGAGGGTTAACCGGCGGTATCAGTTATGCTAATAAACCTCATGACATCATGAGTACTGGGTATTTAGACTTTCAAATTCCTGGGTTTTTTACCCTCGTACCCTAACTCAACTAGAGTAAAAATCATGGCTTTAAATTCACATCCCGCGAATCTTACCCATAGGCCTGCCTCCTCGTCTAGATCCCAAGACACGACACCCTCGTTGTCCTGCATTAATGTTTCTGGCAACTCCACACCCAATTCTATACCATCCACTTCCAATTCCATGCCATCTACCTTTGAATTCACCAAGCGGAAACGCTGGGCAGATCTTCTGATACACGAATTGTCAGAGGCGATTATTTTTGTGCTCTCCAATGAGTGCAAAGTCTTATTTTGCTCAAGGGCCGTCTCAGAATTACTGGGTTGGCGAGACACAGAACTTATTGACAAGGATCTCATCGACTTGGTCAACGGTAAACATGTTTGTCGTCGTGTCACTCGCGTGGGCTCATTTGTCATTCATTTCTTCAGGCGAAGATAAGCATGCTTTCCGTGCGTCGTTTGAACAATCACTGCGCATGCGCGTGGAAATGTTGTCCTATGTTCGGTTCAAGCACCAAACCGAGTATGCCTCTCCTGCCAAGGAGGTTCTCTTCGAAGTCAAGGGTTATCCCCACTACATCGACGATGAACAATACGCTCGCTGCTTTTTCGCGGTGGCAAAACCATTCCCGAGTCGGAACACAGCAATGTAAGTGCATAAGCATGAATACATAAGTTAAACTTGGCGCGGCTTCTCACTCGGTTCTTTCTGATGTGTACTTACACCGACTAGGTTAAACACATTCCTCGAGCTCAAGATTGAAAATGAACGGTTGCAACAGCGCCTCGCAGAACTCAGAGTCCGGATGCCGCCACCTTCTACTATTGCCCATACTGGTCAATCGATGACTTCCATGTATTCTACACCTTCCAGTTCTCGTTCGACGATGACCCACCGCCCTGTTGGCGACTTGCCCCCCACGTGTTATACCACCCATCAAACCAGCACCTCATATGATGATTTGGTAACACAAACAAATCATCATCAACCACGGGGCTTTACTGATCCTTCCAACATGCTCACATACGGTAGCTACGTTCCTGCTGGTCAACAGGCGCAACAGCCAACGGAAGACAATTATGGCGATGATGCTTCCAGAAGGAAGAAGGTGTGTATTTCTATCGAACAGGTCTGTTCGGATGAGCATTTGACCTTATTGGCGACCAAGATCCGCAAGATGCACGCCGCTGAGCAGTACGTTTGCGTTACATGCGGGCGTACAGATTCCCCAGAATGGCGCAAGGTCTGTCGCTTGTATATTTCATCTTCTGTAGTTGACATCTTCTCAGGGCCCTCAAGGGCCAAAAACCCTTTGCAACGCCTGTGGCTTGCGATGGGCAAAACAAGTACGCACCAAACAGGATGACGAACAGCCTAGCGCCGGACCTAGCACCTGAATCCTGTTCCGCATCATTCGGCACGCCGCACCTGTCAGCATACCGCCTGTCACGGACATAATTTCCTTTCAATTGATGTTGAAACGTTGAAGGACAGGCTGTTTGGTGGCGTGCGGCTATCTTGTCAACGACTCGGATGCCTGCCGCCGAGTTGTTTTGGACCACTTTACGGTATACAACTCCACCAGTTTTCTTGCATAAACCACTTATATACACGGACACGCAATATGTATCTTAGACACTGGCATGATTATACTCTTCAAGATAAGGGTGTTGCTAGAGGCTGTGTCTGAACCTACTTGGCCCGCCGCGATGGGCCGCGACCCTGTCGGCCGATCATATTGGAGGTCCGCGAACCGAGGTTTATATTAGTCACAACAAAGAACGTGGGAATTTGTTAACGTCTGACAATATTTGTGACTTTGCCTTCCAAGTTCTAGTCAACAGTCAGCATCATGCATGTATGCACGTGTAACGCTCATATAGATGGATTCATCCGTTAGTATTCACCTGGCACACTTTGAGTACTGACGCCTTGACTTTCCACCCATTGTGCTGTAGCCAGTGGCACGCTCTAGCGATGTTTTTTCAACAGTGTCTTTCGAACGACTTACTCACTCATCACCCTCTCAGGCAAACTCGGCGAAAACGAAGGCCCTATCCACCTCGGCCAGGCAGGGCTCTTCAATCAGTCTAAAGACCCAATGGCTCGTTGTTTTCGAGATGGACACCACACATTTGTGGACATCCAACGTTACTAATGGACAATGACCAACTATTCTGTGACAAAGAAGAGAAGTATCGGGCAGCAACGACCATAGCAGCGAGCATATCGCTAGAGCCTTGTTCGCATTTAGCACTGGAGAGTTGAGGTATTGGGGTTGCATTCCGTGTGGATCGTTCCTAGCGATTGGACGACGCGACTTGGACGCATCCCTCCCACAGTGGACTTGGTGGGATATCTTGTATTTGAATCAACAAGTATGCGATCTCCTATCTGATGTGTCTGTGTTGATAGATTTTGTCAATCAAATTTTCGACTATACGATGTTCGATGCCAATGGCTGCTAGCAGCATCTGGGGAAACGACGAGTCTGCACGAAGAAAACTCCACGGGCATGGTCAGCCAAAGATGAAATTACAACAATTTTAAAATTTTGATGCAGTCGCGTTCAACGTTCTTAAGAAATGACTTGTTGCCTTCTAGGAAGCTCCTGAGTTTTCGAGGATCGGTAATCTAACTACTTGGGTTTCCCCGTAGTGCAAGGGAATGCTCGGGTGGACTGCATGTTGTGCTATTGTCTGTTGGCAGAATCTGCGACCCCTTTGTATGGCCTGCTTTGCCAGGGTAACAAGTTGTGGTCCACAGCGTGAAAAAGAAAGGTACGCTTCATTCACTTTATCCACTTGTCGCTTGAAGCGGTAGCTCAATGATTTAAATACCAGCACTTGTGTCTGTTCGCTCTTCTCCACTACTCTCTTTCACACCATTTTTCGCTATCTAACTTGCGCACTGCAAGTTACTCTTATACAGTTTACTTCCCTTCTGCCACTTACCAGGTCTAACCACGCGCTAGGATCTGCCGCCACCGAAGTATCTTCCATCCGTCAAAATGAACAACAATGCAGCTCGGCTCGGTCTACTCACCCTGAACCCCTCCACTTTGTCTTCCACGGGCAATACATCCGTTGTTCTGAATGGCACTTTCGCTGCGTCGAGCTCGACAGATATACTTCAAGTCCCTTCGTCCCAATACGGGACCCTTACTTTTGGTACTCCTGCTGAACAGGAGGAGGCCTCGCGTCCTAGGAGGGATTTGCGCAAGCAGAGGGGACGTTTGAAGGCATCGAGAGCGCTTCAACAAGAAGCGTTTCAGCGGGTGCAATCCTACCTTCAGAATCAAGAAGACCGAAAGGCGTACCCTGCAGGCGTGTATACACTGCCAAACCTGATTGTGCCTGGGCCGTCTAATGCCATGTACGGAATGGTAAATGCGGAGTTCTGTGCTGGATATGGACCTCTAGATACGCAGGCTCAGATAGGGAATGCTGATGTTCCTCCTCCTGTGAGTTCTGTTTCCTACGTCCCTCAGAGCCCCGTGGACCCACTGTCAATGTGCGGTCACAACCCCGTTCAGCAACATTACGGTGAGTACCCGGGTCATCAGGCTATTGGTGTAGCGCCTGATTATGGTCCTCCAGTGCAGGCCGCTGCTGCACCTCCCGCTTCACCCATGCAAGAGCATGCGCCCCAACTGCCTGAGGACGTAGATCACTGCATGCCTTCCCTTTCCCAGGAAGAGTTGCAAACACTGGTGGCACGCTTGCCCCCTCCTGCCCTCTCTGACAGGTCAGCTCAGTCTTACCAGGCACCAACACCGCCAGTACCATCTGTAGGCCCAGCTGAGGGGATCTCGACGTGGGGGACCAACAGGAAGGTGGTGGATGATGATGATGATGACACGATACGAACGAGGCAGAAGCGCCTCTGTTCTCAAGGTATTCCGGATGCCCCGGCCCTTGATGCAATCGCAATCGCAGCGGTGCCTCCCAAACTCGACGGATTAGTTCTCGACGTGCCTTGTGCTGATTGGGACATGAATGTAGATGCATAACCAGTCTGACCATGTATCAATTTAGCATATGGAAGACAGTAGTTAACAAAACAACAGTCCATCATGAGCCGCAGTGCACTTTGGCCAGACATCGTAGAATTGTTGTAATACGAGTGGTTGGTTCAAGTGACGGTGGTGGCTCAAGTGACCATTTTAGACTGTACCGCAAAGCCGTATTAAAAGTCGACCCCCCTTCTCATTTTATCACGTGCCTGTATCGAGCCGGTATTACTACTCAGAACCCTTCTCCTCCGACTCCATCTGCAGAGTAGACTGCTCGTCCTCTGCGCCAACACCGTTGACAATTCCACCTAAACTAGTTACGACACCATGTCTGCGCCAGAAGTATATTCAATCTCGAAAACTCCAGTGACGTGCCACGCATTCAACGCAGACCGCAGCCGTACGTCCTACTTCGATATATCCTTTGAATGCTAACCTTCAACACAGAGGTTGCTGTAAGCTTGAACGACAACAACGTTCAGATTTATTCAAAGCAGGGCAAGGAGTGGGTTTTATCCGAGACGCTCACTGAGGTGTGTGATGATCGGTACACGTTACTAGCCCGTCAACGCATTAACTACTAATTACCTAGCACGATAAACTAATCACATCTATCGATTGGGCCCCGAACTCCAACCGCATCGTCACCGCCTCACAAGATCGCAATGCATACGTCTGGTCCCTCTCTCCCGATCCGCTTACCGGAAAGTTGGTGTGGAAGCCTACCTTGGTACTTCTTCGTATCAACAGAGCCGCTACCTTTGTCCGTTGGAGCCCCAATGAAGACAAATTTGCAGTCGCCAGTGGTGCAAGGTACGTATCTCTTCTCTTCGAGATGATGTCATTTCATCAAACATATACAGGGCGATTGCTATTTGTTCATTTGATCCTGAGAACAATTGGTGGGTGGCAAGGCAGCTCAAGAAACCAATCAGATCGACCGTCCTATCTGTTGACTGGCATCCGAACAACGTCTTGCTCGCTGCAGGGAGCGCCGATATGAAGGCACGCGTGTTCTCCGCTTACATCAAAGACGTCGACAAGAGGTAACGGCAGGCTGTGGATTTTAGTCATATTGCTTACCTTTGATTTGTAGGCCCTCGCCTACCATCTGGGGCGAGAAGCTTCCTTTCAACACCATCTGCGGAGAATACAGCAGCCCCGCAGGCGGATGGGTTCACGCAGTCGGATTTTCTCCTTCTGGAGATGTCTTGGCTTTTGCCAGTAAGTCACAGCATATTCGCGTTGCCAGCAGGAAGACCCACAATTTTCACAGGTCATGATAGCTCTATCAGCATCGTTTACCCTGGTGGTCCCATGGTTTACAATATTCGCATTAGTTCTCTGCCATACGTGACTTTGACCTGGACTTCCGAAGATGCCCTGGTTGCGGCTGGCCACGATTGTCAGCCTGTCGTTTTCTCCGGCTCGGAGCAGGGTTGGGGTCTTATCGGCACTTTGGATGACACCACTGCTTCCAGTGCATCCAAGGCTCCTGGTGCAAGGACTGGAACCGTTGGGAGGCTGAACAGTGCAGCATTCAACACGTTCAGGAACGCAGATACGCGTGGACATACTGGAGATGCTGGCTCTGACACGGAGCTGCTCACCGTGCATCAGAACACGATCACCAGCGTCAGGCCGTACGCGTATGGAGGTGAGGGGATCGTTAGTAGGGTGAGCACTACTGGAGTGGATGGAAAGCTTATCATTTGGGATGTTAATGCTGTGTCGGCCCTTACTGGAAAGATGGGCGGCTTGAGGGTTTGAAACTAAATTGTTGTACATGTAATCGTACAGTGAATAACGTGGTATGTAAGCGTGCACGAATTAAATTTCTATTCTTTGGATGAGGATCATCTTCGTAGAGTAGTGTCAGCCGTCGCGTACGCATATTCACCCTCAATCTCTTGGACTGGCTGCTCGTTGATGACGCCCCAGACTGATGCTTTGAACTGTACCATCTAGATCAGCCTGAAATTGCAGAAGTGAAGAGTTATCAGCACACCAATGTCAACACCAAGCCCATTTTTCTCTCCAACACTCTTAAACGCGCAATAAGATTCTCATCTGGTCCTTCCGATAGCCGTCTCGTGGTAACGGTCAACTGCCACACAGATCAGGATTATGCCCGTTTCACCCGAATATGCGACAGTATGGGACCCACATCTTTGACATGTTGCGATAATTTGGCGTACTCCCACAAAACATTCGCCTCCAGCACGGTTAGACTGGCGTGCGATTCGTACGGGTTCGCATCGAATATGCCGACGTTCCCAGACATGATTGTGAAACCCACAAAAGATTGGTCGGAACTCCGTATTACTAGATGCTAGACCTTGCGAGACCCGCTCGCTCAAGCTCGCGTTTGTCTCGGTGCTTGTATGTGCGGTACAGCGGCCAAGTTCCTTTTTGGACCCGGCGGGAAACAAGGTAATTATTGCCTCCGAATTGATACCGCGCGATACCATAAACGAGTATGTTTTCTGAACAACTCCTGACCGGCGGGTGATACAAGATCCATATTGGCCCCGATACACAGTTTCCAAGTTCGTTGACGTTTTATTTGATTTACTGAGCTCGTGTACTCGCTGCATGCCGAGTTACTAAGCCAGTCAAGCGTAAGACATTGATAGGAAGTTGCCCCGCAAGCCATCGAGCAATAACACCTTGTAACGCGGACGATGAAGGACAGTGCTGTGAATGATGTTTTGTAATGAAATAAACCTCAAACCTGATGACGAGAGTGGAGGAGAAATGCAAGTTCTAGCGAAGCGACCACAGTATGATCATTTCCTGCAGTTCTTCGATCTATGGAATTTGCGCAAGGTTCTAAATCTACTGAGAGCAGCGCGCAAGTATTTCGAACGACTTCATACTATATTTTGTGTGACATTGGAATAAGCTTCAAAGCCCCCCTGGAAGCTCTTGCCAAGGTACGCATATCTGACCAGCTGGGACATACGCTCAATCGCCCGAATACTTTTCACACTCATGGTTTGAGTTGTGACTCTTATCGTGCTTCCCACCGTAAGCTCTATCTGTCTAGCAATCATGATCGGCCGTGCTCACCGTCCCATATCGAGAATCCACTAACTCAAAGAACTTGGTACGAGTTTCCGAGCGCACGTCGCACATTTTGTTAATCGGAGGTTGGATCAACAAAATGCGCGACATGCGCTCCATGTTTTGATTGCAGCATCAGGACCAGAGCGCAGTGCAAGTATCTTGCTGTTCAGATCCTGCCGGAGCGTCTGGAATACGGCCGTAAAGAAAGCACAACAACGAGCGTGCATATCTCTGTGTCGCCAGTAACCGTGAACTATATGGCTTGGCTAAATGCGGGAAAAAATGCCTGTCTCGCAGGCGTTGTGGATTATCTTCTGTAGTCGGGCATCAACTACAGAAGATGATCCACCAAAACAACCAGTTTTGCCGGTTAGATTGTCCTGGCTGCCATATGCATTGCCATGGGCCGAGCTTATCGATTATTAGTTGGACTTAGGTAGTTTTAGGATTTGAAGGGAGAACCGGCAAGAGGCGGAAACCTATTAATTCCCAACATGGGGCTCGTCGTTACATAATCTACAAAACCCAAGACACAGACCGACCGATTCGGAAGATGTTTGACTCCCAAAGTTCCTTTTTGAACGACTAAAACATCCTCCGGCGGTGAGATTTCATACCTATTGATGCCGACTCGGAATAGACCTTGAATCAAGTGACTTGCCGTCCGCATACCCGCTGCGGCCGTGCGGCACAAGAGATAGCCCCTGAGGCCTGGATGACACTATCGTCGCGATGTAGTCAAGGTACGATCAATTTGCTCGGTACGAAGACAACAGGAGACCGCGACTCGACGGACATAGGTCGCACTGTTAAAGTCAGGTTTAAGTGTGGTTACCATGATGGCTTACAGTTCTCAAAGTCTCACAGAGTCTAACAGGGAGGTAGACTGAGGTAGAAGGGTTAGTAATTAAGCGAATCGTGTACGTTCGTCATAAATTCGGAGCAGCGGTGTCCTCGCCATGTTCTAAAAAAGCAACAAGATCAAAACCCTGACCTGAGCCTCGAGGAATACTCCGAGTCTCCTCAGAAGCGAGCAGGACGCGACGCCAAATTGTTTACCCGCCAAAGTCCACTTGCTACTGAGTGTTAGCTTGATGTAAATCACCTGCTCTTGTTCATGCGGCCTAACGTTTTAACCGCACGCGATCATAGTAGGCGATCCTACGCGATCATGCTCTTGAAAAAAAAATTCATCCGATACTTCCGAATTTTTAATTGTTTCTCACGATCGAAAACTGGCTCAAAGTTGCCTTATTTGGATATCCCTCCTTGGCTGCAACAATATCAGCATGCTCCCCTAGTAAACAATAGTCATGGGATAGCCCGATCCCTTAAAACAGGGCATAGTCTCTTGATTTACTCCGACCTTTTCCAACATCATCACACATGCATTCATCACCCGTAACTTCATCACGACCATTCGCACCAAGACCTTTCCCTCCTCCATCCCTCACTGATGTCCCTCATGGATATATAGTCGACCAGCTGAGGACTCTCGCGTCTCACTACTGGGATAGACCACAGACCGCAGACTGTACCATAAGTAAGTCCTAGTGTTTTATTTACGGAACGTTCTAATCTCTTCGGCAGTTGTACCTGTTCCACATCATCGACCACATCTAGCACATGATTCCCCAGTCACTTCGTCAGGCTCTTCACCAGAGTCCTCACCAAGGGTTCAGGTAGATACTGGAAGACGGGCATCAGAACCTACTATCCATGCTGTGCCTCGAATAAAATTAAGAGTGAGTCATGCTGTTCATCAAAGACGCATGGTCCTTATTGTTTTGTGTTCGTAGTTACATATGGACTACCTCTCTTCACACTCGACGTTGCTACGAGGTCTCTTCAGCGGTGCATCTCCCAATGATCTCATCCACACTGGCACCACTCAACCCCGACATCCTTCCCTGCATGTCCCAGAAAGCCGGCTTCCTTCTCTTCTTCCTTCTCTGCCGTCACACCCCACACTCTTTCTCCCCGTGCCTGATCCATCATCCATACATCTAATTTTTCACTGGATGTACTTCGGGCAGACAGCACTCATGGAAGACTGTCTAAATCGGGGTGTCGTCCACTGGGAGGGGATCGCGCGCAATGTAGAGTACTTGGGACTTCCCACAGACATCAAAGTATTCCTGGGGCGGTGGTACAGGAATTGGCTTCTTCCGGCACATAGCCGCCCCGGTTCTGAACCCCGTTCGCCCACAGATGATGACGATTCTGATATTGAGCTGGAACTCGATGATGATGATGACGACGACGACGAGACAGATGATGATGATGATTACTCGATGGTTAGCTCATACACGGAGGATGTAGATGCTATCGCAGAGTTCGAGCGAGGCCGCACGCGGGCAATTCGCCCCTTGACGCGCTTATGCGGCAAGTTACAGATGTGTGGAGCATGACAGGCATTTGACATCTTTACGAATAGCTCACTGTATTTCATAATGGTTTGTTTGATCACGGCAATGTTCTTTGGTCTATCTTTATTCATTCTGATCTTTTTGCCGCATCCCCATTTCAGTCAAGATACCTCCATTTTCCAGGGCACGTTGACTAAGTTACTTATGTTTGAGAATTTCAATGCGTGGCGCCCCGCACCGGCGCTATCCTAAAGTAGTTCGCGCCACCGCACAGCAATTCGCATCCGCAGTGCTGATTGTGATATAGTACCTTTAATTGTGTCAGATGCAGAAGGGGAAGGTGTGTGTGTATGACAAAATTAATTTAAAGACAAAGAGCCGTTTCTCGTAATCCAGAGCTCCCATACAATTGTCCTCACGATCGGATACATAGTACCACTCCAGAGTCTGTAATTGTGTCAGATACCAGAAGGGAAGGCATTTAAGACAAAAGTTAAGACATAGCTTCTCGTCATCTTATCGACTCGGAGCTTCCACGCAATTGTTCTCAAAACCTTCGTGAGCGTCAATCTCACGCAGGCAAGTACAACGTGTATTAGGCGATAGGGTAAACGGAAGCGAACATCCCCCACATCAGAATAGATGATCTGGCGACTGCCCTCGGAAGACAAAAGACGAATGGTCCCCTGAAGGATAAGAACGTGACTATCCCCACTTGAACCCCATTGGTCCTAATTAGGAAAGAGAGAAGAGCGGTGTGACAGCGGAACCAAACAAAGCCGGGCCTTTCCAGATTCGGTTTTACAAAGTACCGCACATGCATATGCTAGACTCAAATCTGCGTTTTAACTCGAGCCTTTCCATTCAGCCACAATCAGAGATGTGTAATGCAATACAGGTGAGTCACCAACTGGCGAATAAGTCATAACGAAAGAAACGCGGCAGGTATGTGAGACATCCCGATGCTTGTCTTTTGGGTACTAGTAGATGGCCCGACTCGGATTCTCGCTCGCAGTGCACAAATGGTATGGTACCTTTGATACAATAATCCGTTGTTCTAAGCTTAACCACGTCTGGATGCGCCGAGACACTCCAGGAATTAAAGGGACCCATCAAACAGTAAGTTCCGAATTTCCATTAGTCAAACATAGTATGGTGATATCAATTTCAATTTTTCGAGAAGATAGCGGCCGAACAGCGTTTTATCCCATCCGATGCCGTCGAGCCATGAGTACTTGAGTGTTCATGAACGGAAGTATTTATATTAACATTCAGACGATGCTCGGCTGCAGGCTAAGCAACGATGGATTCGAGGGAGGCCCCCGCGCGGATGCCCTTGGATGGCACTTGTACCAGCCAGAGGCGATCCTCCTAAATATTCGGTTTTCCCCTGCCAAAGAACGGCTTAAAAATGTAGGGGGGCATATTGAGAAAAACAAACAATAAGTGGTACCGGCTTATCCTTTCGTGATCATTTCATACGATACGATGCCTCCTGTCCACATGTGTGTTGTCATATGAAGAAGACCCCGGGGGTCATACGAGGCGGGGTTCCAATAATCAGCCATCATCAGTTAGACGTGCACATTCAAAATCTGCCTGTCAGCTCCTCGTCAAGCCCAATAAGGATCTTTTACTGACCTGAGGTCCCGGTAAACAATTCCCTATGAAAAAAGATATTAGCGAAAATAAATACGGTCAGTCTCAGCATCGAGGGGCCGCGGGTTTGGATAACATGCTGAAAACAACATGTAAACTCGAGCATGAGGCCAAGGGCCAATTGGTCTAGACGGCATTTATGACAACATTCACCCAGGACCATTCAGACGTGTGCATTCTCTTGGCATCGTAGGGTCTAGCTGGAAGACCTTTGTTAGAAATGCGACCGGGCCCAGTGAACTATACACAACCATTTGATTAGTCGTAGTACTGTAGTCAGACCTTAAGAGAATGAAGACAGTCATTCCTCATGAATCAGTTTCGTCCTGGAAAGGACTTTGAGGGTAAATAATGACCCTGTGGCGCTCCAAGTCGGAACTATGTAATATGCGAATATATTGAAGACCCTCTAGGGTCAGTGCTGGCCCTGGGGGTCTAATGTATCGGATGGATCATTGCAGTGGCAGGATATCACGAGTTTAGCTATAATAGCCCGGTAATCTGTGATTTCGATACGTGACTATGGACACAACGTCAGTGAATTTGTCTCGAGCCCAAGAAAGCACGTACTGCCAATAGTAGGTGTGACAGCGCGAAGCACCAGTAAATCCTTTGAGGATTTGCTTACGAACATACATGCCTTTGGGAGTCTGAGCGGAATATATATTTTGGTTTGTGAGCTTTCTGATGGTTTGCCAGTTGAAGTGGAGGTCGGGTACCGCATGCGATAACTTATAAACTTGAATTTTACGATTTTGAAGTTATCTAGCCACATGATGACAGAGGCGAAAGCGGTTGACCACAAGTCCAGAGCAATAAATACTGAACCGTCAGGCCAACGTAAGGCCGTATATCTACCATACGCAAGGACGAAATGGTTAGTTCTGCGGCTTCACCTGAGCTTCCAGTACTTACATGTACAAACGACGTTATGCCCCCAATGTATGTACTCGAAGGATGAGATAACATCATAGAGATCATCGTAAAGATTAACGATGACTATCGGTATACGCAGGAGAGGTGCGACAGACAAAGAGCCAGAAGCGAATCCAGCAACCGGCGTAGTTTATCCTTGCACGAGGATTGGTGCTCGAAGTTAGGGGTTTGGGAGTGGTAGAGATAGTAGCCTGCGGTTGTGTTTGCGAAGATGACTGAGCCTGAGGCGCGCCGTTGGATTGGTGTGTGGTAATTGGGAGGGCATGAGGTACTTGCAGTAGGGTTTTCGGAATTGGCCTTCGCTTTTCTCTTGCTGAGGCGTTTATCTACGTGACATGAGGTGTTCGAACATGTGAGAAGATGAAAATAAAGTCAAGCGGAATTGAACATTGGAGAAGGAAGGGAGGAACGTGCGTATTTGCCTGTGGCATACAACTACTGGTGAGGGACGCCCATCTTTTGATATCGTAGGGACATCCCAAGTGTATGCGTTTTCCGTCTGGCGAAAAGGACATGCAGGACACTGTGAGTGCATGTTGGAGAAGTGAACCATTAATAGGCTGGTTGTTGTCGAGGTTCCATAATCGTGCTATGGCGTCGTACAATGTGCTTGCGAGAATGCAGCCATTTGGAGATATCGCAATGCCATAGACAACGTCAGTATTTCTAGCGCTGAAAATCATCGCACTCTAGTTAGAGCATACGCATGCGTTGTCTACAGTCTACTGCGATCTGTTTCCAAGTTCAACGTAGTACTCCATGTCCTAATCGAGCGATCGGCTGACCCGGAGATAATTTAAATTTTTAGAGTTTTTCCAGTCCGACCAACTTCCAACCTGGTAAAACACCCAACTTAAGTGTCCTTTGAAAGTCACGACAAGTAGCAGATTTTGATTGCATACAGGAGTCGAGGGCTCGTCGTATCCACCAGCCGCAAACGTGGTCATGTCTGGCGAATAGACGAATGAATACGCATCTATGCTTATCTATGCCCAGTCTCGATTGGACCAAGGATCGTCTCTCCGTTTTAACTTTTCTACCGGGGCCCGGGCGCAGCGCCGTCTCAGCTTTCATCCAAAATGCATCACTTACAACAGCAGGCCTTGATGACCAAAAAACGGTGGCTCGAAGCGTCGAGGCTAATTCAGAGTTGAGTACACTGGAAGTTCAAACTAGTACGTTCACAAGTCGAATCCTCAGGCTATCATAGGCTATGCAGGTAAAGCGCCCAACCCTCATTTCGTGACCATGGCTCGCAGTCCATCAGTCACAAATCAATCCCCAATGCTCGATACGCTGATCTGTAATAGCTACAAGTATCAAGCAACTATAAAATGGCGAGGTGGCTATTTAATGGAGTTTATTGCCCACATTCAAATATTAATAGTTTCCACATCAACCTGATCCAACATCTCGTCCTCCATCAACTTATCTTCTAGAGCCTCCTCGTTCGTCTCATCCAAGAGGAACGACCCCTCCATCTCATCGCGTGAATCAGGGCTTCGATGGAAGCTGTCTATCGTAACCCGAGAAGAAAGTGTCCACAACACCGAGGCGGGAGCAATATTTGCAGGCGTATATATTGTACGACGAGGCGAGTGTGCAATACTTTCCGTGTCGGGAGAATGTTCAGCGCTCGCTCGCTCGTCTTCCACATCTGCGGGAGGGCTATATTTTAGCCTGGGTTTCCGTTTTCCCGAGGATAAATATTTCGTACTGATCAAGGAGCTTTGAGAAGTGCTCTCGCTGACCGGAGGCCCTCACCGATCATCTTTAATGCATGTTCGACGGCTGGTTGGACTCTACAGCTTCAACCTCGCCTGCGATCAAGTGCGACCGCCAGCGAGAGTAGACCGACAACGCGTGAAAGCACACGTCTACCTCTGATTGGGATCAATAAAAGAGTGAGGAACTCCAGATCGTTGGCTTTGGTTCATGTGGTGAGTAGTTCAGAGTCCTCTCTGACCTGTTCAGGAGAAGAGGGGATGTTATCTTAGTATGTGGAGGGGGCGTAGACTTGATTGAAGGAACGGGATGGGGGGGCGTCATCAAAAGGGATAGACCCAGCAAGGTGGGTTCTGGTATCTTGTAAGTGTGCATGAAGGTAACTCATAGATGTTAGGCGCGTCTGCAAGCATGCACGGCCATTCTATTGAAATCCTGATGGAGCTCTTCATCCTCTGCACCTGATTCCAGGCATTGAAGAACTACACTGCAGAACAGACGGATCTGTTTGTGTTGGTGGCGTCACTAAACTTAGAAACTGCTTGGAGGTTGCACACGAGCATGCTACATAAGTAACTAGAGATACAAATCATAACGATGATAGAGAAGTGGACAGAATCTATTGTTCCCTGAGTTAGCAGATCAGAGAATAGGGTATATACGGAACCGTACACAACCCGAATAATAATGACTTTGAGATCCTTTCAACAATCGAGATACACTCACAGCTGGCGCATCATCGAAGAAACACTACCTTCTCCTCCGGCCGTGAAGCATTCCAGGAGACTTCATGAATGACGCCCAACCCAACACGTTGCATCAAGCCCTCATTCTGACTGACCGCCATCACATATAAGACGCATTCTAGGTAATGACCAAGACTCTGTTCGTCGCACACGCCGAGCGTAGCGGTACGGGAAAGAACGATGAACTCGAGAGATGGCGGCGGGGTAGGGTCCAATGGCAGGACCGCAGTGCCAACCCAAATGGAAGGGGAAGATGTGGAGAGAATATCGAAGAGACCGTGGTGGAGACTTGCACTTGATTCATCATTTTCTTCGCTACCCCTCGCCGTGCAATGTTAAAGTGGCTGGAAGTTGTGCGGAAAATGAGGGTGCCTGGTGCTAGCGGTCGGTGGATGTCTAATATCAGTTCCGTTGGGTCTAAGATCCCCGACGGAGGGGAATATGCCGACTTCTCCTCCTCTGTCATGGGAATCGAAACGATACGGGAAACCCGGCGAACATCAAGCTGCACCGTAGCACCACTATGGTCCACAATGTACCAAGAATTAACAAACGTTTCTACCACCGACGGTTCGCCACTACCGTTGACGATACCCAGATACCGATGCTCTGACGTGTAGTCAATAGCGCCACGCCACGCAGCCCATGTCCAAGAAGGCAAAGGTAAACTGCTTCCCTTAGGGAGCGAACGACGAGCGCGAGGTGTGTGTGGATTGTGTTGCCAGAGAAGCGCATGATGCAGGTCCGTCAATATTATTCCACAGTAAAAGACTCTAGCGGGGTCACCGAGCCTAAAGCCTGTCGCCAGAGCATTTGTCACTCCAGTGAGAGCATCAACAACATCTGATTCTACGGTGAGATTGCGCCGTGTACACTCATTGACGGCTCCCATGTAAGTCCCAAAGAGGTCCGCCTGAGGGAAGTATTCTCCACGCGAACGCCGAAGAAAGCTGTTGGATAATCGGTGGCCCTTGCTTTCGGCGACGATGTCTTCGCAGAAGACATCACCCCGGCACTCAAAGTAGATTTGTTGTTCGGTGAAGTATATCCGTCGGCGGGAGAGTGCGCTCTCTTGATAGGTCCAACAACGCGTATTCCATACGGACAGAGCGAGAGCCTCCCGGAGTCTTGGAGGTCCCACACAGAGATGAAGTCCTTGAACAACCTCGATATGCTGCTTTAGTGTTCTAGTTCGTGGACGGCATCCTGGGAGAGGGTCTCGAGCTGACGCGCCGCCAGCGGCCATTAGTGTGAGATAAGAAAGTCCGTAGACCAAATCCATAGATTGTATCTGAGTGATTTTGTCTTGCGAACAGTCCTGAATGATGCATATAGCGTCGATCCATAAGTAACGGAGACCGAGTTGTCGAGTGAATAGAATAGAATCAGTTATGGTCTCCGGAAAGGTTGCCGTGTTCAACCCGCCAGGCATGGAGCGCTCCGCAATATTATCTGTCGTCGTCCGATACTCTGTGCTGACGGTTCCCCATACGTAACTGAGGGCCACATAACGACAGCCAGAAGGTGCAGGAACCAGGGTCATCGACACCACGTCCACCAATCTCACATATTTCGGCAAGTCCTTGTCCTCTCCGCCGTCCATTCTCCACACATCATGACATTCATCCCCATGGTTCTCCTGGCACAGCTTAATCCACTTCTTTACCAGATCGATGTCCACAGTGTTCTTCACCCTGCGACTATGAAGATCGGTTGGTCTCCCGAACTTGAAAGCATCTTCTTGCATGAGGTATATGGTAAGCGAACGTGCTGTCGCCCTTGAAGCGGGGTATCTCTCCCAAAAGTCTCCTAGGCCCTCCATACTGACGTGGAGGCGGTAGCAACGAAATTTGGGTGGGGGATAAAAGGGCCCCCGAAGACAACCACATGGCATCGAAAGCAGCCGACATTGAATACCTGAGAGATTGACATCAGGGAACTTGTCCAACATCCATGTTCGACGGACGTGAAAGGATATAAGGCGACAAAAATTGCATTGGTACGATTTTTGTAAGATGGATGAGAGTGAATCGACCGGAATCTCTTCCGTCTCTGGGATGCCATCAAGGAAGATCCGGTAAAAAATCCAATTTTTTACAGACGGAACATAGTAATGCGTTGCTTTCTAACGTGGCAGTATGATCTCTCTGTCCATCCTCTTCAATCAGTCTACAGCGCTGGGTGAGCGGTGACCCAAATGAGTTCCTCACCTGAAGTTCAGTACGTATTTGGTCTGGGTTTAGGATAAGGGCGGATTCAGAGGTCCCACCGGGTGGGACATTTGCCTTCAGTTTGCGTATCAAGACAACCAATAGCCAGGTAACCAGAACTCCAAGAGCAAACCCTCCAATAATTCCAACAAGGACCGAAACATGTTTGGAGACCGGACTGAGAGTGTCAAGAGTAGCAAAGGGTGGTACTGCAAGCCCTTCGTGGTTACCTGAGAAGTGCTTGAATGATAAATATGTACATCGTGAAAGCAGGATACCCACCCGACTGAGTTGCACTATATAAGGTCATGCGAATTGCGATGAATTTGGTTTGACTCCTTGCGGTTGCGGCAGGGCGAAGAGACGCAACTGTATAGACTAAGTACACAGGGCTGTAAACATCATAAGCGCTAATACAAACGTGTGGTAGTCATGGTCCAACGCCAAGGCCAACAGATAGCCGACGAGTTTAAGGACAAGCAATATTTCCGTTTTACTTCATTCACGTGACACCTGATAATATACACGCGAAAGTACTTCGACTCACGGCTATGTTCCGCCCCGGACGACCAGTGTTGACATACTCGTAGAACCCCGTCACTTCTCCAACTTGCTCGTCTTAGATTCTGAAGGTCTTTCCATTATGTTAACCTTAACGTCTGGTTGGCTTATTACAGCGCGCAACCTGCGCCGCTATCTCCGACCTATAGTCACCAATCAAAGGTCGCGCCAAATCTCGACGTACAATGTTGATATAGCAGGCCTCACGGAAGAGCAAGCTGAGGTATGTCAATGAAATCATCGCCCTCAACTACAGCTCAGCAGTATAACTCAGTTCCGCAATGCAGTAGCCGAATTTGCCGAACGGGAGCTTGCCCCGCGTGCTGCACAAATCGACAAGAGCAATAACTTCCCTTCAGTGAGTAGATTAAACAATTGGATTTGACCTTCTTGTACTCAAGCGTATTGTCAGGACATTTGGGAAAAGCTTGGTGACATGGGTTTGCTTGGTGTCACCGTGTCGTCAAAGTATGGTGGTTTGGACCTTGGATACTTCCACCACACTTTGGCAATGGAAGAACTTTCCCGTGCTTCTGGTTCTGTTGCACTGTCATACGGCGCGCATTCGAACCTTTGTGTGAACCAAATCCATCGCCATGGCACAGAAGCTCAAAAGCAGAAATACCTCCCTGACTTGATCGCTGGGAAGAAAAGTAGGCAGTTTGGCTATGAGCGAGCCTGGGAGCGGGCAAGTTGACTGACTTACAATGCATGAAGATGATAACTTACAGTAAACTAGGAGTGACGTCGTCAGCATGAGTTTGAGGGCAGATAAAATAGACGGTGGTTGGAAGCTAAATGGGAACAAGTTCTGGTATTAATTTCGTCTTGTCACGCGTGTATTGTTTTAATAGTCCCGCAGGATTACCAATGGACCAACAGCATCAACACTGGTTGTTTACGCCAAAACCGCTCCTGAGAGAGGTTCCAAGGGCATCACCGCGTTCATCATCGAGAAAACGTTCAAAGGTTTTTTCCACGCATCAGAAGCTTGATAAATTTGGCATGAGAGGCAGTGATACTTGCGAACTTGTCTTTGACAACTGTGAAGTCCCAGAAGGTTTGTTTTTATTATGGCACTTAACGGTAGACAATTCATCAAGTTTCGCTGCTCCTAAGAAAACGTCCTTGGCCAGGTTAACAAAGGCGCCGGGGTCTTAATGTCCGGGCTTGACCTTGAACGTCTTGTCCTGAGTGGCGGTCCCTTAGGGTGGGGTTATTTCATCAGACACTTGGGATCATATGCTCAAATATTACTTCCTGAAGTTTGGCGCAAGCTGCATTCGACTATGCAGTGGAATATGTCCACGATCGCAAGCAGTTTGGACAACCTGTGGGAACATTTCAATTGATGCAGGGTAGGTTGACCAGGCTCCACGATCGACACGACGACTGATGAAGATTTTCCAGGCAAAATTGCGGATATGTATACAAGTATTAATGCAAGCCGCGCATATGTCTATGCTGTTGCAAGAGCTTGTGACCGTGGCCAGATCAGTCGTCGAGTAAGTAACACCGTGAATCCAAACGTTGTTGGCTCCTGATTTTACAACGCTAGGACTGCGCTGGTGCCATCCTCTACTCTACCGAGAAAGCCATAGAGGTTGCGCTAGAAGCCATGCAATGCCTTGGCGGTAACGGATACATCAATGGTACGAATTATCTGTGATTTCGTGGTGGTTGCTACTCACGTCTAAACTAGATTATCCTATGGGCCGCATTTTACGCGATTCTAGGTTGTATGCAGTGGGCGCCGGGACACAAGAGATAAGGAGGATGCTGATAGGACGGGAGTTCAATGAGCAGTTCAAATCGTCATGATACCTCAGTGTTACTCCAGGCTGCTTTTGGACAGCAGTTTGAAGCATTCCTAGTCCGGACAATATTTACCGTGTATGAGTAGTCACGACAGGCGTGCATAAGATTTTTTGGATGAACGATAGCTTTGAATCTGACGTGATGACAGCATTGTATCGCATTGAATTTATATGTATTTTAGCTTGTAATGTGGATGGCAGGGCCTCGGTGAGACAAAACTTGATCAAAGTCGCCGCGGTGGGTCAACTCAAACTGAATTCATGTATTCTAATAAGAAAAAACTTGTGGTAATTGCTTCGGGGATGCCTGCGATGAAATGCATGCATGTACAATCAGGTCTAGCAGGAGATGGTTTAAACATCCCCTTGGCAATTTGCTTTGTGGTCGAGATCAATTACAGTCCATTTGCATTTCATGGGTAAGACTATACAAGTATTGATACACAGGGTAGACCGGCTCCCTGATTGGGATAGGTACTTGTAACTATTCCAAAATAATCGTGATAAATGACGAATAAATGATGCACGCTGGTGCTATGAGATGCAATGAGTAAAGGGGATATAAACAAAAACTGTGAAATAAAATGTCATGTGAAGAAATATAAAGTCCATGCGCTTGATTTAGGGGCCAGAGGCATTCATCGCTTTCTCAGCTAGGAGACGGTGGAGCGGAGAACAGGTACAAGTCAAACAATGCATCCTCAGATAGGATAGGAGACGAGGGAGCAGAAAAGATGCTTGTGGATGGATCATTTACATCCTCGGGCGGGGAAGGAGACGACCGTGCGGAAAAAAGGTTTTCGGATGGATGATTTACATCCTTGGGTGGGGAAGGAGACGAAGGTGCAGAAAAAAGGCCCTCGAATGGATCATTTGCATCCTCGGGCGGGGAAGGAGACGAAGGTGCAGAAAATAGGCCTTCGAATGGATCATTTGCATCCTCGGGCGGGGAAGGAGACGAAGGTGCAGAAAATAGGCCTTCGAATGGATCATTTGCATCCTCGGGCGGGGAAGGAGACGCTGGAGCAGAAAATAGGCCTTCGAATGGATCGTTTACATCCTCGGGCGGGGAAGGAGACGCTGGAGCAGAGAATAGACCTTCGGATGAATCATTTACATCATCGGGCGGGGAAGGAGACGATGGCGCAGCGGCCTTCTTAAAAATAGATAATGTAAAATCACCCGCAATGACTGGTAAAGACGACGGTTGCACAGTTACATCCTCGGGCGGGGAAGGAGACGCTGGAGCAGAGAATAGACCTTCGGATGAATCATTTACATCCTCGGGCGGGGAAGGAGACGATGGCGCAGCGGCTTTCTTAAAAATAGATAATGTAAAATCACCCGCAATGACTGGTAAAGACGATGATTGCACAGATGTAGATGGGAGGGGAGTGGGAATCTGGTTCGAGGACGAACCCTGGATGGCCTGTAAGGGACGTGTGACAACCGGCTGCTGCTGCACAGAAGTCGGTATAATCGGGGCCTGCGTCGGGAGAGATGGAATAGTCTGTGGGAGCACAGGCAAGGATGGGACATGAGGCGTCATTGACCTTGGCTCAGTTCGAAGGGCCTGCGTCTTGGGGAGCGATGGAATTGTCTGTGGGAGCACAGGCAAGGATGGGACATGATAGCTCATTGACCTTGGCTCAGTTCGTGGGGCCTGCGCACCGAATTGCCAGGTCACCAAGCCCGGTGGTCGGGCTTCGAAGGTGAATTGCTGCTGAGGCATCGCGACGGGGGCTGCAGCTCCGAAGGTGCTATTCCCAGTGGTCTGAACAACATCCGGTGTAGCCACAGGTAAGAGCAGGGAATTCTGTGGCACAGTGCTCGATGCAGAGCCCACAGAAGATGGTCCAGCTGCGGACGTGCTGTTCCCAAGCGCTTGAGAGCCTGCCTGAGCATTTTGTAGAGCCTTCGCCTTATTTCTGGTACACTGGTCAGTGGGTCCATGTCTTTTCAACGCATCCGGGCGTTTGAAACTATAAGAATTAACATCTCAGCTCCATGGTCACATTTGAAATAAGAGGAGTACTCACGAGAAGCCACACCCTTGGGCATACATTCACAGGCAGACTTTGTTCAGAGTCTTTCTGATGCGACACCGTCGCCGTTACATGTTTATGAACGCTGTTCTCCAGCATCGGTTTGACATGGGCGCATGCCTGCTTAAGACATTTCCACCTAATTTTGCCATCTTCGGATGGCGGTGCGAGCTCCTGATAAACCGTCAGCGGGATGGCGAGAACCAGATAAATAAAATTGACTCACAAAATCTGGATCACCCTGAGGACGATGACGCTTTTGTTTCGATTGCGTAGTGTTATCATGATCTACTGCTTTCCTCTTTGAACCACGCGTAGAACTCCCCTCCACTGGGCCTGCGGATGGTACTTGGGGCATTACCTGTTCCGGTGGTTGAAATTGACCTTGTGGCCCGGCAAAGGGGGCGGGAGGGGGCCACTGCACAGGCGGCGCCTGCTGTATTGCCTGCTGAGCCGGTGGCCCGGCAAAGGGGACGGGAGGGGGCCACTGCACAGGCGGCGCCTGCTGCACTCCCTGGCCAAGGGAAGGTACATGGGGATTCACATATCCGGGGATTCGGGGCGCATGCTCTTGCGTAGCTGGAGGGGGAGGTGCAGCATTGGGCAGCACTTGTTGCTGCTGGATATGCGGGACCTGAACTGCACGAGCAGCGGGGGGATGCATCTGGGCACCCTGATAAGCGCCTTGAGCTTGAGCTCCGTGATAGCCACCGTGATAATTTTGCGTAGCTGGAGGGGGAGGTGCAGCATTGGGCAGCACCTGTTGCTGCTGGAGATGCGGGACCTGAACTGCACGAGCAGCGGGGGGATGCATCTGAGCACCCTGATAAGGCGCTGCGCCTTGAGCTCGAGGTCCGGGGTAGCCACCGTGATGATTTTGCGTAGCTGGAGGGGGAGGTGCAGCATTGGGCAGCACCTGTTGCTGCTGGAGATGCGGGACCTGAACTGCACGAGCAGCGGGGGATGCATCTGGGCACCCTGATAAGCGCCTTGAGCTTGAGCTCCGTGATAGCCACCGTGATAATTTTGCGTAGCTGGAGGGGGAGGTGCAGCATTGGGCAGCACCTGTTGCTGCTGGAGATGCGGGACCTGAACTGCACGAGCAGCGGGGGGATGCATCTGAGCACCCTGATAAGGCGCTGCACCTTGAGCTGGGGGTCCGTGGTAGCCACCGTAATAATTTTGCGCGGATAAATGGTGGTCGTACGCTGGCCACCGATAGGGACCCTGAGGAACTTGGGGAATGGGAGGTAGAGGAGGGAAACCGGTATTCCAGGTCTGAGCCGGCATTCCTGGGAGTCTACCACCGAACCTCGCATTCTCATTCGCCATCCTATTAAGTGCATCAAGAGACGGCCCAGGGGTAGTCGTGGCAGGTGAAGGGTATGCTTGTGGATGATGGGGGGGCTGGGGCTGGGGCAGTCTATTGAATGCGGGTTGATTCACTTGCTGGGATGGGAGAGGTGCTTGGCCTCCTGCACCTCGAAGCTGTGGCTGCGCCCGCTGACCAGACGCCACTAAAGTGGCATTCGGAGCAAATGGTGTATTTTCCACAGAGGAGGTAGATGGAGTTGGTATACCAGAATAAGCTCCGTTGTTGTTCATGTTCGTGGATAGAGAATGTTTCTGTAGCGGTAGGCCCTAGCGCGTGGTTAGACCTGGTAAGTAACAGAAGGGAAGTAAAGTAGATAAGAGTAACTTACAGTACACAAGTTGGATAGCGGGGGTTGGTATGTAAGAGAGTAGTGAAGAAGAGTGAAGAGACACAAGTACTAGATATTTAAATTGTTGAGCCAACGCTTTAAGCAACAAGAAATTCAAGCCACACCTTCCTTTTTTACGCTGTGGATCATCACATGTTGCCCCGGCAAAGCAGGTATACAAAGGGATAGATCCATAGACCATGGATTTTTCCAACGGACAATAGCACCACACGCAGTGTGACCGAATATTTCCCCGCACGACTGTGGGGAATTCAATTAGTTAGTTTGTCATCCTCCGGAGTTCCGAATATTGGGAGAAGTATGCAACAACTCATTTCTTAACAACATCGAACGCGATGCGCTGCATCAGAATTTCAGATTTAATTTGGTCTTTGGCCTTTTCATGGAATTTTCTTCGTGCATAGGGACTCGTCGTTTTCCCCAGACGCTGCTGGCAGCCATTGACATCGAATATTGTATACTCGATAATTTGATTGATAAAATCTATCAACACAAACGTATCAGACAGGGGTCCCATGCTTAACGATACGAATAAGAGATATCACGTCTAACAATGTGGCACGTGACTCCGAATTGCCAGTCCACGGTCTATATTCACCTCTTCACTGTTACCAAATAGTTGGTCATCATTGTGCGCTTAACAAACAGATCCACTCACTGCCACTAGATCAGAACATTCATATTACATCATATCACATCATATCACATCATATCACATCCACATTAGTTTACGACACTTGCAACTCAGAGAAGGGTTTCGCCTGTGGAACAAACAGATAATGAGCGTCATTGATAATCCACGTTGTAGGTAGTCCATGTGGATGCCCGAAAATGCACTCCTGGTCTTGTATCCCCATTCAAGAACAGTGGACAACTGCGCAAACAGTGAACGTAGTAGTAGATGGACGACTTACCCAAAGCAGAGCGGACCAATGAGCACCCCACCGTGACGGTCTGGCGTACGCTCTCAGCGTCTGCAAGCGCCGGGTTAACCTCCTGCGTGCGGTAGACCAAATTAAGTCACATCAATGCGAGCAAAGATGTGGGTAAGACACGTACCATCAAGTCAAGCGCGACGAGTAACCCAGTCTCATGAATCGCCTCGCAGATGTAGTGCCCTTCACGGAAGGTGAGCCCACCGCGCACCTGCAGGATTTCGGTTAGCTCTACTCATTGACCTGGCATTTAATTTGACTTGAAATTAATTTGTTTAGGTACACAATATCTGCCCGCCGTGGGCTTGGACATTCCTGCCACAGATCAAAGCACCCATGTTTCCAAGACGTCCCAAAGAAACAGGGCATATACATGCGCACTACAAAGCGTGTGCACAAGCCAACATGCGATTATTTCACAGGTGGCGTGTTTCTAAGGCCCCTTCAGGGCCAGGATGCATAGAGAATTATGGGTATTTCCATGCACATTCTCGCATCTTCATCAAGCAAAAAGTTTTTTTTTTTCAGCACGCATAAGTCACGAAGCGTCCAGATTGCACGGCTGACTTCATACCACTCCAAAAGTACGTGCCAAGATACTGAAATACTCACCGGCGTGCCCGTGCTAGGCGCAACGCTCGGGTCGAGCGCATCGACATCAAAGCTCAAGTGAATAGGACGGTCTCTTTGCGGGTTGACATGATCGAGCGCCATTTCGACCACCTTGCCAATGCCATAGCTAGATGAAGTACAATCAGCGTGAGCGCCCTTTTCTCCACTAAAACCCGAACTTACCGATCAACGTCGTGCATGCTAAACGCCTTGATGCTGTGTTTCTTTAAAATCTCCTTCTCGCCCTTGTCCACGTCCCGCAAACCGATGTAGACGAGACGCTCAGCAGGGAGGTGAGAGACCCAGTCGAACTTCGCAAGGACTGAATCAGGGGATGGAGCAGGGGGGTTAAGCTTGAGGAGAAAGGAGAGGGGCATGCCATGGATGTTTCCGCTATCGGTAGAGTGGATCGTGTTGATATCCGCGTGAGCGTCTATCCAAATGACACAAGCTTGGTCGTACGCTCTGTGGATAGAATATCACCACAGTGGAAGCAACTCGTCTAAACGGGATTCTCACCTCAGGGTGCCTGAGATAGTGCCCATGGCTAAGGAATGGTCTCCGCCAAGGGTGACGGGGAGGTGTCCCATCTCTGCATGAGCCTGCACGACAGATGCAACATTCTCACAGACTTGTGCAACGAACAAAGGGCTTCTCAACCTCGCAATGGATGCATTTAATGTGTCAACAGCGGCATCACCGGTGTCATTAACTTGGATGCCATTGGGTGAAGGAGAAATATCCTCAAATTGGTGGTGCCCATCAAAAACGACTCGCCATCCAAGTTCTTCAACCTGGTTAATAAGCCCTGCCTGGACGAGGTGGATGGGACCTTTATCTACGCCAAGTTTTGGCTGAGAGAAAGGGGAGTGAGTAGGTGATTTGACAGATACTATTGAGAGAACTGACCTGACCACCGCTATAGCCGATGCCGTAAAATTACCTGTCACGCTAGTGCAGTCGGCATTGGAATGCTCACCTAAACGGACATCCTACGATCTGAGAAGATGAGAAGTCAGTACAGCGAAGACATTCCGATATAACACACGTACAGCAACTGTCTTTGGACTCGGCAGAAATTTGTTAGAAGGCGTTGACGACATTCTAAAGGCTAATGGTGAGTAGACAGTCAAAGCGTCGGTAGTTAAAGCGGGTACTAAGGTGAGTGTGTGGAACTGACGAGGGAATCTTTTTAGAGATCGATGATATCTGGGTGAAATCAGGAAGAAAATTGTATATAGCCTAGACTGATCACAAGGCCAATCTCGCTAGCAAGATCCGACGCGCATGGCGGTATTTTCCGGGTCGGCGTTGCTCGTTGTCGGACATGTTGATCAGTGACCAGTCAGACTCAAACATAAGATTCAATGGTCAGGGTTCGATGAACGAGCAGAACTGTGATTGCTGTATAAATTCTACGCTCTGTCATACCTCCCAGGTTTCATATTTTAATGCAGATTTTAATGCTCTTGTTATGATGGTCGGTCCAAGATGCTCAGGGTCGGAGCTTGAATATCTGAATCATTGTTGATTGCGACGTGAATCGTGATGCCTAGGCCTCACGCGCAAGATCGCAGGTGGGTTTGGAGCTGCATGCAAAATTCAGACTGGCCCGTGACATAGAATCATCATTTCCACTCGCGTTGGAGTGCAGCAACCACTTATCTCATTTTGCCCTGGCAGCATCGAGAATTTGGCTCCACCGGCAGCAGCCGGCAACTTGACTCCCTCGAAACATGTTGGGAGCGATCATGCACATGGTTGTAATCTGTAACACTATCAGCGCAACCGGGGCAAAAATGCAAGGTGGGAGCGGTCACGATGCGCTGGCTAGACGAGACCGGTGCTGGTCCCTTCCTGGCTGTGTTTGGCTATATGGCGGCCCATCATAGGCAGTATGGCAGTTATGGCACTGCCCGTGTTGAGGCCCTTCTGACGTTGACAGCAGCGAACAACTTGAGTTCTACCTGGTCCCTCGTTGGTGAGAGAGTTATTATTGGAGTTGGCACAGGATATCAAGAAATTTATGTAAAATCATGATCTCTCCGTGATCCTGTTGATATTGGCATGCCAGCAAAACCCAAAATAGGTGAGGAGCAGTGTTGGAGCTGCAGTGGATAGTATAAATATATTCAGCCTGAACCTCGTTAGAGTCCTACACAATACTTCTGCCATTGGTTCCCTTATAAGCTACCCTCTGCCCACTCTCTGTTTCTATCTATCACGCCAGCCAGCTGCAGCATGTCCAGATCTTCAACTAGACCCAACAGTGCCTACCCTTCACGTAGCGGCACTCCATCCTTAAGAGACGTCGTAAGTTTATTTGGTTTCATTCTTCCCTTCCTTATCTCTAACCAGTTCATCCATGCACGTTCGCCTTCACCTTCCCCATCCCCATCTCCCTTCTTCGAAATCCATCTCTAATCAGGTCCACGGCGTCATGAAAATCTTCCATCACGAGAAAGAATCCGAAGCTCATCAAGTACATTTATATCCCAAGGCTTTACATCATCGTCACCTTATTTCTTCTCAGATATTCCGTCAACAAGTCGGACATCAGCCTAAGCCCGCCCTAGGCCTTCCTCAGACTATCAACCCTGTATGTTTTTCGCTTCTTCTACATCACGTGACTTGACGCGTCGTTTAGGATGAAGAAACAGTCCCTGGTATCGAGCACCCTGGCAGTACTGGTGTTATTTACTGTTCAGATCGTGCCATAGCGAACGGTTTCAACTATGCTAATTCTCACGAATGGGCAAACTTGGGCCAGGGTGCCCCAGAGGTAGGCCCTATCCCAGATGCCCCACCCCGCCCACAGAATATTCCCGTGCCTGAGGATTCTTTGGAGTATGCCCCCACAACGGGTGTTAAAGGTCAATCTTTCATGGTCCATGAACGCGATCAGCGCTAAACACATTATACAACCAGCCCTTCGTGAAGCAGTAGCGAACCTTTACAATGATAATTACCGTAAAGGCAAAGCAAGTCAGTATACATACGAAAATGTCTGCATCGTACCCGGTGGACGTGCGGGGCTCTCTCGTGTTGCGGCTGTCATTGGGGACGTTTACTGTGTATGTGTCGTCTCTCTGGCTTCTTTGTCTGCTCACTAAACTCCGCGCATATAGTCATACCAGGTTCCAGATTATACCGCCTACGATCAAGTTCTAAGTGCATTTAAGCGACTCGTACCTGTTCCCACGGCGTGCGTGATTTATCCTCCTTTGCCTATATTAAACCGATTAATTCTTTGGATCAATTCAGATTGGATCCCAAGGTACCCAATTCCCCATGAAACGTATATTACAACTTACTGAATGGACTCCGTTGCATAGAATAAATACCGTCTTGATATCGAACAAACCAAGGTTTGTCCCCAACAAAACTCAAATAAACATATCATGATTGATCGTGCGAACAGAAAGATATCCTCACTCAAGGCCTCGCCGTCGTCATTGCTTCGAACCCGAGGAATCCGACGGGGCAAGTAATTGCGTGCGTGTTCCCCCTATCTTTCTCCACTTTTCATAGTTAATACCTTGATTAAAGTGGCAAAGAGCTCAAAGAGCTCGTTTCGCTCAGCCGGGAGAACACAACGATCGTTCTTGATGAGGTATGTGCCTTCCCTTTAGCCACCTCTCACCCAATACTGACGCTTAAAATCTCGCAGTTCTACTCCTGGTACATATACCCCGACAGCGAGAAAGACATCGGAAAAAGTATCTCTTCGGCCGAGTATGTCGAGGATGTAAATAGTGATTCTGTAGTTATCATTGATGGGTTGACCAAGGTGCGTTTTTGACACGACTTCACTGTACCTTCCTTTAATCTTATTCCGTAGAACTGGCGCCTCCCAGGTTGGCGTGTCTGCTGGGTCGTCGGGCCCAAGAACCTCATCACCGCACTTTCGCAATCGGGTTCATTCCTTGATGGGGGTGCGAATCACCCGTGAGTGTCCTCCTGTTCCCTCATTTCCCTAACGTTCATTGAACCCTTGTGCAGCTTGCAGCTTGCAGCCCTTCCACTCCTTGATCCAGAACGTGTCAAGTTAGAGAAGGTGGGCCGATTATTAGACGTAGCAAAGGAATAAGCTGACGTGAAATAGGCGTCCCTTCAAAGACACTTCAAAGCCAAGCGGGACCACGTGCTGAAGCGCTTGCACGCGCTCCATTTGGACGTGGACGTTCCTCCCCAAGCGACGTTTTACATCTGGTTGAACTTGGAGAAGTTGCCTCCTCCGCTTAACAATGGTTTGGTGAGTAATTGTTATTTATGGTCCTCGCCTCTCCTCTCTTGGCCCACGGGAAACCAAGGAAGGAAGGAAGGGAAAGAACAAACGTTGATTCTTCTTTATACTTCAGACCTTCTTTGAAGAACTCCTGAAAGAGAAAACGATTGTGATTCCGGGTATCTTCTTCGACATCAACCCGGCGCACCGTAGGAACCTGTTTAACAGCCCGTGTCATCACTACGTGCGGTTGTCGTTTGGGCCGCCTATAGAGGATTTAGATAAAGGTGAGTTCACTGTTACTTTGATTTACTTTCATCCTTCTGCATACTGTATTATCCATGGATGCTGACATCAGCTTGGCACACAGGTATCGACGCTATCGGTCGGGTGGTTGCTGCTGCAAGACAAGGGGGCACGAAGAAGATGGGACACAACTATAAGAAGAGCTTAGAGAGCAGCACTGGAATCAACGTCTAAATCGCGATACTGCCCCCCCTCCTCCCCCTGGTGGTCGTACGCCGCTGGTATTAGAATGGTTAGAGATGACTGAGAATGGAATAGCAAAAGGTTTGGACAGTATATTTAATTATGAAACATGTCGGTTTGTTTGCATCATTCTCAGTAGGCCAGTCGTGTATATAGCGTCAACCAATCATTCACTGTTTAGACTTGTATATATGTATAGGAGTGTAGGTCAGAAAACGAGATGTATTATATTGGGGAATGGCAAAGTTGAGTACAAGGTCGGTGTGATGAAGGTGCCATCATGGACAACACGCGGACTCCTCAGTCATATTTGGGTGATGAGAACGAAGCTGTTGATATGTCATAGGCCGGCACCGTTGAGGACAGCAACCGCGACCAACAGACGACCTTGCAAAGCACTCAGTGCGCAGCAATTAGGTCGTAGCGCAGCCGACATTCGACACGAAGATTTGTCTTGATCACGACGTCGATGATCTTGGATCAAGGCTTCGCAATATACAATCCCCTAGGCTTCGATCTATTCCGAGTCAATGTGGTTTTCATGAACAAGCACATCCCGATACTCGACATGCTATGGAACAGCCGGACTTGGCAGGCATCAATTGCGTGAAGGCTATAAGAGAGCAAGGAACGAATTACAACTGCTAACGCGCGCGTCGATGAGATACGGGCAGGGACAAGACAATTTGCTATAGCAATGCATTGATCCATCTGAGCATGGCGGTCTTGTTTTCGTACTCGCTTGTGTTGTGTTGCTCGACCTTGTGCCACTTCTCATGTAGATATAGATGTGCAGGAATACTGGTCCAATGCTGGTCAGATCAAGGAATTACCTTGATGTATGATCGATTGATGACCAGGGTAGTATGAAGCACAAGATGTCATAACTGCGGTTTCCAGTACCCTACAAGCGTAGTCACAGTGAATGCTGACAAGCGAAGATTACATTGACGGGTCAAAAGACGCGAACGCGGCCTTGAATGCCTTGACATCTGCTTTATCCTCTTCCTCGGGAAGCATACACGCCTTCCAGTCCACCCTATCAGGGATGCCCAGTATGTCGGTAAGGACTTGCCTGTGAACAACACCGAAATTCCATCAGCGATTGCAAAAATACAAGAGCATAATCCACGCAAGACAAAGACAGAGATAAGCAACAGGAACGGAGACAAGAACAAGCAACGCGTAGGTCCAACTTCATTCCCGCGGCAAACAAAATAGCAAAGACAAGAGGACAAAGAAACCACCACAGCCCACTCACCTGCCAAACTGCACCCCAAACGGCGCGTGTTCCTCAATCAGATGGACCAACGTCCTCCCATCAGGTAGGTCCACTCTGAAATAACTCCTACCCCTCCCGCCTGGTAGCGCTGAACTTTGACAATCTTCCAATGTGCCATTGAAATCGATTCCCTGAGACTTAAATGTTTGTTCCACCTTCCCCACAAGCGAAGTAGGCACAGGGACGGCTTGTACATGTGCATGCCCTCCTTTTGTACTCAGACGTCCGACTTCGAAGAATACGGCGCTCGCGTTGTGGGCGGCGTAGAGAGCACGGAGAGAAGATTTGTATCTATAAGGCAGTTGTCAGGTTGCAGAATCTGTAAAAAAGGAAATAGAAAACTGAACACGTACTTATCAGTCTCCTCTAGAATTGGAGGTGCAATGTCAGCAGGGATGGTGTTATACGTCGGGTGGTGCGCAATAGGTACGATGAGGACGTGGCCTCCACCTGGGACAGTACTAATACTACCATCATTTCCGACGGCGTTGGACTGCGTAGGAATGATTTGACCCTTTGGAAGCGTCACGTAGCATTCACTTCCGATGGAGACTATGAGATGTTTTCTGTGCGAGAGGATTAACGGGCAACAAAGAGGTAAGGGAAGAGAGCGTACGCGAGGTTGGGATTGGATAGGCAGAACCAGCATTCGTCGGCTATAGGTCATAAGTACCACAAATTACATTTCAAAGAATTATGCTCACGTCCGATCTCCTTGACCTGATCTCTCTTCCCTCTCCTCTCCCCACCACGCTGCCCTGCATTGGCAACCGGGCAATCCTCAATGTAATGCTCCTCGCTAGCACACGCGCGGCACACATACCCCGGGCGTGGTTTTCGCCCACCTGTGTCGCCCACAGCATGGCGCGTAGGGCAGTCACGTACAAGATGCCCGGGCGTATTACATATACGGCACACATATCCTTCAGGAGGTTTCTGGCGTTCGGGGCAAGAGGTGATGAAGTGCTGTTTGCAGGAGGTTAGCGAGGGTTGTGGTAAGATAGGAGAGAGGAACCTCAGTAGATTCACACCTCCGACATTTGTACCCTGGCGGCGGCTTGCCTTCTTCACCTTGTGGTGCGTCTACTTTGATTAGATGAAGTACACGAAATAAGGTTGAGTACTCACTTGTTCGTGGACGCTTGCCGGGCTGGGGGACGTTTCCCCATATGAAATTCTCTCCTGATTCGAAAGTTTCGAGTGTCCGTTTTGGGGGTCGAGGAGCTAATTCAGTGAAAGGATTTTTGGTGGCGTTTGTGGGGCGGGATGGAGCGGGGTTTGACGGGGAAGGTGGGATAATTGAAAATGCGTAAAACCACTGTTTACGAACATGATTGAATTTATGGATGTCATGACGGAAGTTCCGACGTACCCTGGGCTTCTTACCACCCATGGCTTCAGCACCAAATGCGCCAAGACTTACGAACCTCGAAACCCTTCCTGCCTCATCGTCCCACACGAAGGGCTCCCGCTCCCAAAACTGTGGTGGCCGGCCACCCAACGCAGCAAAATGATATCTGGGTTTGACCTTCCTAATTACCTCATCCAGAGGTATGGCGCCCTCAGATGAGAACTCTGGAGAAGATAAAGGTGCTGAGGAGTGCTGTGTGATACATGCAGGCCAGTCGTTTGTGATGAGGATGTCGACAAGCTGTGAGGAAGAAGAGGCATTAAGGATGGAGGTAAGGGAGCTGTAGGTTTGGTTCTTGGATTGGGATTTTGAGGATGATTTAACAAGAGTGTTGGAGAGGAGGCGTTCGACGGTGTGGGTGGAGAAGAAGGGGGATGCGAACCCCTAGAATCTGATGCTTAGCGTTTACCTTGAGAAAATTCGCACAGGCACGCACAGGAGGGGCTTCAGCGGTGGTGTAGATTCCTGGGTTGTAGATGCCACCTAGACAAGCTATCCGAAGACCATGAGCGGTCGTCATAATCCCTGATTTATCTGGCAACTCGGTCAATCTCATTCCACAAAAAAGTGTGATGTAAGACAAAATTCACTCAGTAAAAATACGTCCTTGCATAGCTCTCCGCCAGTCTTGGCGTATTTTTCTATCACAGAATCAGGTAGGGGGTTCTCTCCTTGCATAATGTAACATTTCAAAGGGACTGGGAACGGAAGAGTTCAGTCAAAATATAGCACTTATGAAACATGATCCTGCCTTCAATGTCACCGTTCAAAAGTTGCTCGGTTTCATCTGTTCCATTCCCCAAAGCCCCCGGCTCTTTCAAGGGACCGAAGAAGTCGCCGATGCAGAGCACACAGTCAAATTTACCATGCTTCGCGTCGATGGCTTTAATTTTTACAAAAAGGTCGCGTATGGACCCCACGGCGGAGCCTACCGTGAGTCTGTAGAAGCGAGCTCTGTCATTGGTTTTATAGGTCGTTCATGGTGGCTAAAAGCCTACATTTTCACGGGCGAAGCACTTGACGCTGTTGGTGCAGTGGAGGACTCCATGAAACTCTCCGTAGCACGTGATCGTCCCTGCACTGGAAAAAAAAGGAATTACCACGTGGACCAAACTTTACTTCCGCCAGCCAGTCTTTCACCGGGACAGAACTTTGCCCGTTTCATGCTGAAACAAAAGTCAAAATCGCCCTCACTTGCTTGTTGAATCCTCTTTGCATTCCAAATTTATTATCGCTGCACGCGCGCGGTGTACTCCTTGTATTTTTTTCCCATCCAGTGCCCGAGGCGCTAGGTGATGATCCTCCTCCAAATTAAATTACTGTGCCTGTTTCGAAGGTGTTGTTGGTTTCTTCTATAAGTAATCTAGCACAGGGGTGACAGCGCAGATAAAAACAGCCGGGAACAAAGTCGTTGTGGATCACCGATAGGTCCTTTGCTCGACTGCGTGGCAGCTGCGCGCATAGCGCAAGGTTCGTGGTCAACTTTCATTTTTGCCCGACTGCATGTTATCTCGAGGAAAGCGGAGTTAAGTAAAACCATATAGCAGGAATTGGGACCATCGTCGGGGACGGTTTACTAATGGCAGGACAAGGCAAGACGCCGTTCCTGTGAACACGACAGTAAGTTAGGGATATATATTACTACCACGATGCGGACGCACGTCCCTATGATATCGATGGGAGTGTTCAGTTGTCTCATGATCTTGAAGTCCAAAATTCCTTCAAAGTGCGACCCCTTGTTTCCTGGTTAACACCTTTAATCCCTCAGAGAGACAAATCAGTGTCGTTACGCTCTACCATCTTCCACAAGGTACTTAGCGCAAGTCTCAGGCGTTGCTCACTATCTGCTCCCGAAATTCCGAGTCCGTCACTCCCCCTTCGACTCCGAGTCGTTGACCACTCAAAATAATTTATTCGACAAAGAACTCTAAAGATACGTCTGGTTTTTCTCGGACAACCTTGTGGCAGCTCGACCGCCACAAGGACCCATCCATCAGAGGGTAATGGGACTCAATGAGCTTGCGGTTGCGAGGCACATTTTAACAGCATGTAAGACCGGCAATGCCAGTTCTGCCACTCAGGTTCTTCACTATATTCATTTTTACTAATTATTTCGTGAGGTGTATGGTCTAGACCTGTCCCCGCGAGGTTTGTACGATTTAAATCTAGGACTTCGCAGGCACAGAACAGAAGAAGGTCCAAGCAATTCGGGTTGACTGTTGCATTTACGTTTTGAGAACAAGGACCCTGGGTAAACGCTGGCAAAACAAGGCCAACGGAACTTTAACGTGATTGTTGAACGAGCGCTTGCAAGAAGTGATGTTACCTATTCTACTCGGCACGTCGTTTTGGCATTGTTCCATACGGATGTAAATCTCACAGCTTCTTAACTTATGGCATATGCGCGGGTGCCGCAGTCTATATATTTTCTTGTCGTGCCTTTGCCAACCAGTCGTTCCTTACCACCTTGCGTACTTGGTACACTTGGCGTGCCTTTCACACCTGCGGCCTGTCGTCTCGTAGGAACGACCATCAACCTGGATTCCGTATTTAAAGCGTCAGTTCGTTGAAGTTGACTTTCTTCACCAACAGTAGTGTAGGGGGATCTCCACGTCTGGGTCAATTTCCTTCGTTCATTTTGTCCCTGGACTAGAAGCATGGTCTTGTTTTCAATCACCTGCATCTTTTCGTTACTGCTGCTCCCGTCACTATTGCATGCATCCCCTGTTTTGCGCGGGTTCTCGAGCTCGGGACTATCACTTCCGTCGCTAGACTCCAAAAGTTGGTTTTGTCATCTCGTCCACATGACACTGGCTCAAAAACTTTGCCTACAAGAAGGGTCGACCGCAATATCCGTGAATACCCCCCTTGGCGCCGCGCAGGGTGTAGTTGATGTCTCGGGTGTTAACAGGTTTGCTGCGAAGTATGCTTCCGCAGAACGCTGGTCCCCTTCCGCTGTGGTGACTGCATGGGCACTCCCGTACGTTAATCACATCACGCCTAATGTACTCCCGATCACATATACACTGCACTGACAGCAATGGTTCTACGAATGTCTCAGCGTTGCCGCTCATGTGCCCGCAGCCATATGTGGATAACTCCATGTTCACCGAGGATTGCCTATCGATGATTCTCTATGTTCCCACTACCTTACATGCCGGCAGCAGTGTACCCACTTTGATGTGGTATGTATAACGATCATTCTTCGGTGATGGTGACCGTCATATATTTTGGCAGGATTCATGGAGGTTCTTTTATGGTCGGATCCGCCACGAATCCTGGGCTAGATGGATCCGCGCTGGCACTCGCCACTGATTCGATCGTTGCAGTCATTCAGTACCGCCTGGGAGCTGTAAGTGCTTTCACTGGAAGCAATCCATATCAGCTCACACGGATCATTTAAGCTTGGCTTCGTTGCTCCCAACAATCAGACCAACCTTGGTCTGGAAGATGCTGTAAATGCACTCGAATTTTTGACGACTGTGCTTCCTAGCTTCGGCGGCGACCCGAGCAAGATCACCGTAGCCGGTCAAAGCAGTGGTGCGAATTTGATTCGTGCCCTACTTGCTGTGCCTTCTGCACAGTCGTTATTTCAATCTGCGATTTTGCAGTCTGACCCTATGGTAAGTGGTGTGTATGTCACTGGTAGGAACGCGAGACTCATTGCTATGTCAGGACTATGGCTTCCTATCATCATCTGATCAGGTCCAACTTCAGGAGTATTTCGTGTCAAATCTTGGCTGTACTGCAACCGATTCAACGTGCCTAAATGCTTTAACCGCAGATAACATCGTCAATGGTGCCGGTCTTTGGCAATTCAACAGCTCTGTTTACGTTGTTCCAGCTGCAACTCAATCGGAGCCAATGCGTGTTGTGAATGACGGCACCTTTATCACCTCGACCTTAGACTCAACTTCGCCATTCCCCCGGGTTTCCAAGCCCGTTTTGCTTTCCAATGTTCTTGACGAGGGAGGCTATACGATTTACGGCTCGTTTCCTGACCCCATTCCCGAAGCTGAATACGTTGCTATTGTCAACGCCTCGTTCGGCGAGACACGCTACGAGACCCTCATGGGCTCGCAAAGCTATGCCGTGGGGACTACTCAAAATGGTGACTACCGTCCTCAGCTCCAAGTGCTCGCCACAGATTCGGTTTGGCGATGTGCCACATGGACTTTCGCGCGAAACTGGGTTTCTAATGGTGGCACTGCATACGTCGGATTGTACACCGTCGGCGCTAGCTACCCCGGCAACTCCGCTGTCTCTTTCTGCACCGAGTCAGGCGTTGTTTGTCATCAAGATGATATCGAGATAGTGGTAAGCAAATACTTGCTATGTTCCATTCTTCACGACTCATGTTTCATTCTAGTTTGGCACTGCTCCTAACCCTGACACAGCTCAGTCAGCACTGATTACTGAGATGCAATCCCGTTACAAGTCATTCTTGTATAACGGGAACCCAAACCCCGATGATTCATCATATGCCGAATGGCAGGCTGCTGGCACGTCAGACGTCAATGCCATCATGCTCGGCAGCACCGGTGATGCTCCTATTGGCGCATGCACCCCATCTTTCTGGGGTCAAAGTGTCGCGTACGATTATCAAGTATTCGATATCTAGAACGCCTGTATGAAAATTCATGACCTGATGTCGTCTCCCGGATACTGGATTCATCTCATTATTTTCATCTTCACGCTTAATGCTCTTCATGGGTCTCCAGGTACATAATGAGTTTCGGGTTCTGTGATGTTTATTCTTCTTTATCGTCCAAATTGCTCTATATTTGCTTCACATATCATACTCTGTAGCCCTTACTTTCCTGTTCTCTCCGCTAAACGCCACTGTAGCCCAAATTACTTTCTTCTCTCAATATATCAATCACGTTGTTCTCGGTATCAGAAAATATGAATAATTGTATTGCAACTGACGGGCTCCGAGTAGATGGTAGTGAGGGTATGTCGATATGAAGTTCTTAAAGTTTGGGTATATGAACTTCGACCGGGCATTGATTGAACAAGTCGAAGTTGCGCCGCAAATTCATCTTAGAAAATGGCTACATGAGCAATTAGACCAACGCAAGCCCATCAGAAATATGAGGAATACGATGCCGTACCGCGCCTTTCCGTTCTATCCACCATGCGGTGTAGCCGACCCTTCGGACCACCTCTCAATTCATCGCCCTCGTAGACGAAAGCTTCATTTACTCCGTCGTTAATACGGAACAACTTTGGATTGATCACCATTCGCCCGAATGCAGCTCTAGATAACATCTGAACTGCATTTCTCTGGTTCTCGGTACTCGACGATCCAGTAAGGATGGGGCGAAGCGTTTCCAGAATGTAGTACTGCGGTGGGAAAAGGCCGATTTTCCCAGTTCTGAACTCTTCTATGGCCGATTCTGGATGCAAAAATCGCGTTTGGATGACTTCTTGACCCCCATCAGGAGTCGGAAGGTGTTCTTCTCTAGCGGAATACAGTCCACCCGACGTAGAATCCTTGAGGAACGCGACAAAGAACTCCGTACGGAATCGTCTGCTTAGACATCAGATACGGTTACAGGACAAGGAACGGGGTTCCTATTTACCTAGCTGATGACGGTGGTGTCACCCATGTAGTAAACGGCATCAGAGCGCCTACGTCGGCTCTTAGGTTGTTGCTTGTAAGAAACGTCGAGAATGTCGTTTGCCCTCCATGAACAGCTTCTCTAGCCTGAGTGAAGTCGATATCGGGTAATGTGCTCGGAGTATCCGACAAAGCAAGCAGCAATCCTGCCTCTTCAAAGGTTTCTCTGATAGCAGTCCATTCTAGGGACGTATCCTGCTTGGGATCAAAATTTCCGCCAGGAAAAACCTCCAATTCCAGATGCCTTTGAACAGCGACTATAACTTGAAAGAATGATTCTGCTTACGTGTTGGCCAGCGAATGACCTAGCCTGTGGGTTGCGCTGAACAAGTAGTATTTCGTTGTGACTGTTGACCAGAATGAGACTTGCTGAAAGACGAGGCTCTGTAGGCTTTGGACTTTCCCTGTCCGTCATCTCGATTGAGGAGTCAGAGGAGAGACTTGGAAGAGTGCCTGAGAAACTTCTCCGCGAGAAGTGATATGTCACTGTGTGTTCTGCTATGTATCCACACGTCAATAATCAATGTGAGTCGCAACAAACCGCAGTGATGAACTCACTCTAGCAGTTGATGTCGGACTGACTGGGCGATCTGTGTTTGGTCAGAAGTAGAGTGCAAGTCCTTACTAACATGAGTGTTTAATCACATTGACATGTAGTCTAATTTGGTTCCGGTACCCGGTACAGTGCTCAAGTTGGATCCGGTTGACCAGGACAAATACTTCCGTATTTTTAGACTGTACCTCAACCTACCAGACTTCATCCTTGGGCTGGCCTACCACCTGAGAGTGCCACGCGATATTTAACTCAAAAATCGTGTTCATATCAACTTAGGCAGTGCAAGTATGGCCGCCACCGCGCTAGAGGTACGCTTGGCCTAAGCTATTAGTATTGTCAGTGGCACTTACTCGAATGCACAACTTGAAGGATGAAATAATTCCTGAAACGAAGATTCCACTTACCTTCAAATGGTCAGGACGCGAGTATAAGGTAGATCTCCTTGGATCAGATAGGTAAGCTGCGGAACCGAATTGCTGCCAACCTAGGATGGTCATCCACAGTATTGACTCCGGCTATCCAGAGTGTACGACCTCAAGACTTCGCTGATGAGCTTGACGAAGGTTCCACCAGAGAGGCAGAAAATTCTAGGTCTAGTGAAAGGAAAACTACCCCCCAGATCAAGAGAGGAATGTCAGTGTTCACGATTTCCTGCACGGCTTTTTCTCTGAACCACATATGATCGTAGTGCAGATCTACGAATCACAGGGAAATCATTCACACTTGTAGGAACCCCTGAAGGCGACGAGATCAAAGACCCTTCAAGTGAGCCCGCGATCTCTCAAACCTTTGGTGCCTGTACTAACCTACAGTCAGAGTTGGAATTCCTTCCTGATGTTGTCAATGACCTTGATGTAGACTTCACTGACAACCCTGCTGCCGCCGCGGTATATAAAAATGACCAGCGGAACATTCGCAAAGTCAAAGAGGCAACCGAGAAACTTCAGATTAATATCATTCATCCTCTCCGAGATGGAAAGCGTTTGCTCGTGCTGGACATTGATTACAGTGAGTCAATCTTCTCGAATGTTTTCACTTCCTGAGAGTAAATCTCATGCAGCTATTTTGGACACCAAACCACTGACGTCTGGCTCATTGCCACCTGCGGAATGTGCGAGGCCTGGCCTCCATGAATTTCTAGAGGCCATATACCCTTACTACGACATCTGCATCTGGTGAGATTCCTTCACCTCATGAGTGTAACCTCTCATAGCCAATCATCAGGTCTCAAACTAGCTGGATATGGCTTGAGGCGAAGCTCGTAGAACTTGGCATGGTTGGATCTACCAGGAATTACCAGGTTTTATTTGTGCTTTCATGGTGTACAAGTTACGGCTGACATCAACTCCAGATTTCATTTGGTACGATCGTGACTATCCAACTTTAGCTCTCACGTAGCTGATTAAGATGCGCAGTCCTCGACAAAACTTGTATGTTCACTGTCTTTACAGAACGAAATGGTCAACCATATGCACACCATGTCAAGGCACTGCAAATTGTCTGGAATCACTTTCCCCAGTTGTCAGTACATTCTGATTTGGGCAGTCGGACATGCTTAACTTCCCTCTTCAGTTCAGCGAAGAACACCATTCACGTGGATGACCTGGTAAGAGGAAGGTATGACCTATCACTGTCGTCTCTAATTCCGTTGTAGAGTCGGAATTTTGCCCTGAATCCGAACGAAGGACTAAAAATCCATGCCTTCAAGAATGCTCATACAGAGCAGGCTCAAGCTGACCGAGAGCTTCATAAATTAGCCCGGTATATGGTACACATTGTTGCTATAGAAGATTTCCGGACGTTGCGCCACAAGGCATGTGTCTTGTGTTTGTTGCTCGACTGTACATTGCTCACTAGTCAGCATTTTCAAAGGCCTGGAAGCATGAGCTAAGGCGACTCACGCAATCATAACGAAGACACACACCATCTTACGGTGCTCATTCATACCAAGGCACTTCAATACATGAGTTAGGCCTACATAGTAGGGACAGGTTATATTGTATTGTAACTGTTGTTGTACGTGATTTCTGTAACATAGCTATTTTGTAACAAAACCGTGCTATTTATGTGCAACTTTTCGTAGTAGTATTGACCTGCTTGTACGTTGCGTAATACCAAATTCTTCACCACTGGCAGCTTCGGAGGTCATTCCTATCGATTTTAGTGAACTAGTACCCTTCTGCACTGCAGTTCAGGAAATCATTTGCGGTGGCTTGGTACGTTATTCCAGTACTATGCGTGTCGTATCATTCATGTGCACTTATTCTAGGCTCAGCTTTACTCTCAGTACATGCTTGGAGTTGATCTACGATGGGATCGACTTCGCTGGGCATATGAGTTCGACGTCGCGATGCGAACTAAGAGCGCATCTGACTTGAGCGGCCTCAGCCGAGAGGAAAAGAAAAAGGCCCAGTGCTCCTTTGAACCAGGCGAAATCGCTCACGTCGATGGTGGCGGTGGAATCACGGCTGCCTTCTACTGAATTCTTGGATCGTCACAAATTTCCACTGACGTCCATGGAACAGCGATACATACGCGTTCTTATCGACAGCGCCCCCGATATTAGCAAATATTGCTTGGTCCTCCACCGTCTCAGTGCGGACACATTCATTGTGTGCTACATCGCGTCTTTCGGTGGTGTTGTATACGGCACCGGCCTGTCTCCGATAACTCGGTTTTTTTTCCATGGCTATGGGCGATACACCTTCGTGGCCTCCCAATTCAAGGCCTCTACATGTGATCCCAAGATGGATTGGATCTGGTTTCATATTTGGTGTTCCTGTGGTCAGGAAAAATCTGTCGAAGACGACTCATTCCCGTGCTTCTCTTGCCCACGGGGAGCTGCATAGGGTAAGATCTTATATTGCAGAAAGGCTCAAGGCATGTTTAGTTACCTGTTCAGTTTGACAGTGTGGAATGAAGCATTTTCACAGCTCTTCCACCAAGTCCATGAAGAATTGCGCGCAAAAGACCGTGATTGGCATAAAGTTCGCAAGAAAACTGGTCTGAAAATTGACAGCTATGTGAATCCCGTGATGCTGGACGTGGATCACCCAAGCGGGGTAGGCTCCGACCCTGCGATACTCAGTGAAGTGCCCGCCCCTGGCGACTTTACGGAATGTTCAAACTTCAAAAGCATGCTTCGGATGAAGCGTGACATTAAAGGCAAGGTGAAATTAAACTTGGTCGGCATGAAGGATTGTGACATGAGTTTGTTCTTAGTCCCCTTTCTCCGCAAACATCGTTTGCTGGAAGTTCCTCCGAGCAATCACTTAGCCTGGTTGCTACGATGGCAACGTCAAGATATTATGTCTTCACGACTCTGCCTCAAGCGTCTCACACCCAGGCTCAACTCATCTTATCCTACGCTCCGATACCTTCCACTCCCCTTTCGGTATGTAAGACCTTGAGGGCCGCAGATTACTGCGCACTGCAACAAACAGACTCCCCGGGGAAGTCCAGTCGGTCCAACTCAATTGAATTCATTTAATGTTAGGACTTTCATGGTTCTACATACATAGCAGATATTGAAGGAATATGGTAATCTTAGAAGCCTCGAGGTTGTTGTCCAGTGCTGCATTCAACTACACTGGGTACAAGTATCACTCAGGATGTGCGGGAGCATACGGCGTCTGAGTATTGCATAATGGAGGTTGCGACAAACACATCTACTGACATCAACATATTTCTGAGGTTGTTACACTGTTCACGACAAGATCGAACGTCATCACCGAGGATGGCGGTACTAAAGACATCCCTAAGCATGACTCTGTATAAACAGCTTTATCACATACCAGGTTTCGTAGAAACAAAAGCAGGAAGAGAAGTATTCGAGGGTCGCAATATACCACTGGCGGCGTCGAACTGCCAGTGGTTATTGTTCGCAACTTTGGACAAGGACGGCAGTTCAGCAAGAATAGATACTATGGAGTCAGCTATCGAGCTCACTTGTAAGTACCTCCTTTCGTCCCAGCCCAAGTAATTTCTGAGCTTCCGTAATATGGAGGCACGAGAACGCTCGCGAAACAAGCGTAAAAGTGTTCTTGCGGAATGCATCTGACGACAAAGTCAATACGATGTAACTCTGATTAAATCTACACATACCAAGGAAGTCATTAACCAGCAGACCAACGGTTTTTCCTAGCCTTGGATCAGGGAAGTCACTTTGCTGCGACATCTGAAACAGCTCTTGGGCCCGAGCGTAAGTATTTTCATACTTTCGTTCCAAAGCGGATGCTAAGAGTGCCGCGAGTGCATGCGACAGGGGATGCGAGGACACATTTTCAGGTAACCGTGCAAAGGCGTGTTGAGCAGGTGTTCTGGAATAAGTGTTACGAAGGAGTACAATCAGGGGAGGGGTCTTACATACAAGTCATCCAGCACCATATAAGCCAGGACCAAGGGAGCAAACAAAAGCAGTCTGGAGTAACTTTTGTCGTTTGAACCCTGTTGCAGGACATTATCGAGATGCCGAGATGTGTATGAGGGGTATCTCAAGAAGTGCTCACGTTCAAGTCGTGATGTTCAGCGATATTAGTGATACCAATAAAGTTCTGTTGCTCAGCCAGATCAGATAGCTGGGGGAAAACTTGCTGGTATATGTCTTGGACAGCGGGGAGTTGTGAGGGGGGTTCCGCGCTGCCTGAGCTACTAGTATTAGATGATGCGGTGGGATCCGAGGATTCCGCCGAGGAAGCAATGATGGAATCTCGAGCTTCATCTCGAAGCTCTGTTGCGCTCATGGGTGGAGGTGTAGGCGGTGCTTGAGCCATATATCGAGTATTTAGCTTTAACTTGGAGATTGATGCTCATTAACATTGCTGAATCCTGATGCTGAACTGATCTGCTTCTTACTAAGCAATCTATAGGCTGTGAAACCCCACAAAGTTCAAACTACATAGTCTCCCGTAGGCAGATCTTGGGCAGACCCAATAGAAGGAAGACGGCCGTTCCTTCTAGCGTGCTAAAACATGGATGTGCTCGACGAGGAGGTCGAATCGATCTTATATATTGCAAGAGAAATATCAGGTAGGTCCAAGCTGCGCGAACCTCACCAGCAAGCCTTTCATTAGCATACGTAGTTTACAAGATCCCCCATCTGAAGGCCAACGAGGGACATCGCGCTAACGACTGGGGGGACCTTGCGCAACCGTTATGGAAAGGCAGGCTGCGCATCGTCGAGAAGTCGAATGGTGCGGCACTGATGTTTGAAGATGCTCAGACAGGTAAGCATTGCCAGCCTCTCGCCGCGTACGAGTGGATAATTGACGCAACTAAAGGGGAATGTACGTTTCAACATGAACAATCAACGTTGTAGCATTCTGATGTAGAGTTAGTATTTGCCCGCGCACCTTATGACGCTCTTAAACCATGCGTGGAATCTGTCCTTGATTCATCCCGATATTTTGTAATCAGAGTGGAGGATAGTGGCAAGAAGGCTTATATTGGAATGGGATTTGCTGAACGAACAGATAGCTTTGATTTCAGTGAGTACTCTCCTCTCAGTCTGCTTGCTATATTAACGTATGCTTTCAGACGTTGCATTGCAAGATTACACTAAGTGCGTCTAACAAACGCTGAAATTTGTCTCACTCCCTCACAGTACGCCCATATTTAGGCGTTTGAAAGCTGCTTTGAGCCCTCCTAGCCTTGATGAAGAAACCCCTTCTCCTCATATTCCGGTTGGTCCAAAGAAGGACTACTCTTTGAAGGAAGGCCAGACGTTTTCCATATCCATTCCGGGAAAAGCTAGTAAATTATTAACACCTGGGACGAGTTTGCTAGGTTCCTCCACCCAAAGCACTGGTAGCTCAGGGGGAGGGGTACCGCTATTACCGCCTCCACCTTCATCAGGAAGGAAGAAATGATCATGTTAAACACCGAAGCAGTATTTTAGCATTTTTTGTATCCACTGTTTTCCACGAAGACTGAATTCAAGAAGATACCGAAATCAAACACGCTCAAAATCATTTGGGCGGAAGCCTCTGAATTTCATTAGCCTTGTACTCATCTGCGACATGTGTGCCTGCAATGACACGCGGGTTCCGGAGGTTAATCTGTTCTTTTGCTTTCCTTCTACTCCCTTTCGGGTCTCGTCGTTTATGGATCATGCCACGCGGTCCAAGGTTCTGGCTATGAACTCGAGTAATACTCAAGAGGATATAGACCGGAGACAACCATCTTGTGAGGCACCGGTTACGTGATTTCTTAAAGATAGTCTATTCAAGTGGAAGCTCATCCGCATCTCATCGAAGTGAAAGTGTTGTCTCTAGTAGGTTTGTCGTCATTCCCATCGGGACCATCGTGAATGCCACTAGCAGGGCCAGCGTGGTGGAGATGATCCATGCCAGCCAGTCGATAGGCAATGCAAACGAGCGCCCGGTGTGAAATGGCCATCTTCCGCGGATGCACACTTCAAAGATAAGAATTGAGCCACGAGATGGCAAACACACAGATCGCTTGTGAAGACGTGGGATTTTGGTATGAATTCCAATGGAACTTTAAAGGATGACCGGTACGAAGTACTTACTAGGCTGCGAGAACCGGTAAACTAGTAGAATATGAGCGGCGGTCACTATGCAGTCACCGTTCGAGAAGTGTAGCATCTGACCGTGTCAAGCCGCGTCACCACGACATTCCTTAGGTCGCCGGTCGATCCCACTGGTGAACGTGGATATTGTATAGATAGAATATGGAGGTAGCCTAATTATTAGATTGCCTCGTAGTAGGCCGAATCGTTAGGTAAACGTCAGTCCGCAACGGTGGTTCCATCTGATGGTGTCGTCTTGTAAGTTTCGATATAAGCGACTTGGTGGCTTGTTGTCAAGTTGTAGGTGGTGTTAAAACTTTAACTCACCGAGATCAGGCTCCGTAGGACCGTATTATGTAACAAATTTTTCGCACGTGACCTCATTAGACTTGCTGACAATTCGATTCGTGTGCTCGCTTGCTCTTCGCCATTTCACAACAGTGAGCATTACGACTAGCTTTTTGTTCTCCTTCCTATTCAGGTTCCCCTATCTGATAAACGAGAGAAGTCTGCACTCAGGATGTTGTCCAGAGTTACCCCCAGTATGATAGGAAAAGCCACCTTCAGAAACTCCATAGGACGGGCTGCTGTCTGCGCTCGCAGAGGTTTCGTGCAACCCTCTGGTGCAGACCGTGCACACATCGTGGAAGATATGCACTTCAAGCTCGAGGTTCCAAAACGTGAGAACAGCGTGACACAAAAGACTCGCCCCATATACCTCGATATGCAGGTATGGTCATGTAATTAGATACTATTCAGTGTATTGACAAGGTTCAGGCCACCACTCCCGTAGATCCACGTGTTCTCGATGCTATGATGCCGTACCTAACGGACCAGTACGGTAATCCACATAGTCGAACCCATGCATATGGATGGGAAGCAGAGCAGGCTATTGAGGTTGCACGCAAGGTAAGTCTGCCGGGTTTACGAGCGTAAAAACGTCCCTGTAATATCTTTCAGCATGTAGCGGACCTAATTGGAGCTGAGGCCAAGGACATCGTCTTCACTTCTGGTGCTACCGAGACCAATAACATGGCCATTAAGGGTGTCGCACGGTTTAACAAAGACAAGAAGAGACACGTTATCACGCTACAAACGGTGGGTTAAGTTGCTTGGTTTCATAGCCAACGCTGATCACCCCTGCAGGAGCACAAGTGCGTCTTGGATTCTTGCAGGAAACTCAGCGAAGAAGACTTTGAAATAACCTATCTTCCTGTCGAGTCTAATGGCGTAGTCAACCTTAAGACTCTCGAGGCCGCTATCCGCCCTGACACCTCCCTTATTTCTATCATGACGGTAAACAACGAGACCGGTGTCATCCAACCAATGAAGGAAATTGGTGCTATTGTGCGACAGCATCGTGGCGTATACCTTCACACCGACGCGGCGCAGGCCGTGGGAAAAATACCTATCGATGTTAATGAAGCCAACATTGACCTGATGAGCATCTCAGGGCATAAAATCTATGGCCCAAAGGGAGTAGGAGCTGCTTATGTCCGCCGGCGACCGCGCGTGCGATTGGAACCGATCTTGAGTGGAGGAGGACAAGAGCGTGGGCTGCGTAGCGGTACCCTACCCACGGCGCTGGCGGTTGGCATGGGCGAAGCAGCACGCATAGCCAAGCTGGAGATGGCGGTGAGTTCTTGTTCTTAGCATAACTCATGATGAAATCCGCACATGCGTTTGAATTTGCACTTGAATCAAGTAGCGTGATGCTCTAGGCTTACGGCCGTATGAGCCGCTAGCTTGGTAACGATTCCTGTGCAGGGGTACTGATCAACTTCCTGTCTATCATTCCGCCTCTCGCTCCGAATCTGATATATATTCCAGAGGGATCACGCACGGATCAAGCAGCTGTCGGATAGGTTAATCCAGGGCATCGATTCCCAAGTAGAGCATGTAGTTCGAAATGGCGATGTCAACGGATACCCGGGGTGTGTGAACCTTTCGTTCTCGTATGTTGAAGGCGAAAGCCTTCTCATGGCCTTGAAGGTAAGCATAATGGTACGTCTCTGATGAGAGAAAATCTTATGGTTTTCGTTGCAGGATATCGCTTTGTCTTCTGGTAGTGCATGTACATCTGCGTCTCTGGAGCCTTCATACGTTCTTCGTGCTCTTGGTATGTTTTCTTTGTGCATGGACTTGTTGCAGTACCTGATAGTCACCTAGGAGCGGCAGAGGACATGGCACATTCGTCCTTACGCTTTGGCATCGGTCGTTTCACCACAGAAGCGGAAATTGATTTCGTCGTAAATCACATCGTCCGCGTTGTCACCAGACTTCGTGATATGAGGTACGGTCCCATCCGCATTTCAGTGCTTCTGCTGTGCTCACCGCCTCCTTCAGCCCGTTGTGGGAGATGGTGCAGGAAGGCATCGACATCAACTCGATTAACTGGTCTCAACATTAATATTAATTTATACTTCTGGACTTGTGATCATGGCGCAATGTTTCGCTTTACCTGTCGTTGACGATTGTTTTGCCTATAACTTTATGTACAACGATATAAAGGACTTTCGAAGGATATTATTGGCGGTATTCGAGGTCTTGTCCACGGTGCCCAAATTCTTGGCAAACAACCGAATATAATGGCGAGTTGAATCTCCGCCATAACTGCACTCTTTCACTTTCAACCACCATGGCAAGACGCTTATACCTTGGCAGTATGAAAATTTCTTCTCGTCAGATCCTAGCCTAAAAAAATCTAATCATTGTTTGCATTGTACAGGACTTCCCCCTGATGCCCGTTCTGATGACGTGGCTAAGTTTTTCGATGGCTATGGCCGTATCATTGACTGTCGTGTCATGACCGGTTCGTCGGACAAGAGGCGCGCGTCAAATGCGGAACTCACTGGACCTCCATCAGGATTCGGTTTTGTCGAGTTTGAAAGCTCAAAGGTGGATTTACCTGCCATGTATCACAGTGATCAGTATACCAAACTTTTATAGGATGCGGAGGACGCTGTCCATCATTTCAACGGCAAGCCTTTCATGGGAGCCAAGTTCGTATCGCAATCACCCGTAATAACTTGTGCATTGATTCTTATTTCTTGTTTTAGCATTGTCGTTGAATTCGCCAAAGAAAGTCGCCCCCGTCGGGATGTCTATGAGAGCGACCGTGGCTACGGGTATATTTCTTGACTCATCAAGTTGATATTATACTTTTCCCTAACAAGTTACATTTTAGGGCTGCTCGCTCCCGCAGGCCTCCAGGTATTCGCCTGATCGTTTCCGGTATTTCTCGCGACACTAGTTGGCAGGTATGATGTTCTTTCGGTTCACACCATTGGCAGTGTTCGCGGAGCATATGGCGCTTCCGTTTTCTGGAGATCGATCCGGCTGGTCATTTTGCAACTTTGAAGGACCGCCAGTATTTCGTTGATGTTCACTTTCGCCGGCTTTGCCCAAACCCAACAACGAACCTGACCATACTCCTCACCCAGGACTTGAAAGATTTCGGACGCGAGGCTGGTAGCGTGTCGTTTGCTGACATTGATCGCGACAACCCTGGTCAGGGGTGCGTGACTAAATTTAATGCACTGTCCCGAGCTGACTGTTTCTCAGTATCCTCGAATATCTATCGCGAGATGATGCAGACCGTGCCGTCAAGGATTTGGACGGTAAAGACCTGCGCGGTAGACCTGTCCGCGTTGCCTACGACGATGCCGTAAGTTTGATAGCTTGGTTATTTTGCTCTGGGCCTTACCTGTTCTCTCAGCGCGGTGGACCTGATAACTACAGGCGCGAGGATCGTCGTGAGGAACGCCCTCGAAGTGACGACCGATACAAAGAAGAACGTTACTACAGGGATGATCGGTCATCCTATCGCCGCGAACGATCCCGTTCGCCTCCTCGTCGCAATGATTACGACGATCGTCGCCCCAGGTCTCCACCTCCGCCGCGGAGGGATCCTGATGAGAGAAAACCTGCAGGGTACGATGATTACCGACGGGGAGGTTATGATGATGACCGCAGAGCCCCTGATTATTATTATGACCGCCGCAGGGACGATGACCGGCGACGTGAAGACCGCGGTGGCAGACGCGACGAGAAAGACGATCGGTACGACGACAGGGCAATGAGGCACGCAAATGGCGATGGTGGATGGGCGCGTTAAAGGATATAGGCAGCCGCTGGATATTTTGCACTTGGCCGAGGGGCATCCCATCCGTTATTGGTTTCCCCCCTCTTGTGATGGTCATGGTCTCCTCGAGCTTGGCGTTGGCGTATGTTGGGTCGAACCGGAGAACTGTTTTTTTGTCTTACAGAGGTCATTTCCCTCTTGGTCCGTATGTCGAACGATTAGGTGAAGGCGTCCCGAATTTGGCGTGGAACCTGTACTTTCAAGCATCAGCTGAAGGTTGGCTGAAGGAGATCCAAGGCAGCGCGTGAGAATTAACGTTGGCGTCATCTTCCGTATCGGTGGGGTTAAACCACGGAAACTTGGAAACGGTGACGGAATTAAAGAAGACTTCACGTGCCTACTACCCTCGGTACCTAGGACCGTCCATCCTGAATTTGCCCACCAATGTGATCGTGTCCTTCATTTGTGACACTTCAGTGCACGATGATTGATGTTTTACACATGGCAGAGTTTCGTCTTCAGGTGTGTCACTTTACTCACATCTATTCCTAGGGACATCTATTAGTATGCATGTACAAATATAAGTGATGCAGGTGTAATCAAGGTTCAGTTTGCTGTGATAAGTGTACAACAATATGTGAATTACTCTCTATTCCCCACCATCCTAATTCTTGATCATCGTTTTCAAGAAGAGCTAGTGTGTCGTCACCCATCCTCAACCATACACAAATACTATCCCGGTTCCTTGGATTTTTGCCTGCTCCCAGGGCTTTCATCAGTCTGAGCCGGAAAAGCCCCAACTTCATCGTAGAAAGCACGCGCAGCGATGTAGATGCGATGAGACGCCCTTCCATTTCCGGGGTAAAGAGGCCTCCAGGAGGCTCAGAGCAGTGGTGAACTTTTACCTCTGTGGGTATAGTTCAAAAGGCGGTGACGCGATCATCCAACAAGGACCTACCGATCAAATATCGACTGAGTCTACCGTCGCGATCAGCTATTGACTCAGCAGGTCTACCGTGCTCTGTGGCACATAGCAAAAGGCTTGGTAAATATAGCAATGACTCGGTGGAGCCAAGACACTGACTCATGCACAGCACCTTCCATTGTGGGTGTTCCTTCATTTTGGCTTCGTCATGCCCAAGCACGGTCTTGGCAACGAAAGAAAGATAATACAATTCACTGTCTGATCGTTCCTTTGTTGAGATCTTGATGGTAAAGGAAATTAAACTCTAGGCACCGCAGCTTCGATCCTGTGCTTACCGCAGTTGCGTCAAGGACCCGCAAAGACGGAATCTTTGCTATGATCTGCTGCCTGGCAGAACGAGAGAGATCATTTACTGCGAGCAATGAGTATGTTTCCTCGAAGAAGACGATAATCTTGTGCTAACCCTCGGACAGTGGATTTTTGGCGAGGCTCAGCGTTTCGAGATGGGGACACCACTCATATAATTGGTCAATATCGCGCTGATTATGGAGTTTATTACTGGAAAGAGAGAGGACTTTGAGACCTTGTAAATGTGATGGACAAGATCCCCGAGGAGGAATCCTTGCAATGCCGTTAGATGAAAGTACGAGTCGTTGTAATCTGCGGTACCATATTAACTTATTGGAAAACCCCGCAGATATTGAACATACGAGGCACACGGCTTCAATGCTTCGTTGATATATTGCCAATCTTCTAGCTTGTTGCTATCAAAATTGAGGATCTCGATACGGTCCAACACTGTAGAGATCTTCGCATGTGATAGGGAAGTCAGCCCATTGTATCCGAGTTCTGCTATGCGAAGTTGAGGCATGAGCATCGCTATGCTCGTAAATTCTTCCCATGAAGTCCAGGTGCCGTTCAGCTGGAGCTCTGAGAGTCGCAGCCAAGCCGATGCAGGCAAGTGAGATGAGGGCGGCGTCAGCCGGTTGCGACTATTTGTAGCGTCAGTATATCAAAAGAGCAAAGGACGAGGCTTACTTGAGCGCTAGCCGCTCGAGTTGAGGCAGTTCAGTGGTTATCATTGCCACCACATCCCAACTAGACAAAAGTGTCGCAGAAAGATCCAAGCCACGGATGCCTTGATCGCATCAATGGCATGGTATTTGCAGAAATACGCACTGGCTTACTAGGGCATGTTGACAGGATTTCCCCTGGATTGTTCCCGGTAGAAACCATCTCATTGTCAAGGCTCACTTCGCGCAGTCGCTCCAGATTTGAAAATTTGCCTCGGATCTTGTCCAAGTCTACAGCTTCAACCTCTATGACACCATTTGAAGAGCCCAGAACAATCTTCTCTTGTGACGCAGTCCCATGCGCAGCTTCTACATACTTATTTTTCAATGCTTGCAAAAATGTATACCCGTAGCAAATAGAGGAAGATGGGCGAATGAAGGATCCACTGTGAGGAACTCTTGTGATCGCCGAGCGGTAAGTATCATTGTGAAACGGTATTTCCTCGATCTTACCGGCAGTTAAAGTATCGTTTCCCATCCTTTATACCATCATGTTTGCCGCGAGCTGAGTCGTCCCATTCGACACCAAACCAAAGACCGGTGGTGCCGTCAAGTGGGCCAAAGTACCTGACAGTGCCGAAATGACCTGATGGCAGGTATATTCTTGACCCTGTCGCAGGGAGCACATGTTGCATCGGTCAAAGTGGTCCGGTGGTGGAATGTTCATGTACTACTACTATAGCAGTTCTTAAGAGGCTGTGTCAATCTCACGTAAGCATCGCCCTTCAATTTGGTTGTGTCTTCGGCTACACGGTACTCCGAAGATCCCAGAAAAGTTACAGGTCGCAGGCTTTCCAAGGTTGTTCCAAGGGCTTCCTTCAGTCGAACGCCTGGATCTTAGTATGCTGGCTACTGTTCTCACAAGAATGTCGCGTAACGGTGTATCAGCAGCTCTTGCCAGGACGAGTGCAGTTGCTGCTCACATGTCTACCAGCGCTCAGGCAACACCACTAGAGCAAGTAAGTTCTTTGTATGTGTTATTCTTACCAATCCCTTGAGAATCGCCCTTGCATACAGCCCGTGCTCTTTGAGTCGAATGGCGCAACGCGCACTTATGTCTTGAACCGAGCAAGCAAACTGAACGCTCTCAATGGTGACATGCTCAAGTTAATGAGACCTCAACTGGAGGTGAGAGTGCCTGAATATGAAATTGCAGGCTCTTACAAAGATTATTCGTACTCTAGCAATGGTCAAGGTCCGACCTATGCAAGATTATCGTCGGGACGGGTATCGGCCGTGCATTTTGTGCAGGCGGTGACGTTGCAAGTGCGTTTCAATGTTCAAATCCATGTGGACACTTGCTGACAACCTCGCACAGCTGTACTACAGCATTCACTGCATGATGATACTCGTTCAAAGGCTATAGAATTCTTCAAAGACGAGTGAGTCATTGAATCATGCTCCGAACCGCTTGAATAACTTATCCTATAGATTTGAAATGGACTATATCTTGTCTGCATTACCGAAGCCATACGTAACCATCTTGGACGGTATCACAAGTTGGTGTTTTCGTCTTGCACAGCATGCATAGCACTGACATCAGCAGTGGGCGGAGGAGTCGGACTTGCCATTAGCGCCCCTTTTCGTGTTGCGACGGAGAAGTCAATATTTGCTATGCCAGAAACCAAGATAGGTTACTGCCCCGATGTTGGAGCAAGCTTCTTCTTGTCCAGGATCGACGGTGAAATTGGCACATATCTCGCCCTCACCTCAGAGACTCTTGCTGGCAGGGAAGTCTTGTGAGTGGGGAATATCTTTGCCTGATAGGGCCGCGGGCTTATGATTTTTGGTAGTGAACTAGGATTTGCTACCCACTTCGTATCATCAAGAACAGTGCCCAACCTACTGGCTCGTTTATCTGATTTGGAGGATCCTACTTTTGCTATGATTGATAGGACCATCGAGGAACATCACGCAAAACGCCTTTCAGATGAACCGGTTGGAAAATTGACGGGTCGTACGCGCCAGGCTCTTGATATGGCATTCCGACACGATACAGTCGAGGAAATTGTGGAAGATCTCACCAAGTTGGCCTCGACTTCTGATGACTCAGTCGCCAAGTGGGCCTCGGAAACACTGGAGATTCTATATATGCGGAGTCCGACTAGCCTCAAAGTAGCACTGGAAGCGATCCGACGCGGGAAGAACATGACGCTCCTCGAGGCCCTTCAAATGGAAATGGGCATTGCCACAGCTTACTGTGTAAGTTTGAGAATTGGTGATCATGCTTTGTAACCTGTTTAACTTGAAAACGCAGAGCGGTGCAAGTACAGATTTCACTGCAGGAATCACCGCGGTCCTGGTTGAGAAAACAAAAGGTCGCCCTGTTTGGTCTCCTGATCAGCTCAATAACGTCTCAGATGCGATAGTGAGGCGATTTTATGAGAGAGATTCTATTTATCTCAGCGCCATGCCTACTTTGACACCGCCGGACTTCCTTTCGAATGGCAAGCAAAATCCGATGAAATTTGCTCTGCCAAGTGAAGACGCCATCTTACAAATAGTCAAGTCCAAGGCCAGACAAGATCCTATCTCCCTTTCTGATCTACTGGCACATTTTGATAGTCTTCACTCGGGCAAGCAAGGTGTCGCAGAGAAAGTGGTGGAGGTAGTGAAACGGAGTTGTGATGTCATTGGTAATCAAGGTTCGGAGATGGTCAATTGCAAAGAGCAATTGTAGTTTACTTCCGTAGTTGCGGCACAGTATACCGTCCTCGATATCACAATTTGCTTATCTTGCTGTACGCGTGCAGTTGCCACCACGTCATCCGGCAGCCCGGAACTGCAGCTAATTCTTGGCGATGACTGTTTGAACCTTGTCCTTCATCCCTAAGGAGAAAAGTGTGCGGTCAATATTGATGTTTGACGTTGCGCGACGCGCAGCTTTTCATTATGGTGCACGGCCACTAGTACACTAACTCGAACCCAAGTTGCCTAAAATTGTGATGAAACTTTGAGATCAAACCACCGATATATATTAGATAAGATTGGACTGTCATACGTGTCTGCCGCGGATCAATATCACACGATATGATAGCTGCGAGACTCAACGGCCTGTTAAGTAGGACAGATAAGTCGAGACAAAATATCTCAACATTATTTTTTGCCTTTCTCGAAATTCTATTCGTTCCTGTGCATAATTGGTATTACGTGATATGACTCGAAAGGCGCCTCCGCTGGGACATCCACAGCGATTCGAACAACTTTTGAGCAATGATGCCAGCGTTCACACAGCAAGTTATCACACCATCTCTCACTTGAGCTGAATGATAAGGTACTCTGATATATGGCTAAGTTCTGCCGGAAATTATTCACACTCTCCACAGCAATAAAGAGTACTCGGACATAATCATGCGGATACAGGTACTTTGGAAGTCGTCAATTCGCAAGATAGGACGCGGAGTTCTTGCCCCAAAATCCCGGCGACATGGTTACTGGGTCGCTACAGTTCGCTACATGACTCGAGTTGAAAACGAACATTGCTAGATCTCACCATCACAGTGCCTCGAATCTTAGATCTAGGCTGTGAAGATCAGCATTGGAAACGAAACATCTCGCCAGCGCTGAATGCGTGCCAACAGGTAATAGCCTTCCGTGTAAAGCATGTGTCGCCCTTTTAGGAGCTATGCACTGAAAGGGGAAATGTATAGGATCGTAGCAAGATGGTGACACTCATGGGACCAATGTCAAAGGGTTCCTGAGTAAGATCCTACTAATTAGCCAAACTCGACAACGAATTACAAGGAGTTCACAGGACTGAGTGTGGCACCGAGAATGATCGGGGTTTCGTGCCAACACCCCGCAAGTTTCGGTCAACTCCTGCCTTGCATGAAGTTCCGTTAGTTCTCACAGAGGCATACGCGCCCAGTAATGCCGTTTGGGCACTATCGGCGCTGCCGATGCACACACATCAGTGCAAGCACTGTGACTAGGTAACCTTGAATCTAGATGATATGATCTAATCGAGGACACGCATTAGTAGTTCATGTATAAAAGGTGCCCGGGTCCTCTGTTTCTCGAATCACAATAAAGTCCTTGCCTGCGAGTCATTCTCTGTCCATTTCACTCGCAATGTATCCAATCGATCTACTATCCCCATCCCATCTGTTCAGCAATGTCCTCTCGGTGCTCAACTCTGTCCAGCTTCTTAGCAGGAAAGAGGCACCAGGTGCACAACCAACCCCTGCAGACTTCGAAGTTAATCTTCAAACGAACACAGGGTTTCTCCCTGAGAAACCCATCCCACGGCTTCCCGCAGCTTACAGCGCATGGGAGAATGCGCTTACACGGGCTCAGGAAGTGCTCGTACTTGGGGAAAACCTAACAGAGCAAGACACCGACAGCCGAGCTGATGGTGAACTTTGGAGATCACAAGTGCGGGGGGTAAGTGAATTTGATATGCGAGGGTGGAATCACGACTTACATTCAAAATAGCTCCCCGTGATCAGCATCAATGATCTAAAAACAGACACACAATTGTTGCGTCGCGCTCACAAAGTGCTCGCCTTTCTTGTTCATTTCTATGTCCATTCCACACCACCGGACCAGACGGCCGGTTCGGTACTTATCCCCCGATCTCTCGCAACTCCGTTGCTTGAAGTATCAAACATCTTGCGAATGGCTCCGGTACTTACATTCGCCGACACTGTCCTATGGAACTGGGATCTCGTAAACCCAGAACTTCCTGTTACGATAGAAAACATGCGTTTCGGCGTTGAGCTCTTCTCAGGCACTGAGGATGAGCGGAATTTTTGGTTCGGTAACGCAAAAGTTGAGATGTTGGGTGTGGAGATGCTCCACCTTTTCAACGAGTACCACAGTCTCCCCAATGTTTCCGACTTCGCATCCGTCTGCAAAATCAATCGGCTCTTGACCCGCCTCGTGACAATTGTCGACCGGGTCGAAGAAACCTTGACAGCCATGCGAGATCTTGTAGACCCCTCCACATTCTACTGGCAAGTGCGGCCATGGTTCAATGGAAGTGCTAGTGGATCATCTAGCCCAACATGGGTTTTTGAAGATGGTCCTGACGCTTCCACACTCGACCTCAGCGGACCATCGGCTGGCCAAAGTAGCGTCATGCACGCACTTGACATCTTCCTAGATGTCGACTTCAAACTCCAGCAGCGTCGGTATCCTGCCCCCTCGGAAGCAAATAAGCGATCAGATCTCGGTTTTATGGAGAGAATGCGACGGTATATGCCCGGGGCACACAGAGATTATCTCTCCCATCTTGCGAACACCACTCGTCCCCTCCGGGAACTCGCGAAAAGCACACCTGCTGTGAAGGAGTCATATAATGCAGCTGTGTCGGCAGTCAGAAAGTTCCGGGACTCGCACATACGCATCGCATGCTTATATGTCGTCTCTATGTCGCGATCAACGGCGATACCGGTCGGATGCCCCGTATTTGCGATGATGCAGAGGATGGAGCGACAACGGAATCAAACAGGGCACTCGACTGGCACAGGCGGTAACGAGTTGTCGCTGTTGCTGAAGTCCAACCGTGATGCTACCGCACGGGCTGCTATAAAGATATGAAAGAGGTATTGGTCTGACATGGACGGAAGGCACTTACTTTATCATAATAACCACCACTATATTTCAACCGCAACCATATTATCCGCAACGAGCAGCGGGCAGGTATTTATTAACCGAGATACGTCATTTTGTGTAGCCCTAGTAGACGCGCCTTGAGCATGATACATTCACATTGTAATACTTTACCCAGATTCACATATTTATCATACCGATACAAATAACAGAAAGCAGTCACTGTCTGCCAATGACATACTGTAGTATTTTTCTTGACAAGCAATTTTTTCGACCAAGAAAAGGAATCAGAATGTGGGGTTGATGTTTCGCCAAGACCGATTCCAAAGCATATGCATACTTGGAAAGCCGGATACCTATTACCCGTGCAGCGTGTGTCCGAAATAAGTAGGCACCACCAGAGACCACCAGGTACCACCGGAGTCGTATATCGGTTCGCGCCAGGGACTCGGGGAAATACTATGTGTCTGGTTGGTATTATTGGAACGAAGAAAATGTCTTCGTCTAAGCTTTGAGATGATCTCGAGGATACACCGGTGCTTCTGGAGCGAGGCTTGACGTTGAGGACACCGGTACCCGGACGGCAAGAGTGGCGAGCGGAAACACGACAAAACCGCTAAAACGACGGCGATACTACGCTGTGCACGGACTCAAGGTACAGATCGATTCTCGATACTAAATGAAACCCGGACTCGGAAGGAAATTTGGGTGACCGGCGGGTATCATATGTGATAGTACTGGGAAAAAAAAAGATATTTCAACGAAACGAGAATGTGGCGCGAACCTCGAGGCCTCCGAAACTCAAGCGCTTGAGATTCGCACCAGATGGTTATCGCGAAGAAATAAACATCGGTGCAAAGAGACATTTTTACATGACGTTCTCATGGCCAGGCCATATTCTGAATATCATATCTAGAGCACGTTCGGTCATTTATCATAATTTCGAGGGTGCACGCGCGCCGATGATCACATATACATACATAGCTAGCTTCACTACAATGAGATGAGACCGGAATGCCATTGATATATTTTACAGACCAGAATTTCATTGATATATTTTACAACTTACATACACTCGGGAGCTCGAGCATGCGGCGCAGCGGCACTACAAGAAGGCTGATATGAGTTTGCAGCCTGTTTTCCCCTCGATGAACGCTCCCACATGCCTACCGACATTCCTCCGACCTCGATCATGGTCGTACTCCATATAGGACCTCTTCTTTGAAACCATCGGAAGGCCACAATGCCAATTGTAGAAAATATCCCGAGGCCGTGGCTACTGTCATGCGGCAACTTGAACTACTACGTAGCTAGCTACATGTGCACTCCCTCGACGACGTCGATGTCATGTGAACAAAAAGTGGACACTAACTTTAGATTCCGGATATATGGTGACGTGAGCTCGAGGATAAGTACGTGCACCACGTTATCACATCTCGTAGTCAAAATACACCGATAATCTAGATAGAATCTAAGATTTCTGCGACACTCCCACCGGTCCATAATCTGTTTTTTTCCCCCAGTAGATGGGATGATTTTTGCAAATCCAAGTCACCGTGACAAGCAGGTGATGGATGCCGGTGACCTATCCAGCGGTCAATTTTTAATGTTCGCTGTCCGAGTCGTTCCATAGAATCTTGACAGAATCCGACCGATTTTCGCCTATTCACAATCATACTTCTTTTTTTTTAGACAAGCGAGTACCTTGTGCAACAGACGTATTAGTCTAGCAGGCCTTGCACAAAGATATCTACTAGAAATACCGGTCCGAAGCCTACAGGAGATCTGGTCTATAAAATTAGCTATGCGCTTTCCCCTAATACCTGGTCGAAGAATGTCGGGGTAGCAGAATTTTTAAAGAATGCTTGCTTGGAGGAGCATCGATTTATCATTAAATGATTGCTTAACGCAATGCAAGAATGAACTAAAACTGTTAAACCAGCTAGCCATAGTTCTTAGTAGACCAACGCCACAATTTGGCAGTTCCTGATTACGTGATGAACGCGTTAGCAAACTAATGTCAACAAACACTTTGAGGGGCGCGTCTCTTTCATCACGATTACTTTCACTGTCTTTCAACTTTGTTGCCATGTCTCAACTTTCATCAGGAATCTGTCGCCGTCTCAATGAGGCTCCTCAGGAAGAGATAGATCAGCTTGCTTCTGGGCATACTGTGCAGCTGCTTTCCATCAAGAAAGTGGCCCCGACACCTAGCTCGACCACCGCCACCGACAGGTTTCGCATCATCATTTCCGATGGCGTCCATTTTGTCCAGGCAATGTTAGCTACTCAGCTGAACGATCTCGTAGCAAATGGAGACATAAACAAAAATACTGTGGTGGTCATTGACAAGCTGGCCTGTAACTTCGTACAGGACAAAAGGTGAGTAGCTTTTGGTGCAATTTCTATCGCCCTTTACTAATCCATCTAGATTGATAATTATTCTCGACCTCCACGT